AACTGGAATATGGAACTTCAACGATAACAGTTTCGGTGCCATCAGATCCAGTTACGGTAGTGGTGGAACTATATGACTCAGTCCAGCTTGATGTAGTTGTAGTGGCTGGAGTTGGAACCTCAATAATCACAGTTTCGGTACCATCAAAGCCAGTGGCAGTAGTGGTAGAAGTGTAAGTCTCACTCCAGGTAGATGTGGTTGATGTAACTGGAGTTGGAACTTCGATGATGACTGTTTCAGTACCATCAGAGCCAGTGGCAGTGGTGGTAGAAGTGTAAGTCTCACTCCAGGTAGAGGTGAATGATGTCACTGGAGTTGGAACTTCAATGATCACGGTCTCAGTACCATCAGAGCCAGTGGCAGTGGTGGTAGAAGTATACGTCTCTGACCAGGTAGATGTGGTTGATGTAACTGGAGTTGGAACTTCAATGATCACGGTCTCAGTACCGTCAGAGCCAGTGGCAGTGGTGGTAGAAGTATACGTTTCTGACCAGGTAGATGTGGTTGATGTGACTGGAGTTGGCACTTCGATGATCACAGTTTCAGTACCGTCAGATCCGGTTGCAGTAGTGGTAGAAGTATACGTTTCTGACCAGGTAGATGTGGTTGATGTCATTGGAGTTGGAACTTCAATGATCACGGTCTCAGTACCATCAGATCCGGTCGCAGTGGTGGTAGAAGTATACGTTTCTGACCAGGTAGATGTGGTTGATGTCACTGGAGTTGGGACTACGATGATCACAGTTTCAGTACCATCAGAGCCAGTAGCAGTGGTGGTTGTAGTAAACGATCCAGTCCATGTCGATGTGGTTGATGTGACTGGAGTTGGCACTTCGATGATCACGGTTTCAGTACCGTCAGAGCCGATGGCAGTGGTGGTAGAGGTGTAAGTCTCACTCCAGGTAGATGTGGTTGATGTAACTGGAGTTGGAACTTCAATGATCACGGTCTCAGTACCATCAGAGCCAGTGGCAGTGGTGGTATAAGTAAACGATCCAGTCCATGTCGACGTGGTTGATGTCACTGGAGTTGGGACTACGATGATCACAGTTTCAGTACCATCAGAGCCAGTAGCAGTGGTGGTTGTAGTAAACGATCCAGTCCATGTCGATGTGGTTGATGTGACTGGAGTTGGCACTTCGATGATCACAGTTTCAGTACCGTCAGATCCGGTTGCAGTAGTTGTAGAAGTATAAGTTTCTGACCAGGTAGATGTGGTTGATGTGACTGGAGTTGGCACTTCGATGATCACAGTTTCAGTACCGTCAGATCCGGTTGCAGTAGTTGTAGAAGTATACGTTTCTGACCAGGTAGATGTGGTTGAGGTAACTGGAGTTGGAACTTCGACGATGACTGTTTCGGTACCGTCAGATCCGGTTGCAGTAGTTGTAGAAGTATAAGTTTCTGACCAGGTAGATGTGGTTGATGTCATTGGAGTTGGAACTTCAATGATCACGGTCTCAGTACCATCAGAGCCAGTGGCAGTGGTGGTAGAAGTATAAGTTTCTGACCAGGTAGATGTGGTTGATGTGACTGGAGTTGGCACTTCGATGATCACAGTTTCAGTACCGTCAGATCCGGTTGCAGTAGTTGTAGAAGTATAAGTTTCTGACCAGGTAGATGTGGTTGATGTCACTGGAGTTGGAACTTCAATGATCACGGTCTCAGTACCATCAGATCCGGTCGCAGTGGTGGTAGAAGTATACGTTTCTGACCAGGTAGATGTGGTTGATGTCACTGGAGTTGGGACTACGATGATCACAGTTTCAGTACCATCAGAGCCAGTGGCAGTGGTGGTAGAGGTGTAAGTCTCACTCCAGGTAGATGTGATTGATGTCATTGGAGTTGGAACTTCAATGATCACGGTCTCAGTACCATCAGAGCCAGTGGCAGTGGTGGTAGAAGTATACGTTTCTGACCAGGTAGATGTGGTTGATGTCACTGGAGTTGGCACTTCGATGATCACAGTTTCAGTACCGTCAGAGCCGGTGGCAGTAGTTGTAGAAGTATAAGTTTCTGACCAGGTAGATGTGGTTGATGTCATTGGAGTTGGAACTTCAATGATCACGGTCTCAGTACCATCAGAGCCAGTGGCAGTGGTGGTAGAAGTATACGTTTCTGACCAGGTAGATGTGGTTGATGTCACTGGAGTTGGGACTACGATGATCACAGTTTCAGTACCATCAGAGCCAGTAGCAGTGGTGGTTGTAGTAAACGATCCAGTCCATGTCGATGTGGTTGATGTGACTGGAGTTGGCACTTCGATGATCACAGTTTCAGTACCGTCAGATCCGGTTGCAGTAGTTGTAGAAGTATAAGTTTCTGACCAGGTAGATGTGGTTGATGTCATTGGAGTTGGAACTTCAATGATCACGGTCTCAGTACCATCAGAGCCAGTGGCAGTGGTGGTAGAAGTATAAGTTTCTGACCAGGTAGATGTGGTTGATGTGACTGGAGTTGGCACTTCGATGATCACAGTTTCAGTACCGTCAGATCCGGTTGCAGTAGTTGTAGAAGTATAAGTTTCTGACCAGGTAGATGTGGTTGATGTGACTGGAGTTGGGACTACGATGATCACAGTTTCAGTACCGTCAGAGCCAGTTGCAGTGGTGGTTGTAGTAAACGATCCAGTCCATGTGGATGTAATTGATGTAACTGGAGTTGGGACTTCGACAATTATTGTTTGAGTGCCATCAGTACCTTTAGTGGTGGTAGTCGACGTGTAACTATTGGTCCATGTTGTTGTTTCTGTTGTCGCAGGGGTAGGAACTTCTACGATAATTGTTTGGGTACCGTCAGTACCAGAAGCAGTCGTGGTTGAAGTATAACTATTGGACCAGGTTTTTGTAGTGGTAGTGCTACTGGAAGGAACATTGACCACAATGGTTGTTTGGGTGTTACCAGGGATGGTACTAAGCATAGTGGTAGATCCGGTCCAGGTGCTAGTGATGACATAGTTACCTTTGCCATTGACCCCTGAGTTTTGATAGTTACCCCAGTTGTATACCATGCTGTAATCGTGACTCCAGTAATCTCCGACACAAAAGTAAGTGTTTGTGAATGATGTCAGCATCTGACCGCCAGATGGGGTACCGAGGATATCAAAGAAGGGCTTGTAACCAGCAGGAACATTTTGATAAGTAACATAAATATGCCTTGAAGTACAATCAATGTTATAGGCAAAATTATTTGCTTCGTTTGTGTTACTGTAGAAATCGTTCCATGCATTTGACATCCTTGCCTGTATGGTAGAACAATCCAAGGCTGCGTTTGTGACGGAAAATCCAAATCGGCCGGATATGTACCCGTTGTTGCATTGCGCCGCAGTGTAGAAAAACTGAAATTGGTTCATGGAAGGAAGCAGTTTTATTGCTATAATTCCATCGGAAGTACTACCAAAATCGTAACCACCTTCGAAATCGATATCATAAGTTAAAGTGTTTTGACCATCGGTCCAAGACAATTGATTGGTGCCGGCGTGGAAACACGTGGAATATTGTAAACTGACATCGCCTGCACCTCCACCGACACCAAAACTAAGGGGGAATGTAACAGTACCTGATGCAATAGTGTTGGCTGTGACACCAGGACTTATAGTACAAGATATCTCGGAGAATGATACAATTAACTCCCCGTTACTGAGATCACATGTAGCAAATGTTTTCCCACCTGCTGTAAGCAGTATAGTTTTGGACAGAGTCGTAAACTTGAACACACATGGGAGTCTAAGAGAGAAAGTGTCGCCTGCGTTCACTTGAGAACCTTGAATATTCCAATCTAAAGTAGTTACCCAACTTGGATTTTGAGGTAAACTATAAGGGTATCCACCTGCATTGTCCCAATGGATATTTGCGATGTTTGTGAAGATACCATATACTTGTGCAGCTGATACAACGCTTCCAACCCCCACTAGGAAGGGTAATAATACGTTTAGGAACCGCATATATAGTAATAAGTATATATATGTGTGATTAGCTTGTGTAAGGCTAGAAGTCGAACAGAATAAAAGGTCACTTACTTGAGAAAAAGGGACACATACGGACTAATATATATATCTCACTATTTCTGGGGTCGATGGAGCCAAACGGTTTTTAGTTCATCGGATACATATAGCAATCATTCTCCGCTTAATTTACACAAGACAATGATTAACAAAAATTAATGGCTATGAAACAATAATGATATGTCTGAAAAGGAAATATGAGGGCTCTATCGAGTCTGTTACATGAGGTATTAGGTGTGAAAAGGATTATGTCGGCGTGGATCATGCGTCTGGTAAAGTTGCAAAAATGTTATTTGTCTTACCTATGTACAGAATAGGGTAGTTCTTGCAGTTAAAGCCCCAATGCAATGGAAACTCATCAACCATTGTTAACTTGCCTAATTGGATATTAAGTCCGTCACACCAGGTTGTATTCAGTACATGTGTTGAGTTTGGTTGTGTATGACTCAACGTCTTTGTAACCAAAATACTGTGTTAATGGAGATACGACGCTTGATTGGAAGAAAAGAATATACCTGAATAATTATAACATAAGCGTCAATGAGGCGAGATAATCACCATGCAGCGGGGTACCGATTTGGCAATTTATACGATCAGTTTTGGTAGGCATCGATGTTCATGTCGACTTTGTGTAGTGACCTCGAATAACTCCTGCGAAGTATTAATATCAATTCAAAAACTTTTCCCTTGGAACTACAGTATTAAGTTCTTAGGGTGTTATCGGAGACTAACCATAACGTATAACAGAGGTCGGTAATAATTGTACCCCTCAGTAGTACTTTTTCGACCACAAGTTGGTTTAGATTGGTAAATCGGGTGTTGTGGAGTGTTAGATGGAGAAACTTACACATTTCTTGCATTGACGAACTGTGCTTTTTGAGTTAATATTAGTCTAAGTCTCGCTTACTAGTAACGGCTCATTTCATGCAGGTGCCGCCTGAAAATTTTCATAGGCGCAATTTATGCAACTATTATCCTGTGCATAGCACCAAGGGATCCTATTACTCTGTATATAACGCTACACAATAACGTTCTAACCCGCCTACCGCCCTTTGCATGGGGTCCTTCTAAGCATAAGTATTACGTTTGATCTATGTAATTTTGCTGACGATAGACCATAGTTACGATAAGGCTTAATATGTGGTAGATGTGTGGCTAGCAAAAAATTAACGCATTATATCACCACATCAAATTTCATTAGTGCCATACATGGAAACAATAGTGCCTCCTTGGAGAAGTCAAAGTGTAATTAAACTAATGTGGCAACCAGTAGGTACTAAAGTGCCCCTATCATTAACGCTTTCTTCATCCACTCCACTATTTCATTTCTCTAAAAGGACCCTTTTGTAGATCTTGCCTAACATTGACTGCACAAACCTTTATGATAGTTCTTAACTCCTTGTAAATCCGTTAACAGGTTTGAAGTGTCAAGGCTAGGAAATTAGACCTTGAGCGAAGAGTTGAATCTGAACGTTACGATCCATTTTTCGGCTAAGATAAATTAATTACCCTTTTGGGGAAGTGGTAGATGGAGGCTTCTTCTTCTAAAATGGTTAAAATAGCCAAACATACGATTGAAGCATGGAATCACAATTACTTGCAGGAATGCGATCTTAAAGCCTACTTAGTTTATTTTTTTTTCACCACCGTCTCTCAGTCCTTTACATAAAGTCTAAGTCGTAATTAAAAAAAGACTCAATATCTTCTGAGAGGAGATCTTTAATGGCACCAACCTCCTCAGTCGAGTCACCATTCAGTACATTGGTTCCCGTTATAGAATGATATGGCGTAGTATACATGGGTCTTTCTGGAACCTGGTTATGATTACTAGTTGGCATGTACTGGGTTCCAACCCATTGGTCAAGCGATGGAATGGAGGGAAACTTTGGTGTGGGATTCGAATACACATCGGGCATGTCGCTCCAATGTGACCTTGGAGGTAATTGCCTTTCGCCCGAAACATTTACCTCACTTGTATTCGCATTTGGCTGTGTGTATAGTCCTTGTGCTTGCGCCTGTGTTTGCGTGTGTGTTTGCGATTGTGGCATAGTCGATGGATTGTTCTTCATCGCCAACATTGACATCCACATTTGGTCGACATATGCGGGATCTGTTGCACATGAATCTTCGGATCTTAAAGAAGACGTCGATGCATCTGCCTCAGGGTATTTGCGTTCCGCAAACTCGTAATCGTAGTTCTCGTCAATAAACCGAGGAAGCTTCGTATGATTGTCTCGATACTCATCGATATACTTCAACCATTGCATAAGCGTATTCAAGATACTATCAAACTCTTCCAATTGCGTCGACGTAAATTGAAACGAATGTAATGTTTTGGCAGTCTTTGTAACCTTCTGGTACAACAATGTCCCTGAATAATTTTTAAACAAGATCCGATGAGCCTTCTGTATGCGCCAAGCGTAATAGTACCTCGAACTAAGCTTCAGGATAATGGAAAGTATCAACGACCCAACGGCTTCGAGTTTACTCGATAAGCCACGATATTTCTCATATGATTGACGATACTGTAAATTGTTGTCCATGTTTTTTTGGTGGTTCTTATTCTTTTCCTTTGCATATTTCACATAGTTCACTCTCGCATAACACGAGAGAATCACTTGGTTGCACTTGTGGATTGCAAGTAATAAAATGGGGTTCAAGATCAAGCCACTTTCATTGAATCGTCCAAGTAAGACCTCAAAGATTAGTGGGACTATTAGCTCCTGGATAATGTAAAGTAGTTTCTTTAAATAGAAGAATGAATAGTCAAACTTGGATTGCCTCTCGTAGTATAAATATAGGTGGACATAGATCGTGATCAAGGAACAATACAACGTGAGGAAAACTTTTGTCTTGATAACATCTGTATATTTTGTTGTTGATGATGTTTGTTCAGTATCAAACCTTGGAACTCTTCTTGAAACTTGGAAATCAAGTCGTAAAACTTGTTCAATGTTATTCAATGCCTCGGTCAAATAATTTATGGAGGAATACTTTCGAATGTCAACTATGACATCTAGGATTTTCCCAATGGAAGAAAGTGAAACATCTAACCATTTCAATGTGTCTACTGCTGATTCTTCTAGAGCGAAATCATCCAAGGACGAATTCGTACGGGTTGCAACGGGTTCTTTGGTGTCATAGTGTTTAACGTCAATCAACGTGGGGTTCCCAGAATTAAAGGCATTAAGTAAATCTGACAGAATCAAGAAATACCACAACTTTCTGGTCAAATGGTTGGTACGTTCATCAATACGAAGATCAGGGAAATTGTCAGGTTCACGATGTAACCCAAGTGAATAACCCATTTGTACAAGCATTGCTGTTGAAAATTGCAGCTCACCACCATCAAATCTATCTCCTTCCTCCGGACCTAAAGTCCGATATAGTCTTAACAATAATGTAGCCTGGAAAACCGTCAAGTTAGTTCGAACACTGATTTGAAAGCAACATAGACAAGCATGGGCAACGTTTATGGCAACAACATTGATTGGATTCGATAAAAGATACTTCTTCTCTTCCTCTTCTGGATCCGTAGGAGTACAGTTCATGATATAGCTGTTGTTACAGTCTCTATTGGAGAACAAGGACAAATATGTCAACCTTAATACCACAAGCAAAGTAGCCATTAATGCCAAATCTAATCGGTACTCGATTTTAAGCTCCTTTACTTTCTCTTCTTCAAAGGATTCAGCACCTATAATTGCACTTAATCTACTTCTAAAATCAATCTCATCCAAAAATGGATAGAAGGGGTACAATACCTTGAAAAAACGTCCTATAAGTGACCAAATGACTCTTTTAACTGGGAGTATGGTTTGAATTTGTTCAACCAATCGAAGCTCGGGATCAAATCTTCCATCAAACAACGTTTTGGCAAGCGTTATACTAGTGACATTTAATACCTTGGGTTTTTTGGTTCTTGGGCCATCCGTATTATGACCTTCTCTTTCTCTTGTTTCATCTAGTCCATTACCTCCAGCTGCTCCTCCAGCTGCTCCTTCTGGTGCTTCTCCTGATGCTCCTCCTGGTGCTTCTCCTGATGCTCCTCCTGATACTCCTCCTGATACTCCTGATGCTACTCCTGATGTTACTTCTCTGTGACTACCTTTCTTATTGCTTGACTTTGCTCCAATGTCCTTCAAAGGAACCACTTCGTCATAACCTTCCGTCTCCAACTGGATCCTCTCGAATGTCTTTTCGTTTCTAGGATCATCGTCATCATGAGTTGTGAGAAGCGTGGTGTTCTTCTTTGATATCGTAGGCGGGTTTCTTCCCAATAAGAGCTCCAGCTTCCCTCGGGCCGGAGTAATGATATCATATATCATATTGATCCAAGGATCTTTCCTCATAGTACAAGACCACGTCAACGGACCAAGGTTATGACGTCTATTGGCACTTCTAACTTGTATGGAAGTGTACCCTTCATAGAAGTTGATTACTGCCGCGTCTTCGTCACGAGGATTTAACAAGTAAGGATTTGAAACGTAGGAGTAGTCAATGGCACCTAATAAGGAAGTACTCCCTTCACCAATTGTTTTGGTTGGAGTATAGGCAGCCCCACTAGCGCTAACAGAAGAACATCTTGGTGCTGGACCTACTGAATTTTTGGTGTCTCCGGCTGATTGTTTATGACTTGCAAGGGACTCTAAAGACGACTCCAACTCCTTTAGTCGGCTTTTCAATATAGTCAATTCATTTGCATAGGCTGGATCATGGTTATCATTATTATTATTATTTTTATTATTAAAATTGTTATTAAGATTATTGTTATTGTGAACTACATCTGAGGAATCTCCTTCACCACCATTAAAACTAATACTCTTCCATTTGGTCTCATAGTGACAGGAGAATCCACTCTTGATCTTAATACATGCGCCACAAGGAACCCGGCGATCACATTTGACCTTCCTCTTCTTACAATTGGTACAGGTGGACGTGGGCTTCCCCTTGCCCAAGTCCATTTCTAAAATATGATGTATCGGATTTGCAAGGAACAATTGAGCTTGATTTGTGTTTGATTAACTTAAGTTTCGAAAGTGGTATGGAGTCCCGTTTTGGAAAATTCAAAGTCACGTGATGATCATGGTTTTCAGTGCCGAGCATATACCGAGCATATACCGAGCATATACCGAGCATTTCCCACCATGATATAACAAAGAGTATTGTTAACAACTACACCTTTATAATAATACAATGTCATAATACACAGGTATAAATCAATAATAAACTTCATACGATCAAGTAAATTCCTCAAATGGTATAATACTAAAAAAATCAATCTTGGCCAATTCATCGGGTCCACCATTGCCCGAACTATAATCACCCATTGGACTATTGGCCATCCAATTAAAAGGTGAGCCAGCAAAAGTGCCTCCTTGATTAACATCATTTATACCGGAACCACTAAGGTCAGGTACCTGATCGGTTCCTCCTTCTGGCCGGCCTCCATTTCCTCCTTGACCACCTGCACCTTGATTATCATTCTTCATGGAAAGCACCAGTAGCCATAACTTATCAATCTCTTGAGTATTCTCTAACCCAATACCAAACTCATAAATGGCATCATGCATTGCCTTATCATTTTCGCGCAGAGATTCAGATGGTGACATGCTTGGAAGAGTAGGTTTAGTTCCAGTTGAGCCTTCCATATTGGATGACGATGAAGTCATAGATTCCGGTGCAGCCATCGCCCGTTCAAACAGTTGGGCATTGGCATTGGTATTGGTATTGCTGGGAGTAATATTACCTGGAGTGCTGGTCGAAGGTATGCTATTCGTCCTAGGAATACTTGTTGACATCATATTAACGTTGATGTCGGGAGAGGGAACACTATGCATGCGTGAATTACTTTCTCTTGAATCAGATGGCAAGCCAGTTTCATAAAACTTGAACTCTTCAGTGTTTTTATCCTTACCAAGTTTACTTAAAGTCTTTTCACAAATTTCAATCAATTCCTCCAATTGGTCCAAACTATAATCCCTGAAAGTGAATTGTCGTCCAGAACCTTCAAAGTTGGAATAAAACTCCTTCGAGGTAATGATCTTCAACATAAACAATTGTCCCTTAGTGATTCTCCAAGCATAGTAATAACGATTGCAGATTTTGGATACTGCGGCAACTGCAACCTCAGCACATCTTGTCAAGCAAGAAGATAATTTTACCAATGTCTTGTAATAAAATTGGTAATTGGGATCGGTGTAGAATGACTTGATATGAGTTGGTTGAACACTCAAATAGTGAATCAAGGAGTTTATCCGAATGATACAAGCAAAATTGAATTGGTTCGACTTATGGATCAAAGCCTCCAAACTTGGATTCATAATCATATCACAAATGATATCACTATTGGCCAAGAGTTCAAAATAATAGGGCATGGTTTGATCAATCGACAGCTTCAACAATTTCATCAAGTAATAGAATGAAAACTCAATGTTAGTCTTCTCATAATGTAAGAAAAAATGGTAGTATATTGAAAAGAAGAATGACTTCAGCGCAATGTAAAACTTGGCTCTAAAAGTCCGAACAAAGAAATATGAATGATCTTGGACTTCCAAAGGTTTCAAGCATTCTTTCAAACTAAACTGGTGATCAGCCATCATATCTTCGATGAAATTAAGTTCTTCACAAACATCCTTCATTTTGGGAGGATTATTCATATCTAAGACTTTGAATAATAATTTTTGAACTAAGGGGAACAATGTACCACAAGACATAAAACTCTCGGTCACAGCTCTATCCAATATGACATTGGAAATATTTTCACTTCCAAGTTCATAAAAAGGTACTTTGGTATCATAGAACCTTTTATCAATGATCATGGGGTTTCCAAATTCAAAACTGCTATGAATATCCAGTAAAACAAGAAAGAACCATATCTTTCTGCAAAGATGGTTTTGCTTGGGATCATTTAAAGCATCAGTAAAATTATCTGGATCACGGTTGAGTCCAATACTATAAGACATGTTAACCAATAAGGAGTTCAAGATTTGAGAATCTCCATCAATGCCATCTCCTTCCTCTGGAGCATATACTTTATAAATCCGATAGTATAATGCCAATTGCAACACTGTCAAATGAGCTTTCTTCAAGAAAGGGAATTGGAAAAGACATGATTCAGCAACATTCACAGCATCAATATTAATAGGATTATTCAATAATAATTTCCTGTCTTGAGCTTCAGGTGAAGGATCTGTACTGTATAAGTTGGCTTCGTTAACTTTACTTCTGTTGAAGAATAACGACAAGTAACTTAACCGTAAGATCAACAATAATATTCCCAAATGAGCCAAGTCCATTCTCATTTCAGCTTTCATGTAAGGAACATCTTCATAAGCCATTGACACGGGCCCCACTAATCTTGAGATCTCCGTGTAAAAGGTATTCTCATCTAAAAAGGGGAAGAATGGATATAAATAGCTAAAGAACCTCTCAACCAATTTCCATAAGATCTGACGTTTGGGTAATTCATTTTTGATTCGATCAATGAGTTGGAGTTCTCTGTCAAACTTCCATTCACAAAATGTCAAACCAAGAGGTAATAATTCATCCTTTGTCAATTGGCTTCTACCTGTGGGGAACCTTGATTGGGTTTGCTGCTGCAGTTGCAGTTGCTGTTCCTGTTGTTGCTGTTGGTCCTGCTGTTGCTGCTGCTTCTGTTCCTTTGCTCCTTGTGGTAGCAGCTTACTCATGACACCCTTCCGTAGATCATTGTCCTGATCTTTCATATATTCCTTGTGACGTTTAATTAAATCATTATAAGGGATCATCTCTTCATAACCATCTGATTCCATGGCTTTAAACTTGAACACACCCTCTGTGGTAAACTTTTCCGGAATCGAAATGGCAGTTCCCTTTTCCGGAGTATAGTTCATGACTGGTTTAGCAAGTAGATGGATCTCTGTCAGATCCAATACATTCCCGTTGCTATTGGACTTCCGTTGGACCATAACATAGTTATAGATTTCGTTCATGGCCGTGTCCTTTTTCATGAGTGATGCCCAAGTAAACGGACCCAAGTTCATTCTTCTAAACTTCTCATTGATATGAAGCGAAGTGTACCCTTTGTAGAAGTCAATGGTCTCTTCATCATCAACATAAGGATTAATGCCATGACACTCGTTTGGTCTAGCAATGAGTGCTCTGTTTTTAGAAAAAAAACCAGCCTGTCCACAGGCATCTTCAAGCTTTGGTCGTTCTGCTTGGATCTTCTTTAGTTCTTGAATCCGCTGATAAAGGTAGTTTTGTTGTTCTCGTCTCACTAGAGAAACAGGGCTAGAACCATAGCCATTGGTGGACGTGCTGTTAGAACTGGATGAAACACTCGAGGGAGTGAACAGGGGCATGGCTTGGTTTCTTGATGTTGTTGAAGAATCTGGTGAAGGTATAACCTCTGGTAGTTGACCTGTCAAGTTGCTATTGCTGGACTTCTTCAACATGGCATTCTCTATTTGAGCTAACCGTTCCTTTAACCGTAAAAACTCTTCAAACGTCACCGACTCATCTTTGGAGTCATCTGTGGGTGAATTGCCAGAAAAGACGTTGGTCCCAACGCCACCAGCTTCAACGCCACCAGCTTCAACGCCACTAGCATCAACACTACTGCTGCTACTACTACTACTAGTAGCAGCACTGTCTGTTCTCTTTCGCTTCTTGCCACCTGACTCGTCACTCACAATCGCGTCTGGCTCATGGCTCGGCCCATTAATCTGTAGCCGCATTACACCACTACCATTGGCTGATACCAGATCAGCTACAGGAGCAAACTCACATTGGTGGCCCAAGCCAGACTTGACACATTGAGAACAAGGGTTTTGCTTGTCACATTTGATCTTTCTCTTTCTACAAGTGTTGCACACTAAGGTTATTCTCTTTCTTCTTTTCTTAGCACCTTCGCTATTGTCATCACCTCCACTAGTACTTGGAACCCTTCCTGATTTGGAACTGCTTCCGTTTGAGCTGGAAGACATCGACATCACCGACATTAATCCAGGAGTAGTGCTCTCTTTCTTGATAATCACTTTTGACGACAATGAGACACTTTGGTTGATGTGATTTCTAATTTGACATAAAGAGTTTATTGCGGATTTATTGCTACATTTGGAGTTACTGGAACACTCGGGATACACTACGGAAATATGACCCAATTAGGACCGCACTTGAAATTTTGTTCCAATTAGGCTTGCACAGAATAGAATGTACGAGCGCTCAACCCTCTTGGATGTGGTCGACCTTTCTTTTTTCTTTGCAGTACAGTTTATGCATGTGTGTACGTAGAATGTGTGTGAAAAATGCGTATAGGTTGACGTAAAAAACGTAAAAAGGTTGTAGATATATATATTGCGCACTTTATGTGTATTACAATTTATATACGTAAGTATGCATGCTCGAGGCATGTATGTTAATTTGTATAGAAGAGTTTTTTTTCTAAAACTATAACACGGTATACAAGAACTCAATCTATGCCATGTCGGTGAAAAGCTCTGCATTAAGCTCCGATGTAATCCCATTGGTAAATGGGGGACCATCTGCTTGTCGTCCTAAACTTTCAACATCCACCAGCATATACCGATTGGTGTATATTTGATCTATGAAATCGTCATTATGCATATCAGATTGGAAGGGGATCCCCATCCCTCTATGATAGCCACCAATTCCCGAAAATGGTCCTAAAGAATCAAATTGAGTGGTTTTGGTCTTTCGAAGTGTATCCATTTGAAGCCATCTGGAATCAATGGCTTCTCCATTATCAATGGGGATGTTTTGATAATCACTAACAACTACTGGAATAGAATCATTATGGTATGTTCCGGAATGATTATTATTCTCATTGTGAATGTCTTGGTTTAAAGTCTCTTCTTGTTCTTGTTCTTGTTCTTGTTCTTGTTCTTGGCAAATCCCAATGGACTGTCTTCCGTAATCAGCAAGTACTGTTTGACGTTGCTTCAGAGGAGAAGCGTCTACTGAAGATACTTCAGTGTAATTTCGATTCCACGTAGCTGGAAACTCTTCTGAAGAATAAACCATAGTACTTTCTGCCTTTACATGTTGTTGCTCTGTGTTGGCTGAGGTGGTGGTATTGGCGGAGGTGGAGGAGCTATTTCCATTGAAATCGTCTTTCCTCATCTCTAATTCCATCGAACTGGATTTATCAAATTGGTGATTTGTTTGTCCACCACCTTCCCAATTCTTTTGAGTTTCAGCGCTGCTTCGAGTGATTTTTTCAAGCAAATCATGAAGATCGAGTTCCTTTATGGTTTCAGATACCTGAAGAAACTTTTCAAACGATTTGTCACAGATATCACAGAGGTTTGACGATTCATAAAGTGGAATTTGAGAGCCCAAATGGTCCATCAATGGATCTTTATCAGCATAGAAACTTTCCTTGGTAATCATATCTAATACCAACAGTAAAGATTTATAATTCTTCCATGCAATATAATATTTGGTCACTAATTTAGTTAATGCAAATAGCAGAATTCTGGCAACCTTTTCGGAGTATTTCAGGATCTTGCTTGCTCTGTAGATGTTTTCCTTATGATACTTTGTAAACTTTTCTTTTTTAGAGTTAGAAAAAAGATACAAGTTGGCCCTGGTGATGATAAGAAATAAGCATTCAATGGTTCTGACTATCATGGTAATGATTTGAGGGAACAACATCATCCCTGCTCCATTTCCATAAATATTATCAATATCGTAGACAAGCTTAAGGAAATATGGAAAGCAATTGATGAGCTTATCCTGGAAAAGCTTTTGGATATAGAAATATTCCATCGCATTGTTAGACTTTTCGTTATAGTGTACCATGAATACCAAATAAAGACTCAGGAATACCGAATAAGCAAACATCAACAAACTTAAGGTGCCGACTCTAACAACCACACTTGGATGTTTCTCGGGGTTAACCACTAGGAAGTCATCGAAGGTGCCCATAGCATTTAGTACCCCAATTTCCCCAAGACTTAGGAGTTTCATGATCTCATGCACTTTAACTTCTTGATTCATTGGGAGTACCAATTGAAGTATCTTGGGTATTGGTCCGTCGGCACACATGTCCCAAAGAGCATATACCTGCATCACTTGCTTTTCCAATTCTATGTTTGTAGAATTAGAACCTCCAGCTAAAAGTCGAGGTAGCATGACATCATGATCTGCAGAAGTAAGTCTTAAAGGATAACAACCTTCATTAAAGACTTGTTGATGGTCAACAAATAACAATGAATACCATAACTTTCTACACAAGTTGCGGGTTCTTTCGTCTTTGAGTTCTTCAGCTTCCTTTTGTGTTAAAGCAAAACCTGAGATTAGGGAAGGTTCCCTATTGAGTCCAATAGCAAAAGCAACACTGACAAGAATACTATGTGCCACTTGAGCTATGGCAGGGTCACTGCATTCACCATCTTCAGGAGCATGAATCTGGTATAGTCTATAAAACCAACAGCACTGGAACACTGGCAAGCAAAGCTTTCTAACAAATAAGAAATGCTCAATACAAGCTGCTGTAACGTCAATAAGTGTAATAGGAATTGGATTCTCCAACACATATTTATTGACATCACTGTTATCACTTTCCAAGATAGACTTGAGCTTTAAATCGTCAGAGGGCAACACATGAAGGTATGTTAATCTTAGTAAGCAAAAGAGGGTTCCAATGTATGCCAAATCCACCCGTTCTTCAATCTTAACCTTTGGAATCTCATCAACATATAAACATGGGCCTATAATTGGATATAGACGTGCTTTAAACTTCAATTCATCAATATATGGAAAATAAGCATACACTTTATTAAAGTAGAGATCCAATAGAGTCCATATGGTTCTTCTCTTCGGTATCACCTTCTGGATAATGTCTGTCCATTTGGATTCCTCACCAATGTGGGTCATGTTTAATGTTAGATCGAGGGTTAAGACTCTTCGATTTGAAGAAGGAGCGATATTGGCTTTCCCCTTTTCTGCTGCTGCTTGTTTCTCCTCTTTAATTGTTTTAGCTTCGATAGACGTTGGAGTGGTGGTGCTGTCTTTTTGAGAAGATGCCTGTTCCTTATGGTGATGATCTTTGGAGTCGGTACTATTAATACCCTGTGGTAATGAGATAGCAGCAGCTGTTTTCTCTTGTTCGACTTTAGCAAGCTTTACTCTTTTGTCTATTAGCCTTGCAGCATAGTCCTTTCTCTTGAGGTTAATCCAACTTAGTGGTCCACCACAAGATCTTCTTCCAGATAATTCAATAATGATAGGGTTGAAGCCTTTATGAAAGTTGATTACCTCTTCTGGCGAAGTATAAGGATTTATACCTATTGATCCACTAACTTCTCTTAGCTTATTGAGGTTCCGTATGTTGATACACTTTGGCATAACCGATTTAAGATCACTAATGTATCTATGCATATCTGATTGAGACGAAGACATCTCGCAAAAAGGATGAACTTGGACATCAAAGTTTTCCACTCGAATGCAATTGTCTCCACAGAACTCACGGGCCAACCGCTCGTTTTCAATGAGACGATTGGTGTAACTCCCATCTTGGTTGTACACACTGCACACGAATGGTTGCATCCCATTGTTAGCTGGTGGTTTGGACGCTGATGATTCTGATACTTCTGGACCAGTGGAAGACAGAGTAATAGGAGCCGTACACAATGTTGCAGCCGTATTGGTTGTAGCATTTGTAGCTGTTGCGGTGTTGTTGATATCATCACCGCTATTGTTGTCATTAGGTCTACAGCAACTGCTACTGTTGGTGTATGATGGTTCAATATCAGATAATGAGTGGCTCCGGATATCTACGAATGAAACGCTTCCTTGGAGTTTGGTGACCTGTGGGTAGTTGCCCGGACTTAACAAAAAAGGAGTGAACTGATTGAGCGGAATATTATAGGTCGGTAACGGGTACTGGTGGTTGCCTAAAGGAGGATACTGCGAGATGGGAGTTGTGGCCAGATTGATGGCAGGGAAGGGCAGATGCTGGTTGGAGAAAGACGGTGGCCGTGGACGTGGAGGTGGAGGGGGGGGTGGAAGTGCTGATTGGGTCGGTGTGGGCTGTAGGTGAGGTGTTTGTTGAGAATATGGCGGGTTAGGAATCTGAGGAGGATGAAAGTTAGGAGGGACTACGTTTTGTTGTGGGTATGGAGCTACTGGAGGAGGATGAGAATAAGGAGGGGGAGGAGGAGGGTGTTGTTGGAACAGAACTGGATTATTTAATTGGATGTTCGAATAGGCAGCATCGTGATGTGATACGTCTAATTGCGGCTGCGGCTGTGGTTGAATTTGTTGTTGTTGTTGTTGGTGGTGGACTAATTCCTGGAGGTTCTCCATTTGTGATGTTAGATCATCAAGATACTGTTTCTTGATATACACAAGGTGATCATTACTATGGCCATTTTCTTGTGGACTTCTTTCCGGTTGTCTTTTGGTGATGCCTGGAGCCTCAGAGTATTGACAAAGATGTTCAATTTGATTCTTGACACATGATGAACATGGTTTACCTTTATCACATCTTATCTTTCTTTTCTTGCACACTATGCATACTAAGGATGGTCTGTTTCTTTTTTTGATGTTAAGAAGGATATCATTAGACATTAGTTTGGGTTCATTCGGACCCCTTTGATTTTGGATCGGTAGAGTAAAGAAGAAAAATGTCAATTCTATATAAACTTCTATATATGTATATATATAATGTGGTACTGAGACTACGCACTAACTTTGACGCATGATAAAGTTAATTGTAATTCATTTTACATTAATAATAGCGTGTCGCCTTTTTTCCTTCTTCGTATTTTGTCCCGCATGCATGTCCGTATCGACCAGAATGCGTGTAGTTAACGACCATCCTTGGAAGTTAGAGTGAATTGATGGGTGGTAGTATGCAACCCTTGTGAACGGAATCCTCATGACACAAACACAATAGTAAGAACCGATACCTTTCTACTCCTAATTCCTACATGTACACATAAAACTGCAAGTGGGATATACATAAGTGAGATCTTGCGTGTATGTATCAACATTATATGCAGCGATTGTTGGAAAATAAAGTTTGTTTGTTCCATTTTCCATTTTTTTTCTCAGTTTATATAATTATTTTTGGCGTAGATGCATGAACAACTACATGAAGTCGCATAAATCTCGTTTATTAGTTGTTGTCGGCATAACATCACATCACATCACATATGATTTTCAAACTATATTATTACCAGACACGAAGCTAAAATGAAATGGTTCAAGAATGATTCAAGAATGGTCTCGTAAAGAAAGAAGGTTGCACAAACTCGAAATTTCATTCGGACATTGTCTCGGAATACCGCGAGATCAATACAATAAGCATAATGTGGATCAATTGTCTCGAATCATTCTCCATTATAGGAATCAAATAAGCCAAGGCTGTATCAATAATAGAAGTAACATGAAAGATATAAGTTCAATGCTTACTTAAGCCAATAAAATAGTGGCCATGAGATCCCTCACCATTCGTATCTGTTCTTTATAATGCAAAATAATGGAGCCCGTTACTAAGAAATGACTAAGCTGAACATCGTCAGTTTAGTGGGGTGGTTATGATATCCGTCAACATATACTACTTTCAACTATCGTAAGTAGTAACTTTTGTAAGCCTAAAATAGTCTCACATACCTTTAGTTGCAGTAGACACATGAAAATATGCAAACTAGGCAATATCAGCCCCTGGGGATCCACTACTAGCGTATCTGGCACCTTGTATGCATGTGCCAAATACCAGACAAAGAGCACCAAAACCTGGGCTGGTATGATATCATCACCAATAGGAGATGATGATGGTCAAGATCTTTCATGTACTCCCTCGGCAGTGTCGAGGCGAAAGTAACCCTTTAACATATGGTATATGGCATCAGGTTGTTGTAGGAGTTTTTTGACCATGTTGGTTCACGTACATTTTTCTACATGCGTGCTGGTGCTTGCGCTTCCCCGTGCTCATGGCCACGGTAACCACATTCTATTGCATTAGTGAAAACCCAGTCGGGATTTAGAATCGTAGTCTAAAATTTTCAGTACACAATGCCTGGCACAATACGTTACCAAACAAAGATACCCTATTAAAAACTGATACTATTGTTTTCCTCTTTAACAATAATAAATCCAAATCTATACTATACTATTGTTCTGATGCTATGAACAGTTGACGTTGACTAATTAATAACCCCATAATCCACTGCGGCTTCAGATCCGTTGATCAATTGGCTCGATTCTTCGCTGTCTGATTCACTAGAGTAGTTCTCATTGTATAGGAAGAATTGAACGAAAATAGTGAAATCAAGTCCCAAAGTCCCCAATGAGCCCGCTAACCAAGATGAATTGACCCACAAGTAATTAAAACTGGTATCAATACTCAATATACTGATTACATACGTCAAATTACCCAAACAGGCAAACAAAAAGAACATAAACGAAATCCCCTCACAAGATTTACGCTCGTAATTTAAAACGATTTGAGGTATACGAGATCCCAAGTATAATATAGCACATATCCAACCGAAAAGTTGGGCCAAGGGATCAAATACTAACTCAGGCTTAGGTTCCAGAGGGTGCTTCTTCTTATGTTTTTGAGTGTTAAGATAGGAAATGTACCATCCAAGTAAGCCTGCACCAATGACTGATAATACCACTAATGTTTTAAACATGGCATTCACTAGCCATTCATATTTGGAGGCCGGCTTAGTGTAACTTAAAGACTCAGAATCACTAGATGACTCACTTTGGTTATCTTCTTCTCTTCCTCGGCTCAACACAGTTTCTAAAACGTCTCCATCAAAGGGGTTGGCCGGAGATAAATGAATAAGGTCTGTTTCCTTTGACCCATTCCCGTAAAAGAGACACTGCCATAATAAAATTATATCAGCAAAAGTATAGTAGATGGCCAAGATGATCATGGTGGGTAAAACTCCTTGAATCACACTACCCAAGACGTTGAAAAGGTCTCCGACCAACCATAGTATAACAAACGAGAGAGACAAGCCTTCGCTGCTCTTTCTACGAAAGTTCTCGTAAATCTGTGGAGCAAATACGATGACCCAACATGCAATAGAAATCGACCCAGTGATCCCACTGACGGCTTCGGCGTCTATGATGATTGGTGGAGGAGGCGCCATGTTACTTATATAACAGCAGAACTTCACTCTTTAAACATCTATCCTAGTAAATGGTGGAGTTAATGTTAGTCGAAAAATTTTTTTTCAATGTCGATTATTTTTTGTGGAGAAGAGAGTGACTACCTAAGTGGTTCCAGAAACGGCAGCTCACACCGATCGAAGGATTCCATGTTATGTTTATCACGCGCTACCATTAAAAGTATAAAAGTACTATAAAGTGTGCTTACTTAAGCTTAAACTCTTACAATTTTGATCTTAAGCCTTGAGTTAACGACTTCTCCTTCTGATAGAGAAGATCAAAAATGGAGGCAAAGTACTTTGCTGCAACACCTCTCTTAATCTTAAACGTTGGAGTGACGACATTCCGTTCAACCGTAAGAGGATTAATGGCAATGTGAACATTCTGTAACTTCTCAAAACCATTTAAATCCTTCACATTATCATTCAAATTCTTAAGAAACTTTGTTTTCATTGCAACTGAGTTCATTTCAGTTAGCATCTGTTCGTGATCCAATTCCTTACTGTTAGTGTAGCCACAGCTCTCTAAAAATTGAACTCCATCTTCGTAGCTAACCCCACAAACTCCAACCACAAACGACTGTAAGGAATCTCCATGAACGTACAATTGTTGAAGGATGGGGTTGCATGATAAATACCGGTTCTCAATCTTTTCTGGAGAGATGTACTCACCTTGACTCAACTTAAAGAAGTTCTTTACTCGATCAACGATATAAAGTCTTCCATGAGTTGCTTTCCCCTTGCAAGCAATCATTCCAATATCTCCAGTATGAAACCACCCATCCTTTTCCAAGGCATTATCGGTTTCTTCCTTATTATAGTAATAGCCAATGAAAGTCTGAGGTCCGCGTAACATCACTTCCCCAATTGGTGATCTTGTTTCGCTGTTAATGCTGTATCCCATATCTGAAACACTTCTTAATTTCATTTCTCCACAAACTCCAATGGATCCACAATTACCAGGATCACTATCAAAAGGTTGGGTGGTCGTGATAGCCCCAAAGACTTCAGTCAATCCATACAATTGACGAATTCCAATATTTAAACTGGCTTTCAAATATTGGAGAGTCGATGGAGCAACTGGTGCACTGGCAGTTTGAGTCCATAACAAATTATCGAATCCAACAAGTGAACGCAATTTAGTATATGGTGCGTATTTATCATATACCAAATGGTCTCCTTTGGAACCATCACTTTCAATTTGTTTCTCTAATTTGTAGTCAATGATTCGATTAATAACCAGTTTGTCTTCAGTAGTCTCAAGATATTGCTTAATAAAACCTTCTAACTTGGTCAAGATTCTAGGAACAATTGAAAAATAATGAGGTTTAAATATCTTTAGATCATCAATTAATAAATCAAAAGTATTGGGTACTTTTTGGAATCCAACTGTCAATTGAGGGAACCCCAAATAGTACCCATTTGACAACGCAAATGCAGATGTTTGTCTTTCATAAATATGAGTCAATGGAAGAAAGATAAATGCTCTGCCTTGTGGAGAATCAAATTTAGGTTCCAGTGAAGAAAGAAATGTAATAGCTGCTGCTGCATTCCCTTGAGTCAACATAACACCTTTAGGCTTACTTCCAGTGGTACCAGAAGTAAAGGAAATGGTGTACATAGTATTTGGGGTTGGAGGTAATTCCTTAATTTGATTCTGGATTCCAATTTCTTCGAGCTGAGCTAAATCCATTAACTCGATTCTGGCGTCAGTGCAAGCTTGGAAAAGATTTTGATCATCATCTTTATTTAATAAATCCATTGAAACAATTGAAATCAAATTTGCCAACGTTCCAGTGCTTTTCTGTTTCATTTCTGCCAATAATGCAATCTTATCTCTTGAACAAACAACTATAGGAGAACTAGTAAGCTCTAAAATGTACTGACTCACACCAGCTCCTAAAGTATCATAAAGAGCAGTGTTTGTAATTGAATAACTGGAACAAGCCAAATCCGTCAATATCCATTCTGGTCTATTGGCAGAGAAAATAGAGACTATGAACGAACAATTCTCTTCACGTAACATACCACTAAAAGTATTCTTACCATAATCATGATACTTTTCAGTGTGGGTTTCAATCTTTTGATGGGACTTCAAATTTAAATCCTTAAACTTGTTGGCCTTCAAACTAGCAAGTATTCCGGATCCAATTAGATGTCTTCTTCTGTTCACTTCACCATAAGTGTTTGAAACAAACTCTGGATTCAGCGTACAAGTTCTATAATCATATGATCTGAACCCTAAACAAGGTCTGTCCTTGAATAAAGCAGCTGCGTTGCTGAAAAGATGATGGTGAGTATTCAACGTTTCGTGCACACAATTGACAACACTTTGAGAATGTGCTTTATTGCGAAACGTAGGTGTAAACTCATTTGATCCAGAGGTAACAGCCACAGAATCGTAGACTTCTGATTCCTTCAATGGGAGTTGATAAATGTCAGGACTTTCAAGCAACAGTGTCATTTTTTTCTTAGTGACGAACTTGAAAACAAAAAGACCATCTCAAGGTTTGATCCAATTCTTATATCCGTTATCATTTTCTCCACTCAAAGTGGGTTTCGGCATCAGCTTCTATTTCCATGGAGTAATAACGCTTTATATTGACCCCGCATTCTGTGGACATACCCCATACGCTACCTTTGTGTTTAGCACGTCTCCTGGTTAAATGTTTATCCGGGAGCTATGTCTTTCTCGGTCCCCTGGCAGACACATCACATACCCATTTATACCGAGATAACCCCCTCCCCTTGATTTACCCCGGAAATGTGTCTGTACTGCCATACTACTTGAACCCCCATAATAATTTGAGAGGTATCTCCAATATATCGTTATCTTCTCCGCCTTTCCAAACACTTGTTGATATGTTGAGCGTATCTGGCTCCGGCTATCTTACGGGAACAGTTCTCACATTCAAAGTAACGAGACGTGTCTGAAGTCTTTACTTTGGTTTTGTCGTTGCCGAAAACATCCTTGCTTGAACCTGTTTGGGGATTGGTGATACTTGAAGTGTAATTGTTTCCTTCAACTGTTTTCTGTAGGCTTTGAAAGGTTACTAGACTCGCCAATGTTTGTTGTCTGATGATGTTAGCCATCAAGTCCTGGAGGAGACTCTCTCCCTATTGGAAATAATTAGTATAACGTTGCGATATATCTACTTGCGTTACGGGTCCTTACATACAAGCTCATTAAATGCCACTGTCATTGGTCGAGGTGTGGACTAAATAAGGCGTCGCTATTCCAACGTTTAGGTTAGTAGTGTTGACGCTTTTTTCTTTGGAATCATGGTTACACAAAACCGTCTCGGTTACTGGCGGGATATGACAATATTATTTCGCTATGTGGCGCTAATTTAAGCCAATATTACGTAGTTAGAAATACATATTCCCACTTGTACATTCTCCCCAGCAACCAATACTGTTGCAGAGCTTTTGAGTCAAGCTAAGAAAGATAGGTAAATACGAAGCGAAGTACTTCGTTAGTTTTTCCTACGTGCGGTACTTGCACGACCCTTGAGATATGATGTCCATTCTAGTGAACCATTCTCTAATATTAACTACGAAAACATCGGGCACTAGACACTACTTTTCTTCAGACATCACTCGCTATATGTGGTATGTGCACGAGGATATAACATCCATCTGCGTTTTTATTCCTTTTATAAGCAACTAGGTAGTGTATCTTGAAGCCCAGCCCTCAATTGATCTCTGTGATATGGTACGCGCACTACTCATCTCTATTAGATCATCAACGTTAAAGTTAATCCGTAAATGGAGCACACTCATTCTTTAGTGTACCATTAAATGGCAGTAGATTCCGGATATGGCCTGGACGAAGAGATTCCTGATTGGGAGTCCATGGCTGTGGGGGTGGAAGCCCTAAGAAGAGGCGAGAAGGACTTTGAACCAGAACAAACAGAAGATCAATCTTCTAAGTTAGAAAAGGCAAGAAATGCAATGTACAATGCTCTCAAAGCACCCAGAGGTCATAGTATTAAGCAGAGACTCTTTGCGGTGTATTTGGAAGGAGAAAGCGAACAAGATGGGAAAGTATTTGTTCCTTATCCCCGAGGTAACTACTTCAAAGATATGGGCAAGTCTAAGAACTATTTAGGACTACAGGGTGGTATGATCTTGAGTAATTGGGAGACCCTTTACTTGGTTGAAAGAGGGTCTATGGTTTGTTATTACGGTAATGTCGATTATAAGCTGTATCTCGAGGGTCAGAGTGAGCCACTCATTGATAAGAACGAGAAGAAGGAACCATTTGATTATGATTCTTTGATACTTCTTTCTGTTCAACATTTGCAGAAATTGCTTTGTTCTTCTCCAATGATGATAGAGAAGTACCAAACTTATTCCTATTTGAAGCGATTGGGTTATTTGATTCTTGAATATCAACCTTTAGAGAAATATAGGCAACAACAGCAGAAGCAACAGTTCAACTTTGTTCAATGCTTAAAATATTGTCTCTTTGGTAGTGACGCAAAGCTGTTGTATAATCCCAAAGAACACTATTTCACATACACATCAGTGTTCCAATCGCTTATTTTCATAAGACACTATTCGTTATTTGACAGTCAAAGGGAATGTTTCGTCAGCAGCTCCAAGTATAAGATAGACTTTTGTTGTTGGAAACCAACTCCCAAATTCTCCAAGAAAGATCCTCCAGTTCCTGATTTCCAGATTAGTGTGGTTAATATCAATAAAACTCCATTTCCAACATTGAAAGATATCCAATCTCTTCATAATCAAATCAACTACTTGTTTGAATCGGAAGAAGTGCAAGTGCAAGGACCCAAAAAGACATCTAATAAAAACTTTATCAGCAAAAGAGAAGTTCGTCAAATGAAACAGCAGGAAAGACTCTCTAAACTCGACCAGGGGGAACAAAATAAGAAGAAATTCGAACAACTTCGTGATAAAACATTCAAATTTGGTGCTGGACGTCAAATTATTATTGCAGCAATCTATGAAGGGGTTCTAAGTTTCATTAATTTGGTAGAAAGTGATTTTGCCTTATCACAACCAAAAAATTACCCCAATATGTACAAGTTGAAGCCCTCTACAGTGCCATATGGTCTTATGTGGACGAACACAGATTAATACATGAATGCCTTACCATCTTCCCTCCAAGTGTCTATGCTAATGGAATTAATTGCATCGAACTCCATATCCCGGAAATCAGTTAAGGCTGCTTGATATAATGATTCTGTAGTTAAATCCTGATAACTATAATTCAGAATAATGTCCGTTAACCAACGTTCAGCAGCTGTTGGGTTTGTTCGTACAAACACTGCAAAATAACGATTGAAACTTCGAGCCAAATATTGTTCAATGGTTCTGTCGGGCATCAATTCAACATTCATTTCCAAAATTCGGTAACTCAACATTCTGATTTTGATTGCTCTTCGAAGGATCCTACTTTTATAAGCAATAATTGCCTTAATTCGATCATTAGGTTTGGATCCTCTAGCATAATTTTGGATTTCATTCATGATAAGAATGTTAGTATCGTCAGGCTCGAGTTTGTAAAAAATCTTTTTGACAAAGCATGAAAATGCAAGTTCACCTTCAACGTTCATGGCATCACAAAGCTTCTTTATGAGTTTTCCACCACCAAACGAAGAAGTCTTATGATTGGCAGCCTGCCATCTTTCAATGGTTTTCCCAGGTAGTTCGTTATCTAGTATAAACGGGAGTAAATTAAGTTCATCTTCCTGCATCAAAAACGTCTCATTCAAGGTTAAAATGTCAAACTCTCCACCTCCTCTCATGTGGGCTGGAGGAATATAAAGCATTGGGAAATTATATTGGAAGCTTTCTCTTTCCTTAGAATTCATAATAGGTAGACCATGTAGGTTAGCCATCAATAGTAAACTCTTGTCAACCATACTCCGATATTTCATTCTGTCTTCAGTGACAAAACTTTGGGTTAAAGTCTGATACGCATTATCAAACCCAAACTGCCTTGCAAGTGCATGGAATGGAGTCCTGGAATACGAACCAAATGACTTAGAAAACTGTGCATACATGGAATCATAAGAATATGGATAATTGCTTTCAGTTACCTTGTGCACGGCCAATATGTTGTTTCTGTTCAAGAAGTTGTAGAGCTCGTATTTGAAGACGTTCCTTCCAAACTCCGTACTGAAAGAATTGTTATAAATGTCGTGTTCATCATTGGCATTGGCACTTGCATTGACATTGACATTGACATTGACATTGGCATTGCTTTCACTATGAGTTGATGTCGTCTTTGTATCTGTTCGACATGACCCCCCTCCTCGAGCCAAATGTCGCATTCCTCTGCCAAATCTGCTTTCTGGAGTCACTTCACTGGCTTCGGAATCAAGGATACCTAATATCCGATACATTGTATCAACGTTTGAAGAGTTCAATGCATCGAACGTCTTGTCTGCGTTTCCATCCATTTCTTGGGTTTCAACATGCCACTTCCCTTTACCCGAACCATAGTGTCTCCTTCCACGGAGTATTCCGTAGAATATACGGCTATATCGATACATAAAGGCTCATGAACATACAGCTTCCAATGCGTGGGTGAGATCACTTGATGGAATTTTTTCCCATCACCAAATCGAGACACCCTAACACCAACCTATTCTAATTATTGACATTGTCTTCCGCCTTGTCCTTGATAGACTTCTTTTCATTGGATGAGCTAGACTTCTTAGACGATCCTCCACTGTCTTCCTTCTTAGATCTGTTTCTTCGTCTATTCTTCCGTTTAGCCGGTCCCTTATCGTCATTGTCTTTCTTGTCTTTCATGTCTTTCGGGTCTTTTTCGTCTTTCTTGTCTTTCTTGTCTTTCTTGTCTTTCTTGTCTTTCTTGTCTTTCATATCTTTCATATCTTTCATGTCTTTCTTGTCTTTCGCTTGGTCTTTGACAAAAATAGGAACCTTCTTCTTTTGTTGTTGTTGTTGTTGTGTCTGATGCTCTGAATTATTGGTGGACTGTTCCTTCAAATCCTTGGATGGCTTGTTTCTTCTTCTGCGCCTTCTCTTTTTCGTTTCACCATCAGTTGATGTAGCAGAAGCTTTTTCAGATGTAGCAGAAACTTCTGCAGAAAGTGTACCAGTTGCTTCAGTATCTGCCTTGGTCTTCTTCTTTCTCTTTCTTTGTCTCTTCTTCTTCCCATCCTTAATCTCAGTCAACTCCGTAGTAGTGTCCTTAGACTTTTCTTTCATTGCCTTCTTCTTTCTCTTTCTCCGTTTCTTGCCATTGCTACTCTTTTGTTGCCTTCCATCGCCTTTCTTTGGCTCCTTCATCTTCATCTTCACAACCTTTGGCTTAACCAAAGAATACGAAGACACTTCCTCATTGAGATAATCAACAAACCGCTTGTACGCCGTGAGCTTGTGTATCCTATCAAATACATCTTCTTCTTGAGACTCTGTTGACAAGTATTGCTCTATCTTGGTCATGCTCTCTGGCTTATGAGGAAACTTGGAATTGATACATCTCATAAGCGATGGCACATATGCTTCGGGTTCCTCTTCATCTTGTGACTCGTAGAATTGTTTCCCTTGAACTTGCTCTAGAAACCTCTGAAGTAATGACTCCTTGGTAAAGAGAATATAAGCTGTGGAATAGATAGGTGCTTCGTATGAGTTCACAGGTAACGACCCACCAACAAAATAAAGTTCCTTTAACCCGACTTGAAGATCTCTGTCTAAATAAGCATTTAACTGGCGGAGGAAGCTTGTTTCCGTAAGTAATGGGGGTAAGAGTCTGATGGAAAGCTTGCACGCAAGAGCAGGCAGCACCCAAGAAGAAGAGGAAGAAGACGCACTGGAATGGATACTTCTACGAGTCCCTGTTAATATGGCATCGTCACCGTGTCCTCTTCTACCAGCTATAGTTGTCATAATAAGAACAGTTTGCTGTCTATGGAGGTGTACCTCTTTGGTATCCAGACTTTCTTTCACTTTGAAGTCTCTTTTTGGTATGCGAACCAGCATCCAAATTTTATATGCTGCGACTATCACGACAACTTCTTTTGATCTTGGTGACACTAAGAATGACTTCTATAGATATCCTTATAGCCGATATCAATCGATGTATCCAATTGCCCCCCAATCAAATCCCCTTGGCATTAAGTAAAATCCTCAGCTTGGACCCTAACACCAACCACCATCGAGCAGTCTCATTGAGTCAAGATAATCCGAGACCATGTACTGGATTCTTTAATGATGAGTTTACTGCCTTCAATAATGTCGTCACTCTGTTTGTGCGTCTTTGGTGTCTTATGAACCCGTGGTCTGTGCTTGAATCCTTTGATTTGTATGGCCAGTTGTTGAATGACCAAGCTCAAGCATTCAGCAATGGTCAACGAGGTCATCTAATGACTATCACCATCAAAGAGACCATTGATACCGTCTTACCCATGGCAACCAGGTTAGACATTAGTTTAAAGCAAAGAGAATCCACTCCTTGGCCTCGCTTGACATACATGGCCAGTGTACTACTCCGAGTATTCAATAATATTCGTACGAATGATCCTACGGACCAAAAGAAACAAATCATCCTTTTCATAGGTAATAGACTTTGTTTGATCTACAACAGAATAGGAAGCCCGTTGCTTTGTCGGAACATTTATTCCAATATGAATAACTTGGGACTAAACTGGAAAAGATATCTGAAGAACGAACAACTACAATATCGGTATTATTTAGCAAGGTTTTATCTTATTAAACACCAATTGGTTGATAGTTATCAACATTTTCTTTGGTGTCTTGTTAACTGTCCTCTAGGGTTCAAAGACCTGACTAATGTGACGTCGATCCTTAAATATTTGATCCCTATTGCGATAATCATTGGGAAATGTCCCAACATCAATTACTTTAGTCAAACGTTCTACTCCAGTCCTCAATCAATACCTCCATTCATCCGAACTTATCAAGCAATTGTCCAAGCTATTAAAAGAGCAAACTTTACAGAGTTTCATCAATGTCTAGAATTGAACTACCTACAACTTAAACAGTCCAATATCCTCCTTTTATTGGCCAACAAATGCCATATCCTTATTTCCAGGAATCTACTTAGGAAAACATGGTTATACTTAGGCCAACCCAATAAACTTGAGTTTTCTCAAATAAAACGGGCATTTGCTTTATCCATCAATAATAGCAATGCTGGCCACATTGGGTATAATACTTATTTGACCCAATTGGATAACTCAGGTATCCATAATTTAATGACTTCTCTCATTGATGAAGACTTAGTAAGAGGAAAGATCTTCCCCATGTTAGAAACAGTGGCTCTTTCTAGAAGTGTGGTGTTTCCTAAAGTTGATTTTGTCAACTTTACAAAGTTTGGTAACGGGATAGAAGGAACGCTAAACAGTACTGATAAATGGATGAACTAAAACAGACACGTTAATAGAGGTTAATAGTAATCAAAGAGTACTATAGTACACGTAAAGATTTACCTAGTGGTATATTTTCATCTGAACCTCTTTTAAATGAATAATACCCCTCGTTTCACCTCTCCTAACGAAACTGGAGAAGAGATCCACTTGGCCGAAACGTCAAACATTTTCGCCGTGAGCCTCCCTTAAAAGGACATCACTGCGTGAAAAATCCATATGGCATTTATCCGCCGAGAAATGCCCAGACCAACCTGCCATGGTCACGTTTCCCCAGGGTCCGTAACAAAATGACACTATAAAGTCTATTTATATAATTCACTATATATAGTGGCGTATAACCTATTAATGTTACACTCCTATTTTCTTACATTGACCATATTATACTGTTCACTGCTGATCATCGTATACTCTATGGAAGGTAGTGCGTTGGCCAAGTTGTACCCCACAATTTCTCATATAAACTACAAAGTGAAATAGTCTTTGGTCATACATAACACGTTAGTACTTTTTTTGAACTGGATTCATATTTAAAGTCGAGTTGAACTTATTCTTGATCTTGTTCCGTATTGTGGCCTTGATCTTATTCTTAATAATTTTCCCTTTAACTCAAACTTCGGTGCTTAAGGGGTAGTCTCACTACTCTCTATTACAATGATGGATTTCCCTGACCATATAATAGACGATATTATATTCTTTTGTAAGCCAGATGCACTTGTCTCGCTTGCTAAAACCTGTCGATATTTCAGATACAAGGTGAACAAAAACATCTATCGAAATATCATCATTGAAAATAACTCTGGTATGACTTCAACTTCAAAGAAAACCATAATAGGACCGCAGCAGTTCTCAAAGCTTCCAAAGTGCTTAAACAGCTACAATTTCCAGTTTGTGCAAAGTCTTTGTATCAATGCTCCAGTTGATGATTTCTTTGCACTTTACGAGAAGATATTGAAGTTATGGGACTCTTGTCCTGATCATTGCATTCGATTTAATGCTGCTAATGCAAACGTATATCTGTTTCCCAGATTCATCAGTCAAGACTCCGTCCATTATACTGAATTGGAAGATTCGGAGTTGGTTGTTACCGAAAGACATAAGAAGATGAATAACCTAATCAATTGGAACATTGGTGATGTCACTGAATTGAAGTATATGCCATTCAATCCTAATCTTAAGGAGTTAGAATTGAACTCTAAAGCGTCTTCATTAAGTCCATCCACTTTAAATGAGCGTTGTTTAAAGAATATCAACCAAATTGATACTTTAATCCTTTCACTGAACGATGATATCAATTCGTTATTCAATTTGAAGCTCGAGAGGCCTTTAACTAACTTGAAGAGTCTTTCCTTGACTAATGTTCATTCCTTAAAGAAACATCTGATTCTCACTACATATAAATTGGCATCGTTCGTTGATATTAGTCAATTAGAACATTTGAAGCTCAATGTTTCATGTTCCAATCATTGTCATTGTATCGCTCATTTACTATCTGATATCGCTTCACATGCCATTAACTTGAAAACGTTAAGCATATCAAGTAATGTGAAGGACCTGGAATCTTTTCGGCTCATAGCATCATCGTTAAGACATTTGAAAGCTTTGGAAAGTCTAGAACTTTGTCTTGATGAGTTGGGCTTACAGAAGGATCACAGGTTCAACTTTAAGATGTTGGCAACTAGCTTATCTTCGTTAGATGACTTGAAACGGGTGGAGATTGGTGACATCCATCATTATACAGTACCTGGGTCGCTATGCATTGGTGCTGTTCCCGTAATAGTAAAGTAACTAAAATATTTATTCACATATACACAATAATATACATCATAATACATATGCATTGCAATATTTATACATCATACTACATGTACCAGGTTCAACAAATACTGTAGTCAATAAGCATTAATATGCTCTTATTTTGACACTGTCCGGTGTTCGGGTGTACTTTGTCCGGGTAACCTCTTGGTTATGGTTCGCAGATTTTTCAATCAAATTTTCAGATCCACAACCACCAACTCACTATCATCGAACACCTTATATATCAAGTAATATTATGTGGAAAGCTGTGGCCAGACGTTCGAGACCCGGACACCGCCTTGTGTCTGTTATTCCACGTCGTTCGTTGTTTGAGAACTTTTTCCGGAAAACAGTCAACAAAGAACAGTTGATAGAGAAGCAAGATGAGGCAGTTGAAGAAGGAAAGATTGTGTTTCTTACTGAACAGAATAGCCCCAGCAATAAGAAGGCAGAAGAGGAGATAGACGCTGTCAATTTCAAAATCAACCAATGGAGAGATCAAACCGTACATCCAAAGGACTTTGAACAAACCTTTTCTGGTGATAAGTTATCAACAATCATCAATGAAACTTATAATGACTTGAAACAAACTTCCATATCATCACCAACGGAATATTCAGCCTTGGAGTTAACAGACTTAAACTTTAGATTCACGTTTACAAAGGAATTACAAAGGAAATTAGGCTTTCTTATCAACGACTATACCATTTCCTCGAGCCATAATGTGGATACCTTATATAAGCATTTGTCCAAATTGACAAATAAGAGATGGGTGAGTGAAACAAACCCTAATGGTATTTCTCTTAGAGCAGAAGACTTCACTGCTCCAAACATTTATTTGAACCAAGAAGTTCCTGAAGTTCAACAAGAGAAATTGTACCAAGATTTATTGGCAAAGGCCAACCAATCAACCATATAATCACACTCACTACCACCATATCATCATCCACTTACCTCTTGTATATAAATAATAATATAACATACTATAACAGTATTACTTTCTTCCAAGGATAAAACCTATAATAGCTGCTCCTCCTAGAACACCAATGGCTCCAGCTATTAATACTTCATTGGAAATACCAGTTGCAGTTGGGGGAGCAGGCGATGATCCACGATTGAACTTTCTGGCTTGTGAATTCTCTTCCACAGGTGCATGTTCATGAGGATTGTGAATGTATAACTCTGCTCTTTCCTCTGATAATGATTGGTACATAGCAATACAATCAGAAAGATCATTGTCAGATGTAATAGAAACAATATCTCCCTCATCATCAACATAACTTATAGCATACGTTTCGTCGTTCCTCTCTGGAGATACTTTCAAATATTCAAAGTCTTTACTCAGTAACTTATGATCAATAAGTTCATGTAATCTGCTTAAACCTTCGGAAGGTCTGATGCTTATACGATGAACTCGACTTCCCAATGCTGGAGATCTGAACTTAAAAATAAATGAAGGCTCGTTCTTGAATGAATTATTAGTATTATTCAAGCTGGTGTTGCCTTGATTGGTTTCAACGTGAGATACAGAATCCGATGGTCCAATTTCAACATTAAATGCATGAAATTCAGAGGCAGATACTTCAGGAGCACTTCCAATGGCTGAATCTGAGTGAGCGGATTCAGAATCTCCATCATTATCTAAAGATGTCCAGAACTTATTCCATGCGGGACCATGTTCATTCGTAGTTGATTGTTGTTGAGATGGTGAATTTGAAGTATTTTCAGCACTTTGATCTGATTCTTCAATTTGTTTGATTTGATTCAAAGTAGCATATGTCAACTTTAACACATCAACAACACCTACGATTTCACTATCTTCATTTACAACAGGCAAATTAAGATAATGACCATCAAACATTTGTCTTAAAGCTTGTTGAAGACTTAAAGTAATATTGGCCACATCTGGCTTGGGAGTCATCACTCTTACAACAGAGCATTTCTTGGGATCTAAGCCAGCAGCAATAACTCTTAATACTACGTCCTTAGAAGTGAAAATCCCACTAACTGAAGACGTCACTTGATCTTGAACCAAAACTGCAGTTGAATTGTTTTCTCTCATAAGAATAGTTGCATCATAAACATTAGCCTTAACACTAACGTAAACAGGCGCAGTTGCCGTGTCCAAAACTGATTCTAACGTTGGTCCATTCATTTTAGACTTTAAGCTTTCAAAATATTGGAAAACATGATATGGTTGCTGAGCCATCCCGATTTCATTATGAACGGTATCTAAAGCTTCATATAATTTCTTAGAAGAAGCATGAACTCGTTCAAGTTTTTCCATTTGTTGGGAATAGCATTTCGTGATATCAAGAATTCCAACAATTTGATTATCATCATCAAGAACTGGTAAATGTCTAAAACCTCTTTGAACCATTAATGTTAAAGCTTCAGAAGCTGGAGCATTGGAATTGGCACAGAGTGGATTAGGAGTCATTATTTGGTCAATAGTTAAAGTGTTAGCATTTAAACCTGCTCCAACAACTCTAAAGGCTAAATCTTTAGCAGTAAAGATTCCTAATAGTTCACCATTCTCATCAACAACAAGTACACAATTCTCTCTCCTAGCAATCATCATTTGTGACACTTCATACACTGTAGATGAATTCTTACATATCACCGGTTCTGAAGGTCTCAACAGAAGAACTGAACCTGGAGCTCCCTTACGTCTTCTGGTGGATTTTACTCCAGATCTCTTTTTCTTACTTAAATCATTTTCTATCCGTCTACGGATAGCATCATCTCGTTTGCTTTGTCTCTTTCTGGACTCAACAGGATCTCCCCCACTTTCAAAATGGGAATTGCTTGATGGCAACGACATTCTGTTTTTGTTTCCCCCGCTCATTCTTAACTCCTAGTTTATAAGAAGCTTTGCGCCATCTTGTAGATTCTTTTGTATACTAATTTGGTGATCCCTAAGGTAAACAAAAATAGTGGTTATATGCACACTAGCACAAGATCACAATCTTACCTGTTGAGTTGGAATAATCCCGCTTAAATATCAGTAAAGAGTCATAATGAAGTGCCATAATGATCTGTAAGGAGTTGTAAGGGCACAAGTTGATTCATTTTCCTAATAAGTCGTAATGAGTCCTTGTAACACATCTTGAGTTGTCTTGGTTCACTAACTTATAGAATCGAATATCCCACTTTAGTTTGCTATTCTTCATATTTGTATCAAATGTATGATTCATAAGCTTTAAAAACTATTAAGATACCCGAAACCTATTGATATATATACCAAGACACCTTAACCCAATTAAATATGTAATTTTGGGGAATACTAGTAAATCATATGTAATTTTGTAAAACACCCGAACACCAACCCTATAACTACTCCAATACTAACCACCACCACCTCAACATATTAAGAGCCTAAATCAGGTAGAGAAAGCAAATGCAAGCAGTAATGGAACAAAAAATATAATCAATAATGAAACGTAAGGGAATTGGGCTCCCTATTTATACACATCATATTTATACTATTTATACTAATCATATTTTTTACTATGGCTGCAAAATTTCGCCCCTTAAAAATCTAAAACTATAAAAGGGACCACTTCCCCCCACCTAAAAATTGTAATGTACTATATATTCTTTTCTTATTATTCCTTTTTATATAAACATGCTGCTTCTTAAAACTCTCTGGCAATTCTTGACAATTTCCATTCCGGTTTGGTCATGGCGTACGTTCCGTTCAACCACTATAGGTACATATATTGCTGGACTACTTCAAGATTTGATACTTGAAGTATTGAAAACAGGTCACGTTCCTAAACATGTTGCTTTTATAATGGATGGAAATCGTAGATATGCTAAAAACAAAGGTCTAGCTTTGGCAAAGGGACATTCTGCTGGTGCAGAATCCTTAGTTTCGGTATGAGATTACATTTTTTATCTGTAACTGAACCTATATACTAACTAACCATATTTATAGGTTCTTGAAACTGCATTTAGAGTAGGTATTACTCATTGTACAATCTATGCCTTCTCAATTGAAAACTTCAACAGAACTCAAGCAGAAGTAGATACTTTACTTGGGTTATTAAGAGATCGTTTGAAATTATTAGCCCAATACAATGCAAATAAGCTCGATAAACAGTTTATGAGTTGTTCAGTACGAATTATAGGTAACAAATCAATGATTCCAGAAGATATATTAAAGGATTTGGAAGAAATCGAAGAAAGTACTGCAAAATCTCAAACTGGTAATATATTGAATGTATGTTTCCCATATACATCCAGAGATGATATAACCCATTCAATTAAATGTAATATTGAATCAATTCTAAGTGGAGATTTGGATTCTCAATCGATTTCATTACAATCTTTAACAGATTTTATGTATATGGGACGTGATTCACCTCCCTTGGATATTCTTATTAGAACCAGTGGCCACAATAGATTAAGTGATTTTATGCTTTGGCAAGCTAATAAGTCATGTACTATTGAATTTATTGATATATTATGGCCACAATTTAAGTTTTTACAATTCATCTTTGTATTATTCAAATGGAGTTATTATAAAACAATCCAATTAGAAGCTGAATCGGTACCAAAGATAAAGAAATCCACTAGTAAATCAATTATGTTGAATGAACTACCACCACATCCACCATATGTTGTAGTTGGTCAGGGAGAAAACATCAAATAATTAAATAATATTTAGTTATAATGTTTTAATTACCTTCTTGATTTCCTTTTTACTTCTTTCCTTGATACGAGCTTCCTCAATTTTATTCAAGTAGCCCAAATATACAACCACCTCAGCTACTAATACCAACATCCCAAAAAACAAACAAAGCAAAACTCTATAAGCATTGCTTAACTTCCAAGAACTGTCCGTCCAATACCAAATAGCATATACCACACTGGCCACACTGACTAATACGTTAAATATTGTAGTGACATGACTCTTTGTTTCCTTTACAGCTTGTGCCGCAGTTGATTTATCTTTGGAGTTTGTCTCATATAACGTTTTAAATTGTGGAGCAGGATTTACCAATGCTTGATATTCAGCTTCCTTCGCTTTTAAACGAAGGAGTTCTATTGATTTCAAAAACTCTTTCGACTTGGGTTGTTTTTCAGGCTCATTCTTATCTACCACCAACTTTGTTAGGGAAATCAATTGCAATAGAGATTTGGTAGGTCGCCTTGCCCTATAAAATCGCACCAAGTTCTCTTGAGTTATGTATTCTTTGGACAACACATTATCTATTTGGTCAGGGTTGAGACCCAGTTCTTTTATTAAATCTCGAAGTTTTGAAGTCAATTCATATTTAAGCATAGCTACTGAAGTCTACCAAGTATAAGTTGGTTCAGCTTCTTTTAATTGTGGATTTATATCAAAGATATTGAAAGCAGTACACAGTGAAAGAAAACAACATCCAATTGAACGTACTCCACTAGCCGCAAAACTATTAAAAGAAAGAATACAATTAGCTTCAACGTGTCTTATTACTTAGTTACTTCAAGCTAGCAAGTTTCAAAGTTTATTTGGTGTTTTATTTTGGATTTGGAAATATAAAGCACGTGACCAAATTCTTGAATCGTCTTGATTCCTTATCAATTTGTCAGAGACAACTATCTCTTATTCTTTAAACAACTAAACAATCTCAAATCATGACTGTTGCTACTTCTACTATTGTTGGTGCACTTGCGTGTCAGAAGAACTCATTTTTAAGAACCTTGAACACTAATGTTGTGTCTTCACAAGAATACATCGATCCTTCTGCTAAAAAGAAGGCCCCCAGGTTTTATGCTATTGAGCTTGAAGACACAGTTCTTTTCCCTGAAGGTGGTGGTCAACCATACGATACAGGGATAATCAGTGTGAACGGAGATAAGACCATTCAGGTCCATAAAGTTGTTCGTGATAAACTAAAAGCCTTACATTTAACACTGGAATCAATTGAACCAGGAACCTCTGTTACTTTGAATGTTGATTGGGATAGACGTATTGATCTTATGCAGCAGCACACCGGCCAGCATTTATTATCAGCGATTTTAGATGGCTATGAAATTCCTACTTTGAGTTGGGCCATGGGAGATATGATCAGTTATGTTGAACTTCCGAAAAGACTTGAAGACTCAATTGTAGAAGAAGTGAGTGAAAAGGTCAACAATGCTATACTCCAGCAACATCCCATTAAAGTTGTGTCTAATGATGAAGCAAATGATTCAGATTTTGATACTTCAAGTATTCCTACTGATTATGATAAGGAAAAGGGAGTCATTAGAGTTATTAAGATTGGTGATTTAGATTCCAACACTTGTTGCGGTACACATTTACAAAATACTGGACAAATCCAAGCCATTTCGTTATTACATCAAGTCAATGTTAGGGCAGGTAATTCTAGACTTCATTTCATTTGTGGTTCAAGGGTTTACAAGTATTTGCAACAACTGCATTCAATTTTAAAAGCAGCTGGAAGTTCTTTACTGTGTCAATTAGGAGAAATCAATGAAAAGATTGATTTATTGAACGTTAATTATAAGAAAGCAATGTCTAGAGAATCTGCACTTTTAAAGCAGATTGCTGGAGGTGAAGCTGGAAGAATATTGAAACTGTTCAAAGATGGAAAGTCCTTTGCATTTGTGTATTCAAAAGATGCTTCACCTGAATATCTTACAGTTTGCCAAAAGGAATTAGCTACTTTAATTAAGAAGTGTGAGCCTTCTTCGAGTGAAATTTCTATTGGACAGAAACAAACTGTTGTCTACATCAATGGAGACACTGGAACAGGAGGAATGATAAAAATGGAAGGTCCATTGGTTGAAGAAATCAAAAAGCAATTGGATTCAACATTAAAGAACTTGAAAGGTGGAGGAAAGGGTAACTCATTCCAAGGTAAAGTGGTTCATTATGAAAAAGGTGAAATCCAATCTGTTTTAAGGTATTTTCAAGAATTTAACCAATGAGAAGTCTAATTATTATGTGCAATTGATTGTATATATACAAGAAGTTGAGAGTATTCCAACTAACGTTTAACCCAAGTTGGTGATTTTCTAGCCTTAACCTTACCAGGCTTCTTTCTTTCAACCTTTCTAGTGTCACTGGTTAACAATCCTGCTTTATGTAATCTTGGTTTTAATAATGGATTGAAAACAACCAAAGCCTTGGAAATCGCATACATAATGGCTTCAACTTGGCCACTGACACCACCACCATTAGTTCTAGCAAACACATTATATTGAGCTTCTTGTCCAATCACTTGGAATGGGTAAGCTATCTTTCGACGATCACTTTCTCTAGTGAAATATTGGGTAAATTGTAAACCATTGACGATCACGTGACCGTCACCTTTCACTATATGCACACCAGCACGTGATCTCTTTCTTTTAGCTTCAGCCTTAGCTCTACCCCATTTATCCAAAGTTTTCATACTATTAGCTGTGGTTGATGCTTCACCAGTACGAACGGTATACTTTTGCAATGTTTCACTGACATCACGAGGTAAAAGTTGAGTGTCTATGCTTCTTAATCTGTTCAATAACAGGACAAATTCTTTATAATGAGCAATCTTCAACCTTGTTCCTGATTCCATCAATTTGGAGTAATCTTCAAAGGATATGAATCTGCTGGTCTTGTACTCACTTTCATCAATGATTCTAGTGGGCAAATTGATGTATTTTCTGATCAATGCTTGCAAAGTGTCGATCGTATCATCATGTCTGGGATTCCCTCCATAAAACGTCGATAATGTGGGTACGACTCTTGTTCTTTCCATCTGGGCATTACTAAGTTGCAAATAAGGCAACTGCGGTTGTATTGGAAGCAGAATACGTCTGGTATTATTATTGTTCTTCAAATGACTGGGGATTTGAGGTCTACCAACCATTGCTTCACCATTTTGAGTTAAAGTTTGCAAACAACAAAAAGTAGATGAGAAACTCCGGACAGAGCCTCTGACACCAAATGTCCTTTGAAACACCCGAATAGACATTATTATGGGGTTAAGAAAGATGAAGACTTTAACGGGTGATTAAGTTAAAGTCAAGATTCAATCTGAAAATTTTTTTCACTTATCAAATATTGTGCCAAACACGACTATTTTGAATCTACTACTACTACTACTACTAACAATAATATGATGGTTCTATAGTACAAATAAATACAACTATACACAGCACTTAGTTGAGGAGGTTTCGAACATTGCTTTTGTGGCTTGTGTTCTGAGGGGGAACGGAATCAGGTTTAACTGGGCTGGGCCCATTCAAGAGACTCATGATAGTTGAACGAGTTGGCACTTGTGGAGTGACTGGAACAATAGGATAAGAGCCATTGTTGATGTCGGTTGTCGGTGCAATAATAGCAGCAGCAGAAGACATTGGAGGGTATGAAGTGGGGGCAGCAATTGGAAAGGATGAAGAAGAATGCGGCAAAGGTGAAGGTGAAACAAATGACGTTGTTGTTAATGGTGGAGGTTTGGGTAGCCCTGCCACATCGATTGGAGTTGGTAATTGAGGAACTAATTCAGTAGTAGTGACTGGAGGAGGTGGTGGGTATTTATCATATAATTCTGTGGTGGTGGTGTTAGGGGATTGTATTGACGATTCTGACCATCCGTTTTTATCGGCATTTCTTTGGTAATAATTCTTAACCATAGTAGGGGTTTTGGTTCCCAAAATATCCGCTATAATGACCCATTTAGTACCGTGTGCTTCGAGTAATGAAGGGAACTGTGTAACTTCATTGATACTCCAATAACTGGAGATACTTCTCTTTGATGAAGAGTCGTCATTATTGGATATTGTTGTGTTTTTATCTTCAGCAATAGGATCTTTCTTGAACACCTTCGTTCCTGTTGTTGTTTCTGTATTGTCTTCTTTGCGGATTCTCTTCCTATTAACTAGTTTATCAGGGAATTCATCACGGTCCAACTTATTTTTGTCTTGACCTTCTTCGGTATGGCTTTTTAGGGTTTCTGAGGTGACAACCTCGTCACCTTTAGGACTAGTCTCACTTTGAGGTTCACTTATGGTTGAATTGGAGGTGATAGTATCAGGTACATTTGTACTGCTGTGCTCTCGAGTAACAACAGGCGTAACAACACTGTTATTACGCACTTCTTCATCCTCTGCCTCCTTCTCCTTCTCCACGGATGGTTGTGGTGGTGGTGCGCTTGCATGAACTTGAGATGAGTTTCTGGATCTTCCCTTACCTCCACGTTTAACAGATCGTTTGCTAGCCTTCTTCTTGTGTTGAATAAGGATTTGCTTATAGTTGACGTTCTTCTTGGTCTTATAGTAATAATGAACACAATCTTCAGGTGTTCTTAGGCCACCCATAAACCGGGAGATGGCTCCATATCTTTTTGGATGATGACAGAAACCTTCAGTGAATAATGTATGTTCTTTCTCCAGGAAATTGGTATCAAAATCATAGGTGATTCTATTTGCCCAAGCTTCAACATCTTGAACAGCATTATTGGAATCCATATATATAAAGCAGTTTCTTTCAATTGGATCTAAAATCATATCGGGAATTTCTGCTGCAACCTTTTGAGCTCTTAGCAATGGATCTTCATCGCTTTGTCTTTCCAAAGACTTCAACACCTCTTCAAACTCAGCTTCAGTAGTAACCAAATCTCCATGTCTTCTACTACGACGTGAAGTAGTAGGTGGTGGTTTGGCATAATAAGAATCATCGAATTCAGGTGCAACCTTCTTGTTATCACTTGAATCTATTTCTCTTCTCATTTCATCATCGGAAGGATGAATCACTCGTAACTGTTGATCCATTTTCTCAGATGAAATAGTATAATCTTCAAAAGTCTTCTCATAATCTTTCCAAAGAGAAAGTCTCTTCTTACGAATCAAAAGCAGTTTGGCTTTCATAGCACCGGCCAAAGAAATATTATGAACATCATATGCTTTAAGATTCTTTTTGTAAAACGGATAATCTGAAAGACTTTCAACAGGCTTGACAAGTGAATACTTTAAAGATTCATTAGCAGCTTTATATTCCTTTTCAAGCTCAACATAACTGGATTCAAGCTTGTTCAAGGGATAATTACAACCTTCAGGGTAATACAATACTTCATCATCATTCTCTGTAGAAGTAGAGTCCATTGAATTTATCACCAATTCCTTCTTCTTCTGTAAAACTTCATCATATTGTTTCAGCTCTTCAACAACAATTGAGGTATGTCCTTCATTATCATTATCATCATCGTCTTCTTCCAAGTCTTCTTCATCTTCATCCATGATATCTCCTTCTATTCCTTCTAAGTCATCCATATCAACATCTTTGTCATCGTAATGTCGCATCATATCCCCATCTTGGGATAATTTAATCAGATTAGCCTCAGTCTCAGCATCCAACTCGTTATCGTTGTCGTTGTCATCACGCAAGTTATCATTCACGCCACCAGCATTATTATTATTATTATTGTTGTTATTACTGCGATTATCTTCCTTCCTTTCATCGATGTGGTAATCTTTCGAGCTTTCTCTAGGACTCTTCTTCTTGACATAATCTTTGCTTCTAGCAGTAGAATATCTATCAACTGAAAACTTTGAGTTTAGATTGGTATAAGAACCTCTACCTCCTCCACCACCACCAGGAGTCAGATTAATATTCCTTTTACTTCCTCCAGTACTGTTCACTAATGCAGAAGAACCAGTACCTTTAGAGCCACCAAAGGATGAATAAGCACCCCATTTACTATAGGATCTTCCACCTAGTGATCCAGATAGTGAACTTCGACTGCCATATGAAGATTTCCATTTGGATGTACCATTCGGTAGTGGGTCTGAATATTCATATCTTTCTTTTCTATAATCAGTTGACGTTAATGAGCTTCCTCTTGAAGCCGATGCTTTCCCACGATTTCCCCATGTTTCATTTGAGTGGGTACTGGAGCCTGACCCTCTTCCACCGTAAAAGTTATTGTTAGGACCATAATCACCTGGTTCATTTTGTTTCAGCTTATTAATGCTATTATAACCACCATAACCACCGTAATACGAGTTGGAATTGTTATTATTGGTGCTATTATTGATATTGTTATTACCTGAACTTCCATAGGAAGCAGTTGAATAAGATGAAGTTGATGCTGAGGAAGATGGAGCTTGTTGTAGTTGCAGTTGTTGGTGTTGTCCAGCAGATAACGTTGGTATATTCCCTGAGGAGTTACTTCGACTAATACCGTTGGAAGCATATGAACCATTATTATTATTATTATTATTATTATTATTATTATTATTATTATTATTACCAGTGCTGTCGTTATCTCGTATCGGACCAGATAAAGCTATTTTATTTGCACCACTTAACTGGGCTCTGAAATCTCGTCTTGAAGAACTGGAATAATAGTTCTTCTTGCGCACTTTGCCATAATCAGTATATTCATATCTATCGCCACCATATCGTCCATTAGGGTTATAATTACCCCTTGAACCATTGGATGACATTATATGGAAGAAACAGTGGTCTGTGTTCTGTTCGGATTGGATTAAGTTCTGCTCTGTTGTGTCGTTTGGTCAGGTTAGCGTTTTACGGGTATGCAGTCGTTTCTTTTCTTTATGTCATATCAAAGACACTTTGTCTTCAATATATATGCTAACGAGTTAGTTAGTTAAGCTCTATCGACGAGTCTAGGCCTGTTATTGTTTAAGAATGACAGTGTAGAGTTTGTATCCTTTTTAGTTTATAGTTTGAAAATTTCCCTTTGAATTTTTCTATCGGTAGAGACACGACTCTAGAAGGTCGTTCATGTCCAAATAATGTGGGCTCCTGGCTAACGGGTACAGTCCTGGCTAACCCGTTCAGTATGCTAGCAGCAGAGGGTCTATAGTGCCTTACTGCCGTATTGTGCTGCCATCATAGTAAAGTAGAGTAACAGTATAACTGAAAATAGTTGATAGAAGTCAAGTGACGAAGGTAATATAAAGTATGTATAATGCTACAATGGTATTAGGTCTAATGCTATAGGTCTAATATTACATGTTAATGTGAAGTGTAAAACGTATCTATATCTATTAATTGTATAATAATTTCTTTAATACTCCAATTTCCTTTACTACCATAGCCAACATGTCTGATGGTACTCGAGATTTGATAACCGCATTAGCAGTATCCACGACTGGGACAATGGAATTCCCTCCTCTGCCACCAAGTTTACCAGCAGTTAAACTCACAAGACCAGAAGCCTCAAGAGCAGACACTAACTCAAGAAACTCTCCTTTTTTCACTGTAGAAAGTAACTGTTCAACTTTAGGAACACAATGTTTAAGATAATGTTCATAAAGTTGGTTAACTTTGTTTTCTGCTGACGACAACGATCTTTTTTTTTCAAGATTGACAAGACAACATAATATGGCCTTTTGAAGTAGATTCAATTTGTTCAATCGTTGACCTAAATTATCACCAAATGTCGCATTACAAACTCGAGCAACATGAGATATCAAGACAGTCGCCTGCGACTTTCCCATGGCACATTCTTCTTCAACGAGTTCAATGCTTTTGTAACAAATATCAAATGCCTTTCTTAAATCTCCAGCTACGGCTGCAGCCTTGACACAACACATTTGAACTGCTGTGGGGTGAATGATATGCCTGGGTCCTTGTTCATTCTCTTTATCCTCTGTCAAAGTAGATAATCTTTCCATGATTATCTGACGGATTTGGGATGCATTATAAGGAAGAAATTGCATTGATTGAGGACATAATCGGTTACGTTTCAACCGAGGAAGAAACTTATCTGTGAAATCTAATGAGTTCGATATCCCAACAAGTATTAATTTGGATGTTAAAAGTTGTGTAGACGCAAATTGGAAAAGTTTGAAAAGAACTTGTTGATCTCGGGTGATAAGATAGTCCATTTCATCAAGAAAGAGGACAATGGTATTGAATTTGATACTTTTGTTTTGGAGCAACATGAAGAGATCATCAGCTGATTTCTTTCGATTACCAGTGATGGAATGAGTATCCAATTGGTTATAGATCTCATGGAAAATGTTTTCTGGATTTGAAATGGTCATGCAATTCATGGTGATTATTTTCACCCATTGACTTTTATCATGTGAGTGGACTATGCTTGGGTCTGATTTACTGGGACTTCCAATTGATTTCAGAAAGTGATCCAATGATAAACTAACTTGTGCTGTTTTCCCAGTACCTGGAGGACCTGAGATATAAAGACTATTGGAACATTTTTTGGAGTAATTCTCAATTAGGAAATCATTAAGTATAGATGCTTCCTTCTCTCTGGATACTAGATGAGACTCTCCACTGCTATGTGATATTTGACTTCCTCTTTGAAATAATGACTTGGCCCGAAGGAACGTAGATGATTCACTTGAGGATTTCTGAGTGTTAAATAGTCTCTTCTTCTTTAATGGTGATCCGAGTGAGGTACTATTGCTTATATCTATGACTCTCTTTGCAGTAGGAGTTGTAGGAGGTGTCAAGGGCAACTGAACCATGGAAGATTTAGTCATGATGATGATGATGTACAAGAAGAAGAAGAAGAAGAAGAAGAGATGTATAATTTAGATCTAGTGTTAGATGAAAATTCGTACCACGTCCATCCATCACAAAACGCGAATTTAATTAAACCCAATTAGGAAATGTAATGAGCGCGTTGTCACCCAGGCAATACGCCAGCCATTAAGGGGAGCGACATTGTGTATACTACACAGTAGTAGTAATAGTAGTAGTAGTAATAGTAGTAGTAGTAATAGTAGTAATGTAGTGCAGTAAGGATAATGTAGCGTGATGGTATAGTAGCGTGATAGTGTAAATGTGTGAGTGGTGTAGTTATAGGAGTATAGAACAGTAGTGAAGCAATATCAGCAGTGTCGGCAGTATAGTGTAGTGCACCATAATGCAGTGCACTATGATTTAGTGTATACTATGCTATACTCATATGGCTTACGTATCGATAGTGTAGCTTGTGTGACTTGTCTAACGCGTCTTATTTACTTAACGACTGTTCGAATTCTTTCAAAACATTTGTAAGAACTTCATTCTTCCTCGTAACCATATACAAATCCGCTGGAATCACCTTCAGTCGTCCAGCATGCTGTGCAAATAGCTCTAGATCCTCTCCCAAGTTGATCAATTGATTGAACACCAAATCAACTAAGGACGCCACAAAGGTTGGAGATGTTTGTACGCCTTCTCGCTTCGAACATTCTTCAACTATTTTAGCTACTGCTAAATATATAGTCGCCTTGAGCTGTGATGTCGTTGTGGTTGCCGACGACATAATCCCTGTGTACCTTATTGGAAACAGCTCTCACTGTGAGTATATACTCTGTTATTTTTGTTTAGTATTTGTATAGGTGCGACATTTTTTCTGTACTATCAACAAATGTCGCATGCTTATCGAATAAACGTCGACCCCCACACACAATAGGGGCTATGATTACATCCAACCTACCCCCCAAAAATAAAGACACTTTCAAACGGCATCCCGAACACCATACACATATAACTATTTTGCGACATAAATGTTTCCATACTCTTAGACGAACGACATATCACTTATATAACAACATACGCATCATGTCCAAAAGAGGTATGGCATACTTTTTAGGGGACTCTGATCCTCTGACCAATCATGTCCTTCCAATCAATGCAATGCAATACTCGTCATATTCCGGCCAGTTGTTTAGTGGAGGAAGAGACGGCACAGTTAAAATATGGCAGCCAACCGAACGAATAGACACGGCCATTAACTCCCCCAACCCATTTGTATTCAACGAACAACATTTTGAGACCAGTCAATCGTCACTTTCCAACGGTGGGGGCAACAGTGGAGGCAACGGCCCCCAAGCAGCCACGCAGAACGATATGAGCGAAAGCATACTCAAACTAGAAACAAGCATCAGTTCCAACCCTTTGTGCTACGAAGATACCAAGTACTCCGGGTACACCATAAACCAAAGCTTTGATTTACATTTTGATTGGATCAATGACTTGAAACTCATCAACAACGATAGAGATTTGGTGACGTGTTCCTCTGATCTTTCTATCAAGATGGTCAACTTGCACTCTGCCAATGTAGAAGAAGGTGCTGGGCTAGTGCATCGGTTCCCCAGTATCCACACAGACTACATCAAGAAGCTTTCGGTGTTCAAGTTTGAAAACTCCATAGTGAGTGGTGGATTGGATGGGAAGGCCGTAGTGTGGGACTTGAACGCTTTAAAACCTATAAACAGCCTTATTTCCGAGGAAGAGACCTCTGGAGTGCCCAATTCAATCTATGCTTTGGCCAATAACGACACCAACATCATCACTACGGGAGGCTCTAGTAACATCATCAACTTGTACGACAAAAGAGTCAAAGGGGGGAAATTTATGGGGAAATTAATAGGTCATCAGGATCAAATTAGATGCTTGCTTATGAATGACCGGTTTGTGTTGTCTGGTTCATCAGATACTTCCATTAAGCTTTGGGATCTTAGAAACTGGAAGGTCTATAAGAACTTTGAAATGCACAATGATCCTGTTTGGTGTTTGACCAATGGAGTAGATTCTTCTCCGGGTCTATTGAACCAAGCAGCCAGTCACGATGACTTCCGAGTGTTTTATTCTGGTGATAGAGCAGGCAACATTATCAAGACCGACATGAGTCATTTCTCCGATTTTGATATTGATGATTATGAAGAAGATGCACTTTTCAATCGGACGTTAGACCAGAAATTAGGAGTGGCTACTTTAGTTGCTAAGTCCAATTCTCCTATTATCTCTTTATGTGTGGAATCAAATGTTAGATCATCAAATGGTTCATCGGAAGAGCCAACTATCTTCAGTTCAAACTACACCACTTTGGATCGATACAGAGTCCCAGATGTTAATGAGATTTCCAAGTACCAATACTTGAGAACAACCATGGACCTTTTCACCATGGACGGACTACTAGATGTTGACGAAGCCGAGGCTTCTATTGCAGACCAACAATCTGATTTCTACGACATTGTGAGTCATTTATCTATGGATACCAATACTTTAGACATCCAACTGTCATTGTCTGGAGTTACCAACAACAACAATACTAATGCTGGTACTACGACTGGCCCACCATTCCCAGTGCCTGTTGTTGATACCGACATCAAGTATACCTCCATGTTCTATAACATCGACACCGGTGGACCCTCATGGGAATTTGTCAATGCTTATAAGGAATGTTTGGAAGAGAATGAGGGTCAGAATATTCAGCAGCAGCAGCAACAGCAAATTCAAACAAGTGATAGCACGGCAACGATTGATAGAACACCGGTGGAAATCCTATTAAACCCGTTGCCACCGGACCAGGTCTCACTTATACCCTTCAACATTCGTGCCATGAACCAATTCCCCATAATCAATAAGCCAATGATAGCGAAAAGAATGCTCAACAATAAAAGGCACATTCTTACCATGCTGATGGACGGAGTAATCATTTTGTGGGACATTTTGATGTGTAAGGAGTTGAAGACGTGGTCCAATGACAGTAAACGTAAGCACGAGGAAACAATTACTAAAGACTTTATTGAGGAAAGAACAAAGCAAATGGATAAAATTTATCACCAATTACAAACCCAAGATACCTTAAGAAACTGGTGTGACGTTGAAATCAAAGCAGGGAAACTAATGGTGATTCTACGTGAATCATGTCTAAAGAATCTTGTGGAAATTTACTATGACGAGATGATCAAAGATTATCCGATGTTGTCTGTTGGAAGTGATATGGCTAAAGTTGATGCAGACGATCGATTTGCTATCATTAAGATCATACTCAATTCCTTTTTCCACGAATACTTGGCGGCAGAGTTGGATTTCGATATCAGGCTTCGAGAAGAGTTACTCTTGAGAAGGAAAACAGTTAAAGGATCCTCTGATTCTCTTAGCAAGTTGAATAGCAAGGAAATAGAAGGGGAATCATCATCGTTACGGAAGAAGCTTACTTTCAGCAAATCCAAGGGACAAAGTTCTTCCCATCAAGATGTGGTGTCGGCCAAATCGAGTGTTTGTGACATACCACTAAGCGGATCAGACGTTACGTTTCTAAATGAAATCATTACAGCTAATGTTAGTGGGACGAACTCCAATGAAGTCAATATTCATAATAGCATTCTTGAACATAAACAAAAGTATTGGGAGAAACTGAAATCCAACAACAAGGCACTTGATACTCTCTTGATGCTTTATTCCAATGATCCAATGTTCATAGCTTCAAAGCAAGAAAAAGGCTCCGAGGGTAACAATAATTACTGTCCCGTAATTCCATCTAAATATCTCCCATCGAATTTGGTGCTTACAGTTTTTGAAGATGATCCAACATTGGGTAATTTCCGTGAAGTATGCAGTTATACATTGAATGAATTACATAACATAACCCATGAAATAATCCGAAGCTTGAGACACAATTTACCCTCTTGGCTAGTCCAACCTTTGCTTTATGATAAGTATCCTCCTATAGAGGTTACCCGGATATCGTTTCAATTACTTGAATGTAATTATTTACAACTTGCACCCAACAAAACCATCCAGGGCAAATCACAGAAGAAAATCAAACGACTTCCTCAAATTGATGGGTCCCTCAAACTTACTTCACATAGCATGCTTCGAGTTCTGAAAATTTTAGGATATGTTTGTGAAAAGTTTGAATCCAAAACCAGTGAAATGAGAGATAAGAAATTGGCTTATGAATGGTTGGCATTGGAATGTAAAGGACAGGAATTACCACCTACCATGACACTACAAACCATCAAGACCATAATATGGAAGTCAGGTACTGATCTTGAGCTTAGATATCGTCGAAAATTTGACTAATAAGAAGCCGTCACTTGTATAGAATTTATAGTCAATTTTCATGCGAAAAGGAGTATCAACTTTTCCTGCACACAAACATCACCAACTCATCGACAATATTTTTCATCATCATCAACCAAAAATTGTTGTTGATGAGGTTGCCCTTCATTCCTTAACACAGCAATATACAACATGGATGAATCAGACAGAAAGGTAAGTCGGTTATGGAGAACCTTCAAGACGGTCAAAGAGATGGTCAGAGACCGAGGATATTACATCACGCAAGAAGAAATCAACATGTCATTGGAAGAGTTCCGGTCCAAGATTTGTGACAGTATGAACCAACCTCAAAGAAAATTGATGTGTTTCCAAGCCAACCCCATGCCTGAATCGTTAGAGAAGTTCCCTGAATTGGGATCTTTATGGGTTGAGTTTTGTGATGAAGCGTCTGTTGGTATCAAGACCATGAGAAACTTTTGTATTCATATTAGTGAGAAGAACTTTCTGACGGGTATTTTCATATACCAGAATAGCATTACCCCCAGTGCCAATAAGTTGATCCCCACTGTGTCTCCCGCATCCATTGAGACGTTCCAAGAGGGGGACTTGATTGTCAACATCACTCATCATGAGTTAGTGCCCAAACATATTCGGTTATCAACGGAGGAGAAGAAGGAGTTGTTGGCAAGATATAGATTGAAGGAGTCGCAATTACCCAGAATTCAAAGAGAAGATCCGGTGGCAAGATATTTAGGTTTAAAAAGAGGGGAAGTGGTCAAGATCATTAGAAGATCAGAAACTTCTGGAAGGTACGCTTCTTATAGAATTTGTTTATAAACAGTTGATGTAATATAGTAAAAGATAACTGCTAGTAGTTGATCAGTCTGTACTTGTTCAGGGTGGTGCTGCTCTGTCTTGCCATTAGTACTGAGTCTTGAATGCCTGTCCACCATTGGACAGCTTGGAGATCTGCTATGGCTCGTTGTGGAGATACAACCACCCCCTTATCTCCTAAGAAAACAGGTCCAATGGTAACGATTAGTGAATCGTAGTTCCCCAACGTAAGTAGGTCGTTGATGACCGTGGCTCCTCCTTCAACCATAATTGACCGGATATGGTGATGATCCCATAACTGCTTATAGATGGTGTTCCACACTGTTTGGAGTGGCTGGCCGATCACAGGGATCTTTATATAGTGCCCCCCAGTGGCTTGTAGTAGATGTGATTCTGACGTGTCAGGTTCGGTGTCAGCATCGACTAAGATCAACGGTGCTAGACCCTGTTGCGCATCCACCAAGCTCCGCAACTGCGACTGAGAGTATCTCCATTTGGCATGAGGGTCTAGAACAACCGGTCTGATGGAGGACGAGGAGGAAGTGGCCAGATAGTATCGACAATTCAACTTGGGATCGTCAGCCAAAACAGTTCCAATCCCCACAAGTATGGCATCATGGTGATGTCTAATGTAGTGGGTCATGGCCTTAGTTTGTTGATGGCTGATGACAGTTCTTGTTCCTGGTTGTGCAGCGATTCGTGAGTCCAACAGTTGCGCATACGTTAAGGTAACAAACGGTCTGTCATTGTATGGGACAGGCAAGTACGCTGCAAGAGCTGATGAAAGATCGCCGTCTATGATCATGTCACGGTGTGCCATGTAGCTGTAGTATAGCCGTAGTACGTAAGTACCACTGTACAGCTGGGTCCAGCTGAGGTGAAGTTCGCACTAACAGAACTTAACACTACCGTCACTATGGCCATCACACTAAGAGATTACAGACCATGCTATACAGTTTACAGGCTGTTCTGTTTATGTTTATGTATGCTGCTACGTATGTATGGATAGATATATGGATGTATATCATATGCTTCTTTTGAGTTGCTCCATTTGGTCAGCTTCTTGTTCCCGTAGCACTTTGGTATCTCTTTGCATACGTGCCAACTCTCGTGCTTGCCATTGGTCAAATTCTGTTTCCGGATCAACGTCGTCTGTGTCGTCTACGCCGTCAAACGAAGTTGGTGTGTGTTCTGGAGCTTCCAATTGCTGCGACTGGTGGTCTAGACGTGCTAGAAGTGCTGCTCTACCGGTTGGTGTTGATGTGACATGGTTTTGTTTCGACTTTCTAATGAACACAGGTTTTGCTTGCGTCAAGTCGGACGACGACGACGACGACGACGACGACGACGACGACGACGATGATGATGATGATGCATCCGATTCATCTCCTGAAGACGACATGTCTGTATAGTATGAAGTGTTGGCTAGTCAACTCATCTACGGTGCGACATTAATGTTTGTCAAACAGTGTACTGGCCACCGCACACTACAACCACTAGATTGACCGTAGTGGCCACAGCCACAAGTAGGCGTGTCTGATGCATGTCATACGTAGACTACAATTCTGCCACAGTGTATATGTTACACCGCAGTGACACTGTAATGACGTAGTCATAGTGTGACGTATGCTGTAGCGTCTTCCGTATATCACAAGATGATGAATCAGATGAACGCGTTTACGAAAGCGTGTAGCGGGGTACAGCACATGATCACCAGCATAACGATACGAATATGACTGACTATGATTACAACTATGACTACGAGAACGACTGAGGATGACTACTACTCTGGATGACTACCAATACGACTTGTTATGTTGACTTTGTTGTGCTGACTAGGAGTCACAACTACCCAACAACCACGTACCCACCAATACCCCTATTACGGCTGGAACATGCACGTTTCTGGTGACGAAGCCGAGCTTTGTACCGGATGGACCGAACCAGCGTATTGTTCAGAAAAATTATGTCAACTTGAGTAGTGCACTGTTCGGGCATCTCGTGAAGAGGACAAAAGTGGTGATGATAATAACAAAACAAATATATATATATGTGGTCCACGTTTGAAGTTGCACTAGACGCTGTACTAGACGCTTAGACTAGACGCTTAGACTGTACTAGATTGTTAGACGCTGCATTATACTGCTCCTTTATACTATGCCATTTATTCCATCTGTTGATCGACCCTTTGGGATTTACCTCTGGGACGTGATGGACCAATCAATTGCTTGGATCACCGACGGTAAGATTATCCCCAGTCAATTTGAGTTTATCGAAGGCCAAACAAGATTCTCAACCTTCCCCCCAGTTGGTATGGCCATTTTCGTCTACTATGCTGTGATCTTTGGTGGTGATTTCTTGTTCAAATCTTTCAAAGTTAAACCTTTGAAATTGAATGGCTTATTCCAACTCCATAACTTCTTTTTAACAGCCTTATCCTTGTCTATTTTGGTCTTGATGATTGAACAATTGATTCCAACCATCTATCACCATGGCTTATTCTACGCTATCTGTAACGAGAAGAACTGGACTCAAGAAATGGTGTTTTTGTATTACTGTAATTACATCACCAAGTTTATTGAATTCATCGACACTATTTTCCTCGTGGTTAAACAGAAAAAATTAACCTTCTTACACACTTACCATCATGGAGCCACCGCTTTGCTTTGTTACTTCCAATTGGTTGGCGAAACTCCTATTTCTTGGGTCCCCATCACTTTGAACTTGGGTGTTCATGTCGTGATGTATTGGTACTACTTTTTGGCGGCAAGAGGTATTAGAGTCTGGTGGAAACAATGGGTTACACGGTTCCAAATCATTCAATTTGTTATTGATTTGGCTTTTGTCTACTTTGCTTCAGGTATCAAAATCATGTACGTTCATTTCCCTGAATATTGTGATATGACTAAGTTCTGTGATGATTGTGCTGGTACTATGACTGCTGCTTATTCAGGCGTTGCCATTTTATCTTCTTATTTGGTTTTGTTCATTATGTTTTATATTGAAAACTACTTGAAGAAGGCAAAGAGAGCCAAAGCCAAGAAGGAGTAAGCAAATGCAATGCGATGCGATGCGATGCGATGCTGCTACATTACACATATGCTCTGTATTTGCTACTTCATTAAACATGTGCTCTGCTACATATGCTCTGCTACATATGCTCTGCTCTGCTTCTTCATATACACTCCTTACACTCTAACGATACAAGAACCTTTGATAAAAAGTTTCTCCTACTAATAATAATATTAATATCTAATTAATGAAATGTCCTTCAGTAATGTCGTCAAATGTCGGAATACTTTCTGCTGCTCCATGCTTTTGAATAGCCAAACTACTGGCTCTAGTAGCAAATGTTATTGCCTCATGTAAACATTTGGCTTGACTCAATTGCAGAACTACTCCTCCAAAGAAAGTATCACCAGCTCCTGTAGTGTCGACCACGTGACTTACTTTGACCGAGTCTGCTTTCAATGGCGGTGATATGTCCTTATTGGTATAGACACACCCCTTACTTCCCAAAGTTATAATGACAGTAGATATCCCGTTTGGTGCTAATGCCCTTTGTAAAAATTCTGCCAATGTCGCAATGTCGCAGTTTTCTTTATGGTGTAGTCCTAAAACGGAAGCTATATCCGATGCTTCACCTTCATTGACAATAATTAAATCTATCGATGCCAAAACGACACTGGAAACCCATTCCTTCTTAAATGGTGAAGGATTATAACAAATGTTAACCGCTGGTCGATTAACTTTCAACCATTCAATGGTTTTTAAAGTGTCTGGATATTCATTTTGAAGTATAACATAATGATCCGTTCCGCATATCTCCGGGGGAAAATACTGTTCGTACTCGGAGTTTGTCGGTTGCAATGTGCCATTGGCTCCACTGGTTATTAATATACGATTCTCTCCACTCTCAGCTTCAACTAATATCACCGCTACACCACTCTTGGTGTTTGGAACAGAGTCAATAAATGTCGTATCAACTCCGTCTCCTTTCAAGGCGTCTATCAATTCCTTCCCGAACCCATCATCTCCTACCCGTCCAATCATCCGAACTCGCTGGACTTTTGCACCATCTTGTGATGCCGTAAGTCGAGCTACTGCAATGGCTTCGTTAAGTCCTTTACCTCCGATATGAGTTTCAAAGGCATCGGCTTGAAACGTTTCTCCACCTCCAGGTACACGGTCAGTGTAAGTGACCAAATCGTAGTTAAGAGATCCGATGACTGTAATCATGTTGATGTCTGCAGTTAAAAAGAAAGCGTGAAGTCTATGCTGGATGACATTTTGTCTCTGGTTCCAAATCTGGGGTGAGATTTGTGTTAAAAACACGACATTGACTCAAGATCGTGATGTGCGGGGCTCTAACAGACACCTGACACCAGATGAAGCATATTCTATTGTAAGCTTTTAAGATGTGGTAGTCTTTGAGAATGGTGACGAATAATTGATGGAAATATGTCTGTATTCCTAATGTCTTAATGTCTCTCTTTTCGAGTATTAGATCTGATTATGGCGTACATTGCGACTTGAAGGGTAATGGTTTTGGATTTTTCATTAGTGGAAAACAAGGTGACAATTATGTCTCATAAGTCAGTTAGGTCTCTGCTCAATGTCTGCACAATTTCTGGTCGCTGTCTGTCCAGCGTCAGTACGATCTCTGTTTGTTGTGTGTTTGCTTGATTGCTCAGTGTCGTCACAGCCTCTGTTTCCTGTCAGTTCAGAGACAGTTCGCCACCTGATTGTTGTCAGGTAGGTGTCTGTTCAATGTCTAGATCTTTAAAGTGTCAGTTGAATCGAAGTTCTCTGTCGGGTGTGTGTTGAGTATCTGTTGAGTTTCTGTTCAGCGTATGTTTAATGTCTGTTTAATGTCTGCATAAGAGCTTGTTCGGTGTTTTGTCCAATTTATACTTAGTATCTGTAGAGTGTCTGTCTATTGTGTTGCCAATTTTGCCAACTTAGCCAGTGCTATGCCTTAGAACTGATCGAATGACGCTATCAGGGCTAACACTGGAAATGAGACTGATTAGAATTATTGCGTCGTTTGCTATTTGCGTACACGATTTTGCAGCTTTTTGGGTGCGAAGCATGCAGACACAATTACGTACCCTAATGAGCTAATCAAAACGATTACTACTAGTAGCAACTAAAAGTGTGGGGCTGACATGAAGCAGTAAAACAACCACCATTTCACAGAGTTTGGACATCAACTATTTGGTGTTCATAAGCTGTTCGAAGTCTCGACAATTTTTACTTGGTGTATGCGTGTTGCTTTCGTGGAGGCTGCATACTGCATTCTAGAGTCTGTTTAATTCACATGAGATTTGTGTCAAATGTGACAAAAATCTGGACAAAGTGACGGTTTATCAATAATAGAACACTTTCAGCACGTTAGCCCTTCCTTACACCTCGCTTATTCAGACCCCTACTTGGATTTTGGTTAATACCGCCCTTACCTGCTAATATCACCAACAGACATTGACTCCTTTCATTATCATATCTCCATGGCATGTCAATTGTGTGATGCTGATAAACAGTACTTGTAGCTACAATAATAATAATAATTACATTATATAATCAAGCATGAATATGCATATGCATATGCATAAAAATAATAAATTGATGCATATGCACATATTCTATAATACTTCAACTTTAACCGGATCTGTTCATTCTCTTCAATCTCATCTTCTCAGCAAATGTCAATGGTCTATCAGAAGTAGGAGCTGGAGCTGGTGCGTCTGGAGATCTAACAGGGGCGCTACCTCCTCTTTGGGAAGGTGGAACATACGAGCTGTTTCTGACAGGTGGAGCCATTTCAGCTTGCATGGCTTCTCTCTTCTTTCGAAGCTCTTCGTCTTTTTCCTTTTGTAATCTCAACTCTTCCTTGAACTTTAACATTTGCTCTTCCTTAAGTCTTCTTTCTTCTTCCTCGGCAGCATGTGCAGCTTCTTGAGCCTTGGCCCTACGCAATTCTTCAACACGTTGTCTCTTGATTTGTTCAACACGGGCCCTCTTTGCTTCTTCCAATTCAGACTTTGCTTGTTCCTTCAACTTCTGCAACTTGGTGGCATTCTTCTCAGCAATGACGTCAGCAAAGGAATTGAAATCTCCAACCATTCTGGTGAATCTGGTCTTCAACTTAGAAGCATCATCAAAGTCCTTCTTGGCCTTGGAAAGCTTGCGCTCCTTCATGGCTTCGTAGTTCTTATATTCTTGTTCTTCTTGTTGTTCAGCATCCTTGGAAAAGTATTGCAATTCATAACGTCTGAATGCTCTTTCCAAGTGGTCCGTTCTCTTAGCAACAGCCTTCATCTTCTCATCCAATTCTTGTTTATCCTTGTTCAACTGAGCAATTTGCATACGCTTCAATTCCTCGGTGTCCAATTCCTCTAAATTGTCTATTTCAACCTTAATAATACCCTTAGCATTGATTTCTTCAACAATTTTTCTGGCTTCATTTTCTCTAATCAACTTACGTTCTCTTTCCAATCTTTCTTGTTCCTTCTTCTCTTGTTCTTGGATTAATCTTTCTTGTTCAGCCTTTTGTTCTTCAACCAATCTGGCTTGTTTCAAAAGGGCAGCTTCTTGTTCACGAGCCTTTCTGGCTTGTTCAATGGCATGCTTACGTTCTTCCAAGATTTGGAATCTTTGAGCAAACGCTTCTTGTTCGGCCTTCATATCAACCAAAGCATTCTTTAAAGCAGCTTGCTTCTGTTGTTGGATTTGCTCTTCATATTCAGGATGAATAACCTTAGAAGCTTGACCCAAAGTCTTGGCCAATTGTGACAATTGACTTCTAACCAAATCAGCGGGGGAAACCTGTAATCTGGTGGCCTTACCTTCATTGAAAGACTCTTCAAATGGTGAAGACTTGAAGATTACAACACTGCTTTCATGGTCAATTGATAAAGTCAAATAACCATTTTTAGCAGCATGGACAATCAAACTTTCAACTTCCAATGGTGATAATTCAAATTCAGTCCCTTCAAAAACACCCAAGTTGACCAAGAATTCCAATTTAACACTCTCATAAACTTGAGACACTTGTTGGAATAATCTGATCAAAATGACTTCAGTTAAAGTGGGAATATAACGCTTGTATTCATCATCTTGTTGAATTTTCTTAAAGAGTTCAATTACCAATTTCTTGATAGTCAAAGGATGGAAGTTACCACCATTCAAAACGTTGAATAAATGTTTGATTTCTGGTTCAACAAATTCCAAAATGTTCTTAGAAAGAATAATTTGCAACAAAGAATCTCTGGTGGGCACAGCATTCAAGTTCAATAAAGTGGTCAATTTGGTGTTCTTACCCATTTTATCGTCAACCAAAGTCTCGTTACTTTGGATAGACTTTTGAGGAATAGCCAAAGTACTCAACACCAACACTGAAGCATAGTGTTTCAATTCAGAGTCAGTAGCATTAGGAGATTGGGAGTACAAATTGAAGAACTTGATCCAAGCAGCTGCATGGAAAAGAGCATTATCAGAAACAGCAAAGATTCTGGCCAAGTTTTGATAGTAACTAGACATCATTTGAGGTCTAGGGACCTTTTTGGAGACGGTGATCAAAGAGTGAACATCGTCAACGGATCTAAAGGATTCTTGCCACAATTCCAACTCCACAGCTATGTTCAATTGACGGAACCGTTGTTCCAAATAACGTTGGGCAGTTTCAGAGTTGGTCAAATCAATAGAATTGGTTTGGTTGGTGGTTTTACCCTGGGTGGTGACACTTTGCATGTGACCTCTTAACAATTCACATAATCTTCTAAACTCATTCTTTCTACCGTATTTCTGACAAAACACAAACGCTTGTTGAGTAATGGCACTGTAAGTCACCTCCAACTTGGAGTTGTTCCGCAAGATATCCAAACTGACTCTAAAGGCTTCCCAAAGGAACCTCAACCAGGGAGTAATCACATCTCTTTCAGTACGATCAGCAGAATCAGCACTGGAAACAGCTGACATCAAAATGGATTCTGGGGTTTGAGGACCTTCCAAATCTTCAACATTCTCTTCTGTTTTGATCTCAGCCTTGGCCTCATCCAACTTCTTCAGGGACAAGTCAATGAAATGACGAACAATCACCTGAACAGACTCCAAGCCTTGATCGGACATCTGCACATTCTTCTTGTACTGGTGTAAGGCATCCTTGGCCAATTTGCCCTTTCTCAAGTCCACAGCCAACTCAATAAGGAGCAAGGCAATAGGCTCCAAGTCTTCAACTTGTAAGTAACGAGTTCTCTTGGACGTGATCAACTGGTACAACGTTTCCAATGCGGCCTCGCGCTCGCCCACGCCGATCAAGTCCTCGGCTCTCTTCAACACGTTCTCCGGACGGAAGTTATAGTTCTTATGAGGTGGAGCCATTGTGTTTGATAAGGTGACTATAGTGGTGGGTTTGTCTTTAGGATGGTTGTAAAAGTTTTGTACTGAAAATTTTTCCCAGGCGCTACCAACGAATAATAAGTAGTGCGAAGGCTAATAGTACATTTAGAACTAGCAGTCTTAATACCATGTTACAGTACACAATGTATGCTATGTATGTATTCAGTATAAATGATTTATTTAGAATGGCGGGAACTTCTCTTCCATCTCCGGAACGGACTTAACCAACCCCTTCTTATCCATAAGAATCACACTGAGTCTGGGATCAATTCCGTATTCAGTGAACACTCTTCTGGAGTCAGTTTCTTGTCCCTCATTGGTGTAACGGTAGTTCCCGTAGTAAAGAGCATTTTGCTCTAATACCATGTCTTCATAATGGAAGTAATCCATCTCCGTGACTTCTTTTGTAATTGTCTTCTTCTTCTTATTGGTCTGCTGGTCGTCTTCCTCCATCTCATTGGCTGCTACCAATTGGTAGACCTTGGAGATGACCAAATAATAGTCATACGATTCATTGGCGTTGTCCAACTCAGAAATAAGCATCTTGTACATTGGAGGGATGGTTTCAACAGGCATGTTAATCACCCGTTCACTTATAATCAACCCTACCTTGAACTTGGGGTCCTTCAATACCTTTCTCATCATCAAGTTGAACTCTGTGTCCTTGCTAGTCTTCTCCAAGACGTAGTCACTTATGGTACGGACACAAGGACGTGATTCAGTGATGGCCATTGGTATAGTTGTGAGAATAGCAAAGGGGTCCCCATTGATGCCTTCGGTCTTGATGGTGGTACCAATGGCATTCTTGCTTAAGATGACGTCTGCCAAACTGGAAACATCAAATTTGCTATGGTCATCTCCAAAGAGCTGTCTGACCAATGTCTTGATGCTGTGGAAGTCGATTTCTGGGTTAAAGTCAAAATAATCGAAATCAACATTAACCAATTCTTCACCAGGAGCTTCACCTTCGGCATTGGCAACACTACCACCAACGTCCACTTGTTCGGTCTCCGATTCGGAGTCGGTAGAACTCACGTCGATGTCCGAGTCTTCTTCCTGTCTTCTCTTAGCCATCCTGCTATGTCTTATAATGTCGTATGGGTCTGAGATGAGATGACTTGAGTCGACTTTGACTTTCAGTGCGACTGAAAAATTATGTCATCACCTTCACCAAAACGTCACTATTCGATCCTTTACCTCGGTACAATGGGTCTAATAGAAGGGTACAGTTCCAGCGATGACGATACCCCGGAGAAACCAACGGTCGCAGAATTGGTGAGCCGGTACCGGCAGGAGATGGACCTGTTACAGAAGTCACAGGAAGATGATCCAACTCCGGAAACAACCGTTGATAAGCCAAAAGATAAGGTCGTCACCAAACAAACAGCCAAAAGAGCTAAAAAGAACTTTGATATCGACTATTCGGGTCCATGGAAGAAGAAGCATAAGGTAAGCGGCCATACAGAACAAGTGGGTGAAGAAAATAGTGAAGAAGTTGGTGGTATTGAAGACGAAAATGATGGTGATGCTGAAGACCCAATCTCCTCAACTTCCACGACTACAGAACAAACTCCTTGGTCTCAATTTGTTGGTAGTAAACAGAGGGATTACTTGGGAAGATCGTTTCTTCATATTCCTCAAGATCTTCCAATCAAATTGACTAAAGATCCAACTTCTCATGAGTGCTTTGTCCCCAAGAAAGTCATCACTACCTTTGCTGGTCATAAGGGTGGAGTTAATAAGATCGAGTTATTTCCTCTTTCGGGTCACTTGTTCCTTTCTTGCGGGAACGATTGTCAAATCAAACTATGGGACTTTTATCACCAAAGAGAACTTTTAAGAGTATATCATGGTCATAGTCTTCCAGTGAAAGATATCGCTTTTGACAATACTGGTGAAAAGTTCCTTAGTTGTGGCTATGATAAAGTGATCCGGCTTTGGGAAACCGAGTCTGGTGAAGTTCTCAAGACCGTAAAGGTCAATGCCATTCCCAATACTCTCAAGTTCCATCCTTTTAATGACCAAGAGTTCATCGTTGGTCTCTCCAATAAGAATATCGAACACTATGACCTCAGTATCCCGGAATACACTGTCCCCATCCAAGTGTATGATCACCATCAAGGTAGCATCAACTCCTTAACAATAATCGACGATGGTAATAGGTTTATGCTGACATCAGATGATAAAACCGTTAGATTCTGGGATTGGCAAATCAACATTCCTGTTAAGTTCATAAGTGATCCATCTCAGCATTCAATGCCACTGGCCAAAGTTACTCCTGATGGGAGGTTCATAGCCCTACAAAGCATGGACAATACCATTCATGTAATACAAGGCTACGGCAAATATAAGTTCAACAGAGCTAAAACATTCTCTGGCCATATCACGGCAGGTTACGGGATAGCCATAGACATTTCTCCAGATGGGAAGATTATCATGAGTGGAGACAGTAAGGGGAATGCTTTCTTTTGGGATTGGAAATCAACAAAATTGGTTAGAAAGTTCAAGGTAGATAATAAACCAACAACTTGTATTTGTTTCCATCCACAAGAAACATCAAAAGTTCTTATTGGTGGACTTTCAGGGAAAATTTACTGTTGTGATTAATTATATCAAATCGTTCAATAGTTCATTTATTCACACAATAATACATTTCTCCTTCTTGTATTGGTTTCGTTTCTTTGATGTGCTTTTAGCATGGGTAAAGTGATGATGATGATGGTGATGATGCTTGTGTGGCTGTGGTTGACCACTGGTGCCTTGATCTGACACAATTTCTTCGGCACTTCCCAGGGAAAATTTAATACTACTTCCTTCAACTGCAACCTCATTAAGAGCAGGTGAAGATATGTTACTCTTGAGTGATCCACCTTCACTGGGTACAACACCAGCTTTCCCTAACTTATTATCGATCTCGTCTGGGCTGTATTCCACTGTTTTAGGAGACGTTGCCCGGTCATCGATGGGTATGGAACGACCATTCAGTGAAGTATTCGTTAGAACATTATAAGCGAACCCACCACTTCTTGTGCTTGAAACTGCATCGTCATCGATGGAGGAATCTTGACTCCACCTTGAGTTCCGTCGAGGGATACTAAAACTGGGTTCTCGTTTGTTCTTCTCGGGTTTCAACTCTCTAACATAGTTTCTATTCTCATCTGTGACATACCAATAGTATTTGTCTCTTATATCAATAAATGAAGGGTCCGTAGGAGGAATATCCGGGAGTGGGACGGAGGAACTACCTGAAAGTTCCTTGTTTAGAGACAAATTACTAAATTCTTCTCCAACTTCAGACGATGAGAGTTGAGGTGAATTGCTTGCTGATAAGATTGGTGATAATGAAGTGTTCAAGAATGCAGAGGTCATGGGTGGTGGAAGTTGATGGTATTCATCATTAGTATTAGTAGCTGCTGCTGGATTCCAATACAGTTCCTTAAACCCATCAGCATCACGAACAGCTGTAGAAGGTTTCACTTCTCCGTCGTTATCGGATACCAAACGATAGAATAACAAATAGGGCCATTCCTTTTCAAAGATCTCATCAAAAGTCTTCTCCACCACACGGCCATTCTTCTTCATGTCGTCGTATAACAACCATGGAGCATTAGAAGCTTCTTCATCATTAACAAGTGTTTCCCTATTATTCTTCCGTATAGCCGAAACAAAATGGCCTGAATGGATCGAAACTCCTTTATGGAACACAGCACTCTCTAGGATCAATCTGAAGTTATCTGGAAGTCTCTGTTCATTGGGATCATCAGCAACAAACTGAGGTAATAAAATTATTGGAGGTATTATGACTCTTTTGTTTGATTTCTTGGAACTACCATCAGCACTATCAAAGGAATAGTTCTTAAGACAAATAGGAAGAATTGGCCTTCTATTTGCAAACTCCTTGACATTTGCAGCTGCTGAATCATCGACATCCGTATAGAATGGTAATAATTTAAGAAACATCCAAGCTGGTAAACTAACTTCTTTTGGCAGATTTGGAGGACCATGATGCGTAGTAGAAGAAGTAGTAGTAGTAGAATTATTTCTCCCTCCTCCTCCTTCTCCACCTACGGAATCAATTTCATTTAAAGACCAGATCGAAAGAGTTGAAGATCTTGTTCTCAAGGTATACCGGGGGTTGCTGCTCTTTCTATCTCTATGTAACGATTGTGTTAATGGAGAAGAAGCTTCAGAGGAATTATCAGCATTCTCTCCGTTGTGGGTAACTAGCCCCGGAGTTTCACGTAACGTATCCAAAGTTAATCTCCTTTCTAATTCCCGTTTAACCACAATGGAATTGTTAAAGTACAGTTCAAGACATTCTTCTAGAAGAACTCCATCATCCGAGGCTGAAGTTGTAGCCGAAGCTGATGCTGTAGTGTCTGGCAGTGATGATGATGACGTTGAGACTGAAGCTGCTGCCTTTGCCGTTGCTTCTACCTCTGCCTCTGCCTCTGCCTCCTCAGGCAACGACACAAACAATATTCGTTCCTTTGTAAACTTCTGATCGTCTTCCTTATTAAACTTCCCGGGATGTTTAATATCAACTTTAAATGTAAGCATGGGCATCAACAACACCTCTGTTAAAAACTCAAACAACGAAGCAGCATCCTGTTGACGATGAGATAAGGCTTCTGTGAACCCTAACCGGAATAACACGTTGCAAATACCGACAGTAATATCCGTAGTGACCAAATTACCGGATCGGATAAGGTTGACATACATCCGAAGCAATACACTCAATTGATGGACATCACTGGCTTGAGGATGCAAGTTGGAGACAAAGAGCATCTGTTCAAAACTATCAAGATTAGCAAACATGGCAAACATAGTGGCATCCAAATAGCACATGACATTTTCCCAGTTCTCTGATCCTTGGAACTGAATAGCACATCCGAACTTATCTCTACCTTCAATGGTAACAAAGAATCCCTGTTCGCTCAACTGGAAGAACCGACCTAGCACGAATGCCTTGCTAACGTCACCTTGGGTGAACGGAGACTTGAGTAACGCTATCAATGCTTGCACTGACGGTATGTCCAAGTTCAACTGTTCAAAATACGATTCAAGCAATTTGACGGCATTGGAACTGGAGCTGTATTTCTTGCTGTGGGGGAGGATCGGATCACCAGTCATTTGCTTGTAATCTGCTTTGGTAAGGAACGAGACGTACTCATCCCAGAACGAAGGGCCTAGAACCTTGTCAGACTCAGGTTGCGCTCGTCTAAACTGTGTGATACGTCGTCTCAACATCACTAACAGATTTATATATAGAGAGAGCAGTATATAGAACAGTATGTAGAACAGTATGTGCTACACCTTAACACAGTGCCCCCAGTCGAAGGTAGTGCTTCGCCAATAAAATTGGCGATAACCATGGCAACCATATAAACCCTTCCGTGATACACTTAATGGGATACGTCACAATTGTATAGTAAATGCGACAAGTAACAATTGTATATAGTAATGTGACACGTCAGATTTGTAACTCTACACTGTTATATTCAACTCCTTCATCTTTACCAATGCAAGATCAATCTTCTTATCCAAATCACCCTTAATATACTCCTCACGTGACTTTGCATCCAACCTCAGTTCAAGTTGACTTAACTGCTGGTAATTATCATCAAAGAACTTCATTTGTAGCTTAACAAACAGTGAAAACGATGGATCCAAAAAGGGGATCCGGAGATTAACAAAATTGGGGAGTTCCTGTTTAAGTTGATCATTCAATTTGGTATATGTTTCTTCTGCCGCTTGTAACTGTTTATTTAACTCCGGTAATCGAGGATCTCTTTCTCTATGTTCTTGTACATTCTGCTGCTCCTTGTCAATCATCTTATTCACTTTGCACTTGAGCAGATCATAATCAAGTTGCTTCCGGGCCCGCTTCTTGATGGCGGAATTAATCTCCGGGTAATACGAATTGAATCGGGATAAAGGATTTAGTATAGTCTGATTATAAGGACCTTCTAAATCCAATAGTGTTTCTTCTCCTATCTTCTTGACCGTTTGAAAATATTGTACGGCAAAATCTGACGTATCATTATTACCTGTAACATTATTATCATTATCTGTAATATGTTTGCCACTACCATAATACTCGCTAAGTACTTCTCCTACATTCGTTTGTGCTTGAGTGACAATCCGGAGCAGCTCCAAATAACTCCGAAGCTCCTTATGAAGCTTGCCACTAGTCTTCTCCATCTCCCGATACCGCTTCTCTTCAAATTCAAACTCCTTGTCAATAGATTGTTCCACTTGACCGGTCCTCACAAGCACTTGGTTTCCCGCTCTGTTGATGGCTTTCTTTAATCCTGTCCACGACATGATACTGTGATTATAAAATATTACTGGTCACAATATGACTAGTCTCAATCAATTTTTAGTTTTCTCGCTTGGCGTTTATATATGTTCCAAGAATAGTATGTTTTAACACTTCTCTAACGCTATGGTTACATTCATAACAATCCGCAGGACCCGAAATATAAGACACCCGAACACCAACTAGTGATGTTCCATAAAAGTCTGATATTAAGTTATATACAAGGATTGTCTGGCACGTGCATTGGCTATTGATTATACTTACTTCCGGCTATACAATCGTCTAATGAAGTCAGTATTCGTTAAGTATAAATGTCTGTCTTTATGGTCACACTTTTATATTCCAAGGCTGTGTCTGAAAGTCTGCAATACTTTTGCGCATGGCTCCTCCAAGCCTTAACGCATGTGAAGTACCTTGATAGCACATATGGCGTCACTACATACTATTGTGAGGTGCAGCATGTGGTATTGTTTCGTAAATGCCCCCACACTCGTAAAATTTTGAAATTTTACGAGTGGCAGAATCATTCTACCGTATATCATTCTACTTATGAATAGTATAAGTTGATACTCGTTGATGGTAATCAATTGAAGTATTCCGGTATTCTCCAACGAAACTTAGCCCATTCAAAATGATTGTAAAGTTTAATTTCATTTCGGTATCATCCTCCATCTACGTCATTTCATATGTAGTCATGAACAAGGTGAGTCATTTGCCAATGATATGAATAATATCCAAAATACTGGAGTCTATCCTCTTGGCACTGATCTAGGTGCATCATACATGCCTCATATACTCATTATGACTGTAGCTTCGTCACTTCTATTGTTGATGCCAATATATATCTTTATGTTCGGCCCTTCATGACTCACTCTTGGATTGCTCAGCAGGTGAATGCATAATTTGGGTGACAAACTTTCCTGAATATCTGGTGATACAAGCAACTGTAAGAACATCATTCTTAATCAGTGTTGTCATCAAGTGATTCAAAATTACATGGTTTGGAATTGAAAGATGATATGAATCCTTATTGGATGCGTAATATGAACTATCACTTCTTTTCAATTGAGGACGCAACTTCCCTGGCCCTTGTCCCGCATAGCTGACCAGTTCACGCATACTCTGATGTTGGTTATTCATTTTGTTTAATAGAACATTGTTCAATTGAGCTGGCAATTGCGGTGGTTCTGTTAATTCAAAGTTCGTATTCTCCTTGAAGTAAGAATAGTTCAAAAACATATCTGGAATATCGCTGGAATATTCAAGAGTTTTGTTTTCAATTGAATGGTTAACTAGAGATGAACTCGAAGCATCGAATCGAGCATATGTCGAGTTATTCAGTGAAACAAGATCACCACTGGCAAAATTCTGTGGTGGAGGTATTGACTGTTGTTGTTGATTGAAAATTTGACTTCCTGGTACTTGATAGTGCTGCTGTTGCTGTTGTTGTTGTTGTTGTTGTTGTTGCTGTTGTTGTTGTTGTTGTTGTTGCTGTTGTTGTTGTTGTTGTTGTTGTTGTTGCAGCAGAGGCACACTTTCGGCATATTCAACATGCTGCTCATCATAATCTTTTGAAATCTTCTCTAAGAAACTATTGGATGCTTCTCTTATCCTATTTACTTCATACTCACCTGCAACCACAGAGGATGGTGGCTGTGTTACTATATTGGCATCATACTCGGATGATGCACCTTGATGAAAAGTTTGGTTTTGGGAGTGGTTGAATAAACGGAAATCATCAATGACTTCAAACCAATTGAAAAATATCCCTTCTTGATCAGTGGCTGTTGGTAACTGATCGCTAACCCGATACTCATTGTTCACAATATACAATAACTTATGCACACCTAAAGGTAACCGCATAGTTGTCACATATTCATTAGGATGTTTACTTGAACGTTTCAACCGAAGTACATCCCTCCAATTAGAGAAAGACCCAATAATGGAGACTTTTTTAATGGGCTCGTTATTGGAATTAACCCATTTGATTTCGATAGGAATAGTTTTGCTTTGATTCAGTTGTTGTTGTTGTTGTTGTTGCTGATGTTGTTGTTGTTGTTGTTGTTGTTGTTGTTGTTGTTGTTGCTGCTGATGATGATGATGTTGTTGTTGTTGCTGATGTTGCTGTTGTTGTTGCTGTTGTTGTTGCTGTTGCTGTTGATTTTGATCTTGTTGAGCATCTCTGTGTTCAACTTGACTCAAATCTGGCATTGACAAATCTCTATCCATTTCTCTATCTGCATCACTTGTTGAAATGTCAATGTCATCCATGACGTCATCGAGGTCGCCAGGTCCTGACATTTCTATGTCTCTATCTAATTTCAGCTGAATCGAGGACTCTGTGGTATCTTCGTCGTCATCTTTCTTGGGGATAATATTTCTGTGTACTTCGTTTTCTGTTTCATCATCTGTTTCTAGTAACCCGTCATGGACTTCGTTGAATTCGTCTTCAAGAAGATCGCTCAGAAACTGACGATAATGAATCAGTAGGTCGTTCGGCTGATGGGCATATGCCTCTACGGTAGAAGTGTTTGTAGTAGCAGCAATGGAATCTCCACCCACCCATCCTGGTGCAAGATCCGGTTGAGCTTGTGATTTGAGAACGGGGAATGATTCTGAACCCGATCTGGACCCTAAACCCGAGTCTGATTTCTGTGACACTAACTCTGCCTTAATGGATTCATTTAAAACAGACTTTCTCAAGTCTAATTCATGTTGATGTTGACCAAGTCCAGCAAGTTGTTCTCTATGAGTAGTGGTCAATGGTTGTGGATCAGTTTTCACTTGATGAAGGATCAAGTCACTGAACTCTTCATCCAAATTCTTATAAGCTTCTTCACGATTAGACATCGTAGGTTTCAACCCACTAGCAGTCGATTTTCGTGTCGACGTAGAAGTATTATTACCCATTAAAAATAAAAGCTGCCTTCCTTAATATGTATGTGAAACCTTTAACTCGGAGAAGACCAGTAGAATGGATTGTTGGTATAGCCGAAAATCTTGAACCAAGAAATAAAACCTCAACTAGTACTTTAATACTTTTAAAGTAGAAATTAAACAATCAACTCACTAGAATTAGACATTGCTAGTTTCTCCTTGATGTTGGCTACCATTTAAATGCACCATTACTTAATAAATTTTGTCCCAGACTTTGTGTTCCTCCCCATCCCACCCCCACAACTTGTATACAGGGAACTATGTAAAGGCCCTTTCCATCGAGACAATGACTATCAGACAGACAGCTGGTCAATGAGCTGATCAACTTTCTAACTGAGTAATTCCGGTCAAGCTATTGCGTTCGAGTAGTCGTGCTCTTTCAATATATTCCTTCAGGTTCCTCTATTCACTTTGTTCGCGTACCTTTGTTCAACGAACTACTAGACTGTATGTATTTCTCGGACTTCTTTGCCTTTACTTCCTTGTGTCTTCTCTCCTTTCTTTTATTAGTTTGCATCGCAAAATACGATGCCCTCCGCAAAATAACATCCAAATGGAATCGATCCAAGTTCGGGAAGAGTATGGCTGTATATCTCAATAATCTGTCAATAATCTCCACTCTTTCCATAGGTGTAGTTTCTCGCATCCATGTTTTGTGTCCAATGGGATGCTTTAATTTAGTTTGTACAATCTCTACAACCACTTTCTCCAAATATAATGTAACTTCAATAGGGAACTCTTGGAGTCCTAGCACTTCTTGAAGCTTCCGTCTGTTCATCCTCTGGTAGTAATGATCTCGTTGTTTGTCATCGGTAAATTTAAATAAAGACTTATGGTCGTGTTTCTCACCCAGATGGTGGGGAATCCCGTACTTCTCTCGAAATATACCCATAGGTTTCAATGGCTCGCTGATATTCAACGCAGGATACTTGGTAGGCTCATAGATTATGGTGACGTTAAGGCTGCCATTGAGGTAAGGACGAATAATGCATCGGTGATATGTTGGTTCGGTTATTGGGTCTGTTTCTGACACAAGTTCTGGCTCTGACCCGAAAGGTTTTGCATCCAATGATGAGCTTATCTCGGTTAACCTAACTCCTTGGTCTCTGATGGGAATGCAAGCAGACTCAGACTGTTGGTGTTGCCACTGAGTCTGATCGATCAATTCATGATGACTCGGAGGCCTACTGTAATTTGAAATGAATACGGCCTCGGATTCGACGCGTTCATTTTGTCGAAGATAGAGTTCGGGCATGAACCTGTGGTCCTCCGGTTCAGAAGACACGAACATATGAGGCAGAGCATCAAAAACGATGCTTTCTATGCCTGACGGAATATGGTGTCCGTAGTGATACTCAGCTTGTTGTGCCGAAAGATAAGAAGTACCATTACCAGCAGCATCAGTAGTATCGTTATTAGAGCTCATATCTGTCTTAAGCTCAGGGGATACTGCATCGAGTGGTAACACCATAAGTGGCATAGACGGGTGTGATCCCTCTAATCCATGATGCTGCGACACATTCGTTTTGCATCCATGATAATCATCACTCGCTAAGTCTAGTTCTATCATAGAAAACGAGTCGGAAACGACAGGGCTAAGCATTCCTAATGACAAACAAGACGCCTTAAGTACGAGAATGGACCCGCTAGTCGTAATTGATTAAGAAAATACCATGTTATGGTGCGAACTCATAGGGCATATCGTTTTTCCAAGATGCAGCAACATCTGACTATTAATACAGTTAATATAAGCTAATATACGACTACGTATCAGACAAGACAATAACCGTAACAATCGATGGTGGCTGAAATTGAATAAATATGATTATGGTCAGCTGATTAGGCAGTTCAAGTAAATCTGGGGTAATGCTGTTGAATCAGTCCTGCTCCCTTTAGTTTGTATGTTCTAAAGTTACGCATATTCTTCAGCGTCAACTACATTCAGTTGGATCCGATCCAAGCTTGGGAAAGTATGGCTGTGTATTGGGATATGCTTCAATAATCATTGAGCGTATTACCTTTTATCCGTTGTTTGCTTGCGAGAGGATACTTTAGCTTAGTTTGTAAATCTCTATAATCACATCTTGCACCTACTCTGTGACTGAAATAGGAAAATCTTCGAGTCCTAACACTTTTTGAAGCTCCTTTATGGCCAATTTCAGCCGGTGCATATGGTCTCCTTGCCAACTGGTAACCTTAGATACGGATTCATTGTCAGCTTTCTCACCCAGACTTTCGGAATCCCGTATTTCTCTCGAGACATACGCATAGACATCAATGGAATGTGCGTATTTAACGCAGGATATTAGCAAGGATTGTATGATATAGTCACCTCAAGGCTGCCGTTGAGCTGAGGATGAATAATGCTTCGATGATGCGTTGCGGTTGTTTCTGGTTCACGATCGGATCCTAAAGCATTTGTACCCAATGAAGAGCACGTACTACCATTTGGAGAGACCCCTAGGTTCCTGGATTCAATAAAATCAGACTCAGACTGTGAGTTTCGCCGTAAAGTCTGATCTATCAACTGAAGATGGTGACTCAGATGCGCACTGTGCTTTGGTGCTTTTGATGCAACACGGTCATTTTGTTGTAGGTTTAACTCGGGAATAAACCCATGGTTCTCTGGTCCAGACAACACTGCAATATGAGGCAGAGCAACGCTTTCTGTGTCCTCGGGAGTATGGTTGCCATAGCAGTATTCACCTTGCAGTGAGCAAATGTGAGCAATACCATCGTCACCAACAGGAGCAGTAGTAGCACCTGTAACAACAGCACCAGCACCAGCACCAGCACCAGTAGTAGTAGTAGTAGTAGTAGTAGTATCACTATCATAGCTGCTACCCGTCTCATGTTCAAGCGATATTGGATCCAGTGAGTACACCATAATTGGCTTGGACGGATGTGATCCCCTCTATTCATCATATTGTGACACATTCATTTTGATGAAGCATCTACGACGATCTTCACTTGCTAAGTGAAGTTCTATTTTAGAAAAGTTGGTAGAGATTGGAATTAACATTTTTAATAGTAGCAGAGACTCTATAAGAACGAGATTGGACCTGTCAGTCGTAGTTCTTGGAGTATTGTGGTGTTTTGGGTACTGGAAATATGTCAAATTTACGAGTATGCAGGTCTGACAATATACAAGAAATATACGACTACATCTGTACTGCATAACGTATGAATAACGTCCTACTTGAAGAAAACCGTACCATTCGATGATGTAAAAAGCCAAATAGCTGTTACAGTCAACGTATCGGCTTTTCGGTCAGCTTCCTATCAAGCAATTCGGTTTCATCCATTCTGCTCTCCTCTGTCCCCTTGACGACATACGTTTGTTCAAAGGGTATATTTTGACTGCTTATATTGATTGGTCCCTTATTGCCTCTATCAAACTTCTCTACTATAAACCGGCAGATGTGATGCTCTCCAGAAAATAATATTCAAATGGAACCGATTCAGGTGAGAAAACAGTATGCTGTGTATCTCAATAATTTGCCATTAATCACTGCACGTTGTTCAGGTGTATTATCACTCCTCCATGCCATATTACCAAGGAAATACTTTAATTGACTATGTAGTATCTCGAAAATCTCAAATATCACATAATGTGTATTTGCAATAGTCCAAGCACTGCTTGAAGCTTATTCTTGCTCATCATGCAGATGGAATATTCTCGTTTTATCATTCCAGTATATTTAAACCTGAATTGATTGCCAGTTTTCGGACGAGACAAACATATGAGGCAGAGCGCCACAAACGATGCTTGTAGTGTTTGATGGATTACGTTCTCCATAATGATATTCATCCATATTCACGGAGCATGTCACGGATCTTCACTTGCTAGGTCCTGTTCTATCCTGAAATAGTTGGTAGTGATGGGAGTCAGCATTCCTGAAGGCAGCAGAGACTCTTTAGTCCGGGTCTTTTAGTCATAGTTGATGAAGACGTTACGATGTTGAAGGTGCGAATTTAAGGCAATACTGTATTAATATACGGCTAAAATACGAGTAATATACGAGTATATACGACATTTAATCAGACATCTTCTGAAGCTTCAACGATTGCTTCGACTACACCATTAACATTACTTCCCAAATACTTACAGTTCATAAGCACTTGGATCAACTTCTTGATCCCAATGGAAAGAGGACGCATAGAACTCAATTCAGTTACAATTGCATGTCTTTCCAGTTCATTCATCAATCCTAATTTTGCCATGACTTTACCGATCTCCTCTGTATTGACCGGTTTAATGGCAAGGGTATTTGTGAAACTGTCTGTCAAATTCATATGCTTCAAGGTAGTGAATTGAGACGTTGTACCCAAGATCAACAACTTTCTATCCTTTGGAGGTTTCTTAGACAAATATACCATAAGTAATTGAAGTATCTCATTGGAGAATCGGGGCCCAATTGGGACATAGTTGATTAAGGTTTCGATCTTATCAATCACCAATACTGATAATGGAGATTTATAAACGTCTCGGAACAAATTATCAATGTATTGGATTTTAGCTGGTTCAGACATCCCCACAATGTTTTCTGCTGATAAAAGCTTAACAAAGGGGAATTTGGACAGTTCAGCTAATCGAGCAGCTATGGCCGATTTCCCAGTACCTGGTGCTCCATAAAGTAAAACAGTAATCAATTGTTCGGTTTCAGAATGTTTGATTTCTTCAATAAATGATTCACCTTTAACAAATAAGGTATTAATATATTCTGAAAATTCAATGATTCCATGAGGTGCTTGACGTTTTAAATCTTCTTCATTGGTACCAAAAGCAGGAACAACTTCATCCAAAGCCAAAAGGAAATCATCTCGACTCACCTTCATTGAATTAATCGACAGAATATCCAATGTAGCAATGGAATTGGATTTAGTGTGTCTTGATATAGCAAAGGATTTGGCAGAGTTACATAACCCTTCTATTTCGGCACCAGTAAAGTTTTTAGTTTGAGTTGCAAGTTCATCGAAATCAATATCAGCTGCTAGCATTCCATTTTCACGTAATTCATTGGTATGAATTAAAAGAATTTGTTTACGACCTTTTTCATCAGGTAAACTAATTTCAATCTGGATTTCAAAACGACCCGGTCTTAAAAGTGCAGAGTCAATCAAATCTAATCTATTGGTCATACCAATAACCAAAATATTATTTAATTGATCGACACCATCCATCTTAGACAATAATTGATTAACAACATTATCTCCAACTCCAGTACCATCGCTACGAGCAGATCCTCTTTGTTTGAAGACTGAATCCAATTCATCAAAAATAATAACATGCAAATCAGAATCATCACCCTTTTGCTTAAATTCAGCCTCTGCTTCTTTGAATAAAGCTCTAATGTTTTCTTCAGATTGCCCAACATATTTACTTAACATTTCAGGACCATTTACAATCTTTGGTTCCTTACCATTAAGCATTTTAGATAATTTTCTAGCAATTAATGTTTTACCTGTACCTGGAGGACCATAAAGTAAAAGACCTTTGCAATGCTTTATTGCCAATTTAGTAGCCAATTCTGGGGGTAAAATACGAGAATTAAATGCTCTTCTAAAGATATCCTTGAATTCTTCATCCAACCCACCAATACCCAAATCTTCCAATTTAAAATCAGGGTTAATGATTGGTTTTTTAGCTCTGGGCCGAACTTGAGTAATTGCTTTGCCCTGTTTGTTCCCAGTGTGAGTGACAATTTGAATTTTAGAGTCTTGATATGGGTAAAAGTTTATATCTGTTTGTTTAAGTAAAACCCCCTTTAAATCTATTTCTGTTGATTGGGTCAATTTAGTGGTTTGACGATCAATTATTTCCACTGAATTGATCAAGATTTGAAAGATTTGACCTTTAAAATCCATCACAATAGTTTGAGTGGGTTGTAAGATTTGATTTGAGTAATTAGCAAGAAATACATCAACCAATTCTTCATGAGAAATTGGTAAAGAATGAGCTTTGGATTTAGAACGGAAATCAACCAATAAATCAATTCGGCTTAAATATTGGGTGGCAGAAGCGGGCCATGAAGACACAGTTAATTGGGATCCAAGTGACCATCCACCCCATGTACGCATATTACCAGCAAGACCGACTGAGTGTGGAGCCATAGAAGGATCTTTAATCATATGGTATACAAATCGATTATCAAGAGCAATGGGGGAATTATCAGCAACTTGAGGGAAATCGTTTGGATTAACGGCAACACGATTAGACAAAGCTACTTGGTTTGATGGACATGCACCTGCTGCAAATTGAGCAGTAGCAAATCTGGCATCATCATTTCGACGTGGAGGAACGTTTGGTGGAACATCATCATTTCTATAGTGAGTGATTGTCGGAGCGCCCGGGTGGGTCGGAGAGTTTGAAACTTTATGGAATCCAAATTTTTCCATCTTGATATTGATACTGGACAATGTTTATGAGGAGGTTGGATCGTATTTAATAGCAATCAAGTGAACGAGTTGTCAAAGTGCTTTAGTGTTGAGAACAAGTTTTGTTCCGGAAAATTATTATGTAATTATGAGACTATGCTTGCCTAATTTGGATGCATGTCTTTTTATGATGCAATAAGAAAAGTCCAAATAAACTAACCTTGTGGTTATGAAGGCAACAACAGGTGTATATGTGGGCGAAATGAATGTGGTGATTTAACGGATATTAGACTTGTAAGTACTATGACGATGTCGTTCATGCAAGAAGCGAAATAATGTCGTCCATCAGATCCATCATTCTCTACAATCGTATCACCTTAATTACGGTATAACCGTAGCATGAGATATGGTCTACTATAGAATAATTCTTTAATGGAAGTGGCAGAATTTCATGCAGGCTTTATAATATATAAGTCCAGACTTAATTTGATCGCTTCATGTGATAACTGAGCCGATAACCATTAATAATTCCCGTCCTGTTACCATAAAAGAAAGTGTGGGCACTATTTGTCAGAATAGACCAAATCCATAGAATTCTAGAACACAATACGCGTCTGTTGGCCTTGCTTCAACCAATAACTGTGGCGTATCAGTAATTGTCAGCGCTACCAATTGTAGAATTAACAATAGATTCGATTGCCGATGGCCGATCGACGGCTTGTAGGATTATAGTTATCACAAGTGCATATAATGGTAGCGCTGCTCATCTTTTCGGATACTGTGGCCTAATTGGGGATACGGCATAGTTTAAATTAACATCTGAAGAATCCTCTGGAAATAGTATAAATAGTGGTGGATATCCTTCTCAAGTTGTAATAGATTTTTATCATTAAAAAAAAAACTTAATTAATTATACATAATAATACATAATGGTTGCTACCGTTCAAAAGCCTGCTCCATCTTTCAAGAAGACTGCTGTCGTTGATGGTGTCTTTGAAGAAATCACTTTAGAACAATATAAGGGTAAATGGGTTCTTTTAGCCTTTATTCCATTGGCTTTCACTTTTGTTTGTCCAACTGAAATCATTGCTTATTCTGAAGCTGTTAAGAAGTTTGCTGATTTAGATGCTCAAGTTTTGTTTGCTTCTACTGATTCTGAATACTCCTTATTGGCTTGGACCAATGTTGCCAAGAAGGACGGTGGATTAGGGCCTGTCAACATCCCATTGTTGGCTGATACCAACCACTCTTTGTCTAAGGATTACGGTGTTTTGATTGAAGATGCTGGTATTGCTTTGAGAGGTATCTTTTTGATTGACCCTAACGGGGTCTTGAGACAAATCACTATCAATGACTTGCCAGTTGGTAGATCTGTTGAAGAATCCATTAGATTGTTGGAAGCCTTCCAATTCACCGAAAAGTATGGTGAAGTTTGTCCTGCTAACTGGACTCCAGGTGCTGAAACCATCAAGCCTGAAGTTGAGAAGTCTAAGGAATACTTCAACAAGGTTAACAAGGATTAATTAATTTATTTAATGTGACTTATTTTATAGAAATAGATATTATACAGAAATAGATATCGTACATATTTTAATTTTAGCATTTGTGGTTGTAGAAGAAGCACAAGTAGTATAATATAAATCCGCAAATGTGTCACGTGACTTCCCCGTATACGAGTTTATACTGAGCCTTAATTTAATCAACTATCTATACCCTCTCTGTCTATAATGAAGAGTATTTATTTTTATAAACATTTGGTGACACCCCAGGTCTTTTTCCAATCTAAATACACATATGCCTTAGTCAACTTAAGACCTTTAGTACCTGGTCATGTTTTACTAGTTCCTCTTCGAACATCAGCATATCGTCTCGCTGACTTGACCCCCGAGGAATCAGCAGATTACATGCTATCATTACAATTGATTCACAGGTTTATAATGCACGCGTACAAAGCCGATTCACTCAATATTCTGATCCAAGATGGACCAGAATCAGGCCAATCTGTTCCTCATCTCCACACTCATATTATCCCACGGTATCGTAACGATATGGAAGACGCACAGTTCTATCAAGGGTTAGAGAAATGGGATGCCGAAACCGACTTCAATCGCCGGAAGCTGGCTTTCCATAACGGGTCAAGTTTCTCGGTGAATGAAGATAAGAGAGAGCCTCGGTCGATGGAGGTTATGGAGAAGGAAGCTGAATGGCTTTCTGAAGAATTGACAAGATTCAAAGATAAGATAGTATAGACATAATATATATATGTATGTATGTATGTATGTATGTATGTATGTATTGCGGTATATTAAAGTAATACTGTACTGCTGTACTACTGTACTACTATACTACTGTACTACTGTACTACTGTACATTTCAGTACTCAGTACATTTCAGCACAGAATATCATCTCTTTTGAGACTGCGAAATATCATCACAAATTATTCAGTGTCTCCTACTTCATTGAACGTAAAGCATGGCTACACCACTCGATGAGATACAATGGAAGTCACCCGAATGGATCCAACATTTCGGTCTCTACACCGCCAACGTTTTGGACTATTTCGCTGCACTGCCCTTCTACGATAGAACCTCCAATAACCAAGTAGTACGAATGCAGTTCCAGTTCACACCCCCACCTCAAGGCACAAACCCGGCTTATTTCCTTCAGGAAAAGCTTCAGGATATGGTAGGAGTGGAGTTCATAATATTATACGTCCGAGAACCAGATTTCTGGATCATTCGAAAACAGAAACGGTTGGATAGACAATCTGTTATACCTCTCAATGATTATTATATAGTGGGGGCAAACGTATATCAGGCACCTCGGATCTATGATGTATTATCTAGTCGTTTGTTGGTGCTGACACTAAGTATAAAGAATTCCGTGAGTCTATTGAATACTTTGAATGAGTTCCAGATTGGTGATGTCTCCGCCAGTTCAGGTTCAGGTTCAGGTTCAGGTTCTGGGCCCAGTGGAAGTTCAGCGCCCGGTGGAGGTTCCGGTTCAGGGGCTGGTTCAAATTCCGGCTCAAATTCCGGTTCAGGTGTTGCTGCCGGTAATGGTGGTGGTACCGGCTTACTTACTGGACCTGCTACCGGGACTACTGGATCTCCAGGCACACTTTTAAACCCAGGAACCGTAGGTGGAGGTATAAGAGATGGTCTACAACTGACTCCAATGACAGTAGTCAATCCTCTGACTTCAATGCAGAACAATGCTAACGGTATGACGGGGGAATCTACTCGAATTATCAGTTCCCAAGTTTATGATTCACTTTTGAATGCCGTGGTGGCACTGGCTGGGCCAGTCTATTTGGATGAGGATACAGTTTAAAAAAGAAAAAGAAGTATAAAAGTTATTTTATTTACAACTCATCTCTGATTTCTTGACCTGGTTGATCGTTGGCACCATCTAACTCACCACAGGCCCAGATTTTAACAGTCTCCTTTGGCTTATCACCGTAACCAGTCTTGGTCGATTCAATCTTATCAACAACATCCTTTCCTTCCAAAACTTCGCCGAAAACAACGTGTCTGCCATCTAACCAGGGAGTGACAACTGTGGTAAGAAAGAATTGGGATCCATTGGTATCACGACCTGCATTGGCCATGCTCAAACGGTATGGTCTATCGTGCTTCAATTCAAACGATTCATCTGCAAATTTCCCTCCATAGATGGATTTACCTCCATAACCTTGACCAGTCTCGTAGTCACCACCTTGGATCATGAAATCTTTGATCACACGATGGAAAATCAGATCCTTATATCCGAACTTGGGGTCTTCACTAATGGCCAATTGACGAAAGTTCTCAACCGTTTTGGGAACAACAGTACCAAACAATCCAATCACAATACGACCAATGGGACTATCACCTATCAGAACGTCAAAGTAAACCTTGTTGGTGATTTCTGGGTTCTCGGTGAGAGCCCACACACATGAGACGAATAACAATAAACAAGCAAACACCTTCATACTATACAATGCACACTATGTAGATGAACACGAACAAGATGTATTTCATAGCGTTGTTGTCCTTTTATAGATGTCGCAATTTTGTATAATGTCGTTGTGTGCACGACATTAGTCTTATTATTCATTATCTATGTACAGTGATATATAAATGCATCTACTGAACGGTATCAGAAGTCACGTTCACCCTTTTGTTCAGCTTCCAATTCCAATTCTTGAAATTTCTTACGTTCTTCCAACCGCTCCAACGCTCTCTTCTTAGCCCTAACCTCCTTTTGTTTCCGTTCACCTCCATGTTTCTTGGTACCTTGTTTGTGTTCTCGTAAGTTCTCCAAATCATTGACATACTTGTGTTTCCATTTTAGCATGTATTTACGTTGTGCACAGTCTATTCCCATTTCCTTCAACTTTGGTCCGTCCAGCTCAAGAAACTTGTTTAAATCGCCTTCAAACGCTTCAACATGTTCAACTGTCTTTCTTCCAATGGCCTTGAAGAATGTCTCAAGGTCTGTAACGTTACTCTTGTTCAATGTAGATTTATTGGTTCTCATCACCTTACTGGTACTGGAGAACATCATCCGAGTCCCAGATGCAAATGCAAATCCACGTCTGCTAACTGAAGTAGCACATCCACGTGTGCAGCTACCATTCACGATTGTTTTCAACATTATCAACAACAGTAAATTGTGTTTGATTGAATAGACTTGATAGAGGTTCGATTATGGTTAGGTTGAAAATTTTCAACTACATAAATAATTGGCGAGCGCACGACTTCCTGGGGAATGAAGGTATAAAGTCATTGAAAAAATCGAAGGCATACAAACTGCAATACACCATCGATATCCATAATGTAAATGTATCAGACTTTATGGCATGGATATTGTTCTAGATTATGACATGTCCATGGTACTACAGACGACATTATGACATGCTCTACATCAAATTTTGCTCCACAGAAATTATGTTCCACTGTTAGTCACGTGACATGCTCATATACTTAAAGTAATTTCTTATCTTCAAATTCCTTGTACAAAGAAGCACCCAATCTAGCAGGAGAAGCTTCGACAACAACACCAGCAGATTGCAAAGCAGCAATCTTGGACTTAGCATCACCCTTACCACCAGCAACAATGGCACCAGCATGACCCATTCTTCTACCTGGAGGAGCAGAAACACCAGCAATAAATGAAACCACTGGTTTTGGAACATCACGAGTCAAATTGTATTGCTTAAGGAATTCAGAAGCTTCTTCTTCAGCAGATCCACCGATTTCACCAATCAAAATGATCCCCTCAGTTTCTGGATCATTCAAGTACAAAGTTAAGGCATCGATAAAGTTAGTACCAGGGAATGGATCACCTCCCATACCAATGACCAATGATTGACCCAAGCCAACAGCAGTGGTTTGAGCAACAGCTTCATAGGTTAAAGTACCAGACTTAGAGATAATACCAACTCTACCACGCTTATGGATAGAAGAGGGCATGATACCGATCTTACATTGATCTGGAGCAATCAAACCAGGACAGTTGGGACCCACCAAACGAGTCTTGGATTGGGTCTTTAAGATTTGAGCAACTCTGACCATATCCTTTTGGGGGATACCTTCAGTGATGGCCACAGCAAGAGAGATCTCGGCCTCGATGGCTTCTTCAATGGCCTTAGCAGCAATTGGAGGAGGGACAAAAATACCAGTAGCAGAGGCACCAGTTTCTCTCATGGCTTCAGCAACAGTAGCAAACACAGGTAAATCCAAATGAGTGGTACCGGCCTTCTTAGGGTTGGTACCTCCAACAACCTTGGTACCATAAGCAATAGCTTGTTCAGCATGGAAAGTACCTTGTTTACCAGTGAAACCTTGATAGATAACCTTAGTGTCAGCATTAACCTTCAAGTTACCGATGGTATCGGCATAACTGGCTCTTCTGGCAGAAGAAGCAAACGAACGGGTAGCACTTCTGAACATGGCAATGTATATTTTATATCTCTCTATTAAGATGGACCACGGGGCTGTGTCTGTCTGAGTCTACTTGTTATGTTGATGAAGAAAGATACGTAGATGAAAAGAATTCATTACCCAAGGAGGATTTGCGAGTGGAGTATGAGAGAAAAAAATGTCTGCAATTTGTCGGAGTAAACAAAAGTATATAGTCTCAATGTCGGGAAGAACTCGGAATCAATTAAAGGCATTCTTACCACAGTGGGGTCTGATCGGAACACAATATACGGTAGTAAGTATACTCCAGGTCATGTCATGTCATGTCATGTAGGGTCCGGGAGCGGGATTGGGATTGGGATCGGGATCGAGGCGCTTGTCTGGTCTTTGGTTGATTGTATTAAGCGATGGTGAAATATGTGTCTACAGATTTGCTTGATGAGGTACGTGAAATTTGTGTCTGAAAGTTTGGCACTCAATGTCGGCTTGTATTCGGCATTGAGGGGCATTTGTTCGGTGAGGCGCGTGTGAAATAGTGGTGTAAGTTGCGGACACAACATCGCCGAAGACGACGGGGTCGGCTGCTCCGAAGATATGTGTCCTGTCTGATGTGCCCCGGGGAAAATCAGACAGAAGTTACCTTTGTTCCCACGGTTTGTATGTGATTGGTAGCGCGGTATATCGTGCGTGTGTGTACCGATAAACTAAGAGGTTTAACCATAATAACAACAATATAGTGCAATGACGGTATACTAGGTATTGACAATCAAGATTAAAATATGTCTCTTGTTAGGCTGTAATACTATCAAGCTATTTCATCCAGCTGTTCTTGAAATCGCTGATCAAAAAAATGCTGCTGCTATGATCACGTGACATCAATCGAAGGCATCTACAATTATAACTGCTTCGTCCCTGTCTCTGCACTTCAAACCAATCAGATACATAAATATTCCAAAGATTCAAACCGATTCCAAATTGGCAATCCGTAGTTTAGACAATCAGAGGCATTAATGAACAAAAGAGTGCAATTAGTTTCATCCGGAACCGATTTTAGTTTACCGATGCGGTAATTCGTGTCGCATCAGTAGGTAAATAAAGACTTATAGAATAGACAACGACTCTGTAATAAATCCCAATCATTATGGGAGATCCAAAGCTCGGTAATAACCTTGATTCTTCCGAAAACAGAAGCTCCTTTCCATGTTAACATTTCCGGGTCAAACTCACGTGGTGGTGGAAGAACATTAACTCCAAGGGTCAGGCCCTTTTCACTTATCAATTCCAATTCTTCAATATCAAATGCAATCTTCACTTGTTTATCAATGGCTTGCAATTCTTCTGACGTCAAGATTATGTCATCTCCACCACCAGATCCTGTTCCGGTTCCAGTTCCATTTTCACCGGGAGTTCCAGTTCTACTAATGGCTTCATTGGTAGTAGTACTACTTGTACTTCCATTGGACCCATTCCTCTTCTCCTTTATCTGAGCTACTAAAGCTTGTCTTTCCTTTTCAAACCGTTTCTTCTCCAGAATACATTTGTCTACCACTTCATCAACCAGAGAAGTGGAAAGAAATCGGGGTCTCCAAATATTAATTCGATCACTCAACACCAAATCAAACCCACTGATCTTTGCAAACCCACCACCCACAACTAACAAGTTGTCGTAGAATTTACGGGTCTTCTCAAAGTCAGTAGCTAACCCAGCATTAGTTATCAGCTCCACAATGGCTTTTTCAAGAGGAATGGATTCTAAATAAACCCGATCCAGAGTGGAAGTCTTGGTGGGTTTAGGTTTGTTAGTAGCTGGATTAATCGCCATCTTGGTCTGCTTCAAATCCACAAGTCTTAACAAAAGTTCTTCCTCTGTCATGTTACAAGTGACTTCCCCTTTACTTAGAGATTCTTGTGCTTGTGAAAATGGGTTATTGGGTTTCATCAGATATTGATCTCTTGATATGGGGAATAAAAGGTTCTTTCTATTGGTCTTTTCCAAATGCTTTTCAAATAATGCTGGATAAAATAATCCTAGTGGTGCCAACATCACTTCATCAAACACTTTGAAATCATATTTCTCCGTCATCTGTCCACATTTCCGTTTATAAAATGAATACAATTGAACAGCTATATCGGCATCTTGGCATGTGACAAATTGTTCCTTTAATTGTTGAGCCAACTCCCAATCATCTCCCTTCAGCCGTAAATCAATATCATTATATGGGAAAGCCGATTCAAGCAATAATTTAACAAATGCTGTGGTTATATCATCTCCACCATAATCTAGTAATATCCGCAGATCATTAATGACTAACCCTTCATCAACGCAAGTAATTGAAGTAGTTTGACTCCCCATGTCTATGACACAAGCAGAAGATGTTCCAGCACCAAAAGTGGCAGCCACAGACTCTTGAATCACTGCAATACGCCCAAACCCAACGTATTTGAATAACACTTCACACCAAGCTTCAACATAAGCTTTATCGTAGAGATCGGGAATCACCAAAATACAATTCATCGACTTTAAATCTGATGCTGTGAGTCCTTCAGGATCTCCAGTAGCAGAAGCAGAAGTGGTAGCACCATTTTTAAGTGGTTCAGATGATTCCTTTGTTCCATTAGAAAAAGTGCTGCCGTTGGATTCATTCGGTTGTTCTTCTGAAACTTCAACTTCTTCTAATAGAACCTTATTTACCCCTGCTAAGACAATGTTGGATAAATCACCCAAAACTTCCTGAGGACTTCTATAGTAATCATCAACCTCATTAAATCTTCCTTTAATTATTGGATACCGTAATTTCCAACCCTTTGCCTGTGGAGGTAACTTCAAGGCCTCCTCACCAACCAAATATTTAGTAGTGGTGGGGATTTCTTGTTCCAAAAGCCATTCTTTCCGGTAAGGGTCATTATGATCGGGTATTCTTTCTGGATATTGTTTCCTATTGAAATTGGCAGCAGTTTCTCTTGAATTGGGTAACACTCTTCTCTTGTAGAATCTCATACGAGCCTTGAAGTCCTTGGTAACTTCTGCTTTCATCTTGTTGAAGTTTTCATCGAATTGAATGTCTCCATTGGCATCAACTTCTCTAACTGGATAAGGTTCATGTGGGTGTATAATTTCTTCCTCCAGAGTTCTAACGGCAATTACTGAAGGAATAGTAGTGGGATATGCTTCTGTGGCTCTCCCTATACGAATATTTGTTGAACCGGGATGAATTACCACAGTATCAGACCCTTGTTTGTAAGTCCCTTCGCCCGAATCTTCATTATCATTATCATCTTCTTCATCATCGTCATCTTCAGCCTCTGGTTTAGGTGTTGTAAGCATTTCTCTAGTTTCGTCCTTTATATGTGCAAGATCAAAGTTATCAAATGATTGAGTAGTCGTCTGATTCAATTGTTGAGCCAATTGTTGTTGATGTTGTTGTTTCCTTAACACTTCCTCTTGTTCCTTCTTCTTCTTCAACAACTGTTGTTGGTTTTTCTCCAGCCTCCAATTCCGTACAAACGACACTTGTTCATCTCTCTTCAAATAATCAGTGAAATAATTCTTCTGGTTGATCAAGGGAACTGTTTTAACGCTTGTTAGACCGAAATTGTTTTCATTTTCAAATCTGCCAATCCCTGTCTTCTTTAAATTCTCAGCAATAGTCATAGCTGCTTTAATTCTTCCTTCTTTCCGTCGTTGAAGCACTTCAGCACTTGGTTTCTTAGGATCTCCCTTAGCTTTAGCAGTGGCACTGGTTTTGGCCCTCTTCTTGGGAGCAGCTCTTGTCTTGGTAGGCTTTACTGCTGCTTCTTTAGTTTCTGCTTCCTCGGCTTCTCCGTCTGCTTCCTCGTCATCTTCTCCTGCTCCTCCTTCGTCTTCGGCTACACGTTTAGCCTTCACAGGTGAGGAATCGGGTGCTACCGCAGGTGAACTGGGGCCATCTCCAACTTCACTGGTCAAGGCAGCTGGGGAGGAAGGTTCCATGGTTTAGATACTATTAGGATTCGCACAGTAGCCCTGTCCAATTGGGTTTATGTTCAAAGGATCATGGGTAGTTGTTGGTGTAGAATTGAAAAAACTTAGACACCTTCAGTAGGTGCTTATATGCAGGTGTCAATACTAGTGTCTCCTGATTATGTAATAAAACGATATGCTGCGTTACAATATAATAGTGTAACTACTACTGTTTACTGTATTGCAATTATTATCGTTATTATAAATATATAGTGGCTTTAGTAGTCCAATGACATTTTAGGGGTTAGGCGAGTCTGTTTGATCGTAGTAGGAGGTAAACCAGGGCTTGCACTATGAGCCTTGACTGAATTATATGAAGCACGAATGGATGAAAGACCATTTGGAACTGGAACAGGTAATGATGAAGGTAATGCCGAAGATGAGTTATTATTATTATTGTTATTATTATTCTGTTGTATGGCAGAAAGACTTGCACTTTTCTTATGCTTTGTAAGGTTCATGATATCCTTGGATTTTTGTTTATCTCGTTGATGGTCCCATAGCATTCTTTTCCACAGAGTTAAAGAGTTATGCCATTCAAATAAACGGGCGAGTTTCCGTTTGGTTTCTGGGGATAACATTGATGCAGTGGTGGGGGTGCTGCCAGCAACACCATTAGGAGGAATTGCATGTTCTAGCTGGGTATAAAGGGCTTGATATTGAGTGTAAGTTTTATGGAATCTATCCAGAATAGTTTCATAGTAGTTGGGTTTTTTCTCATCCAAACCAATCAAAGATACATTCACGTCGTCATCAAGTGATGAAGGTGATGTGATGGACGATGCAGTGCTTGTAATGGGTATAGTTGAGTTGAGGTGGTGATGGTCTGCTCTGACTCTTTTAACCCGTTCATCTTCCGATGACGATGACGAGGATGCAGAGGAGATGGTTCTGATTCTCTTTCTGGATGCAAGTGGGGTTCCTGGTTTGGGAGTCACTGGTCTTGGAGGTATAGATGCTGGGATCAGTGATGATGCAGTGGATGAAGTTACCTGTTTCTTTTTTGGAGACACTTCTTTTCTCAATTTCAGTACTGATTGGGTAACATTTGTAGTAGTGGTAGTAGTAGTAGTATTTTGCTTGGTAACAGGAGTTGAACTACTTAATCCGCCTCCTCCCACGGCGATGTTTGTATTAGCTGGAGAATTCGGGGTGGAAGTGGAGAGAACAGCAGTAGCAGAAGTCAACTTGTTTCTAAGAGGATGAGTATCCAGGAACCCCAATCTAGTGAGTGCTCTATTGATATTATTTATGATCAAAGATCTCTGAGAAGGAGTCAAGATTGAAGCGGGGGATGTATTGTAAACCCGAATCTCCTTATAAGCTCTATCTTTACAGATAAAAGTATTTGAGATATCATGAGGAGTAAAGGGGAACACGTCATCTTTAGTGAATTGATCATTTGGATCATATCTCTGAAGATATTGTTGAATAAGTGGATCGTTCTCCTTCAAATGAGTATGGTTAATCAAAGTTTCTAATGAACAAGGTCCTAATGACATGAAAACGAGTACTTTCTGTAAGATTGTGGGTTTATCATCTGTACCATAATTTATCACCAATTTTTTACTTGAATATTGTAAAGGTGGTGCACATTCAGTATTAACCGTTAATCTTGATTCGATTCTACCGTTAAACTTGGGTTCTTTCCCCTCCTGCAAATCATAGACATCAACAGTCAAATTCTCAGGTACTCGTGTAAGGGGATAAACTGTGTCTGGAGAGACTCTAAGGAAGAATTTGCCTTGTTTGACCACTAGTTTAGGTGCATAATTGGAATCTTTGGATGCCTTCAAATGGGATATTATACTATTGTTGAGCTTAATAGAATACGCAAGTACCAGATCCGGCGGCGGTAACTGACAGATCGTAGGAAGTGGAGTCGATGCCATAAGGAAGGAAAAAAGTTATCTAATCAAATCAGCTCAATCTTTAATCGATTCAATTCTTAATAACTACTACACTCAACTCAAAAGACTAATGATAGATGGAAATTTTCAAACACAAATTAATTAGTCACTTAGTTACTTGAGTAGTACTCCACTAAATTATCATACCAAGAATTACTGGTACCAATAGTAATTACTGTACCGATAATTACTGTTAATTTGTATATATATATAAATATATATGATAAAATAATTGAAACAGAAACACCCTGTGGATCAAATCACTTCACTCCACTCCTCTGAAACAAAAAGGTTAACCCGCTTAACTTCTACTGTACCGCACACCTCCTGTACACACTGCTTTGTTCTCCGTCAACGGGTGATCGCTTTAGAATGCCTAAACCGCACAAATATTCCGCATAAGGAGTAACGGTGGTGGTGGTGGTGCTAGCCGTAGCTGCCAGTGCTAGCTGCCAGTGCTGGTACTAGCATTATTAGTAATGTCTGTGTCTATGTGCGAAAGGAGTTGGCGAAGGGGTAGGGTCCGGTTATGCTTGTGGTCGTCTTATATTTAGCAAATGACCCCCCCTCTCACCTCAGACATCATCACAGACACAAACGCAAGAAAGGTCAACTCGCGTTCAATTTAGTCCCAAGGAGCTGTTGTCTCATGCTTACGTAAGTTCACAAAACATGGTAGTATGAGCATATATTACCCGGCATCACAAGCAAAAGTCACCTGTAGGTATCAACCATTTTGTGGTGTTTCCCCCCAACGATGCTTCTGTAATGGCAATAAAATTAAAAATGTAATACAGATACTCCTTCCTCTCTTGTGTGGAAGTTTAAGTGTTTACGACTTTTCATTCATTTATATACTACTACGTACGTACAAGAATGCTTAAGTGGGTTCAATCGGGTCTTTCTGTTGTTGCTGGTACTGCCGAACCAGAATATGGTCCAGATGCCATTCATCCCGTAACCAAATCCATTGCTCCCAGCGTTCAGCCTTGGAGACCAACAACGGTTGAAGATTTTGCCTGGAAACAACCTGATTACACCAATGTTGAAACCCAAACATTCTATTTCACATGTTTGAACACTGGAGATACTGGTTTCGCTCAAGTGATTCATTCCAACGTTATGGGAGTTCACACCACTGCGCAATTCACTTTTCGGTTGTTTAATTCCGAAACAAAAAAAACCATTTGGACTCTGACTAAATTAAACGATTTCAAAGTTGACGGTTCAAACTTCTATGCTGAAGATCTTCTGATTGAATTTTCAAAAGATGGGAAACTGGTGCATTTAAAATCAAATGTAAATCCAGATTCCATTATTGATTTTGAAATGACAAGGTTGACTGAGGGGGTCATTTTCGGTAAAGATGGTACTACTTTGTATGGAGATGATGTTGAGAATCCTTGGGGGTCTATGCGTCATGTTTTCTGGCCCAGATGTTCCGTTAAGGGTACCATATCTACTTTGGTCGATGCTGAAGTTGCTGACACTCCACGTATTATTCCAATTGAAGGTTTCACTATGTTTGTCATGGCTTTACAAGGGATGAAACCTCATCATGCTGCTAAATCTTGGAACTTTCTTAATTTCCAATCGGAAAATTATTCAGCTGTTCAAATGGAATTCACTACCCCTAGATCGTATGCAACCACAAAGGTCAATATTGGGATCGTATGTCTGAAAGATAAAGTTATAATTGGTTCAATTGATAATACAGTTGTTCATGAAAATTCTAAGATTGATGAAATTGGTTGGCCTGTACCTCAAAGTATTGTTTTCAACTTTGATGGTAATTCAGGTGCTGAACAAACGTCAAATATCATTGTTAAAGGTGATTTAACAACTCTTGTTGAAAGAGTCGATGTTATGGCTGAAATCCCCCAATTTGTCAAGAATATCGTCAGCAATGTTGCCGGTACAAAACCTTTTATCTACCAATACTGCAATACTTTCGCAATCTCAGTCGATGACCTGACATCAGAAAAGGGTATAGCTTTCAATGAAGCAACCTTTATCTCAGAATAAACTCATATCATCGCTTATATTTTTGTCTTATGCCTATTACCTAATCTTTTTTATCTTATGTTACGGGGTTTCTGGGTTTTTCTATCACTGTTTGTCGTTTATTGTGGCCCTATACTTTGCAATACTTAATCCTCGTTTGACTCTCTTTTGTCAATTCTTGTTGCTTTTGCCACCGGTATTCTACCATTACTTCTGCCGTTCATATACTTCTCTGATATCTATATTAATAATAATGCAACTACGAATATAAAAATAATAAAAATAAGATAAATTTTGATTCATTTGTACGATTTTGATATTTAAAAAATGGACGAGTCCGGAGTCGAACCGGAGACCTTTCGCATGCTAAGCGAACGCGCTACCAACTACGCCACACGCCCTTTTAAGGTGTAAATGGTCCCTGGCGGGATCGAACCGCCGATCTTGGCGTTATTAGCACCACGCCTTAACCAACTGGGCCAAGGGACCATTTCTTGGAGTTTAAAATGCAGATATTAGTCTTCAAAATACGAATAATGTTGTCATTTTGCTCTGTTTCACAAACAAAAATTTCGATATCGACTGGTCAGATCTCAGCCAAGTAGGATTTTAATGGGGTTTACAACATAGCTCTGTAGTTCTAGGTAGTATCTATTAAATCCTAGTTACCCCGCATGAATATAAGTTATCTTTAACTGCTATTGGATTCAAGAATAAGGGAAATGAGAGTAGTGCGCATACTATGGTTTAGCTTGCCAAGTTTTGGCATAACATGCAAGGAATTATTTTACCTCATCGATTGGCAACTTGTCCGAGTGGTTAAGGAGAAAGATTAGAAATCTTTTGGGCTTTGCCCGCGCAGGTTCGAATCCTGCAGTTGTCGTTATTTTTTCTTTCTCAACCCAGAAGTTGATGTTGGGGTGCAGTTCAAAGTCTGATTTTTTTACAATTTTGATACATTTTCATATAATTGCTAGTTATGTTCTAAAGAAAATGTTTGTACAAAGTGAAACTGAGTTAACAATTCAAAAGATTAATATGACAATACTTCAACAATAAATTGTACGTAGGTACGTCGTGCACTGCTGTAGCTCAGACTACCACGTAGAATTCACTAGTTTAAAAGTCAATACGAATTCATTATGAAACAAATAATCAAGCTAGAGTAAAGCTGCATTAATAATTAATATCATTAAGGTTTAGATAAGGTACTTCATTTAGCCCATAAAAGTGCTCTTTAGACTATTTTTGAAAACAGTGTTATGTACTGTAGCGTGTGGCAGTCCAAAGGAAATTTATTTGTAAGTAAGGGCTCTGTGGCCGAGCGGTCTAAGGCGGCAGACTCAAGTTCTGTTATCGTAAGATGCGCGTGTTCGAATCACGCCGGAGTCATCATTACTATACTTCCTTACTTCTTTACTTTTTTTGCATTCACTACCAAAGTATTGAATAGTGTTTATGACAAACGGAACAGATATTAATGATTATATTAATGATATTGATTATACAAAATAACTTAAGTAGGTTTGGTGTTGGGGAAGAATCTGGTTAAAAAGTCTTTACGACTAATTCTTTCATAATGAGCAGCGGTTTTCTTACGGAAGGCCTTACCCCACTTAAGGAATATGACAAAGCCACCATTGATGACCACGGAGATCATGAATAAAAGCCATGTCAACAATTTCAATCCACAAGCATCCAACCAGTATTGGAAAACATAAGTGAACACAAACCCAATCATGTTTCTAATGAACAACATAAAGACCAAACAGTCCGTAGCAGCCTTAGTGTAACAGTCGACGGAATAGGCAATGGTAATGGCACCAGAGGCACTCATGGCAAACCCAATACCACCTTGACCAAGAACAACAGACCAAGCCCAGTGAGCCTTATAGTAAGAAGGCAACCCATAGGCAAGTAACCCACCGGCATTAATGATGGTTGGAATGATCATCATCCATAATCTCATTTCTGGCTCAAAGACACCCTTATTCTTTCTACTCATATGGATAATGAACTTATCAGCCAATGGACCACCATAGTACATACCAAAGATAGACCCAACAAACGCACCCACGTTTGTTAAACCAACCATGGAGGCATTGAAGTTGTAAGGAACATCGGAATAGATTTGAGATTGGGTCACCAAAAGTAATGATAACCAACCCATTTGAGACCCGTACACCAACGCAGAATAGATAACGGCCGGGAAATAAGCGAAAGCAGGTCTCAAGAAGAGAACAAACCAACTTCTGGGGTCATTGTATTCTGTTTCAATCATCTTCAATCTTTGAACGTACGATCTCTTGGGGATGTTGTAGTCGATAGACGAGTCATCTGCATCCACACTGTTATTAGCAGCTTGGGTGCGCACCTTTTCTGCGGACTTACCATGATCGTTCTCATGATCATCAAGATCGATGGATTGAGCTCTAGAAGCGGTCCGGGATTGGATTTGGGACAAGATCTCGTCTTCAACGTCATCGACATTTGTGTCTCTGTAGAAGGTGGTGTCTTCCATAATGAAGAACTGTAAAAAGGCGAAAACTCCCATGATAATGGTGAGGATCCAAAAGGTCCATCTCCAACTCAAGTCGTCCACCACAAACCCAGCAGCCACAGGACCCAAATATGAACCAGCATAAAGGGCAAAAATCATATAGGACACGTAAGTACCCACCTCATGTTTATAAAACACATCGGTGACAGAGATTTCCACCAAGGAGTCCACTGGAGCAGCTGCCAACCCACCGAAAATATTGGACACATAAAGATAATGGACGTTCTGGGCACCACCTCCAACTGTACAAGATAAGATCCCGAGGAAGGTGCAGAGCATGTAAACAAATCTTCTACCGACTTTCAAAGCCGTGGGTTGTAAGAATACACACCCCACCCCTAAGAAAAGGAAACATAAAGCCGAAGAAGTATTCAACTGGTTATAGTTTGTGTTTAACACCTCGACCCACGTATCGTAGATAGGTCCAGAAAAGTTAACAATGGCCGCCAAAAAGAAGGCCCACCACCATAAAAACCAAAACTGCACTTGTTTCTTCCTTTTAGACCATCTAAGAGGATCGTTAGGGTTAGAAGATGGCGGAGGAATCAAAATAATGTCTGAGTTCCCGTCTTCTTTTCTAACATGAAGATCACCTTCTAAATCCACTAAATGAACGGTACCAGGTACATATTCGTAGTTATCAACCACAGAAACTGCCGAATGAACAGGCTTTAGGCCGGTTCCAGAATAACCCATGTTATAATATACTTGTACTGTACTTGAACTATGTTACGGGATACTTTATGGATTTAATTCAGGTGATACTTTGGATCGGTTGAATACCTGATGCTTATATAGCGTTGCGCGATGAGACACCCCGCCTTATCTTGGTCACAAAACTATGATAAGAGGGCGGCTATTGTCACCAGGTTGTAGGAAAGGCTTTAGCTATTCGATGGCTGCTGACCTCCATGCAGTTGAGTGAGTGTTGTGTGGGGGAGTTTTGTTGATGGTAAACAGAATTGCAGTAGGCCCGGACCAGTGGACCGTGGTACGTATGATAGTGATAGTGGTAGAGGTGGTAACCGGTTCTTGGTAGTGGGAGTTAGCCCCGGTTCAGAGCACCGTAGTGCCCGTTCAGAGTGCGGTACCAGGATGACAGCAATAATTCGTGGTGAATCATTATCTGTCCAAATCGGGCAATCTAGCTCGCATTTAATGACCTAACCTGGTACAGCATCAATTGGTTATGGAGTGGTAGACATTTACTTCGTCTCCACTCAGGAAAAATGTCGTTCTCCATTTTTCTTGTTAGCGGTCAGGTCCGCGCGGCGTGTTTGAATGGGGGCGTCTTTTCCGAAACCGCGCAATTTCTTCCTAAAGGGGTAACTGCCCTTCTCTCGGAAAAATAATACTAATAATGTCCAACTACAATCCATTGTTCCTGTTTCATCATATATAATTTTGAACTAGTGTATTTGATGGCTTTATATTAGTGAAGGTCATTGATAGGCCGAGACATTTTCTCATAGTGCAGTTTGCGCTTTCTAAATCTGTTGCTGCTCATAGTCCATGACATAACTGATTAGTTGTTGAGATAGATGGTTGTACATACTGGCGGAACATGGGCGGATCTTGCAAGTATCTTCACCAAAATAGGTTAATAGTCCAAATGGAACTTGGCATCCCATTTGGGTCACACAAAACCACTAGCGTGAACAGGCTTGCTGTCTGTAGATGGCTATCGAATACCGACAGTGTCGTCATAATATTGATGACAGTTTATCTTATCTTTAAGCTATCTCTTTTCAATGGTAAACTTGTGTAAAAAGATATAGCCCAAGATTAAGAAGGCAACTGCAAAACCCGCCAATTTACTCACATCAATCCAGAAGGCGCTAACATCAAACCCAAAGGTGCTCAAGATAACAGCACCAGGTACTTCAATGGATAAGCCGTATTTCTTCTCTTTCAAGATTAAATCTTTAACCTCGTTAATCGTAAGAGACTCATAAGCGTAATGGAAAAGTGAAAGGATCTGGAAAACCTTAATTTCTGATTTAACATCTTCACTATTAATGAAAAGTCCAGCAAATAATAATGAAAATAAAAGTATCAACACTCCAACCATCGTGGAAGTCCCTGGTTCACGTATAAGAATCCCCACTATCAAGACTTCTATGGCAACCGCAACATTGAACAAAATCAACACCATAGTGGCCTTCAAAAACCCGTTATGTTCCATGGTTAATCCAACCAATGGATACGCAATGCTAAGTAAAATAATTGGTGGTAATACCCGCAAAGGTAAAACATCACATACAATCTTGGAGATATAGTAACTGGAAGGATGATAATAGTTATTAGCTCGTTCACGAATAAAGATAATCCGTTCACTGCTAAAGGCATGAAGTCCTGTCAAACACGAGAATCCAAATAAGGTTAATAAAAAGAAGAACAACCCCAATCGGTTTTGAAACCCACTTATATCATTACTCACGTCATAATATAAATACCCACAAAATAATCCCATCACTAATGAAAGAACATAATGACTCAATAATAGTCTGGGATTCCGGTATAAGTTCTTGAATGTTCTTGACGATAAAATCAAAATTTGGGATCCAATGGTAGCTCTTTTGAACATACGATTATTGAATTCAATGGGTGTACGATTCTCGATTTCTCTGGCAATCAGAGCTCTAATCTCACTAGCTGTTTGCGATTGATCAAAAATCAGTGGGAGCTTATTCTTAATAGTAATGACTTTGGTATTACCGTGTTCATTATATTCATCACGATGAACTGCAAAGTGTTCCCATTCCATTTGAGTGTCGATTGCACTTGGAGTTGATGCAGTGGTGGGTTGAAGAAACTCTGCATGAATGTGATCATCTCCTTCAAGCGATACACCACTGGAAATCCCAACAGACTCTTCAGATTGCGTTGTGCTGATAACTTTCTTCTGGTTAACCGTCACATCGATTAAATAATCAGCAATGTTATAACCCACTGGACATTTGTACCCGTTGGAAGCAAAGAAATCATTACATGCAATCATTGCACCAGAATAAACCAAGTCACCTTCATTTAAAAGAACCAAATTATCAAAGAGTGAAACAATATTACTTCTTGGTTGGTGAATGGTGAAAACAATAGTACGGTTAAAGTCTCTTGCTAACTTCACCAACACATCCACAACGTTTCTAGCGTTATAAGCATCTAAGCCAGATGTAGGTTCGTCGAGGAAAAGTATAGATGGAGAAGTAACCAACTCACAAGCAATAGAAACCCTTCTCTTTTCTCCTCCAGAAATTCCTCTTTCAAAATCAGATCCAATCACCCGGTCCTTAATGTGAAATATGCGTAACTCATTAAGTACTTCAATGACACGTGCTTCTTTGGCCCGAAGACTCATATCTCTAGGTAATCTTAACAAGGCACTGTTTAAAACTGTCTCATACACCGTCAATGTAGGTATCAAATGGTCTTCTTGGTCCACAAACCCAATAATCTTCTTATAATCCTTTGGCAGTATATGAGTCCCATTAACATAAATATCACCAGTTATTTGTCCAGCTTTAAACTTGCCTGCTAAAATGTCTAAAAGAGTAGTCTTCCCGGCACCTGACCCTCCCATGATAGCCAATGATTCACCGGGTTGCACTATACCAAAAATATTCGATAGTATCTGTTGATGGTTGCCCTTTTTGGAAACCTTGTACGAGACATTCTTGAAGGCCAAGGTGGCTGGAGTGAAGTTCTCATTCATAGCATGTAGTTCGCTTTCAAGGCAATCGAAATGGTCGGTTGAACGGAATAAAGGAGATTTCCCAATGTTATATATGGAAGTCACAACAAGGATGGCACATAAAAATCCAAACCCACCAATTAACAACATGTTACTCAAGGTGAATCTTGGTTTAGGTGGAAGTGTATAACCTGGGATCTCGGACTTATGGATACATTCCCCAGAATTACAATGCAAAGTGATGTAAGGGTCTCCAAACACAGATTGAATCAATTGGTTCATACTGGGTTCAGAAAAGCGACAAGATTTGGCATTAACATCACATGTGAAGTCACCTGGACCTTTGATAGTTTCAGTTAAGAAGTCAGAGATATCAATGGACCCCTTTTGCCCACAGAGCATCTTATCGGGCAAACACTTACATTTGACCGTCTCACAGTTGTAATGGGTGGTGTTGGCATTCAAGTCGTAGTCCAACTTACACCCACCCAATTCACAGTAGAAAGATTCTTCCTCGGCTATCCAGAACTGGAAGTCACACATCTCGGCCGTGGCATTACAACTGAACGTTGCCTGAGGCTTCTTGCCGTTCAAGATGCTAATGATTTTCTTATTGGTGACATCACACATCTGGTGGAACTTCTTGACGATGATACCAGACTTGTAGCACGTGCCCTTAAGTCCTTCAGGCATGAAAGGGTCACACGCCCTGTCAGTGGTACACATGTTACAATTGATGCCTCCCCAGCCTTCCTTACAGTCACAGGTATCGTTCCCTCTCACGGGACGCTTACTGTTGCCGTCCGTCAATGAACCACACAACGGCTCAGAACAGTCCATGCCCCCGTATCCGTCACGACACTCACACATGCCCGTGAAAGTGTTACATTGAGAGAACTGCGTGCACTCAAAGTTGGGCAAGTTACAGTTGAAACATGGTGGACATTCGTCGTCTGAGTCGTTATCACCATCTCCTGGACCCATTGCAAACACCTGTGGTCTTACTTGGAAGACATCGTTTACAGCCACCAATTTCTGGGTTCTTTTGAAGGCCAATTCAAAATCTTCCTGACTCCTTATCACCAAATTCTCATGCTGCTGAGCTCCATTAACGGCGGTCAGTGATAGGAGTGTTATTGTTGCAGCAATCCATATGTTTGCCTTCATACTTCCAGTCCGACTCGTTCTGTGTCTCCTAAGTTACAAATGCGCTATGTAACTTTACCGAATGTTCTAGGGTTTCCTTTGGACGTGTGGCTTTTGAAGTGACTCAATTGGGTCGTTGGTGTTAATTTAAACTGGAGTCCCACCCATTCTCATGTTTAATTCGAGGCATGTTAAATTATGCGTGCAAACTCCCAAATAGGAAATCTACGTCATTTTCTATTTTAGGACAAACATGACATAACCCTTTGGGGCAATAAAATAGACTACATTAGTCCAAATGCATGATGTATTTTAAAAACTATAAACGTAGCTTGTTTCATGTTGGGTTCCGCTTAAGTGGCTGTATATAATCATTCTCCTTATCCTCCCTAACATAAACAATGTAATATGGGGTTGCAGTATTCCCTTCAGTGAAATTGAATACTTCTTCAACACTAACTTCTGTTACCATCTCATCATTATATTTCCGGTAAATGTTCCGGTGTGGATCCTTTATATATACCCAATAATGACCATAACTAGCTTCACCTCTATGAATAAATATGGCAAAGATACTGTACCCTACCTTATTGTAGTCTTCAAATTGATGGCGGACTTTCTCCTCTAGACCTTCTAATTCCTTATTAATACTTAGCAATTTATTCTTAAGATCATCAATCTGTTGTTGAAGAGCAATTATAGTACTTGGATTAACCCCTATTCTAGGATGTGGCTCAATACGTGCCTCTAAGAACTTTTTAGTTGCAATCAACGAGTCAATCAATGAAAGATTACTTTCTTTATCTTTATTCAAAATCAAAGCTTTCTGTGAGTTCAAGCCATTTATTTCAGATTTCCACTGGAATACCTCATTCCTCTTGCGTAGGGTGACTGGGTCTTCGGTATCCAAATATCGATCTAAGTAAATTTTGTCACTAAAAGGGATCGTCTCCAACGATTTATAAGCCATTAATCTTTCTCTATCAAAGAGAACTCTCTGGACATGGAATTGTAATATTTCAGGCAATTGACTAATGGTAATTGATTTCCTGACTTCACCCTCTTCTAAAGAGACAATGTCGTCATTGAAATAAGTATCAAGAGAATCATAAATATTCTTGGGGTGATCTCCAACATTTATAATCAAACTGAAAAACCTTTCCTCAGATATCCGCTTCTTATCAACATCATTCAATGGAGTAATGGTTTGTTTGATTTTGCCTGAAAATAATCGCTTGATTAAATCATGCTGTTCCCCATCATTATCTTGCGATTCTGGCTCTAAAGTGGTCTCAATTTGGTATGTGACGTTTTCAATGCATTCCGTCACATCTTGTTGTCTTCCAATTTCAATAGTGTTCTCCATTTGGTCCTCTTCAATTGGTAAGATCTTACGTTTTTCGCCTAGCTCACCAACGTCTTCCTCAAATGGAGTTTGTTGGTTGAATACTATGTCATCTTCGATTGTCAAATCAATGATTTCAGGATTACAACTGGTTTCTTCTTCTTTGATTCCTAATGAAGTATCATGATCTTCGTCAGCTATAATAATATCAGGACTTTGGGTTGAAACAGTTATAGGCTCAATTTTAGCACTATTACCTTCATCGTCATCATCCTGGTCCATATCATCACTACTGCTGCTGTCAATCAGTTTAATGCTTTCTGTGATCTCCTTTCGAGTTTGAAACAAAACAGGCTGAGAAAGTGGTAAGAAGGATAAATAGGCCAACTCCTTCGAAGGTACAACACATCTGTTCAGTGTATAAATCATCTGGTTGAAAAGATCTTGTAAATGATACATGAATTGATTAGATCTTTCTAACTCTCCTTGTTCCACCTTTCTACCACCTATCTTCCTCTCCACTTCGGGTGAAAGCTTGAAATTTCCTTCATCAAAATTAAGAATAGTATCTCGTAATGGCAGAATACAAAAGTAGTATTGTAATAACGAGTTCAAGTAACATGTGTTCCCAATATTATCAAGTCCAGCAGGCCATTCACTTACCGGAAGTAAGGAAGAATCCAATTTCCCCGTCTTCAAACAGTTAAACAAGATATCAGACTTCTTATTCTCTGCAATTGTTCTTAAACAAAACCTCAATGTGCAAATATCAAGGTCCTCACTCTCAGCAAGCAATTTCTGGAAATTTGTTAAGATCTCAAACTCAGACGATGATGGAGAGCATTTGAGCTTGTCCAAGCATTCCACATATGTAAAACAGAACAGAGACTGATTGCTATAATCTGGTAACTTTGTTTCAATGTAATTCATGATTATGTTACTCTTTCTATTGACTCCAATAGATAAGAGCGATTCATGAAGGAACAAAATATCTTTGTCTTGTGAATCAAACCCATTTGATTGCATCACCTCGTCCAATTTGAATTCATATGCTGTTAGTACCACTTCGTCTTCGGTTATTTCTTGGATGTTAAGTTCAGACATCGCAATATTTACAGGTACAAGCTCTTCCAGTAGGTACTTATTAAAAGTAACAGAGTTACGCACCTTGGCAATTGTACCGGCATTCTGTCTGAAATATTGATAGTTTTTGGGGTCATTTGTATAGCTTGCTTGGTACATGGCAATAAGAACATCATCGTCTATAGTATCTGGATTGACAGTTGATTGTATACCGATTGCCTTTAAGGAATCCAAGTAATCTGAATACCCTACCAATTCTCCTCTTTGAGCCAATGTATAATAGTACTGGGTCAATTTATTATTTTTTGGGGACGTCTGCTCATTGTACTGGCTTAAATAATTCACGGTATTCTTAAGAGCATCAACATAATGAAATCTATTGATCAAATCTGATTTCACAGTATTTTCGAAGCATTTTATAGTCAATTCATTATTGTAAAACTCAGAGACACTCAACTTAACCAAGAATGGTAGCTGGGTGGAGTTAATGCCTTCAGCAAAATAGTTTCTAGAAGATGCAGCATCAACTTCATTCAAATTCTTGAAGAAGGGATCCATATTATCTGCAAAAGAATAATTAGTAACAAATTCATTATCAGGTACATGTCTTGCCTTTGTTCTAGCATAGAAGATCAACTCAAAGATCTTCCTAATATATGACTCTTTTAGTGCAGGGGTTGCTGATAGTCTTGGAGGCGTGAGTACATCATTGGAGATGGTTGCTCCAATGGCTTTCACAAGATAATTTAAATCTAAAAAGGCATCCAAAGATGCCTGTTTAATGGAAATGGTTTTAATTTCGTTATTTTCTTCTTGTACGATGGGGCCTCTTAAAACTTTAATAAAAGTCTTGATGATATACACGGTTGAAGGAATATGATCTGCAGATAAGTCCAGTTTCGGGTTCGCCTCAATGAACAGGAGAAACCTTTCTCTCACCACATCCTCATTGAATAATAGAAGCTGATCTTTGGTTGAAAATTCCGGCGGGAAAACCGTACATCTTAAGATATGATCATTGGGACTATTGGCACTCTTAAAAAAGGCATCATCTAATTTGGTAGTTGTGGCATCTTCATACTTTAATAGCTTTAAATCTTCATCCAGAATTTGCAGCGAATGCACAATGTGATATTCATGTTTATCAATACTCTTGAAGGGGTTCCCCAATAGTTCGACTATCACAATTCGGAAATGGCAAACATGTGACCCATTTTGGACCAACCCTCTAACGACAGTGGACTTCTTACTTCTAACAGTGGGCGTTTCTGGGTTATAATGATCAACAGTCTCAACAGTGGGCGCAATGGGGATCTTGTTATTCAATGTGAGCATGTGAGGTGGTTTCCGATCTCTGGCGAGATCAGATAGTGCCTGAGCGTAGTCTATAGGCTTAGCATTCAATAGACTGGCACTACTACCATACTGTGATTTGTATGCATAGGTCCATTTTATATCGTCAATTATTCTATTCAGGGTCTTGAACGGCGAGTTCAATAACGACATTCGATCAATGGTCATATCTTCATTATCGTTTGTGGTTTTCGTTGCTGGTCGACTTGGAGGTGGCGGTGGCGCTGGAGGACTCATCAATTCAGAGTCTAATGATCTCGACACTTCTTCCACTATAGTCTCATCAGATTCTAGCGGGTTACTGTTTGTTGTTGTAGTAGTAGTAGTAGTAGTAGTGTCATGCTGCTCCTGTTTGGTACTTGTACTTTGGTGGTTGTTGGCAACCGTCTCGGTCGACGACTGGTGGTCGTCCAAAACGAGATCTTTGCTCTCAATTGCCACAGAAACCATGGTCGCTGGATCCACGGGGTCCATTTCAAGGGAGTGCTGTGATGAATAAGAGAATAAAGAACTACAGCCACTTGGTTGATTGTTGAGAGTGTCTGTCCTTATTTCCACATATATTTTGCGGATCACGTGACACATGTAACCCCATAACCCCATATTTCTTGGAGGAGTCCAACTAGGTGTATGAGTAATACATGCTATGTGTTTTGGTAATTGCTAAGAAGTTGTTTAGGGAGTTGTCCTGGTTACTTGTCTCCATGACGAACCACTGTTGACGGTATGCTGTTGCCATTAGTGGTGTTAGGGTGTGAACATAGTATGTAATCGAGTGAATAAGTGAATGCACATTCTTCTATACATTGCAATTATACAATTGTTAGCTATTACTACGATTGAAGATCAGTATAAAAGGTACCGTATCTTATTAGTGGCGCCTGTTCTTATAAGAAGTGCGGTACCTTCCTTATTCTAGTTATTTAATTATATGAAGCAAGTGATAAGTCACAGCTGTTGCGAACTAAAGTCTTAAGAAGCCAAACAGCTACTACCAATGCACGAATCCCAATGCATATACTTATTTACGTTCTTATCCGGACATTGAAATCCATGTCACGTGACACAAGAACATGACACAAAGCACTCGAAACTAATACCGATTTAAAATTTTCAGTCAATTATATGTTTGCTAAACAATACATTGGAGTGAGTAGTTTGTCAAGAGAGCATCCAATCAAAATAGAAACTGCATTTATCGGTAAAACTCATCTTCAAATCTATCATTCCCTGAAAGAGTTTAACCGACCCCATCATGACTTCTCCACCAAGTTTCGATTTGGAAAAGATCAAAGCAGAATCTGATGGCAGTTACTCGCTGATAGCCTCACTGGCATTTAATGAAGTGGTTGTAAACAATCCTTACTTTGCTGCTGGTGGTGGGCTTATGCTTCTTGGAACCGGTCTTGCATTGGCCCGTCTGGGAGTATCCAAAGGTGCCCTGTTTTTATACCGTCAAATGTTGGTAGACTTGGAGATACCTTCCAAAGATAAGCTGTATTTGTGGTTCTTGGAATGGATGAGTCAATATAAGAACCGTTCGTCTCGTCATTTATCAGTAGAAACAAATTACATCCAACACGACAATGGAGCTGTTAGTACCAAGTTTAGTTTGGTACCTGGACCAGGGAAACATTTACTTAGATATAAGGGTGCCTTCATGCTTGTGAATAGAGAAAGATCGGGAAAATTGTTAGACATGACAAACGGTGCACCATTTGAAACTGTGACGTTGACCACGTTGTATCGGGACCAATATTTATTCGGAGAGATGTTAGAAGAAGCCAAAAAGATAGCCTTAAAAGCTAGAGAGGGGAAAACAGTGTTATATACTTCATGGGGACCAGAATGGAGACCATTTGGACAACCGAGGAAGAAGAGAATGTTGGAGTCTGTGATTTTGGACTCCAATATCCGCCAATCCATTGTTGATGATGTACAAGATTTCTTGAAATCAGGAGATTGGTACCATAAACGAGGCATTCCGTATAGAAGAGGCTATTTACTATATGGACCACCAGGTAGTGGGAAGACGTCGTTCATTCAAGCGTTGGCTGGATATTTGGATTATAATATTTGTATTTTGAACTTGGCCGAAAGCAATTTAACTGATGATCGATTGAACCATCTAATGAACCATTTACCCGATCGGTCACTCTTGCTATTGGAGGATGTTGATGCTGCCTTCAATAAGAGAGAACAGACTGAAGAGAAGGGATATTCTAATGCGGGTGTTACCTTTAGTGGGCTCTTAAATGCATTAGATGGGGTTGCATCTGCAGAGGAATGCATAACGTTTATGACCACCAATCATCCGGAAAAACTTGATCCTGCGTTACTCAGACCTGGAAGAGTGGATTTCAAGGTGTTGATCGACAACGCCAGTGAATTCCAAGTGGAACAAATGTTCCTTAGATTCTATGATAATGAACATGAACTTTGCCAACAGTTCTTGCACAAGATGCGGCAATTGAAGATCTCCAAAGTCTCAACAGCTCAATTACAGGGACTCTTTGTGTATAATAAGGATGATCCGCAAGGTGCTATTACCATGGTGGAAACCTTGGGTGCTCCCAACACACACTCATTCTAGGAGAAATTAATTATTTAATACTTGTAAATAGAAACACAGCCACTATAGTAGTACTAGTTCGGATTAATTAATCGGTATTTACTTTTACCCTTGGTAATATTTCATTAACCGTTCATGAACCTGATTAAGCTGTTCTGGCCGCAACTCACTAGTTCCTTGTTCTTCACGGACCGACTCACTCTGTTTAATTAATTTAGTCAAGTAATCCATTAATAGTAAGTATATTAAAGCATCACTTTGATCGTTCTTGAGCTGAACGTCGGTATTCCCGTTCTCTCGGACAACTTTTTTGACTATCCGACGGAACCTGGTCAGTGAATACGATTTCTTAGTTATCTTAACCATAGGCTCAAGGTATTTGATGGCGAGTGAACTCCAGTAAACTAGTACTAAGAATAATGTTTATGTTTATGTTTGGATTGGTTCTGTGTATCTTAAAGTTGTAGATTATTGTCACATACACACGACCTGCAATGATAACATCAATCTAATGGGAGTAATGATTGTTCGTGGTTTCTGTGATGAATAAGTATTTTTCCGAAATTTAAAGACTTTAAAGTAAGCTTCTTTTGTTGTCCGACACGAACAGTGCAAAATAATCACTTCACCGAATATTCTATGGTTCTAGAATCCCACACTACTAAAAGAACAATTTCATTTTAAGCACGTTCATACTGCAAAGAATATTTCTCTTGGTTATAGACAAACATGTATTGGATCAAGCATGCGTTTGCATGAGATTTATGTTTTATGCCTATTAAATCAGTCACTGAAAAGCGGAATAATCTGTTGCATTCAGCCTTTATGTTTTACATTTCGGAGTTCAGGATGATGTAATTGAACCACAACCATGTATGTGGACTGATGTGCCGAAAAGTAAAGCCTTCCTTGCTTATTGTATACAATGCACGCCTGCCTTTGCTGCAACAATTTTTTTTTCAATATTATCTACGAAATGCATGCTGCAATGCACACTTTTACATCTGGGGGTAACCCTAATATCTAACCATACCAATAAATAGACTCTATTAAACTCTAAATGTTACAGATATAATACACAATGAAAAAGGTCAAGTGATGCTTAGCACGTTATAACTTGCGTCTTTTATTGGCATCCTCGTTAGTGCCAAGTAATCCACCCTTGATAGTACGGTCCAACTCACTAAGAGATGGCAAATGGTATCCCAGTGACAATCCATGAGACCGCTTCAAAGGATTAGGCGAGATTGGTCGCTCTGTTACTGGAGACGCACCAGGTGATGCAGAAATTGCTGCAACAGCGGGTGATCCCATGCTGACGGTATTGGTTGATGAAGTTACACTTGGTACAGCAGGTAAGGGAACTTCAATGGCAGTAGTTGTAATAGGAGTTTTAGTAGAATTTTCTTCCTCTTCAACAGGAGTTGGTGATAACTTACGAACATCTTCCTTTTCTGATTCGTTCGACTCATTTCCGGTTTTGGAAAACTCAAAGTTGGAAATAACTCCCATCAGATAGTGACGATGCGGTTCAGCAGACTTGACGGATGCTAATGCAGGTGGTGCAGGAAGAGAATCTGAACGTTGGTACATACGAAGTTCACCACCGTCTTTTAATTTATCAGTCTCATTCAGTGTAGGATTAGGTACACTTAAAGGTGAATAGCTTTTAGATTCAGACCTTACCCGTGTTGTTTCCTCTACTCGAGTTGGGCGTTGAGGTAATGGTTGCAAAGGATCCATTAAAACCGAAAAATGGCGGTTGCTATTGTTTGTTAAAGGGGTAACCAGAGCTGAAGTGTTTGTTTCTTCTTTGACAATGGTCTGACGAAAGTCTGAACGCAGGAGATGCAATGAATAATGAGGGTTCAATGGATAGGGTTGCGGAATTATGTTTGAAGCCGATGGGTTACGTGACCCAGAATGACTGTTCAAATGGTATGTGGTGTTTGATGGAGCAGGATTACCAGAACCCAAACCCGATATAGGAATCAACAAAGGTAAACGACGGCTCTTTAAGGAGTTTTTCAACTTACTAATTTCCAGAACAATAGTTGCAGATGATGAAGCCTTCGATGGTCGTGTCATTGGACTAGCAGTTTCTTCTTCAGTATGCTTCCCAAGTGAACGAACAGGTGTTTGATTTTCTTTCCGGTCAGGAACAGCAGAATCAACTCTTGTGATATCTATCTTGGTTTCGACGGCCACCTGAGGGGCTGATGCCGAAAGAAATTTATCAAACGATTCAACTAAAGAGATCATATCTGAATGAGTCTTGTTCAACTCACTGTATATGACTTCATAGTTAGAATATAAAACTTCATAGTCTTTGGATAGATTACTGTACTTGTTGTTCAATTCAATGAACTTCAATTGCACACTGTTTTCAAATGACGATTGTGAAGCCACTTGTGGACGACCTCTTGAGGCTTGCTGCTGCTGCTGCTGCTGCTGTTGTCCTTGCTGTTGCACTGACTGACTTTGTTGGCTTCCAGGTGATGGAATGCCAGACGAAGGTACACCTTGCACTTGAAATGGCTGTTGAAGAGGCTGTTGAGCTTGCTGCTGGTAAGGTTGAGAGGTAGCAGGAGATACTGACCGGGAACGAACGCTCTGTGGTGGTTGAGGAGTTGAACCTGATGTAGTCACACGAGGATCCACCGGTTCACTTGAGTTTTTTTGCTGCTGAACAGCTGGCACAGAAGCTGTTTGGGGAGTAGGTTGGGGATGCTGTTGTATCACGAGCTTCCGCTGCTGCTGCTGCTGTTGCTGTTGTTGCTGTTGCTGTTGCTGCTGCTGATGCAAATGAGCTTGCTGCAAGGGTATAGGAGCATACTGAGCTGGCACCAATTGTTGTGGAGAAACAACTTGAGCCGCAGTGGGGGACTCTGGAGGACCCACAAAATACTGCTGTTGCTTATTTTGATGATAATGTAATGCTTGGTGATATTGGTTGATATGCTGCTCGTCGTATGGAATGGATTTAAGGTTGACAACTTCTTTATGGGAATTGACGTTCTTGGAAGAACGTCTTTTGATCAAACGCAAGCTTTCAATGTCACCTTTACGGAATTGAGCTGAAGAATGACGAAATTCCCAACGACTTACTTGACTGGAACCGATAGAATTACTTCCGGGAGCTGAGGTGGCAGACAGACCATTTCCGGATTCAAATTCTTGTGAGTCATTAACCTTATGGAAACCGTACATGTTCAATTGACGAACAAAGCTTGAGATGTTAGTATGTTTGAAATATTGTGCAAGAACCTTGGAGAATTCTTCACCAGGTGAACAATAGAACGAATCCTGTGAAGGTGACCACCAGATCAAATGGCTAATGTTGGGATCTTCCAACATATCGTATAGCTTGTGAATAAATACAACCTGGGTTTTAGTACCTGAAGCTGCACCAGCTTGCGAAGCAGATACAGGTGTGGCTACCGTAGGTGGAGCAACAGGAGTGGTGTTAGTAGACACAGCCAAACCAGATGCTCCTGTAACAGGGGTCGAAGCAGGACCAGGAGCAGAGGCAGAAGTTGACACAGGGGTACGAGTGGAAACCGCAGAAGACACTGAAGCAGCAGCAGCAGCAGCAGAAGCTGAACTGGAAGCAGGCGATGGTGCTGCATCTGAAGAAGCCGCAACAGTGTTTCCAGAACCACCAGTGATTGCTGTTCCACTATCATTACCGCTGTTATTATTGGGATTCGTATTGGAGTCATTATTATTAGTTGCTGCAGATGTTACCAGCGCTGTGCTTGACTTGCGAGGTGGTACCTGACCACCGAGCTTAGTGCTATCCGGTTTACCACTGTCGTGGCTATAACTGTTGCTCTGACTGCGATGATGACTATGGGTGTAAGCTTGCGGGTGCCCTGCATTAGACATGGGAGTCGGAAGGCTCGATGCTGACGGGTTGGTTGGAGTCAAATGAGGAGGCAAGGATCCTACGGTACCAATGGAAAAATATGAAGAGACATTTTTCAGTAATGGAGGTGGACCTCCAGCTGACGATACCATCATTTGTTGACCCTGGGGAATGTAAGGCACCGAAGGTCTCATTCCATAAGGTAGTCGCTGTTGTTGATGCTGCTGTTGCTGTTGTTGTTGCTGTTGCAGATGCTGTAGTGGAATCTGTTGCATTGGATGTTGGTGGTGATGTGTCATATAGGCCGATCCAGTGGGGGTACTGGCCATTTGATGAACTGGTTGAGAGGGAACATATACCACTTGAGGATAAGAGCCATTAGGCATAGGAACTGCAGGAGTAGCTGAAGTAAACATTCCTTGTAAATCTGTCAGGGAGATAATACTCTTTGGCACCGTGGGTAGCACCACGGGGGATGCAGTGGCAGAACTTGCAGAGGCAGCAACAGAATTTGCAGGAGTATTAGAAGTCGGACCGGGGGGAGGAGCGGAGCTTGGTGTTGCAGAATGTGAAGGATGAGGAACAGGTGCCATTAGGAAGACGGAAGAAGGCGTAGGATAAGATATGTGAAATGGAGTCGGTTGGGACATATGTAGAACGAAAAACAGGTCCTACTAAATTGTGTGTGTGCCACCTTAAGAATAGCCCGGCTACAGATATAAAGGGATTGCCAGAAAATGACGGGCCGGGCAAGGACACAGGTTTAATTGGGGGAGGGTTTAATATGGGGAAGTGAAAGTTGTGAAATTATCAAAAAGGAGATTCTAAAAAGTTAAAGGCTGTAAAGTGTTAATGGGGAACAATTGAAGTATATAACTGATAGGTTTACCTGTCATCGCAAAGTCACCATGGAAAAACAAAGCTGTAGGAATAGACGCAACCAAGGCAAAGAGAAAGGCTTTTTGGCACGGGTTGAGAATACTATAATCCGTATTTGAATCCCCAGCCCTCTGCCGCTAAAACCACTTGTAAGCCATGTTCCTTCTTTTTGCTGAGGGACACCTGAAACTTCCTCATCTGTCCCCAAACTCAAAAAAATAAACATTTTTTGCACACTGAACAATATGGCCTATTGTTCATTATGCATGCTTTCTCTTATAATAGTAATAATGCCTGTGCATGACGCATCGCGAGTAAATATTACGTTCTACTTAATTCTAACTTCGCTGTGATGCCAATGTACGACCGACACGCCCACAAGACCCTCGGGAGCAGGACAGATCTGCTTGGTCGGCAACTAGAGAGAGAGAACTTGAACTTTGATTGTCACTTCTCCCTCCCCGATGGCTGCTGCCTATAAATAAATTTGTTGTCAGAATGCATATCAGCCCCATTAATTTTTCTTTTTGGTTGTAAGTATGAGAGTTTATTTTTCTTGTTAATACGATTTAATTTATATTACTGTAAAAAATGCTTACCACTCGACCTGTACCCATAAGATCAAATACCGACCCACTGTAGCATCGAAATTTAAAGGTTACGAGCAACAGGTGTTTCGATACGCATCTACATCTGTAGCTCTGCAAACGTAGCAACCTACGATTCTATTCCCTCTTTGAAAAATTTCATTTTTGGTCACTAATGTATCTTCCCAAGCTGGCCTGCGACATTTACCACTATGTTATTGTCTTCCGCCCTTCACATAGACTTTTGTTACCCTATTAGTGTTTGACAATGTACCGGTAAAGCTACCTGTGTCTCGGTCTGCATCTTCATCTCAAAATCTGTATCTACGCATGTATGCAAGTATTAATATTTGCGTATGATTGTATACACACATAGTTCTGTATGAATAAATACAAATTGCATGCTCTTTGTTGGATCCAATCACTGGAACTACTTCCGAATAAAATAAATTACTGGTAACCCTAGTCACAGTATTAACTACTTTAGGATGTGCTGCGCTGTTCGAATCATGTTTTAGATTTGATTGCTATTAGCTCAGAATATTACGTTAGGGCTTAGTACGCTTAATGACCTCATCGTAACGAAATAATAAACTCATTAGAAATCAGCCTCACTGGTTGTGCATTGATTTATTCTTTTTAATCCATCAAGCAGTAGAAACATTTATTGCTCGGAAGATCAACCTTGTTTCTCCGATAGTACGTGCAGAAAATAAATGTTGCAACAATAACGCAATATTTTTTTTTTGTATGCTAAATGCCATTCGCAAAGTCAGTGGAATATACGATTTCAAACATATGATTGATGCATCTCGTCCAATGTTACCGACTATCGAGGGTACAAGAAAGGATGATTTCAAGGACCCTCAAAGAGCTCGAGAATGCAGGCATATTCAACCATCGGGTCTCGGAGTTTACGACTGCAAATCAGGAAGTCAATTCCTTCATTCTTCACAAATATCAGTGTTTACGTGAAAGAAACGTTTTCAATGCTCGTCAAATTTGCAGCTATCGTTTTAACTTCGAATGTGTTAATTTTTTTTGTTAAAATTATTGTTTATTTGGTTGAGAAGACGGAATACCTTTCGCATAGATGCAACGTCCTTTATTAAAGGCTGACTAAAGCTTTTTGCTATGTCTTACACCAATTACCATTGCCCAGCAAGCATAGTACATGAGCATTTCACTTTTCGTTTCTTTATATTAGCGGCTTCAGGAAACCAATTTAAACTTCCATTATCATTCCCTAAGCTCTTATTTGCCCGAACAGGTAGGTGGCACTTGCCAGGAGCCTGAAGCATTCCCCTCAATACACAATTACACATTTAGTCTAATATTATCAAATATTTAGTAAGCATTAGAAGGGTGGGATGTTGCTTATACGGTGCATATTTATCTTATTGTAGTGCATGTTGAATAAACTAAAGTCTACGTCACCAACTGTAAACCCAAACAGTACTCTGGAGAAGAGCGGCTACACTAACTGGAACCGCTGTTCTAACTACTTCACTGTTACGGTAATAACCAATATGATCTCCGGAAATGCACCAAGGGATAAGACGGTATTTTCTTGGCCATACATTACAAAAGCGACAGTACATGTTCCAATTGTAGCTAAAGTTGGCAGCGGATGAGAAAAAAAAGTAGCTGGATCTTACAACTTACCCGAACCGTTTACAAGTGAAGACTGCTTACCGATGACACAATGTTTGATTTTGAAATGTAGTCACACGACAGGTTGGAAAATAAAATACTACTCCATGGCCAGCTTGTCATCTTTATTTTTCCCAGGCTTTCTTTTCGTCTGTTTGAAAGCATAGCGCAAAAGTCTTCAAGCAATACCTTGTGTTCTGATGAAGATCCCTGCACCTTAACGATTTCATTCCAGTTTGGAGTCTGCTGGTCCTCTTGGTGATTTTAAAACCAGTTTGAATTTCATTTATCCCTTAACAGCATCATCGGCTATAATATTAAAACATGTCATGCCTGATAATTTCAACGCACCTTATAAGCCGTATACGTTGTACTAATATAGAGCAACTTTGGCATTCTAGCATGAGATAAGACAATTATAATCAACACTTGAAGATTATAGAGTAATAATGAAACTTTGTTTTGCCTGCACATAAACATTCTCTGAGGATTGCAGTGCCTTGCATGTGGCAATTCAACCTGCACGACCTTTTTTCATGGTACATAGTTTTGCCTTCTATTTGCGCATGCAGGCGCACAAGCATGCACACTATGCATGCAATTGACCACACAGACTGAAGACCAGCAATCGGTTAAAGGTGAAGCCTCTCCAATACTCTAAGGGAAAATGAATGGACCACAGAAAATGAACGAGACAATAGCTTGTTTGATAAAAAGAGTTAGAGTTTTTAGGTTATGACTCGTTGTTTAATAAAATTATCTGGGCCAGAGTTTTGTGCATACAAATTCTATTTTCTAGAACCACATCCTAGTAAGAATTGTCGGCTAAACTACAACAGCTGCTTTGAGGGTTATGCTTTTAAGTATTAAATCGAATGATATCCAGAAAGACTATCACTCGCGTACTAATCTTAAAGAATAAACACACACATAAGCTTATTATTATTTAATTAGCACTTAGCTCGGAACTATGACAGTCCCAAACATTTACATCACGTAGTTAAACGAATCTAAATAAAGTTAAACCTTCTTCCCTTAAATACAACACCACTGTAACGCTACTGCTGCTAACACTAAAATTTTCCCATGTTTATAGTATTGTGTAGTAAACTCAGGCACCACATATATACACATGTATCCTTCTTATGGACATTAATAGCCTTTGCAAAATTTATAAGCCCCTGGATCCCATTGAATACCACATTAGCACAAAGTTACTAATTCCAGTCATTATATTTTTGCACGGAAACTCTTCTCAAGCAATTATAGAAATTAATTATTTTTTCACACCTTAAGTTGTTACTTCTTCAATTAATGAACTTCTAGTTTAAATTGTATAATGACTTTTCTCTGCAACCTTCTGTATGATTTGTAGCGCTAAGTATGCCCCATCAGAGCCTTATGTTGCTACTGTATTGTTGCTCAAAGTAGGTCCCTTTAAAGGGGAATTCATAACAATGAAATGCATAAAATTGATGGTGTTGATAACGACACCTTCAAGAATAGGGGATCTTAAAGTTTGTGCTTATAAGGTACAACTAGTAAGAATGTTTCCAAATATAAAACGTAATGACGCATGCGTCCCAAATGACTCCATTATTTAGTGCGGAGTCCAATTGTTTCTACAGGACAAGAAGTTTACGTCCAGCTGCAGAAGATGTCAGCACCCTTGCAACATAATCTAATTTGATGGCGTTCAAACTTGAAGTTCGCAGTTACGCAATGGGGGAATCTACAGATTGCTAAGTACTTTATTGTTATGTAAGGTTTAAAGATCTACAGTTCTGCTTTTGTAGATCTTAAAAGCAGAGGCTTGGCTCAATAAAAATCATCCTTTTGTAGCCAGAACTTGGAGTTAATATTTACATCTTACGTATCAAGAAGTATTGTCATTTGATCACGCAACATCTCCATCCATCCCCCTAACAACTGATATTGCTATGTCTATGCTTGACACATTGGTGCGCAAAAGTATACCTGCTTACATCACATGCCGGAGATTGGAAATTACCGATTGCTATGATCTCTTCTCACGTGAAAGCTCTACGCAGTTCATCCCCGGCTGCTTCTTCCCAATGCAGTAATAGATAGCTTTTTCTTTGGTCGTCAACTGTAAGTCATCATGCCTGTTTCATGACAAGAAATAGGTCGGGAAACAGTACCAGTACGATACGGACGTTCTCGCACGAAAACTAACTAACTAATAATAATAATAATAATATTAATTGAAGAGTGAAGCTTGAATGAATCCACAGGCGAACAGCTTTGTCTGGATGATTTCATATGTAAAATTTCCAAAAAAAAGTTTTGTTAATAATGTTTTGTCAGTAATACCGTAAAATTTTCTTCAAGTCAGCTATTGTATAAGGCATTTCATTATCACCGTATATGTACATCAAACTAACATTTTTATAATGATAATGAAGTTTATTACGCCGTCGCCTACATACGTAATAGAAATCAGATTATGGTAGTTTCTATTCGACCTTTATTGATAAAGTTCTCTACACCTATAAGAAGTTGCTTCGTTTAGTAAAACACCAAACACACAATAAGCGAGCAAGCGAGAAGGGAATCACTACCATTGATAATATACACTTGCGATATTAATCAACTAGTACGTAAGAACTGAAACATGCTTGTTAGATTATCTTGAATTGAAAACTAACAACCACCACCATGTTTGCTTGAAAATTTCACTATTATTTTTTCATGCTATGCCATGCTATGTTGTTGCAAGATGTATCTCTGTAAATGCAGGTGATGCGGGTTGAACTTAACCATATTTCGAACAATATATCCTTTTAGGTTACGGGGGGAAAATGTTACGAAAGACTCGAAATACGATTAAGTAGTCATGCATTACAGTAGTTATTTCCAAACGGCGAGGGTTTCCTTGCGCCAGCAAATGACTACAGCACGGCTTACTATTTCAAGCCAGTCAATCTGCCTTAGCTTTTCTCTTGCGCTTTCAATCATCACCGTATAATTTAATTTTCCCAAGCCCAGCCCCTATTTTCTTAAACATTTTGATATGCTTAAAGCAATCAACCGGTGACAATACGCGTAATCTTATGTTCTATTTTGCTTTCCCTTAGTGGAGAAGAATGGTATTTCATAAAATTGGAGGTTAGGTCTTTCGGGGTAAATTATTATGCGGATTTGGCTTTAAACCTCGCATTTGTTTTAAGGCAACTTGCTGCACACTTACAATTTCGGGTAAACATAACGCCATAGGTAATTGTTCTTAACAAAGATGTCGTGTAATACTGAAAGACTCCTCACGACGAATGGAATTATCAGTATATGTTGTGCATATAAACAAAATACACAGACATAAATGTTACTACTACTTATGAAAAACCGGTAAAATAATAAAATTAAGGCCTGACAAATAATCCTTACCAGCGCTACCATAAGCGCTTAATTTGTGCAGTTGGTTACTCTATTTCAACCTGGTTTCCTATTTCAACCTGGTTTCGACCTAATGGCTGCAACTTTTCTTTTCAATGATGAAATTAATTCATCAACTTTGAACCCGAACAATCTCACCATTTAGTTAACCTACTTATGAATGTATATTCCTAACAACAATCGATACACTTCTGGCCGTGCGCGCGGATAAAACAAAACGTAAACGAAATGAAGCAAGCCGACTGCAGCAAAGTCGGAGAGCAAATCAATGTCAGTCAGTAAGCCAACAAAACCAAATAAAGCAAAGTAAACATAGTAACTTTAACCCTTCACTAGTAACATATTATTTTCCATTATGTACCATCCGATTACTGGAACCTTCATTGATCAGTAATCATCGTTACCCAAATCTCAGACTTACTCAAACTCGCCTTATAATTTCCTTTAGTCATCTTCCCTCCTCGGAAACTTCCCGATTTGTAATTTGCCGGATCCGGGAAGAAACCCGAACACCAAACTAACCAACCGTTTTACTTTTGTCACACAAAAAACCTCACAATTTTGCTTTCTTTTGCTGACATTCAGATTTCAAATTCCTTTTCCCTTCCCCCTTCGTGAGGGTTGTCGGGTCCTGTTGATGGTCACTTTATCACCGCTGGTTTTTCCTCTCCTCTTACCCTTTATTTTTTACTCCGTTTATTTGCTTAGTATCGTATAGTAACCGTCAACCCTCCTCCTTTAATATTTCATAGACAGTTGGACGTACATGAGTCTTAATAAACAGCAAGAAGCGAAGGAGAGTACCAACTTCTTGCCTCAACAACCTCCCGACACATCTCCGTTGGTTCAACATGCGGGTCAAGGTCCACTGCAAGGACCTAACTCTGTTCATCAAACGCATGTATCTCTGCCTTTGATGAGTGTTGGTGTTGGTGGCGTTAACCCTTCAAGCTCGGCAGTGGCTGTCGCCGCCGCAGCTGCTGCCGCCGCTGTTTCCTTGAGTCTGGTCCAGTCTCCTTTAGATACATCAGATGGAGCTGGTAAGTCTAAAGACAACAATAAGACTGCTACTACTAATAGCAACAACAACAGCAACAATATCAATAGCTCCAAAGGTCCTTCAAACAACTCTAATAAAGCTGATGTTGTCGATACGTCAAATGACAGCAAATTAGTAATAGGCGCCGCCACCCGGGCCGTTGATACCAGTGGCACCGCAGAAATGAATGACGATGATATTATTATTGATGATGTCGAACATGATGTTGTTGATGATGATGATGATGACGATGATGATGACAAATCCAAGTCGGCCATGATGCCTCGGGGATCTTTAAAACGTCACCGTATCCCTCATCAAGTTTCGCGTAAGCGTAGAAGTTACCATCCAAAAGATACCATTCGGGCTAACGACATAGCTTCCCCCTCTTCTCTGACTCAACCAGCATCTCCAAACCAAGATTTCTTTAGTGACCAAGAAGGCCCCTCTTGTTCCAGTTCCATTCGTCGAAGCATTGCGGGAATGAACCAAGCTTATTCCACTGATAACAATCCTCACCACATCTCTTTGAACGACCGTGTGGAGGATGTTGATACTATCCCTAATACCTTACCTGGTGAGTCACTTACAGAAAAGTCTCAGGAACCTACATCGAAGACTGACGCTTCTCAATCTGGCCTGTTTGTCCAATTTCTGTTATTATTCAATAGATTGCATGGGCCTTCAACTAACTCCGACAACAGGTCTCCAAGTACTCTGCCCAAGTCGATGAATGCCACTCTTCCTTCAAAAGATATTGAAAAGTCGAACGACAACGACAACTCCAAGGTCGATGCTACTACATCAACTCCAATCCAAATTCAACAACAAGGTCAAGTCCCAATATCTGCTCCCACCGCAGGTAAGTTTGCTCACATACATCATAATATACATCCTGATTCCTTTGCAAGCGCATCTCATGCCAAGATTGCTAAAGCTCTCACTATGCAACCTACAATTAGACCTTTAAGTGCTCTCAGAGTCTTGAATTCTGCATCTACAACAACCTCCTCATCTCCTTCAAAGGGGGGTGCGTCCAACTCTAAAATCACAATTCAATCTGCATCAACAACTTCAAACTCCAACACATCCACCAGCACCACAAAAGCGTCCTCTAAAACAGCCACAGCTTCTCCAACAAATGGTTCAGCCAACGCAACAAGCTCTACTTCAAGTACCACTTTTGGTAAGACCAGTGGAAGAGCAAACCAAAATAACAATGGTAACAACAACCCCAACAATCCTAACAACAACTCTATCTCTACCAAAACCCACACTTCAATTGCTCCCAGCGCAAAATTTGTTAGACGATTCCGTTCACGAAGTTTGCCTATTATCGCATACACCCAATCATCTATGGCTGCCAACCAAATAGGCAGTTCTGCTCAATCAAAATTCAACAACACTTCTCATAATCATTCCCATAATCCACAATACCGTTACAAAAGCACCCAAGTTCCACCTGTTCCTCCTATTAATTTGCAAAGCTTACGAGAAATTGATTTACATGAAATCTTGAAGAATCCTCAGTTACGTCATGACATCCTCTTTGATCCTCAATTACAGTTTCGCCCTAATTTAGATGGCGAACGTGGAAGAAGAAAGAAGCTGATTATTGATAAGTACTGGATTGAGATTCAAAAGGAATGCAGTCAATTTTTCATGAATCCTCCTATTCCTCCAAAGAACATAAAAATCTCAAGATTACCACTTTTGTTCAGTACTCTTAGAGATATTTTGTTACTGCTTTTGCCTCATAAAGATAGAGCTGCAGTTAATGACGTTATGGATATTTCTCTTGCAGTTCAACAATTGCAACATGGTCTGTTTGATTTTGTGAGCTTGGCTAAGTGGTTGGGTGATGTGTTCAAGTCTCATTGTGCACCAATGAGAGACCAATGGGTTTTGGAAATGATCAATAAGTTTGAAATTGCGTACAGCACGAGTAATGTTGATAACCTTGTTGGTGGTTTGAGAATGATCTTTTCCATTTTAGAAGCTATGAAGTTGGATGTTGCAAACCATCAAATTCGCATTTTAAGACCTGTTTTGGTTGAAACAGCTGTTGATTTTGAAAAAGATTATTTCAATCAGTTGATTAGCCATTGCAAAATTGATATCACTGATTCCTTGAAATGGTTTTCAAAGAATTATCAAAGTAAATGTGATACCATTACTTCGTTGATGGGAAGAGAATCTCAGGGCTCCTTTTCTGCTCCTAATTCATCCAGAAGTAGTAACACTACAACATCAACGACTTCAACCTCGAGCTCAACCGCATCAACTGCTTCTGAGCTTGAATACAAGAGCGTTTTAGTTTGCTCCATAATTGATTTTTTGTCTTGCCGAAACATGGCAACTGAATTTCCAAGCACACTTGCTTTTGACCACACACGTCTCGTGTTACTCAGAGCAGATGTCAGACAGTTAGTATGCGTGCAATTGTGTATTTGTCTCTACAGACAACTTTGCGCATTAAAGACGTTACCACCTCCATCTGCAACTCAAGTGCAAAGGGTACAAGAGGAGATTTTGGCAATCGTTACTGACGACAATGGGAACGTCAAATGGACACGGAATGTTGAAGCCACTAGTTTACAGTTAGTTAAGGCGGTGGATCCTTCATTGTCCAAGAGCTTGATTGACTTTAGTTACAATTGGTTGATAAAACAAATTCAACCAAGTTCTGAAGTCTATGGTTTGATGGAGGAGAAGATTTTCAAAGTATTGACTACCGACATTTTAACGGGGTTACATACGTCCACCTCGACCACTTCTAATAGTTCAACCAGTGGTGCTGTACCTGTGAGTGCAAGCACCAGTGTTGTTTCGACTAGCACAACCTCATCTGCAGCCGTGCCCAGTGGAGCAGCTACTTCAAACACAGAGGGGAATAAGGTCACTGAAATGAGTAATATTCTGAATAGAATATTGACATTAGTGAAGTTCCATTGGAGCGTATTTGGGTCATGTTATGTTGACTTTTTAACTAACAGTTAAGTTTTATTATTATTACGATTGGTCAAAGCAACACAGATTTTTTATTTTTTTTGTCTACATTATTTGACAAGCACAACCTTTGCTTGTAATTACTATCATTCACATACCAACTACACTGAGGTTTCCTTTGACCCTACCATATTATTATTATTATTACTATTATTATTATTATTATTACTATTATTATTTTTGTTTTTATTTTTTGGACAAGCGGGATTCCAGGTAACGTTCGATTGGGACGTTTTGAATTAAGTTCTCGGATAAGTTCTGATTTGATTTTGAGTTGTCTTTTTTTTATTAACTTTGGGCTATTTGAGTTACAATTTTCTTCTCATTCAACTATTTACATATATTGAAGTTTTCTTTAGAGTTAATTAATGTCTAGTTACGCAAATTATGCAGACAAGAGTAAAGCAGACAACATATAAAGCGTAGAGCACGTAGAACGTACCAAGAATTGGAGCGTGCAGTAGAGCATGCACTAGATATACCACATATTACAGTGTACTACTATAAATCCTTCTATTGCATGTACCAGAACATATATTAGCCTATGCACACTTTAATTTACGACAAGACTAAGAATAGTAGCATACTCTCATTCCCCTGCAGCGTACTTCGTCCCCCTCTATACCTAGTCATATATAGCAACCCAATTGTGCAAATGAATAATATACAACAACTAATTTTCAGGTGCGGCTCCACCCGATTCGGAATTTGCTGCCCCACAAGTTAATATGATAAAGGAGCCGGAACGTAATGAATTAATCAAACAATTAATTACCTAATTATTTAGTAGTGGTGCTAACGTAAACCATACTACTGTCTTCTTCAATGGTATCTATAGTTAGTTTTATTGGACACGTGACTGTGTATCCAATAGTCCATGCTATTGGACTTATGATCCGACTTTTATTTCTTCCCTTGCTACCTCTCCGACTTGTTTTATCTAATCCCTGGGTCATAGAGTTCATTACTTATACGGCAGATTTCCTAGGAGTTGCCACCATACTAGGAGTTGGGTTGGGGTACTCACATTATCGAATGATTCTGATCATTAACTATTTGATTGAGATCACCGAAGAACCTAAGCAAAAGTTCCCTTCTCAGCAGATCAAAGTTCATCCTCCAAAACTTCAAATAGACACCACCAAGACCAAAAATAATGATAGTAACGTGCCCCCTGTGAACGAACAATTTCTCAGTCCAACACCCGCTGGTGGGTCAGGAGTTGCAGTGAAGTCGGGGAAAACTGCCGGTGCAAGCAGCATGAAGGCTACTGTTAAACAGCAACCCTCCACTAATATAACAGCTGCAACGCCTTCAGCAACAGCACAACAATCTACATCAGTGTCAGATGGACTGGAATCAACTACTACTAGAAAGAAGCATTATGTTTCTTCTTCGCCTACAGCACTACATCATCATCTGCATTCGTTTCATAATCCAGTTGTTATGTCCCCTTCATCGCCTCCTCCACCGGCTTCGGATGAAGAACTTATCAATCGAATAAGTGGAATCAAAGCACCACATTTCAATCCGAATGCTGTTGTCAGTCCTGAAATAAGCTCCCACGATTACGAAATAGAGCCCTTAGAGCAATTGGTTGAGGAGAATGAACCCGGGGAGACAGAAATAAATACCACCGCATCATTCAAGGAGACAGACGAATCAGAAATACTGCCCACTGGTAGAAGAAGTAGTGTTGGAAATTTAGAAAGCATTCACGAAGAGGAAGAAGGAGAAGATGACCATAATAAGAATAGCCTATTGCTATCAGAGTTGGAAGGGATTTCTCCCAGAACAAGTACAAGAAGACGTCACAGTTCGCTGTTTGAGGATAGCATTGGGGAGTTGGTGATTAATGACTTGGGACAGGATAGTGTAAGTAATAGTGGGGCTAGTGGTAGTGAAGTTTCGGATGAAATCTTCAGTCTTAACAGACACCACACCACGGTTAATACGGAACAGATGCCATCCGAAGCACATTTGAGCAAGGATCTCCAGAAGTATAAAGATCAAATTAGCTAACGTAATGTAATAGTGCAAGGAAGAACCTGTAGTCACGTGATTGCATAATCACGTGATAATGAAAAGTTGTCCGAGGTGGGTGCAAAAATTAAAAGGGACAAGCTTTGTAAGATCTGGGCAAGGCGTATCGGAGAACCACGGGTGTAAAATGAGACGAAAACGAATATAACTACGAATCACTTATGTTTTGTAGTAAAGCACGGTGATGATGATCTTTGTAGCAGACACTACTATTAGAGCTTGGCAAAGAAGCAGACGATCCCAAGTCGCCACCAAATGAATACACAATCCAACGAAACAAAAACACTACAGACACAGGAAAAGGTCGCATACCAGGTAAAGTTAAAAGCAGACACATAGCAGATACTGCTAAAACAACAGACACGTAGCAGACACGTAACAGCACAGACACGGACACAGGAAACCATATCAGTCTCCGTTTACATAGCGTATCTTTTGGACTGTTTGCCTTCAGCCTACATGCATCCTGTGTCTTAATATGACCAGTGACTAATTCAATAATTTCTTAAGGGGTAGATGTTACTACCTCTATTACTGGCGATATCATAGTACTCGGCTACGTATCATTGTTACATTAATCGTACATGGCTATGTATTATTCTTAGCAAACATAACAGAAAATTCCCTCCCTTGTTTGTTCCATAGGAAGGAGTGGGAAGTGTTCTCAGCCGCAAGCAAAATTTTCTATGATGCAATGGGTGTGGATATAAATAACGAATAGGGTCCCTCACTAAGTTTGGTTTTCAATGTACGACACCCTATAACAAATCAGAGTCAAAGAGTCGAAAAATCCCATAGTAATAAACTTCTTTCTACGAGTCATTCCTCTGACTTTACGTTAATACGTGTCGGGTTGGTCATTCTTCCATTTCCCCTTTGATTTCATTCTAATCACTCCATCCAATTTTACTTCATCCCTATATCATGACTCTTCAACTGCAAGAACCTTCTCAGGGTTTACATCCCGTCACATCTAATCCAACACACCAGAAAATGAAGCTTTCTTCGAAAATAGGTAAACTTTTTGGCGTGGGTGTTTCGTCATCTTCTTCTACTGCTACGAGTCTGAAGAGACAGATTTCATCTTCTTCGAAATCACCTTTAGTGTCTCCGACTGCTTCTCCTGGGTTGTCGCCCTCTCCTGGTTCTGGTTCTGGTCCCTCAAGAAGACCTGCATCTCCAGCTCCGTTATTGTTGTCCTCCAATGATGCCCAAGGCAATAGTGGGTTAAGCCTAAGTCAAACAGACTCTTCAACCTCTCTATCACTGAAAAATATCACTACTGCTACCAACAATAATACTAATAATAGTCATACTGAACTTGATTTGGTTCCAGATAATGCAGAATTGTCTCATAATGCTCATAGATTGTTTTCGTTGTCTAATATGGCATCTTCAATACGATCCCCAAATGTTTCTCGACAGAACTCCACTAAACAGCAACAAAAACCAACTCCTACGTCTTCAGCTCATACATCTTCTGTGCAAACTTCAAGAAAGAATAGTATTTCTGAGCGGAAGAATAGTGTTTCTGATAGAAAAAATAGTATAACCGAACGTGAAACAAGAGGAAGTATATCGGATAGAAAGTCTAGTGTTGGTTCGGAAAGAAAGGGGTCATCTTCAAGTATTAGTGTTTTAATTTCTTCTGTTACTTCACAGCCTGCCAATAAGTCATCCACTTCTTTAAATGGTTCGGACTCACCACAACAACCTCCTATTCCAGTTGCGAGGTCTTCCTCGCTGAAGAGAATTCTCCCAGGTAAGAAAAGTGTATCACCCAAACCAAGTGGAACAACTGGAGGCATAGTAACTACTAATCCCAATACATTATCTTCTATAATTTCCAATGATTCTAAATCTAGCGGGCTACTTGAATCGAATAATAATGATGTTGAGAATAATAATAATAATAATATTAAGTCCACAACTGCATCTACTTCTGTTTTATCACCGCAACCTCAGAAACACATCAATTCTCCTCCATCGCAACCATCATCTCATTTGTCTTCAACTACTCTGGTGAATAAGCTAAGATTCAAAATGCACCCAGACGGTAACCATGAACACAACCTTAGATACGCCAAAAGACAAGAGAAGCTTACAAATATGCTTAAGGACTTTTTGGGAGCTAAGAAACTTCGTGATGAGGCCAAATCTGCATTACCCAGTATTTTCAGTGGTAGTAACGTTGATTCAACCAAGTCTCAAGTGCCCAATGGGGTCAACAATGGACCTCCAACGTTATTTGCTGGACTAGTTAAACAGGTGAAGAATCGTCAAAATGAAGACAATACTTCTGCATCTGATACCCGTGTAATTGCTGGAATTTTAAGTGAGAATGGATCCAAATCAATGGAGAAGGTTGTAAGTGGAACATCAAGTGCCAATGATTGTCGATCATTTTTAGAGAAGTATGGACGATGTCAAGAAGTAATTGGTAAAGGGTCATTTGGAGTTGTTCGGGTAGCTCATAAGAAAGTTGGTCCTGGAGAAGGTAACCGAGGAGAAGAAATTCTCTATGCCGTTAAGGAATTTAAAACCCGAGCTAACGAAGGAGAAAAGAAGTATCATCGTCGTTTGACGAGTGAATTTTGTATTTCATCTTCATTAAAGCATTTGAACATTATCGATACCCTTGACCTACTTAAAGATGCTAAGGGAGAATATTGTGAAGTTATGGAATATTGTGGAGGTGGAGATTTATTTTCTGTTATTGTTGCAGCTGGTAAATTGGAATATGCCGAAGCAGATTGTTTCTTTAAACAATTAATACGAGGTGTGGTATACATGCATGAAATGGGGGTTACTCATAGAGATTTAAAACCAGAGAATTTACTACTTACAACCCAAGGAGTACTTAAGATCACAGATTTTGGTAATGGAGAATGTTTCAAAATGGCGTGGGAGAATGATATTCAATTTTCTGAAGGAGTTTGTGGATCTTCGCCTTATATTGCGCCTGAAGAATTTGTATTAAAATCGTTTGACCCCAGAGGCGTTGATATTTGGGCTTGTGGAGTTATTTATATGGCCATGAGAACCGGTAGACAATTATGGCAAGTAGCCAATCCTAAGGAAGATGAATTTTATGAGGAATATTTGGCAAAGCGGAAGGAAGCAAGTGGATATGAACCAATTGAAAACTTGAAACGGGCAAGATGCAGAAACGTTATTTATTCTATATTGGATCCAATTCCTGATAGAAGAATCACTGGTAAGCAGATTCTTAATAGTGAATGGGGCAGAGAAATCAAAGTATGTGATGCTGGTGAAGGAAAATTAGATCATCATGATTCAAAGATATATTTATAGGAGCAATATAGTGTAATGTAATAATAATAATGAGGCTATTTATTAGTTTTAGAACACAAGTGAATACGCTTATAGTATGTAGGTTTGAAATTTACGTCGTCGGAGTAAATTTCAGAATGCATATACTCGTAGTTACCCGCAACAATAAACACGCGTTTATAAACTATTTAGACGAAACGAGCAGTTATTACACTATTAGTAGTAGCAGTTACAACAACGATATCATGGTTGAATTAAGTGACTATCAACGTCAAGAGAAAGTAGGAGAAGGTACTTACGGGGTGGTGTATAAAGCCATAGATACCAAGCATAATAATCGAGTGGTTGCACTTAAAAAGATCAGACTTGAAAGTGAAGATGAAGGAGTCCCCTCCACCGCCATTAGAGAGATCTCATTATTAAAAGAGATGAAAGACGACAACATCGTCAGATTACATGATATCATTCATAGTGATTCTCATAAGCTTTATTTAGTGTTTGAGTTTCTTGATTTAGATTTAAAGAAGTATATGGAGGCCATCCCACAGGGCGTTGGGTTAGGGTCTAATATGGTTAAGAAGTTTATGAACCAATTAGTTAAAGGAATTAAGCATTGCCATTCCCATCGGGTTCTCCACCGGGATCTCAAGCCACAGAACTTACTTATTGATAAGGAAGGGAACCTAAAGTTGGCCGATTTCGGACTTGCTAGAGCGTTTGGGGTACCCTTGAGAGCGTATACTCATGAAGTGGTTACGTTATGGTACCGCGCACCGGAGATTCTTTTAGGCGGGAAACAATATTCCACCGGAGTAGACATGTGGTCTGTGGGGTGTATTTTCGCTGAGATGTGCAATAGAAAGCCATTGTTCCCTGGTGATAGTGAGATTGATGAGATCTTTAGAATCTTTAGAATCTTGGGGACCCCCACAGAAGAGACCTGGCCCGAGGTTACGTATCTTCCAGATTTCAAGCCCACGTTTCCCAAATGGTCTCGAAAGAATTTGGCCGATAGCGTTCCAAGTTTGGACGCGGATGGGATCGATTTATTGGAGCAAATGTTGGTGTATGATCCCAGCGGTCGAATCAGTGCCAAGCGAGCATTGATTCATCCGTACTTTCAAGAAGGTGAAATTGATTCCCATGCCAGATCAATAATCATGACATAAGCGCGGCGTTATACTATGTTTTATCGATCCAATGAAGAACAATACACACTAAGAGAATCATTAATGCTCCTTTTGTTATGCTTGTAGGTTTGGTAGTTACTGTCTGTCGGTCGACGTTCTGTAATTGGCTTCCTATTTGAACAAGCTCTTGTCGAATGTTATTGATTCGATACATCAATGAATCGTTATTGCTATGGAGTTGTCTCAAACGATACCAATCATGAACGTTTTGATCTGTAAGTTTATCCAATTCATGTTCAAGGTCTTTATATTGGGCCATGTTTTTCTCATGATGTAGTTTCAAGTCTTTCATCATTTCTGGAAGTACACCAGATGGTGTCTTCCCTATTGATTCCAGTATAGACACACTGGACCAAACAGACGATGGAGATGCTGGAACCGAATCGAATCCAGGACTTAGACCTTTGGAAATGACGCTGTCGAGATCAGCATGATGACCATCACTATTCCGATCAGTACTATGTTCATCAATATGTGGATCTTTATGATCTGTATGATCTGTATTTTCATATAGAACAATTGATTTCGCCATGATGTCGCCTTCCGTATCAACATACACGTCAGTATTATCGTTTTCAAAGGATCCATATACAATGCTATTGGATGGATCCACTATCTTTATTTCCCGTAGGATATCGTCACACATGATCCGAACCATTTCACCTTTGTCGAGTACAACCAGTAAGCCATCAACTCCACTATGTCGGCTGATTCGGGAAATAATTGTAGGATCGGAGCTTAGGAACCCATGTGACGCTCCAATAGTTGTTTCGAGGATCTCAACAAAGTCAACAAGATGTTCTGTAGTAACTGGATGATACAGGTCGTTAAGTTGCCACCAGACTGAATCAACTACAGTGTCATTCATTACCCCACCACCAGTTTTTATATGCTTTTTACTATATCCATGCGGGGGAAGCTTTAGTGTGATGTTGATATTGTTGATATTATTGCTGATTATGTTATTGCTTGTTGCTCGTATGTTGTTCGTTTGTTGATGATGTTGCTTGGTATGGTATGTGACTATTAGAATAATCTTGTTTGCAGTTACTGTTTTAGGCAATCGACCAACACTGAATATTTTCCACACCACGAAATAAAATAAAGCGACAGAAGCGACCGTTCATTCCATCGCAACTATGTCGGATCGTAACGGAGGGTATGGTGACTACTCATACCGTGGGCGAGGGTATCTGAGAGGATACAGGGGGCATTTCAGAGAACATCACAGTCGAGGTAATAGTTATCGTGGGGGGAGAGGCGGAGGTGGTGGAAGAGGTGGACTGAGTTACTATGAACATGTAGATCAATATACACTGGGTGGACGAGGTGGTGGCGTCGGCAGCGGATACCATTATCGTGGGGGGAATAGAGGTGGATATCGAGGTTATGATAGTGGCGGTGCACCAACTACTACCAATAATGGTTCCTATAGCAATGAGCAACATTATTCTCCTCAAACTACGGCCACTGGTCCAAATTCAGGGTCAGGTTCAGGCACCGGTCCAGGCACTGGTTTAGGCACCGGACGAATAACGGGTACTGCTCCCGGTTCAAGCTCAAGCAGTCAAGTATCAGGCTCAAATACTAATGTATCGCCTAATCCATCACATGATTCGCGTTCAACCACACCTTTACCTACCAGAAATCGACTTAGATCCCAATCGACCAATCCCTGGATCCAGTTGCTACACATAAAAGACGAACATACACGCACTACACTCCAGCAACGATATCTGGAGTTAGAAGAGGTTGATGCTCGGTTGATGGAGCTACAAAAGTCTCGGTTGGCCATGGAATCTGCTGCGAAGACATTAGAGATCTACGCAGCCAAAGAGGCACTCAATGTGTCGATAACCAATGACAAATTGGAAGAGTTTACGTATTTTTAATAGTCTTAGTATAGTGTAATTATATGTATGTGATTATAGGGTAATTATATGGTAACTATAGGGTAATTATAGTCGTGGTGTAATTGGTATTGTTCGCTGTGATAAACCAATTTTTTGATCGAAAATTTTCTACAACGATCAACATTCTTTTACTACCACCACCATGTCTGTTGAACTTTTTAATACCATTTCTAACTCTTCTGTGGGTCATTACGTCCTCTTTGCGGCGTTACTCTTAGGGGTATTCAAATTGACAACTCTTGTATTGAATTTTAGCGCCGTTATATTCGATAGCTTTATTCTCCCTCCAGTTAACTTTAAGAAATACGGAGGCGGAGCAAGAGGCAACAACGGCAAATGGGCTGTTATCACCGGAGCTTCCGATGGGATTGGTAAAGAATATGCCTTCCAATTGGCAGCTAAGGGTTTAAATATCGTATTGGTATCCCGTACTGAATCTAAATTGGAAGTAGTAGCCAATGAAATTAAAGCCAAATATCCCACAACCCAAACTAAAGTAGTTGCCTTTGACGCATCCACCGATACGCCAGCCAATTATCTGACTTTAAGACATGCCATTGAAGAATTAGCGGTGACAGTATTGATCAATAACGTTGGCCAATCCCATTCGATCCCTGTCCCCTTTTTAGAAACTGAAGACAAGGAATTAAGAGATATCATCACTATCAATAACACGGCCACGTTAAAGATTACCCAAACGGTAGCTCCAATCATTGAAGCCACTGTTAACAAAAGCAACAAAAAGATTAAAGGATTGATTCTTACCATGGGATCGTTTGGTGGATTGTTACCCACTCCTTATTTAGCTACTTATTCCGGTTCTAAGGCCTTTTTGCAAGCCTGGTCTGCAGCTCTTGCTGGAGAATTGAAACCTAAGGGGATCGATGTTGAACTTATCATCAGCTACTTGGTCACTTCGAACATGTCTAAGATTAAACGTACATCTGCTACTATCCCCAATCCTAAACAATTTGTTGGTTCTGTCTTACGTTCAGTTGGTAGACGTGGCGGTGCTCAAGAAAGATACGCTACGTCGACCCCTTACTGGTCGCATGCTTTAATGCATTTCGCTATTGAATCTACAGTTGGAGTTTATTCGAAAGTTGCCAATAAGTTGAACTTACAGATGCATCAACAAATCCGTACTCGTGCTTTGAAGAAGGCTGCTCGTTTATCTCAGCAGAAGAAAACGGAATAGTCACTATCCTTATCGTAAGTATATCCCACTGTATCGTAAATATATCGACTGTATTCCTTTAGATTATCACCACCATGGAACATTCTAGAAAATTCCTCAATGTTCCCAAACACTACCACAGCAAAAAAATGAAATCGGCACTCCATTTATATACTGCGATCTCACCACCACCAATCATTTGAGCCGGACCAACCAACTCCTTTCATAGGACACTGACAGATTTCTAATCATGGTCAAAGATACTAAGCTTTATGATTTGTTAGGAGTGGCCCCCTCAGCCTCCGAGCAAGATATTAAAAAGGGCTATAGAAAACAGGCATTGAAGTATCACCCAGACAAACCAACTGGTGATACTGAAAAGTTCAAAGAAATCTCTGAAGCCTTTGATATTCTTTCCAATGCTGATAAGAGACAAGTGTATGATGATTACGGTATAGAGGCCGCCAGAGGTAATGCTCCTGCTGGAGGCAATCCCTTCTCTGGCGGTGGAGGAGGGGGTGGTGGTAATCCGTTTGCTTCGTTTGGTGGTGGAGGCCATCATACTTTTTCCCAAGCTGATGCGTTCAACATCTTCTCCCAAATGGGAGGTTTCGGAATGGGAGATGATGGTGGGTTCTCCTTTAGTAGTGGTGGTATGCCTGGAGGAGGTGGTGGCTTCAGTTCTTTTGGTGGTGGTAGTGGCGGTATGCCTGGAGGATTTAGTTCGTATGGTGGAGGTACGCCTAGACAAAGACGTCCAGAACCAGATACCGTTAGTATGCCATTGGCCGTAAGTTTAGACGATTTATATAAGGGAGGAGTCAAGAAGATGAAATTGAATAGAAAGGGGATCAACGGTGAAAGAGAAACCAAAGTTATAGAAATCAACTTAAAACCTGGTTGGAAAGCTGGTACTAAAATCAATTTCACAAATGAAGGAGATTATCAACCTGAATGTCAAGCTCGACAAACCATTCAATTTGTTATTGAAGAGAAACCCAATCAATTATTTGAAAGAGATGGAAATAATTTGATCTTGACTGTTAAGTTAAGTTTAAAGGAATCATTATTAGGTTTCAACAAACAAATCACCACCATGGACGGACGCAAGATTCCCTTATCACGGTCTCAACCAATACAACCTAACTCCCAAAACACTTACCCTGGTTTAGGTATGCCTATAAGCAAATTGCCTGGTCAATTTGGTGATTTGATTGTTAATTTCAAGATTGATTTCCCATTGTCACTAACTCAAGATCAAAAGGATGCCATCAATCAACATTTCTCATAGACTCAAATACTTTCACTTTGATTCTCGTTGTATATTATAAATAGTTTCAATTCGCATAATTTACGATAATTTAAATGTAGATACCGTGCTCAAATTTACGTCGACAAAACGGTTCAGTATAAAACTGGTACAGCACGTAACCAGTGCAGTAAGCAAGCTGTACAGCGCATAGCCAGTACAGTAAGTAACCGGTACAGCGCATAACCGGTACAGTACGCAGCCGATATAATCTGTAACTAGTACGGCTTTTACCACCCAAACCTGTTGGTCGACTCGACCAATATTTTACGCACCAAAAATTGATCGACTATTACTACGACGTCTTTTTTAATTAGTATCATATATAATGTCCGTGATCCTAGCATCCGCAGGCTACGACCATACTATTCGTTTCTGGGATGCCCTTACTGGGGTTTGTTCCCGTACCATACAACATCCCGACTCTCAAGTGAACCGATTGGAAATCACATCCGATAAACGGTTCCTAGCAGCTGCTGGGAATCTCTATGTCAAGTTGTATGACATCAGGCAATCTGGGAATGCCGGAAACGGGAACGGAGCAGCTTCAGGCGGTGGAAGCAATGGTGCCAACATAGGCAATGGAGGTGGAGGTGCAGCTGGCGGTGGAGGAGGTCCACAACCGACTGCTTCGACACAGGGCCATAGTAACAACAGTAATAACAGTGGCAATGTGGCCGTAATGACTTTTGAAGGCCACACAAATAATGTGACCAGTCTACAATTCCAAATTGAAAACAAATGGATGGTCACCTCTCTGGAAGATGGCTACGTTAAGGTATGGGACGTTCGGTCACCCAGCGTACAACGTAACTACAAGCATAATTGTCCCGTCAACGAGGTGGTGATACATCCGAACCAAGGAGAATTGATCAGTTGTGACCAAGAGGGGAATATCCGGATCTGGGACTTGGGAGAGAACCAATGTACTCATCACTTGATCCCTGAAGATGATGTTCCTATCAATTCACTTAGTGTGGCCAGTGACGGGTCGATGCTAGTGGCAGGTAATAACAAGGGCAATTGCTACGTATGGAAAATGCAGAACAACAGGGAGGTCACCACCTTGACTCCCACAACGAAGTTTAGATCTCATCTGAAGTATATTACCAGAGTCTTGTTGTCGACAGATCTGAAGCATTTGGCCACTTGTTCAGCAGATCATACGGCCAGAATTTGGTCGACCGATAGAAACTTTAACTTGGAAACAACGTTGCAGGGCCATCAACGGTGGGTTTGGGATTGTGCTTTCAGTGCCGACTCTGCTTATTTGGTTACAGCATGTTCTGATCATTATGTAAGACTTTGGGATTTATCGACTACAGAAACCGTAAGACAGTACAACGGACATCATAAAGGAGCTGTATGTGTTGCGTTGAACGATGTTTGAGAGAGATGTGTTACCAACAGCGATATTTAACTAAAAAAGCTCTTGCAGTGAAGTTCATCTATCGACTCAAACAATGTACATCTGGCTCGATCAGCAAAGCACATTTTAAGTTGATTGTGCTTGTGGATCTGCACTTGAACTTGGAACAATTTCAAAATCAAATGCACTTCCTTAACAAACATGTTCTGACAATAAGACGAAGGGTTTAAGCTTTGGAACTGTTGAAGATTAGCCGTGGAATTTTCAGTGTCAATTCTGAACATGAAATTGATTTTGGAAATTATATCTCTGGCCATTTCTCGGATATTATTGTCTAGAATTCTTCTAGTGTAAGATTCAAGAGCCTGGAGATAAAAGAAAATGGCACACTTGAACACAATCAAAGCCATATCGTAGTCATCATCCATGGAAGTGTCCTTTGGACTGTTTTCCATCATGAAACAGAACAATTCGACAAGACAATCTGCCACAGCAACGTAATGGAAATTACATAAGAATCTCAGTTGACTAATATCCGATGGGATTATCACTGAAAAAACCCTTTTGAACTCCCATTTCGCCCATTCCATCATAGATTCAACACCATTATCGTTTCTTGAACCATGGGTCCAACTGGCCATAGTGTTCACATAAATGTTCAACGGATAGCAGAAAAGTGGCACTACTTGTGGACTTGTTTCGAGAACAGTGATAATATTCGATACTTTGGTAGCAATGGTGTCAGTTAATTCGTATCCAAGACTAGTTGTGGGATAATTGGTTATAGGAGGGATAACGTCATCGCTGAACATCATGGAAAAGAGCAATTGATGAGCTTGAAAGACTTTTTGATAGAGTTTCCGACTAATGGTGTTTTGACAATGTCTGCATTGCATTGACATGTTTTGGAAGAGTTGTTCTATGGTCAATTGATGAAAGGTGTGCAAATCCAAGTTGTATATTACATGGTTACAACGAACACAGTTGTAGCTGAAGAACCAATCAAAAGACAGAGAACACGAAGAACACACACATCTGAAGAAGTATCTTGAGTTTAATTCATGTTGTCTGAGAACTCGGGGGATCCCGGGATGAATATAAGTGGTAAAGATTTGAGACTCTTTACCAATTGGCCTGGTAGCCATTAAACAAAATGTTTGGTTATTAAACGGAACCATGACCGTATTAGACACACAAGAATGGTTAATTAGACTAAACTCGGGGTCGAAACTATAGCCGATATTTTCATTATATTTATTGGTATGATCGATGAAATTAACCAATAAAATGCCCAATAATTGGTGGACCAACAGGGGTTCGTTATTCTGACCAGATGAAATTATCAAGTCACACATTTCTGTAAATGAAGAGGCCCATTCACTGTTATCAAGAAAGTTATCGACATGGGACGTTAACTCTTTGATCCTAGTAGCAAAGCCTTGATCATCTGCTTGATTCAAAGCTAGCATTCTGATAAGAGTTATATGAGACAAAGTTAATTGACCAAACGGTTGTTCATCACAAGCTTTGCCTATCAAGTCACATTCAAATTGATGAATCTTTTGCCAATGCTGGTACTTGCATTCTTCACTGCAATAATTGCAATACTGACAATTATTGCAAGACACTATTGAACGACCGGTGTTGATCAAGTCAATCCAACAGCTTTGACAAACATTGGTGCAATTTGTTGAAGATTCCAAAGAATTTTCAAACCCAATACAGACCAATGGCGGGGTAAAGATTGCTACAAGGTCACCTGGTTTAAGAGCTCTTTTAGCATAGACGCCTCGTTTGGTTGGTCCAAGATTGGAATACTTCAAATGGACATTGGGGTTCTTAGCAAACGTATTGGTGCTGTCTAAAATCGATAGACGCCTGCGAGTCATGAGCAGAATAGAAAGAGTAAAGTAGGAGAAGTGTGGGTATAACGGTAATTATAATGTGAGCTCTTTTGTTTGCGAACTATTTATGCTATAAATTATTTCTAGTGGTGTCCCAAGATTTCATCGACATTTTCGTATTGCATGATTGACGACTGCTGTTGCTGTTGTTGTTGATCCGTTCCATACCCACCGTCGAGTAGATCAACTATGCTTTTGCTTCTAATGGATTCAAGATTCAATGATGAATAGTCGATTTCCAACTTAACGCTGGCGTCGTTGTTCCCATTCTTGGTGCGAGGAGTGGCACTTCTTGTGGCTGTGTTAGTGGTGGTTACAGCTGTGGGGTAAGCATTTTTGGAGATGGTCATTTGGGAAGCATAATCTTGGAAATCATCAAATAAATATCCACTCAATTCAAAGACCCAATGCAAATATTCATCGATCCAACAATGAAGAGTCCACCAATGCAAGAATGATTTGGAATGGGAGATTGAATCATAACTTTCAGATCGGTTGATTTCTCTCAAACAAGCAGTTAAGAAACTGGAAGTTACTAATAAAAATAATCGAGGATTAACTCGAGTAAACTTTTCAGGTAATGCCATTAGGAAGGACTCAAGATTGGATAGTGGTTTGTCTATGGTGGTGGTGGTGGTAGTACTCTCTTTGTTGCAGCTAGTATCATCAACATCTTTGCTATTCTCTTTATTCGATAATAATTCCACAGGATCAATTTCTCTTAATATGTTAAGAAGGACTTCAATATTCATTCGAGAACAAAAGATTTCCGATTGAACAAGTTGATTGAAATTCAATTTCTTCCAATCATTGGCCATGATTTCAATAGTCATTGGATCCTCCAAGATTCTGGTTACCAAAATACTAGATTCTATAACTCGAACTGTTCGAGATAGATTTGAAACAAACTTTTTGGCCAATTGCAATTTCATCACAAGCAATTTATTGGGGACTTTATTAATTAAACTGATCTTCAAATAATCCAAATATTCATCACCGACTTTCCTTAATTGGTCAAGGACTTCACTTGGAACATTACCATTTCCATTGGAATTCAATTTTGTAAGCATTTTTGTCATGGCCTTGTAAGTGATGGTATCACATGCTTTAACCCATTCATAGACATCATCAGAAACATAAAGCTTAAGCACTGGAGGAGTGGAAATACTATTGAAAGTACTATAACTGGAAAATAACCGTTTGATGTTCATATACCGCAACGACTCAAAGATTGAAACACAATAAACCTTATAAAGTGACGATAAGGTGTCCGCAAGATCTAAATCAGCTCCCTTAGGTAAATAAGGGAATAATGAAGGTAAACTGAAATTATTTGCGTCATCGGATTTGAATGAATTATTAATCAACTCAAATAAATTGGGAATGTATTTCAAATCAGAAACATACACCTGACTTTCATTGGTAACCAAAAACGATGCTGGAGTGGATAATCCCGTATGGGGAGAAGTGGTTGAGATGTTTCCCTGGTTCATCTGTAAGATGGAAGCTTGTGTTGTATTTAAAGTCATAACTCCTGGCAGCCCTAAGAATGATGGAGTCATGGGATTAAATGTATGTGAATGAGGAGATTCAAGTGATGACATTGGTGATTGACCACCAGCAGTAGACCCCGAAGGCGTAGAAGTATTATCAAGGGATTCATTATAATGATGATGATGAGGTATTGGCTGTGATAATGTTGTTGTTGTTGACGCACCAGCAGCAGCTGCTGGAGATGGTGATGCTCCACTACTATTATGATGTAATCTTTGAGATGCAGTGGTATCATTGATCAACTTAATACCACAGTAATGATATTTGGATTGACCTCTCATACCTAATCTTCTGGTTGCAATATTAGGAAACAATAACCTCACAAGCTTACCAAAACTAGCAGGTGCTAAGGGAGTAATGCTGTTCTCAGCACATACTAAAACATACCGAGCATAGATTCTATTCCGAGGCACAACTGCAGTCGGAGAAGACTCACAAGAACTTAATAACCAAACCATCCCCAATAATTGTTTCTGCCGTTCCTTTCTGGTCTCTCTAATGCCAGGGATCTCCGGTAACTCTCCTAAAGCTGCTATGGCTTTTTCATCATTCTCCAGAGCTCGAATATGAATGGCTAGATGGGATAAAGGTACATCCTTTAAGTTATAAGCAACCTTCTTCAACTCGTCGTCTCCCACTTCGCCAGAAGGTGAAAAATCAAACTTGCGTTGCTTCTTTCTCGTAGGACCTCCTCCGGTATCTGTTTCCGGCTTGATGTCGTTGGTTGGAGATGCATCGCTGGCTGATTCCATGCTGTCTAATGGTGACCCTCTTCTAGATATTTCACTGGCTAGGCGATTCATGGGGGTCAAATTGGGGTAGTTGGGATTAGCCACATATGTTGAAGGAAATTGAACTTGACTATTAGCAACTTGACTATTAGGGTCGTAATTCACCCTGTATCCTTGGATATGTCGTGGTAAGCCTCTGAAATCGGTCTGTTGATTGAGATACTGTTGAACCTGTTGCTGTTGCTGATGCTGTTGCTGATGCTGTTGCTGATGCTGATGCTGATGCTGATGCTGATGCTGATGCTGTTGCACTTGTTGTTGTTGTTGTTGTTGTTGTTGGTTGAGTAATGGCTGCTGTAGGTCATACCCTTGTTTGAACCCAGGCAATGCCAACAGTCCACTTCGGGGTAAGAACACCGGAGTCGCTTGGTCATAATGAGTATCGAACAGAGTAGAAGCTGGAGGAGCAACTGCACCAGTAGAACCAGGTCCCACTGATTCTCCTCCGCCTCCTTTGATCTGTGAAGGCACAAACACTTGTCTCAGATACGGAACAGCACTACCAGGTACCGCTACTTGTGTTTGAGCTTGTGTTTGAGCATGTGCTTGCTGTTGCTGTGGCTGTGGCTGATACCCTCCAGATGATAGACCAAACGGCGATGATGATGATCCACCATTACTATTACTATTCCAATTCAGCAGGTATCCATTCAAACCGGCATCGTTGTTGTTCATTGGGTTCATCTTAGTTGACGGCAGGCAATGACATCAGACACACGAAGATCAACTGAAATCAGAGAAGAATAGTAGTAATAGGGTTTAATCCCATCGTGAAGAGAGAGAGAGGAATGATTTTCATTGGTAGAGACACGCACGTTATGGTATAAACTATTATACTTTACTAGAAGATCGGTGTCCGGGGCTTTAACGGTAGCGCGACCTTTTTGTTGGTAATAATTTTTCTGTTGTGGACTGCTATTAGAGGGCAGTACTGTGCATGGTAATTTGTAAGAACGACCATATCACGATGTCGAGTAGTGTACATAAGGGTATTCGGACTTAGTAACGAGTACTGGTGTATTGCGAGAAAGATCACTAGTTGAAGGTATACGGTGAGCTCATATAGTGGTACGTTTAGTGGTATGTTTTAGTACATTTAAGGTAGTGTATTTATAATAGGTAATAATACGTTTATGGTATTATTGTTGTACTATAATAAGTGCTCTATTAGGGCAACACGTCACGTGACTGTTCACGCGACGACTTAATTTTTCACTCATCGCAACTCATCTCATCTCAAGCATCACCACTTCTTATTCTATCCATACATACATACACACACACATACATACATACATACATACATACATACATACATACAATGGCCGTGTTGAACACCAACCCCGAGATTCTCCTTAAGAAGAGAAAGGACAAGGACAGAAAGCGATTAGAAAAGCAAGAGCAGGCCATTGAAAGAGAGTTAAAGCAAAAGATACAGAAGAAGAAACAACGGTCCAAGTTTATTAGAGCAGAAACATTGATATCGAACCATAAATCCAAAGAACTCGAATCTAAGAGAATCAAGAACATCACCAAGCATGAACAAAGAATAAGCCATGACGACACTACCACTACCACAGCCCAATTACTCTTTGTCATCAGAGTTCCAGATCATACTAAGGGATTAAAAATTCCTTCCAAAGCTAAGAAGGTATTGGACTTGTTGAAGTTGAACAAGCCAAACACCGGTGTGTTTGTGAAGTTGACGTCTACCGTCGAGCCTTTGTTGAAGCTTGTTAACCCATATATTGTTTGCGGAACACCTTCTTTACAAACAGTCAGAACCTTGTTTCAAAAGAGAGCTACTATCAAAACAGTAGACGAAGAAACCGGGGCTACAAAGACTGTCAAGTTGGATAACAACCAAGTAGTTGAAGATGTCTTTGGTACTGAATACGGTTGGATCTGTATTGAAGATTTGGTCCATGAATTGGTATCTCTTGGTGATAACTTTAAGGTTGTCTCTCATTGGTTAGTTCCTTTCTCCTTGAACTTGCCAGTGTCCGGTTGGGGCCCTCAAGCCAAGTTGGCCAGATTACAACTTGCTTCTGCTAATGAAAGAAAAGTTAGTTTGGCAGGTAACGTTCTGTTGGCTCAAATTGACATTGATAAAATCATTGAAGACCAGAATTAGTATAAATTAATAAATATAAGCATTAGTTAATATAAGCATTTATTATGGTACAACAGTGAGTCTTTGTGACTATGAGTCTGACTGTGAGTCTTTTGTCACGTGACCTAATGTCCGAGGGCCGACAACCCCGGAAGTATATGTACGCGTATAAAGTCCACTACCAAACATCAACAGTATCCCTCTCCCCTCTCTCTTCTCTATTAAACCATGACTCTCTATAGCACGTATACAAGTCTTACACGAGACCCTGCATATACTTACAAGTTGGTGCAACTCACCAATGACGTTCGAGAGAGACTAGAAAAGGGTGAACAGATCACCATCAAATCAGATCCCAATGTCCCCTCTCATCTTGTGCTAACCGCGTCAGACTCTACGTGGAAGATCCGTCAGATGAAACATACCAATACTGCGTTGGTGATGTCGAGCAGAAGTGACTGGAGTCCCATGTTTGGTGCCGACAGGGCCTCGGATCTGAACGCTCTTGTGAGCATCGCTAGTCTTACATATGAATATGAGTTGACACCAACTAAAGGTACAATTACCATTACTGATTTGCCTGTTTATGATCCCAAAACAAAGGATACGAGAGAAAATGTCAAGAGCATATCGTTGGACAAGTTGCTTTGTGATTCTTGTATCTCCGAGAAAGAGTTCTATCAACAATGGTATAAGCTTGGAGGTTGTGACATCAAGGGAAATGCCACCATTCTTAGTCCCAGATATATTTCAGAGCTTCTCCAACTCATAATCACCTTACTTATTCGACATAAAATACTAGACATCAAGTCTGAGGGCATAGTGGACAAGATGCCACAAATAATTCACCTCATTCAACAGCATGCTTCCACCATCCCTGTGTCGGCCATAGAGACAGTAGTTCATAAGTTTTCTGATGTTTCCACTGGTCAATTGGACCATAGTTCTGTGTCTGAATGGTTTGGAATAGAAACACTTCAAAAACAAGCATCTATTCGAGCACTTTCGGTTCGAGATTTCCTCATGGAATGGAAATCGGCTCTTCCTCCGTTCTACAATGCTCCCCTTGATATCACGCAGTTGCAGGGATACTATTATAAGCCAGCATTGGACTCGGTTGCTTATTTGGACTCTTCCAACCTAGCAGTACTGGACTTATCTGCGCGTGTCAAGGAACTCTTTTCCATTGCCAAAGAATGGGAATGGGAAGACTTTGCTCCATTCATAATGTCGTTCGTTCCGTCAGGAAAAAAGCCTGATGCGTTTATGTTGAAATACTGCAAACGTCGCCGGGTGGGCAAGAAAGTTCTTGTTTCCACTCGTTGAAGTGTGAAGCTTTTAACTATGGCTTAATCCGGGGTTTATCCGACCACAAACCGAGGGTAAACGTCAAACTTTGGTCTCGAAAAATTTCCAGTTCTTACAAATAAAGTCTACTGTGGCCCACAAGCTTACTTAATAAGGAACGACTTTACAATGGATAACAGCCAGTTTATCATCTCATTAGTGGTATGACCAGCCAACTCAATTCAATTACATATCATTCTCATCCGCTTTCTTACTAACTATAATTTAGAGTGGAGCATGTGCTGGAACATCCACAGACCTTGCATTCTTTCCAATAGATTCCGTGAAGACAAGATTACAAGCCAAAGGAGGGTTTTTCGCTAATGGAGGGTGGAAAGGCATTTATCGTGGGTTAGGACTGTGTGTGATTGCTCTGGCCCCACTGGCCCTGTTGTTCTTTGTTACTTATGATGGATTGAAACGGAAATTGATTCAAGAGAACAATATGAACCCAACAATAGGACATATGATTGCTGCCTCCTTTGGAGAAATCGCTGCATGTTTTGTTAGGGTTCCTGCTGAAGTTGTTAAGCAAAGAACTCAAGTTGGTAGTGCTGGGAAGGTAACTTCATGGGATAACTTTGTGTACTTGTTACGCAACCAATCAGGTGAAGGAGTCATTAGAGGACTATATCGTGGATGGTCAACTACTATAATGCGTGAGATTCCCTTTACAGTGATTCAGTTCCCTCTTTACGAAGAACTCAAGAGTCAATGGGCATTAGCCAATGGGGAAACCCCTTTGGCACCTTGGAAGGGTGCAGTCTGTGGATCTATAGCTGGAGGAGTGGCTGCTGCACTTACTACACCATTAGACGTGATCAAGACTCGTATAATGCTAGAAAAGAAATCTATGGGTGTTAAGGTGGTGGTTAGTCGAATGATCAAAGATGAAGGTTATTCTGTGTTCTTCCATGGTATTGGGCCTCGAACGTGTTGGGTCAGTGCTGGTGGAGCTATCTTCTTAGGATGCTATGAGATGGTTAGTTCTACGTTGAGTCAAGTGACGAAATAATAGATTATAGACTATAGAAGTATGTACATAAGCCGGCATACCCCCGGAAAACCTCGGTATGTCCCCGGAAGATCTTGTTTTTTCATAATGGTACATACACGACTTTTGACTACAAAAGATTATCCTTTTAGTCATCAACAAAGTGTATAGCCATCTTTCCTTACTCTTCTACTTATAGTGTTGAACTTCGGGTTGAAGGAAGTATGTTTTCCAAGCAAGTTGTAACAACATTGGCTCGGTGTCAGATCTCCAAGAGATGTGTTTCCTCCATACGGATGTTAACCACGGATGGCCGGAAGTTATTGGCCAGTGAGAGTTCCTTGCCCGTGGCCAATACCAATGTTATCCCTCCGGAAGGATCGACGATCTCATTAACGTCAGCTTACAGAGACGGAACCACCCACGGGACAAAGCCGATTTACTTGGATGTCCAAGCTACCACACAAACTGATCCTCGGGTGTTGGACGTGATGTTACGGTTCTTAACTGGCCTCTACGGGAACCCCCACTCTTCTACGCATGCCTATGGTTGGGAAGCCGAGAAGGAAGTGGAGGAAGCCAGAGCTCACATTGCCAGTGTGATTGGCGCAGACCCCAAGGAGATCATCTTCACCTCGGGAGCCACCGAGTCAAATAACATGGCCATCAAGGGTATACCCCGGTTCTACAAGAAGACCAAGAAACATATCATCACCACCCAGACAGAACACAAGTGTGTTTTGGACTCAGCCAGACACATGCAAGATGAAGGGTTTGAAGTGACGTATTTGCCAGTTAATGAAGAAGGGTTAATCAATCTAGAAGATTTGAAGAAGGCAATTCGGAAGGACACCGCGATGGTTTCAATTATGGCAGTTAACAACGAGATTGGAGTTATCCAACCTTTAGAGGAAATTGGGAAAATCTGTAGAGAACATAAAGTGTTCTTCCATACAGATGGGGCTCAAGCGTTTGGGAAGATCCCATTGGATGTTAACGAAATGAACATTGATATGATGTCGATTTCTTCCCATAAAATCTATGGTCCCAAGGGTATCGGTGCTGCTTATGTAAGAAGAAGACCCAGAGTCAGAATTGACCCAATTATCTCTGGTGGTGGACAAGAAAGAGGGTTAAGATCCGGTACTTTGGCGCCTCCTTTGGTATGTGGGTTTGGTGAAGCCGCCAGACTCATCAAACAAGAATCCAAATTTGATAATGACCATATCGAAAAGCTCTCTACCAAATTGAAGAATGGCTTATTGTCTATTCCTGCTACTCAATTGAATGGTGCCCATGATCCTGCTGCACAGTATCCTGGTTGTGTTAACATCTCTTTTGCTTATGTTGAAGGTGAATCGTTATTAATGGCCTTGAAGGACATTGCCTTGTCTTCTGGTTCTGCTTGTACCTCGGCTTCTTTGGAACCTTCGTATGTCTTACATGCTTTGGGAGCTGATGATGCTTTGGCTCATTCTTCAATTAGGTTTGGAATTGGCCGATTCACTACAGAAGAGGAAATCGACTACGTCATCAAGGCAATCAATGAAAGAGTTGACTTTTTAAGAAGCATGTCTCCATTATGGGAAATGGTTCAAGATGGTATTGATTTAGATACTATTGAATGGAGTGGACATTAAGCAGGCTGACAGACACACAGTGTTTGTCTGTCTGAATGTCTGATTATCTTCTTATTTTATTTGTCTTTTATGTATTCACATGAGTCTATAGGAATAGTAATGATAATATGAAGAATGAATGTCTGTGTTTTAGCCGGTTCCGGTGTCAGTTTTCGCGGTGACCGGTATCGGCGGAAATCAAATTAGGCGAAAATTTTCATCATTGCCCTTTAACTACTACAACCTCCACATCTTTCTTCTTACTATACACTTACTATATATACTATACAATACAATGACTATCACTAAAACTATCACAGTGTTACCAGGAGACCATGTTGGTTCCGAGGTGTGTGGCGAAGCCATTAAGGTTCTTAAAGCCATTGAAGAAAGCTCTTCCAAAGATATCAAGTTTGAATTTAAACACCATTTGATTGGAGGAGCTGCAATTGATGCCACTGGAGTTCCATTACCCGCTGAAGCCTTAGAAGCCGCTAAGCAATCACATGCCGTTCTTTTAGGTGCCGTTGGAGGTCCTAAATGGGGTACCGGTGCCGTCAGACCAGAGCAAGGGTTATTGCAAATTAGAAAGGAATTGAACTTGTACGCCAACTTAAGACCTTGTAACTTTGTTTCCGATACTCTTTTGGAATTGTCCCCTTTGAAGAGTAACATTGTTAAGGGAACCAATTTCACTGTGGTTAGAGAATTGGTTGGAGGTATTTACTTTGGTGAAAGACAAGAACAAGAAGACTCTCAAGACGGTGAATCTGCTTGGGATACCGAAAAGTACTCTGTGGCTGAAGTTAGTCGTATCACCAGAATGGCCGCCTTTATGGCTTTACAACATAACCCTCCATTACCTATTTGGTCATTGGATAAAGCCAATGTATTGGCATCCTCAAGATTATGGAGGAAGACCGTCGACAAAGTGATGAAAGAAGAGTTCCCTCAATTGACTGTGCAACATCAATTAATTGACTCGGCTGCTATGATTTTGGTTAAGAATCCAACTCAATTAAATGGGTTAGTTATTACTTCAAATATGTTTGGTGATATTATTTCCGACGAGGCCTCGGTTATCCCCGGTTCCCTCGGTTTGTTACCCTCGGCCTCGTTGGCCTCGCTCCCTGATACGAATTCCGCTTTCGGGTTATACGAACCTTGTCATGGTTCAGCTCCAGATTTACCAGCTAATAAGGTTAATCCTATAGCTACCATCTTGTCTGTGGCTATGATGTTAAGATTATCGTTGGACTGTGTTGCAGAGTCGGAAGCTTTGGAATTGGCCGTGGGTCAAGTCTTAGACTCAGGTATAAGAACTGCAGACATTAAAGGTACCAATTCAACTCAAGAAGTTGGTGATGCTATTGCATCTGCTGTTTCGAAAATCTTGAAGTCAGCTTAGATTAAGTATTGATTATGTTAGTCTTTAATTTTATGTTAATGTCATGTGGAATCACCGAATGTAATCAGAAAGATATGATATAGAATTGGAACTAACAATTCTGGAATTGGCTTGATGAGGTGGTGGTGTGGGTGGGATCAGCTGTTTGTCCATTGCTGCAACTGAAGAGTCATCTATTATGGTTCCATCACTAGAAACAAAGGATCTAGCAGGTGACTTCTCTAGTATAATGACATTTTCACTTTCACTATGATCACTGGGTCCTTCCGGTACTGAATAATATTCTTCTTCCTCTGATGATGATAAAATACGTCTTTCAATGATTTCAATAGACGAAGACGAAATAATGTTATCATTGGATAATTCATGAGTGGTTTCAGATTCCATAACTTCATCACAAAGAACATCTTCAGTATAAAAGATATCAACAATTTCTTTTTCAAATTGGGTGGTGAATTCAGATGGTGTTAATGAAATCTTAGATATGTTTTTCTTCATTTTGGATGGTGGTGGTGGTGGGAGAAGTGATTCCATACTGTCAGCAAGTGTTATATTGTCATATCTTTCCATTATATCTTGGAAAATCTCTTCTATTGATGAGTTCTTGGTGATATTGGACCGTTCACTGGTCACTCGTTTGGAAGTTGAAACGTTACGCTCGTTGATAAAACTTCCAACAGGCTCCAAAAGTATATGCGTATTCAATATAGACGAATTGTCCCTGTTGATTATAGCCCAATTCTGCATTCCATCATCATAATATTCTTCAAAATTAAGGGCCAAGTCACTAATAGACTGTTCCTCCATAACCAAATTGATATCATCAACAGATTTCACTTTAGGTGGAGGTCTATGTACGGACTGTTGTTTCTGTTGCATTATTTTCTTTGGTTCATCCATTTTACCCCAGATACTTCTTTTGGTGGATTTTTGTACGCTTGACTGTTGAGCTTGAATGGGAGTCTTTAATGCCTTGTCATCTTCAGGTTCATCTTTCTGTAATATCTTAGGAGCTTGTGGATTGAGTGTGCCAATTGGGACATGAATGACCGATGAACTAGTGGAATTGGCTCTTCCAATGGACATTTCGCCCGTGATAGGCTTCTTTGTAGCCGGTTCAACTCGGAGAACCTTTTCTGACACTTCCTTCTGTCCTAATTCTTTGACCTTGGGCTCATTATGAATACTTGGTACCTTCTTTGCAGTGCTTTCAAATATAGTATCTGTAGGACTTGTTGATTGGGAGGAATTATAATCCAAAACTGGAACTTGAATAGAATCTTGTTTATCTGGTACCAGATAGATAACATCACTGGTGCTATTACCCATTATAACTGGAGCCAGAGAAATCTTCGGTATGACTGCAGATTCATTATCAGTAGTCGTATTGTCATTATCATCAATTAAAGCAGGTGCTGTGGTCAATAAATTGGTATACTTCATCTTCTGACCTTTAGGAATAAACTCACCGGATTTCTTTGAAACCCGTTCGGACCCTCCTAATTCAGGGTTACTACTGTATTTACTTATGGTGGTTGGCTTCTTCCTATTGATGACAGAAGCTAACACTTCCATAGACTTACGTCTAGGGATCTTTGGATCGATGCTTTCCTTCTCAATATGCTCAGGTGGAGCTGCAGTCTTCTTCAATGGTTTGTGCTCAACTTTATCTTCAACTGGAGCTGGTTGCTTTTGTTCAACGGGGATCGTAGCTCTGCTGTCAAGAGATTTGCGTCCTTTGAATAGTTCAATAGAATGTTTTGCAACGACTACTGGAGTAATCGATTCTTGTTCATAATCTTCAGCTTCTTTCTGCTTTTTGAAGGGTAAACAGAGAATGCTTGCCCATGATCTTCTTTTTCTCTTTCTCTTCTCATTGGCTTTATCCTTTGGGTTAGTCTTGGTAGATTTATCAGTTTTACCACGTTTATCAGTGGGCACAATAATGGGTGGTGGCACATCCTTGGATTTAGCAGTGTTACATTCCGTTGCTTTACGGTTTAATTGTTGAGCACTTCTGGAAGCCTTTCGCATAATTGGAGAATCATCATGACTTCTTTCCACAAAGTATCTTAATGATGCTTTATTGGCTCTCATAAGCGATTGGGTTATCAAGTTAAAAGAATTCAACATTAAACTGAAATTATCAATCAAAATCGATTGCAATTGTTGTTGTAACTGTTCAAGTGGAATTGTTTTCTCAAATTGGAAATCCATGGTTCTGTTTAAAGCCTTTATTTGAACTTGATTCTTCTTTAAAAGGAATGCACATATCACCACTTGCAAATGAGGATGGCTTTTAAAGAATGACTCCAGATCATCGAAGTTCATATTCAAAAATAGTGCAAATGGTGACTTGCATTGTTCTTCTTTATACAGACTCGATTCATGAGCACTGGAATAAAATGCCAATCCATCTGAGTTGGAACAAGACTTGAATAAATGAAACGGTTGATCTTTAAATAGAATTCGAGCCTTGTTAACCAAATCAATGATCTTCTCTGCATTGGTATCTTTATCAAGGATTTGATAGTGCTTTGCATACTCAGCATTTTTAGTTGTTTCTTTGCATGAGAACCCTTCCTCAGATATGTTTAAGATTCTTAGCATATTACTACTATTTGGCCCATCATAAGAAGAAACTAGCACCTCATTTATTCCACACCAATGAGAGACTCTCATTGAAGGAATAGCATGAGGTAACGGCTTCTGATTCACTAAAGAATGCATCAAGATATCTGACACTGACAATTGCTTACCATCATTGTTAGCTGTGCTTGAATAGCGTTCATAATAAGTGTCATCTTCAATGGTCATAAATACAATACTGTCAGAAAAGATGATGACAACATCTCGATTGTAGTTCAATTTCAAAGGTTGAATATTAATGAATTCAAAGATCCCAACGGCCTTACGGTTAAGCCATCCAAATTGTAGTTCACTTGGCCAATTAAATGCTAATTCTGTTAAAATCTTTCCTGTGGGAGTGAAGATTCTTCCTGCGATTTCTGGTGTAATTTCCGCTTCACCAAAGGCATCAATAACTTGAATAGAAGCTTTAAAATGTTTCTCAATCTCCAGGATATCATAATCATGAGTTTTATCTTGTTTAATAGTTTTAACCAATCTTTGCAAAATCAACTTAAATTTAGGAAGCTCCAGTAAAGACCCAACTACTATGGATTCAATTTCCGGAAGGGAAAAGTTTGCTTGGTTGATTAAAGAATTTTCAAATATTATTTTGTTGTTCTTTTCATGGAATCTTTTCAATTTAACTCCAAACCCCTTTACATTAGCTTCATGTCTAATAAAAGCCTTGAAAAAATAAGGCAAAATTGTGGAAAAAGCTTTCAAGATTTCAATATATCCATAAGGTTTAGCTCTTGTTAAGGATTCATGCAAAATGCAGTTTATTCTAGTAATTTCATCTATAGTAGGAGGAAATACTTGATTAACTTTGGTTATACCTGCATTGGCTTTCAAGACTTCAATTCTTAGAGGAATGATGAACTTTTGTATCAAGTCAATCAACTTCATAGTGAAATTAGTTTGAACACTTAATAATTCATTGATAATAGGGGCAATCGAAGAAGGAAGTGGTTGATTTTCAGATAATGGCTGCTGATTTGTCGGAGTCTGATAACTCTTATGTAAAGATTCTGGACTGTATTCCAATAAAGGGTCGAAAAGTTGATCTAACTGCTCACCCACACATGATACAATTAGGTTATCGTCTGCGATTTTTGAAGACTCATTACTGTTATAGACCACATCAAGGATAGTTGAAGTGATCCATTGAGGTTGTAGAATCCCAAGTTGTAGGAGAAGATCCAGCATTTTCTCATTAAGCATTACTGTGTCCATGGAACTTGCCAATTCACCTGCATTTGTTTCGTCCCATAAACGAGAGATGGGGAAATCACCCTTCAGATTCACCAAAACACTATATTGTTTCAAGTTGGAAATAGCAAGCACTTTACGGGATTCAATATTTCTATATTCAGGCACTAAGTTCTCACAGGCCGGCCAGAACCGAGACTTGGGAGACACAAGAAGCTGGTTGAACTCACAGATCCCATATTTGGTTACAAATCGTACGGAGTTATCTCCATATAAGAATGCAAGTACATTACCGAAGCCTTGAGGGTCATAACCATGGAACACAATGGAGTATTCAAACAACTTATGCCATCGAGTAAGAGAGAACTCATGGGCATCAATATGTTTCCAGTTCTTATTCACCAATGGAAGTATCACCGCAGTGTTAGCTCGGCTGGAAGTGGTGAAATCGTGTAGCGACTGGTCGCTGCTCTTCAGGAAGAACCCTTCTTGGTGTTCGCCCGAAGCATATCGTTGGTAGAGTCCCATACTGAGATGATGATAATATGATTAGCGAATGCACCGAGGAACAACAGTAGTAATAACAGCGTCTCTTATAAGAGTAAACGGTGTGGTGAAGAGTATAGTAAGCCTAGAACCGTTCCTCAATTGGTAGTTGAGACCTTCGTCTGGGAAAGAGAATGGTATGTTTATGTTTTGGTCGTATTTGTTTATGTTTCACTCCACTTCCGAGGGCAGATACGCGATGCCGGGAATGTACGTAAGCTAGTCCATATAATAAGTGGAGAAGCCGTAATATACTATACGTATTCTATACACATATATTAAACACGTATAATAAACAAGTATAATAAACAAGTATAATAGATAAGTATTTCTTACTACCTTCACCTTTTCTTTTTAACTTAATTTCGTAGCCGTTGGGTCGATACAACCCACGGTAGTTGACCGGTTATAATTACCCAATACGGTAATTCCGACTGTGTCTCAATCATCAAACCTAATTAACTTAGGATCTCTAGGAACCCCCAGAGAATCAATATCATTATCATTCATATGTTGCTGTGTATATTCAAGTCTTGCAGCATCAAAAGTAAGCCCCTTCGTGCTCATCAACAGTCTAATGGAAGTTTTGGCTGGCTCCGATAGTCCCGCACGAGTATCATTCAAGTCGTTCACATTGGCCTCAAGATCAAACGTGCTACTACTAAAACCAGCTTGTATGTCTTCTTGGAAGGATGGTTGGTTTCCAAGACGGAAATATTGTCCATTAGTCCATCGTTGTATGGTTGAGTCCTTATGTTTTATGTAAAACGCTTTGATGGACTTTCTGAAATGGAACGCAATTAGAATTACGACGACACTTACCACTGCAAAAATAAGCTTGAACATTGGAATTAGAACCAAGTGGTAATCAACATATAGCTGTAATGCAATGTAATGTACCGCAATTCAATGTAATGTAATGTATTGACTGCAATGCAAGTGAACAGTTATGAAAACGTAAATAGGTATACATTTATATTTACATGTGGAATCTACACATGCGCACTGCCCCTAATGGTAGCAGTATGAAGTTAATACAAACTATTATATTAATTGTTTTCTGACTACTATATTTATTCAGCAGCTGGTGTATCTTCCATAGCATCTTCAGCAATAGACTCAGGTTGAGCTTTACCTTCTTCAACAATGATCTCATCATTAACAGGTTGCTCGTTGACAGGTTGTTCATCAATAGGAACATCTTCGTCGGCAGCAACAGCAGCAGTAATTGGAATATCTTCATCACCAAGTCTCTTAACATAAGAAACTTGTAACTCTCTATTACCATAATTATAGTTGTGCAAATTCTCAATGGCTAATTGAGCATTGTCCTCCAATTCATATTCAACAACTGCATTACCTGATGGTTTACCCTTGGAATTGTATTGAATTTCAGCACGAGAAACACGACCAATGCTTTCAAACAATTCATATAAGTCTTCAACACTGGTAACAAATGGTAAGTTACCGGCAAAAATAGTGTTACTCTTTTCTCCATCTCCAGTGGCACCTTCAGTGAATTCAGTATTACGGTTTTCAGTAATTGGTTCTTCAAATCTACCTTCTTCATGACCACCTTCGTTGCCACGGCTACCACTACCACGACCAAGTCTAGCATCCAATCTTCTGCCTTCTAATTCATATCCGTTGAATAAATCAATGGCCTTGTCTGCTTCCTCTTGAGTACGGAAAACAACCGTACCAAAACCTCTAGATTTACCCCAACTATCTAAACGAACATCGGCTCTGGAAACATCACCAGCCTTACGCATTAAATCTTTTAATGCTTGCCAGTTAATAGAGAATGGTAAGTTTCCAACGAAAACTTCAAACCCATCTTTTGTAGCTCCAGTAAACTTTTCCTTTGATCCATAACGATCAGATCCAAATCTGTCTCCTCTACTGTCTCTTTCTCTGTCTCTGTCACCTCTATCAGATCTACCACCTCTTTCAGATCTGCCACTTCTTTCACTTCTTTCTCTAGCTTCTCTTCTCTTTTCACTTGGAGGGGGATAATCTTGTCTAACAAAGATTTCTCTTCCTTTGTATTCATAGTGGTCAAATCTATCGATAGCCTTACGAACATCACTAGCATTAGAAAATTCAACGGTAGCCATACCACGAGAATGACCTCTTGAAGTAACAATATCGGCTCTAATCAAATCAAAATCACCCCTAAAAATATCTTCAACATCTTTGTAAGTACATTCAAAGGGGATGTTACCGATAAAAATGGAGTTGTCGTAATTACGATCATTCTTATTACGGGACTCATCAGCAGAAGCTTGGAATCCACCATCTCTGCGATCTCCTCTTCCATCTCTTCTATCATCTCTATCTCTGGAGTAGCCACCTCCTCTTCTAAAGTCACCTCTTCCGCGACCACCTCTGCCTCCACGCAGTCCACCTCTTTCACGTCTATCGAAACCACGGTCTCTTCCTCCACCACGAGAGTAACCATAATCTCTTCTTGAGTAAGAATCTCTCTTTGAGTAATCACGAGATTCCTTAGAAAATGATCCTCTCCGAGGAGGAGAACGAGATCTCTCTCTTACTGGAGAACGTGAACGATCCTAATATCTCCGTTAACATCTAGCTCCTTCAACTGAATCCAATTAAATAAATCATGAAAAGACGGAGCAAGCATTGAATCAGAAAACATTTTTTGCACAACCTCAACATCAGTAGCAACAGCATCACCACAACACCAGTAGCAACAGCATCACCACCAAAGGAAATAAAAAACATGAAGAATGAATAAAGCTAATTACAATAGTGTAACCACTTTCAAATCATTGCATCACTTCCAGTACAAGCTGGTTTCACTGTATCCATTCGCCTAAAACTTATACTCGCTTCCAACTTTCAATTCAAGCATCCAATCTCTCGCATGCAGTACATACTCTTGAATAATCGTCAATATCCATGCCGTCCATTGTGGGTTGTAAATCAGAAGTGATATGAAGTTTGAATTCTTCACTAGTGATTTTTGCGTGGACGATTGTCGATGTTTTGGTTGGTGCACGTAAATGGTGATGACGCGGTCGTGTGCGGAAAAGATACAGTGACATTCACAATAATAAAGAGGGTAGTAGGAACAAATGGTAATAGTAACTTTGCTTAAAGACCTCCTTTAATCCAATCATTATAGTTGTAGTCATCTTTTACTTCTCTGGAAATGGAAGTACTAACCTTCTTTCAACTTCCGTTTCCTTATTAACTTCTTCCTCACCATAAAACTTAAGTCTAACATTGCCATCTTTCTTATTCCCAACAACAAGTGCAGGGTAGAAGGTAGTTGTTTCCGGATACCTTGCAAGGACTTTATTCCCATAAACATAATTGGTCAATTGAGGAACATCACTTGGATCAGGAATAAGCAAGATTTCCTTATAAGAAGCTCTAAACGTTTGACCAGGATTGTTATTTTCATCTGGTTCTGGGTCTCTTATATCAAATTTAATACCATCACCAATGACTTTGATCACTTCACATTGAATCCATTCTTCAAAGTGACGACTTCTAAGTTTATAAGCAACTTCAGATCCAACCACAATTGGCTCCAGTGGGTTATACTTAGAAGTCCAAAACAGACGTCCTTCCTTCTTTGACTTGCTCTTAATCTTACTTTTACCACCAGTTTCTCTTTTATAAACTTTCCCTGCTGAAGAAGAACTTCCCTCGTGGTGGTATTTCCCACTAGGTGGTGCTCCTTTACCTGTGGGTCTAGGCTTTTCTTTCTGTTGTAATTGGCTAAGCAAAGTTTGCAAGTTTTGAAGACATGTGTCGACCAAACGACCTGCTGTTCCCAAATTTGCCTTGTGATCCATAATCTCTTCTCGTAATCTTTCCAACTCCTCAGTCAGCATTGATGATATGTCGTCTGGTTTGATGGCAGCAAATGCTAGGGATCCATTAGCATTATAAACATCTTGAAGAGATGTGACAATGATGTCCCAGAACCCGTCAGTCTCCATAATAGCAACAGCAGTTATGAAGTATACAATTAACAGTGATAAAGGTGACTGTAACAGTCGTAACACTAAGTGTCGCAGCATAACAATAACAATTAAATGTTGATCTTATCTGCAAAACGTTTGCACGTGATTATATCAAAGCCCTAATCGGTCTACCCGGATATATTACCAGATCCTACAACAAATACACTTCACCCAAACTTATTCCTTACCAAATGACTACTAGAAATCAATGGTGCTAGGTTCGATTCTTGTAGGGGTCGGTGTGCTATGTCAGACGATATCTCTTTTGGTTCTATCTAAAACTATCTCCATTAAAGGCTCTATAAAAGGCTTGTCATACGATTGGATCTCTTTCACGGCATTGAGTCACAGCACAAGACTCCTAGTAACATGTTGCTATGGGTTTAGTGAAGCAATTCAAATCCAGAATGCCCGGAGATCTCCGGCGTTGCCCCCTGTTACTGTAAGTGCTTTCATTATGGTGGCAGACTTGATTGGGCTCATTGCAGCCATTCATATACTATATCAAATTAAGGTCTATCATAGGTCCAAGATTCTTAACCAAGGGTACTCCTTAGGGCTCAAGGCCTGTCTAATCGGCTGTTATGTCGTTGTTCCCTTGCTAATTTTCAAATTTTATATCTTCAGGGGTGTGTTACAATTGGTTGATGTTGTTGATTGGTTTTGGCTATGTCATAATGTGATTTCAATGGTATCCTTCTGTCCGCAACTAATCATGAATTGGTTCCATAATCTGTGTACAACTGTGATTCCGATAGCATACGATAAATGGCAAGGATTGAGTGTTTGTTTCCTTATCTTAGGAAGAGCATTGGACCATATAAAATGGCCTTTAATTCCCGTGAATTGGCCTTCATGGCCTCTGATTCTTGCTTCCGCCATTCTCTTCATGTGTTTGGAGATTCAAAGATATGTCTATTCTCGTTAATTTTATTATATATACAAGTTTGAAATGGACAGTTACAGTCGCAGTCACAATCACAATTTGTCACCAACAAGTTTCACAGCCCATTTAACTCCGGAACTTAACTTCCGGCCCTTTTCTTCAGTGAAATCTTCAGCATTCAATTGCAGAGCATGTTCCATGATATTGTCGATTTCTCCCTTCATGGCCTTCTTCAATTCAGGATCCTTGGTCACCACTATGGCATTAGTTTCCAAGTCCAACAGATATGCTCTTTTGGTGTAGTTGGAAGAACCAATTACAGAAATTGAAGGTTCATTCTCATCAGGAACAGTGACCCATAATCCTTTAGCATGATACGACCATCCACCAGGGGTATTAACCACTCCGTTCTTCCATTCATAAACTTTGATTAAGCTTTGTTTCCCAATGGCATTGACGGAGTCCAAAAAGTTTTTGGCCAATAATAAATAAGCTTCGGGTAAATAATAGGAAACACCTGTTGACTTATAAAACGAATTGGCTAATGGGGAAGCAGTTATGACTTTCCCCTCAGCAGCACCATTAAGTAAACGTTCTTGGATTTCCGGATGCATGTTGAAATAACCAGCCGTAAACCACCATTTAATCTTTGGCGAGTCCAAATACAGTAGAATACGAAGGATGGCTGGTTTCTCGGTTGAATGGTCTCTTTGAGGGTTCATTAATGGAGTAAATTGAGATATTGGATACACCAACGTATCAAATTCATGAGTATCATCGTATTCCTCAAAAGTACCTAAGTCTTGTTGCTTCAAAAGTGGTTCTAAAAGATACGACAGATCAATAAGGAACCTTTGGATATTCAAATGCGGCTCACAAGATTTATTGGCAGATGGCCAATCCAATCTGAAGTCCAATTTCAGGGTCTTTTTCATGTGATCACTGGCTCCAACCAATTGATATGATATTAACGAAACGGCCTTTTGAATATTGAAATAATAATCGGTTAATGGCTTATTTTTGAACAAGTAGTACCTGTCTTGTCTATCAGTGAAGTAATCTTGGGATAAATTGGCTCCACTGAGTATGATCTCATCATCAAAACCATACAACTTCATATGTTGCAACCCCCAACCTTCATTGATTCTTCTTGGTGCTAAACTCTTGGTAAGTCCATGTAAATGGGGGGTATGGTACATTCTGATATCAACTCTGTGCTTACCAAACTTCTCCACTAACTTGACCAACATACTCGCCGACAGCGGCTTATGAGGAGACTCCCTTGTGCCTCTAAGACAATCGGTTAGAATGTGCACTTTTAATTGGTCATTGGAACTCAAGGCTTCCTCTATGGTGGATGCCAACTCCGTTTGGGCCTTGCCAATATATAAACTACTTAAAAATACTCTCTTCTGGGCGCCTTTAATCTTCTCCTTGAGACATTCGTAAAACACCTCGGGATGCGTGATGATATCAATGTCTCCTTTATTCAATGGGAATCGAGGTGCTATGCCATCAAGCTGCTGAATGATAGATTGCAATCTTGGATGAAACTTGTGGAGTGTTTTTGGCGGAACAACTGGGTTATTGGTGGAATAATTCCGAGCTGTAGTTGTTCCGGACGACGCCAGGGGTTTTGCTATTGTTGCCCGTGTGAAGAAGTAGTTATATATATTGTGAATCATTCTTCTTTGTCTCATGGAAAAATCTCTAAGATATGGACCTTTATCAGACGGAGAATTCCAGTTCAAAAACGGCAGCTAAAGCCGTCAACAAACCTCCGACGATATACGACTTTAATAGTGTGTCGTGGTATACGGTTATACCATCGAGTAAAATGTCGTTTCATCAAGGTCAAGTGATGGTGAAGATTCGGACAACAAAATTTATATTGGTAGGGACACGATTATTCAATAATGATTTAGTATACCTTAATCCAAGGCTTAATAGTGCATAATATATGATGTTTAGGCAAAATAGAATGGAAATTAAGGACCTGATCTAATTAATCGGGATCTAAAAGTATATAATCTTGTATATGTGCGTTACAAGTTGTTCTTTTTAAGCAATGTTGGGCAGGTTTAAGGTCATATTTGCGGAATATTTAACAATTTATGAAGAAAGTAAGCTTTAACGCATTAGTAAGAAAAAATTGCAATATATAACTTACCTTTGGAGATGACTTCATGAGAAGGTTATCCTGATTTCCGTTAAGGCTATACATGTTATTGATCCGAAACGGAACAAATAAGTTGCAAAATACGAGTTGGTTATATGCGGATAAATTTTACATCCATACTACCTAAAGATAATCCGAACTAGTTCCGCAAGACACTATTTACATGATTGTTCATTATATACATATTTAACGGGCTTTACCTCCCACCGCCTTAATGAGAAGAACATCACCATCTTCCACAATGTAGTTCTTTCCCTGTCTATACTGTTTACCTTTACTTTTCAACGAAGCCTCATCAAATGGAGGCTCCAATGTCTGCAAATCGCTGTATTTGTAGACTTGAGCAGAGATGAACGACTTTTCAAAGTCCGTATGAATAACCCCAGCAGCTTTAGGGGCTGTCCAGCCATTTCTAGTAGTCCATTGATGGGCTTCCTTTGGTCCGCAGGTGTAGAATGATATGAGGTTTAAAGCTTCTCGCATAGATTCAACAATAGTAGGAAGAGCACTGCAAGTATTAGGACCTTGACCCTCAAAGCCACTTAAATATTCAGCCAATTCCTTTGGTGAAGACTCCAATTCATTATACTTGGACTCAAAGGCAGCCAGAAACATAAGCAATTGATCTCCAGGACAGTTTTCATTGATCCACAGTTGAACTTTTTCCTTATATTGATTCTTACCGGAGACATATTCAGATTCACTAACGTTTAATAAATACACCGAAGGTTTAGCAGTTAAAAAGTTGTATGAGTTGATGATATCTATTTCTTCATCATCCCATTCACCTGAGGATATCTTCCTACCTTCATATAAGGTATCCAGTAACTTATTTAAAGTGTCCAATTCCAATTGTAATTTGATCTTATCGATATGAGGTCTTTTCAAATCCTTTTGTTTCAATTCTAAACCTGATTCCACAAACTCCAAGTCCTTCAATATAAGCTCATCTCCCACAATCATCAAATCTCGCAATGGATCAACCAAGTTATTCTCAACGTGAACAATTTCATCATCAACAAAGCCTCTAACTATTTGGAAGATCCCATCTACTTGTCGAATATCATTCAAAAATTTGTTTCCAAGTCCCGCTCCACTACTGGCGTTTCTAACAAGACCTGCAATATCGTGGATCTTCAATGTCGTAGGTACAGTTTTCCCACTGCCGTACAAACGGGCCAAATGATCTAATTTGGCTGAAGGAACAGTAACCAATGCTTCACATGGTTCAATAGTGGCAAACGGATAATTAGCAGGGTTTCCTAATTGAGATTTGGTGATAGCTTGAAAGAATGTAGACTTACCAACGTTAGCCAACCCTACAACTCCGGCAGAAAGATTATTGCTGAACCGACCAAGTTGCTTGGAGTCACCACCGGGTTTAAGGAGCCTTTTTCCACTACTAAGACATCGAAGGACTTGCTTCATGGTATCTTAAAGAGGAAGAAAAGAGCTACAAAGTTTAAGGCACTCTCTGCATTAAATTTTTCACTATTCCAAAATTTGTCCGGGTAACCCCATAAGATACAGGTTCTAAGGAATTTCAATAATGCTTTTATTATTCTATTAATTGTCTTCGATGGCGTACCGAGAATTTCTCCGTATGAAAGCACCGTATCTATAAAACAAAAAGGGTATAGGAGTCATCAACACCCCCACACCACCCAATAGAGTCCCAGCCCATTTGATTGTCAAAGCATCTAACATGGGTTTCATAAATAAAGGAAATGCAGCAGCTGCAAATGATCTTACTATAGCATTAGCCGACATGGCAGAAGCAGCAAAGATCAAGTAACAATCTAGCAAATAAGTAAGACAAGGTAAAAAGGAAAGGAAGAACCCCATGCCCGTTATGGCAGCTCCGATACATGGAACTATCCAATGAACCTTATGAGGATATGAAGCCGACCAACACATCCATAAGAGTCCTACTGAGAAGCATACCCCACCAACCATCATAGAAGGTAGACGTTCTTCCGCAACAGGATGGCCCGTTTGTTCCAATATTCGATTATATCTCTTATCAAATCGAGTTAAGATGTAAGCACCAGCAGCAATTCCTATCAATAGACTTAAATATGGTAATTCTCTTACGCCTTCACTCCATCCATAAGTGGTTCCAAATGTATAAGGAATAAGCGTAAGGAACGCATACAAGAGTCCATAAACAAATGAAGTATAAAAGGTGATTAGTAACAAAATTGGTTCTCGAATAAGCATTTTAATTGGTCTAACCAAAGTCTTGGTGACGATCTCATTGATTGAAAGTCGTACTTGTTCATGAGCGGCATAGATGATCCAATTGTTTGTGCTTCTTCTTATTTCTTCGGCCATTGAAGCCAAAACCACCCCATGATGAGTTTCTTCCATAAACAATATGTTCATAATCAACGTCACACAGGAAAATATTCCTGTAACGTAAGAAGTCCATCTCCAATTCAAATGTGGATTCTTCACTATGAAAGCCGCCACTACGGGAGCAAAGGAAGGCCCAGTAAAGAGTGACAAACTAAACAATGATGTTGCCAAAGATCTTTCTCTATGGCCATACAAATCCACAGCCACAGAAGGACCTAAAACAAAGGGTGCAATGGCGGTGAAACCAGAAAAGAATCGACATAATAATACTGTTTGAACATCTTTTCCAGTAGCAGCACCAAAAGTTAAACAAATGTAACAGAAAAAGGCAACTATAAGTACTATTCTTCTTCCATAAACTTCAGATAATGGACCCCAAATCACTGGACCTGAACCAAACCCTGCTACAAATAATGAAGTACCTAAGGCACCTACTTCGAATCCAACATGATACTCAGACCCAAACTCTCCAGCTCCTGCAGAAAACATAGCTGAACCTAATGTCCCAGACATACCCACACATGGTATAACAAAGAAAAGTTTTTACTTTACGGAATGCAGCCCAGTTATGAGGATGTCTTGGATCATCAACACCAGCAAATGTAACCATATACTGCTCTAGGTTGGCAATTGGTGGAGGATATTGTCTCTTATCTCCGCCCATCGGAGGAAGAGATTCTGGTACCACATTATCATTCAACACACATTGTGCACCAGTTAGTCTTCTTGATAATCTGATGGCAGAAGCATCAGCTCGAGATTCCAATCTCATAAGTTGGAGATCATTCAACAGAACTCCTGCCAGGCCTCTAGCACTCCCGTAATATCCAATTGAATAATCATCATTTTCATAATGAAGCTCACCGTCACCACCATTAAGAGCTTTAGGTGGAGCAGGAGATATTACACTGATGTTAGAGGATGACGATTGGTCTTCGGAGTACAGTTTGATCTCCATCGTAGACAAGACCAAATGTACCACGTTCTATAGTAAGGGCCTTGCACAAACTACCAGATCAAGTTATCGAATCCCCGCTTAATCTCCGGTAAAAGCCGGTCACCTTTATGTCCTATGACTTTGTTTTGTCAGCCACCAGCGTACGTGTTTCTGAACGATGTTAGGGAGTTGATGATCTTACGCTGGCCATGGCCATGATTTCTGTAGATGAACTATAAGGGTAGGGATGGTACCCTTATAAGTAATATGTTGATTTGTAAGCTATGCCTCATTGTTTGCGGGGAGATCCTGTGAATGTTGCGACTAGCTAGATGAGGCAAGTAGATGCTGGTGAAGAGCGGAGATAATAACTACCAGAGGTAGTGTACAGTATCCATGTGCGCTTTTGTATGGAACTAGCTATTTGGCCAAAGGCCATTCTTATACAAGGTAAACCCTTATTCCTCCAACAGTATACTATTAACGTATGTCAACGGAGATGAACATACGGCTATAGGAATATATTACCGATGACACATTTCACGTGATCAATTTCCAACTCCAGTGCCGTAGAGCTTCGTAATGTTGAAATAATACCAAGCTAAAGCTAAAGTGCACTACACGTGATATCCGTTCATTAGTGTACCTACCAATACATTACATAAAGGTTTACGTAATATCAAATACCCAATCAAATTCCTTCAGTTGCTCTACCATAAAAAGTTTTAAGAGACTCACGATAACACTACCTATATAACGTCAACCACAACGTCAAACCATTTACAAATACAATGTCGTCTATGTCGTCTACTTCATTGATACGTACCATCAAGAACATATATCTTTCTGGGATCAAGAGAGCTGCATGGCAGATTGCTTTCCTCAATGATACCAAGCCTGGAGGAACATTGGTAGGAACTGATGATTTCGGCAACAAGTTCTACGAAACCGACTCACCTTCTGAAATCCACTTGAGAACAAGATGGGTAGAATATGCCAACGGATGGACTGTTGATATGTCCAAAGTTGAGCCCGGATGGCACTATTGGCTAGGTTATGGTACTAATACTCCACCAAATGCTTTACCTGAAGAATTGAAAGCTCAAAGAGCCTATCCAGTACTTAAGCACAAGGAGAACTTCACTGGTACAAGTGGAGCTTATGTTTCATATAATACTGCTAAACCTAAATGTTCAGCTTGGGAACCTAAAGTGGCTGAAAGAGTATGAAAATTAATATTATTGAATCATTTATGTGCATGGTGTTATATACCACTTTTTTATTCAAGGTATGGTCCTTATTATGACGTTTAGCTTTTTAAAGTATAGTTTAATACAAAGATGAATAAGAGTGTGGGTGTTCAGGTTCAGTTGCCATGGATTATCACCATTATATTAATCTAGTATGTTAACATACAATAATGCTGGTATAGGAACTTGTCGTATTCATATATACATATATGTACTTATAATATACACAAGTACTATTGTACTAATGTATTAATGTATCTATAGTACCATTACAAAACTACCTTATTAGGCAAGTGTATGCGCACTATATGCGTGATGATCTTTTTTAGTACTGAAAAAATTTGTACCCATTAAAACTCTGGCTGCAACTCCTTTAACTTGATTCTGCTGTTCTATATAATGAGTACTGATAAATTCCCTGAGTTGGCTACTGGAGCCGTGCTCGTTAAGTCCGAGCCTGTCCCTGAAGACTTTGAAGAAGTAAAGGGAATAGACTACAGTAAAGACACTGCTTTCAATATGAGTGCTACAGACTTAATAGCTCTGATGCGTACAATGGGATTCCAAGCTTCAAGTGTAAGCAGTGCATGTGAGATTATCAACAACATGAGAGCTTGGAGAGGTAAGCATCGTGACGAGCTTCCAGAACATGAACAAGACAAGGGAGAATTTGATGAAGAAGGATATCAAAAGCTGACTATATTCATGGGGTTCACATCTAATTTAATTCTGAGTGGGTTGAGAGACACATTAAGATTTTTGGTTCAACACAAGATGGTAAGTGCCATTGTGGCCACTGCTGGAGGTGTCGAAGAAGATTTAATCAAATGTCTTGCCCCAACTTATATGGGAGAATTCTCATTAGCTGGTAAAGGGTTACGTGATAAGGGTATGAATCGTATTGGAAACTTATTGGTGCCCAATGATAACTATTGTAAGTTTGAAGAATGGATTGTACCAATTTTGGATCAATGCTTAGAAGAACAAGAAGCTTCTATTAAGAAATTAGGAGTCGAAGCTCTTAATTATGATTCAGCAGCCATTTGGACTCCATCTAAATTGATTGACCGATTAGGTAAGGAGATTAACGACGAAACTTCTGTTCTTTATTGGTGTCACAAGAATCAAATTCCTGTGTTTTCTCCTGCTTTAACTGATGGTTCTATCGGTGATATGCTCTTTTTCCATACTTTTAAGGCATCTCCTCAACAATTGAGACTCGACATTGTTGCAGACATCAGAAAGATCAATTCCATGTCAATGGAAGCTTCTCATGCTGGTATGATCATTCTTGGAGGTGGACTTATCAAGCATCATATTTGTAATGCTTGTTTAATGAGAAATGGTGCTGATTTCGCAGTGTATATTAACACCGGACAAGAATTCGATGGTTCAGATGCCGGAGCAAGAACTGATGAAGCTGTTTCTTGGGGTAAGATTAAAGCTGATGCCCAACAAGTTAAAGTTTATGCTGATGTTAGTGTTGTGTTCCCATTAATTGTGGCTGCCACTTTTGCTTCATCTCGTCCGTAAACGACCCAGCTGCGAATCGAACCAGGAACTACTCGACGCAAATACCATACCATACCCGTAACAAACTTCCCTTTTCGGCTATTCATATACCCGTCCTGAACGCTGGCTGACTCGACGAATTTGGTGCCACACCTAAAGTCATAATCTGCTTCTTGTCACACTCATAGTGCCAAACTATATAAACCCAAAGACATCCCTCATTAGAGATTATTTAATAGACATTCTATTTTTTTGTTAAAACTAACTTAACTCCACTTATCCAAAGGATTTACTGGCTAAATCCGCAGAACATCTACCTACAATCATTCAGAATGGAAAAATCTGATATCGAAGCCCTTCAATCACAATATGAAGAAGCAATTCTGAGTATTCAAACTCAACTCAGTCTGTTGAACGTTGCAAGAGAACTCTTGAAAGCAAGTACTACGTCACCATCAACTACTACGTCGCCATCGACTTCGTCCTTCGTCAAAAAGACCAATGACTCATACTTTGACTCCTATGCTTCCAAGTATATTGACTTCACGTATGACAACCCTACCATATACCATGTTGTTAAGACGTTTTCCAGTCAATTGACCGAGGCAGGGTTCACTTATATCTCTGAGAAAGATTCATGGCTGTCACTCAAGCCTGGCAAGTACTTCACTACCAGAAATGGGTCTAACTTGGTTGCATTTGTTGTTGGTGACAAATGGATTCCAGAAAAGGGTGTCGGGGTTGTTGGGTCTCATATTGATGCCTTGACTGTATTTCTTAAGCCAAACTCCACCAAACAAAAGGTTGAAGGATACGAGTTATTAGGAGTTGCTCCTTATGCTGGAGCACTCTCAGATGTTTGGTGGGATAGAGATTTGGGTATTGGAGGAAGAATTTTAACTAAAGATGCCAAATCTGGGAAAATCACTAGTAAGTTAGTTGATTCAACTCCTCACCCAATTGCACATATTCCAACATTAGCACCTCATTTTGGTGCCCCATCTCAAGGACCTTTCAATAAGGAAACTCAAGCAGTTCCTGTTATAGGATTTTCAACGGAAAAGGAGACAGAGTCTCCACCTACTGCAGAAGAAAAGAATTCTCCTTTATTTGGGAAACATCCTTTGAAATTATTGAGATACATTGCTAAACTTGGAGGTGTTTCAGTCGGTGATATTGTCCAATGGGATTTGCAATTGTATGATGTTCAAAAGGGTATCAGAGGTGGATTAGATAGTGAATTTGTATTTGCTCCAAGAGTAGATGATCGAGTTTGTTCATATGCTGCCATTTCTGCTTTAATAGATGCTGTTAATGATAAGGCTTTAGCTTCCGACAGCTTCTCTGTTGTTGGGTTATTTGATAATGAAGAAATTGGTTCTGGAACTCGTACAGGGGTTAAAGGTGGTTTAACAGAATTGGCAATTTCAAGAGTACTTGCAACTGATTACTTTAAACCAACAATCCCAGGTTCTTACGAAGACGCTTTGAAAGTCTTATATGCCAATACCATTGTCCTTTCAGCTGATGTTAATCATTTGTTAAACCCAAACTTTGATCATGTTTATTTGGAACACCATAAGCCAGTTCCCAACAATGGTATTACTATTGCCTTAGACCCTAATGGTCATATGGCCACTGATTCAGTAGGATTGGCCCTTTTTGAGGAATTGGCTCGAATCAATGATGATCTGTTGCAATACTTTCAGATCAGAAACGATTCAAGATCGGGTGGTACCATTGGACCTTATATTAGCGTTCAAACCGGTGCACGTACTATTGACTTGGGTATACCTCAATTATCAATGCACTCCATTAGAGCCACGTTAGGAGCTAAAGATATCGGCAATGGTATCAAATTCTTTGAAGGGTTCTTTGCCAACTGGCAAAGTACCTATTCCAAATATGGAGACCTTTAGAATAAAAATATTAGTTTAGAATATAGTAAGTACGTTTAAATATCATGACGTCATGTCTGTCTATATAATTTCTATGTCACGTGACAAAACACGTGACATCGACCATTGTCATTTACTCGCTGCCAACAAAACAACCTGGATCATATCCGTATAAACATAGTACCAACTCTCTAACCTAAACACAGAATCAGTACTGTCCCTTATTAACGCATAGAGTTGCTGTTTTGGAGTACTGGAATATATTAGAGCGGCTAATAGATCCTTTCAACCAGAATTGAATTCCTCATAATCAGCTGTTTTCACTATGGGTATGTTTGTTCCTTCCACAAGATAAATCAACATTAAAAGATGGCTACTAACAAAATGATAGTTCCTCCAAAGAAGATGAGCTTACAAGAGTTCTTCACCGATAAAAGTATGTATCTGATTGAAACTATCTACTATTAGCGTATATTGTGGAACGTCGCTGTACTCCTCAGTACACTACAGCACAGCACATTGCCGTACAGTGCACCATAATATAACCTATCATATTTCTTCCTTTTATTCATAATTATTAACACTCATTGTTCTAGCACTTGGAGGTGGCTCATGGGCAGATGATGAAATTGATATTTCTTCAATTTCAGTCCCCATAGAAAAGAATAGACACCAGTATCATGATCATGATTCCTTTGGATCAGGCTATAACTCCTTTGGTGGAGGCGGTAGAGGTGGCTCTGGCATGTATGACCATGGACCTCCATATATTGTGAAACTATTGAATTTACCGGTTAAATGTGATGATATGTTTGTTGAAGATTTATTTCAGAGTCGATTCACACCTTATGTCAAGTTTAAAGTAGTAGTTGACCCTTGTTCCAATATTTTAGAAACTGGGATCGTGAAGAGAGTGGCATTTGTTGAACTTCAATCGTTTCAAGATTTATCAAGAGTTCTTAAATGGCAAGATTTATACTATATGAGAGGAAGAAGAGTGATTGTTGAGTCTGCTGATTTTGGTGATTTTCAACATACAATGCAATTCAACAAAGAACATGAAGATCAAATCAATAGGATCATTCAGGAGTATCTGGAAAATAGGGAGAGATTACCTCCAGCAAGTGATTCGGCTTACAGGCCTCCAAGAGGGTTGATGCATGGTGGTACCACTACAACCACCCCCACCACAATGAGAAGTATGAACACTTCAAGAACTATTCACCCCAATGCTCATTCTAATACTCTTAATGATATCAATGCTCCAGTGTTGGGTGCTAATCAACTGAAACAACCACAACAACAACCCATACTTATACTGAAACCGGTAATTGCTCAACCTCCTCCTGTTCCAAAGGTGAACCCTTTTGGAAATGCTAAACCAGTTGATGTTGTTGCCAAACTGAAGGAATTGGATCTGAAGTTGATTCATGTTAATAACACCACTATAAAAACGTTGGGCTCAGTACTTGATAGTGACCTTGAACGGGAGAAAGCATCTATTAGGAGGAATTCTCATTCAAGTGGAAAATCACAGCCTTCAAGAGGTTCATTTTCAAATGATAACAAAGCAGATTCTTCAACATCTCCTGTTATACGTAGAGCTTCAATTAATCTTTTGAAAAGAGAGGCTGATACAAAGGCTCCGGAACAAAGCAAGACAGAAGATTTTCATAATACCAAAGAAAAGGAGTCGACTTCCAAATTTCGACCTGCTCCTATGCCAGCAGCCATTAGTTATGGCTCTGGAGGGAATGGTGCAAGTCTTGCAGATATACTTCGAACCAAAAAAGAAGATTCAATGAATGGACACAATAGTAAGGGCTCAGGGCGGAATTCTAAACCTGCAAAGCAAACCATATTAATGAAGAAACCTTTATCCTCCACACCTCCAGTTGATTTAGGACCGAAAGAAAGTGAAGGTAATGTTGAACAACAAGCACAGGAAGCAGCAAAAGAAGAAGAACAAGAAGTATTAAAAGCCAAAACTCAGCCTTCTGAAACAGAAGCAATAGTAGTGAGCGAAGAGGAGAAACAAGAATCCAAGGCCAAACGAGAAAAAGAGAAAGAGAAAGAGAATGTTATTGGACCGGAGATTACGCAGGATATAAAAGAACGTGGTTCAAGAAGAAAGTCTCGTGGCGGTAGAAACGAATCAAGAACTGACTACGAAAGACGTTCTACTACTGAACCGAAACCAGAACTGATTGGAAAGGCTTCAGTTAGAGGAACCAACGGTAGATATCCCAGGAACTACAATAATCGTCGTAATCCTCCATTTGATATTGAGGGTGATCATAAGAAGGATTCCATTGAAACAAAACCTGCAAAGACATCCATTGAAGAACAAAATGGAAATGTCAATGAAAAGAAAGAAGCCTCCAAATCAGATATTGATTTCAAAACTCATTTGAAGGAACTTGTTGAGCAAGGAATTCCAACCAAACACTCCAACAATAATGATAGCCATCGTGGTAGAGGAGGCTACAGAAATGGTGGAGGAGTTCGGGATCATTACCATTCAAAGGGAGATGAAGAAAACGATGATTATGGTCCTAGAGATCGATACACTCCTAATGGAGGCCGTCATATTCATAGATATCATAGAGTAAATTCCAGAACTCGCCCGAAAACAGACACTTATATTCCTTCCTATCTGAAGGAAGGTGAGGGAGTAGCCAAGCAGGCATCTGTACTGGCTTCAGGACAAGGTCAAGCACCAGGACCAGCACCAGCTCAAGCACCAGGACCAGCACAAGCACCAGCTCAAGCACAAGCACAAGCACCAGGATCAGGGCCAGGACCAACAGCTTCAACAGAACTAGTTCCTACAACAGCAGCCACCGAAGGTCATGAAGGCATTCCGTCCCGTCGCGGAACAGATTCCAACCATAACGGAGAGTTCAACGAAGGAGGTAGAGGTGGCCGTGGATACAGAGGCCGGGGCCGAGGCCGAGGAAGAGGAAGAGGAAGAGGGCTGAGTTTCCGTGGAGGACGTGGAGGACGCCGTGCCACTAATAGTAATACTGAATGAATTTTATTACACCGAGGAGTATACATACAAAGAAATGTACCTATACAAAATACAAAAGCTTGTAATAAGACAAGATTGGCAGCAAGATATGTCGTCAATAGGTTGTGAAATGAAACAATAGTAACAATAATGATAATAACAATAATCATGATAGTAGTAATGGCACGTAGGAAGTTTTCCCGATAAAAAACGGATTAACAAGAATAAGCTTCTTTTCGGATTAATTTAATAAACCCGTATCTCTTAAGGAATTTTCAAGTATGGTTTCTCTAACAGCAGCCATGACAAGTTCGATATTTGAAGTATCAGTAGCCTGAGTTATATGAGGATAAATCTTTAGTCCTGACCGGTTAACTTGAGTGAATCTCCAATAAATATATTGCGCAGCTTTATTAACATCATTACCACCAATATAATCCGGGAAATAATTCTCCAATGGAGAATGAGGTAACTTTTTAGCAAAGATATCGATTTTGTTTAAAAACAACACCACTGAAGTTCTTGCAAACCACCGGGAATTAACAACCGAATCAAATAACGTTAAAGATTCTTCTAATCTATTCTGAGTATTTTCTTCCAATAATACTTGATCGTACTCGGATAAAGCCACACAGAACATGATCAAAGTCACGTTGTCAAAGCAATGGATCCATTTTTTTCGTTCTGATCTTTGACCGCCCACATCAAACATGTGGATATTTAATCCGGGCATATTGAAACTAAAGTCAAATATCCCCGACGTTTTCTTTCTGGTTCTTAAAATGTCTTGTACTGTAGGTAAGTAATTTGGGGACGCCAACGTTAAGATCTGGGAAAGGAAATAATCCGTGGAGTCAATTAAATAGAAACTTCCCTGATGGACTTGAATAAACTCCGCAACCTCTGGAGTTTGGTTATAAACCTTATTAATTTTTTCCGCGACGGAATAATCGAAATCTTCATCTGAGTCAATCGGATAATCATAATTTAAAATGTCCTTCAAATCAGATTCAGCTAAAACAGCCTTGATGATCTTATGCTCACCTCTGACAGCAATTGGATCCAAAGCCTCAATTTGATGGTCTTCAGAATCAGATATGCTCGTGGCTTCAGATGTCGCGGACAATGTCTTCTTCTCACTCAAGTCCTTGACTATTAGCTCCGGTTGAATGTCAATAATGGCATTAAGAACATTCCGAATACATTCCATTACGTTCTTGTACACAAAGGATCGATACTCAAACTTCTCGTCGTCGTTGTATCCATTCTGATGCAAGATCTTCATCTGCTTGACAATTGTGGACTTACCGGATTCTCCAGACCCAAGCAAGAGGATCTTGACGTCTTTGTCATTGGTCCCAGACCCATTGCTGGTGTTGGTGTTGACGTTGTTGAGTGAGGGGTTGGTGCTGGACTTGGTTAACGCTCCTCCATTAGACCCTTTACCGGTGACAGTACTGGCACCGGCACCGGCACCGGCACCGACAGAAGCAGTAGCAGTAGCAGTAGCACTGTTATTATTATTATTACTATGGTTTGTATTGATATTTTCAGTTTCTGGGTTACCCGCACTTGAACCGGTGTTAGGGTGTCCCTGTGGAACTTGATGATTCTGATTAGATTGAACGTCTGTGTCTGACGTTTGATTCGATCCAGTAGTACCTTCTGAGATCTTCTTCCCCTCGGCAGCAATCGGTGAACCTGTAACCGCTGTTTGAGTATCACTAGAGGAGACATTGACGGCATTCTGTTGGCCCTGTCGTTTAGCATTGTCTGTGGGTGTGCCGACATCAGACAGTGGGCTTTTAGAAGCACACAGACCCATGATAATTGGATATCAATAAAGTTTGATTGGAGATATAAGTGTCTGATAATAAGTGGTTGATGATTTAATGGCAATAGGATTCCACTTAATGACTATTAACTAGTGGGTTAATACAGACACAAAATAGTGCACCAAAAAATCGTACAAGGTCGGCAGGAACTGGCCAATCAAAAAGTCAAATCCAAGTACTTTGTATATGACCCGACCAAGGTGCCTCAACTACCGAAATTAAATGGTGTAAGTTGATTGAGAGGTTGTAACTTGATGGTGATTTGAAGTCGGAAAGGATTTGCTGAATAGTTTAATGAATACGCAAGTTAGCGCTACCAAACAGAACAAGCATGCTGACAAAAAATGTACTAATTGACGACATAAGGGGTTATACTTCACGACAATTAGTGTCGAAAATTATCTTTATGCATTCTTATGCCTATGATGCCTATGTAATATGTCAATGTATAGTGACCACCTAACTACGTCCATATAATTATGACCATGTAGTTGCATCTATGTCAACGTTTTTTGTCTTTAACGTGTCTTCTCTTCTTTGTCTCGGAATTAGGTATGCGAATCTACTACAACAAGTTGGAGAAAAGAACCTCACGACAATAAATCATAGTACATTCAACACAACAATATAAAGGCCATAATAATAAGGATCAGACCTACGTTTTGTACTCTATTATTAGCTTACCGCAAACAATCCTTATAGCTTTGCTTTATGTCGTACTCTCCTGTTGGTCCGCCCCCTAATGCACTACATCTCTAAATGCATGTCTGGATCCTGTATAAAGTTTGACAGACAATTATCCCCTAGATTTCTACAGATTCGGACATCATTGCGTGGAGGGGCATTTGTTGTATTCCAGACAAACATTTATACATGGTGCACACCTTTTGAGAGTCATGTCATCATTTTCTATTATTTATTGATATCATTTGTTAAATAAGGAACTAAGGGCTTCTAACAACAGTCACGTTTGTACGTTGGGGTTTAAAGAATAAAATGGTGCAAGGTGAGGAATCTGGTATACACACGAGATCATACCCAAATAGGCAAGTCGAACCAAACCTACAAATCACTACTCTTTGTACTGTAAGCATGTTATGTCTTATATAACTATGCCATCCCAAGGGAACTGGTCTCTTCTCGAACGCTGGTATTCATACTAACACTGGGTAAAAGCAGTGGAGCAATTTCATTTGTCTGAGGATTAACAGTGCCTTCCTCCTTCGTAGGTCCTTCCTTCTCTTTAGCTTGAGTATTAGCCAAATCTTGAAGTCTTTTACGTTCCTTCCGTCGTTGCTTTTTGGTTTCAAACTCATGCCATTCTCCTTCGATGGTCAGAAGTATCTCAGTTAATGGCTCCGGTTGAGGATCTTCACGGAAATATTGATGTTCTAACGCTTGTGTAGCCGTATAACGTTGACTGGGATTTAATGTAAGTAATTTCAGAGCCAAATCAAATGCTTGTTCACTTAAAACAGTTGAATATTTTTCGTGAAATGTACTGGACTTGTGTACTGCAGGTTGAAGCATTTCAAACCAAGGTAACTTATCAATATCAGGCCAATTTTCAAGTGTTGGGGTTCCCATTATACTGAAAATTCGATACAATTGTCCAATTTCTTCAAAACCTTGGAACGGTGATACTTTGGTGTATAATTCAATTAAAAGACACCCAACTCCCCAAATATCAACTTCTCTTCCATAATCTGTCAGTCCTAAAAGCAATTCTGGAGGTCTATACCAAATAGTTATCACTCTGTTGGTGTAATCTGGTGATTCACCTTCATGAACTATCTTCATCGTACGAGCCAACCCAAAATCAGCAATTCTTAAAGCGCCTTTGTTATCCAAAAGAATATTAGAACCTTTGATATCACGATGAATAACTCTTTTCTTATGTAGGTATTCTAAACCTTCCATTAATTGCTTAAACATATGTTTCCGATGCAGTTCTTGTAAATGTAAATCAGGATGTGTTAACAATCCTGTTAAATCATGATCCATATAGTCAAATATCATGTATATGTAGTTGTATTCCACCATCATTTCCAAAAGTCCAATAACATTAGGATGATCAAACAGTTGGAGTAATTTCATCTCACGGATAGCAGTTATAGGGAATCCTTCTCTTTCGCTTTCTAATCTCAATTTCTTCAAAGCAACATGCTCGTGAGTGATAACATTAATGGCCTTGTAAACCTTACCATATGTACCTTCTCCGACTTGTTGAACTCTCTTGAATACTTCATCACCTCTTTCAATCTTGACGGAATAAACTTGGGATTTTTTATACTTTGGAGCCACTGATCTAGTTTTCAGCGGTACAACAGCACCACTTTTAGACGAATCAGCACTATTATGAAATCTTGATGCTGAAACAGCACCTGAAGGTCCAGTAGGTCTCGGTGGACGTTCAGAACCTTTGAAAGAATATCCTCCTCTACCAAACTTGCCTTTTATTCTCCCAGCAGAAGGACCTGAAGGGGTTGTTAATTGTGTCAGCTCAGATCTAGGACCCCGAGGTAATGCAATAAGATTAACTTTTTTGGAACCCAGATCTTCCCTCAGGTCGTCAACTTCATGTCTTTTACGTGATGATTCATCTCTAAAGCTCCTTGGTTCTGCAGGAAAAGGTCTTTTAGCTCCTGAAGGACCCAGGGGACGTGATCTTGGAGGAATATTCGTATTATGGGAATTTGCTCCATTAGATTCTTGTTCAAAATTTCTTCCAGGGCGATAATTATCTCTTTCTGAATATCTGCGAGGATCTCCTGGACCTCCATAATATTTTGATGATGATGAAGATGATGAAGATTTATAACTTCTGTATTTGGACCCATTCAGATATCCACCATCACGAGATGATTCATGAGAATATTCACGATCAAAATCCCGATCACGATCACGGGAGTCTCTATCTCTATCTCTATCTCTCTCATTATCATAATCTCTTTCCTTTTCTCTGACCCAATCACCTTGTGGTCTTCTACTTGAACGGGGACCTGAGGGCGGAAGTGTTCGTCTTTGTTTATCTGACATATTTTCTTTTCCACTTTTAAATATCCAGATTCCTCAAAAGAACTTACACTTTTTTCTAGATACTCCAGAACTCAAAGATGTTGGTTCTGTATCCTCTTTTATCTGCTGACCCGATGAGTATCCCAATGGTATTACCAAGTTATAATTCTTCACTCATTATAGAACAGAGCATTTGTTCTATAGGTTTTTTTTTCGCATTAAAGAAAAATGGGATTACCCGGCACTTCCATTTTTCAGGTCAAGGACACGGACGGGGAGAGTAAACTCTTTAAGGCTCAACACACTTCAGCAGTTAGTAATGAAAGCAATCATTAACCAACACTTACTTCACCAGCACTACGACAGGCTATATAAATAGAAGAAAACAGAATTTTTTTGGTGCAGCCGTTCGTGTCACCAATTGATGTACGCTAAGCGGACGGGCATCATTCGTAAGCAACGGGAGGACCAAATCAAACCAAGCTAAACCAATGGATGGGATGCATTTGTAAGTCATCTTTATATGTATCATCACAGGCCCAACAAAAAGAATGGAAGATAAGAATCGCCATCATCTAAGCACCACAATATGCCCACAATATCATCGTCACAACAGTTTGTTGTTGATATCAAGATTCATTACGCTTCAATCGATGATTCTCCATAGCTAATGATTATCATAGATAATAACATTAGCAGTAAACTTTTATGGCTTTCAGATACACAACAAGGAAAACTAGGGACACATAAGCACTTTATGAGAACCCATTAAATCTAAATCTATTCACTATAAATGAGCTTGTATACTCACCATAAAGACTCTAACGCCAAATCATACTGCTATATTAGTACTTGCTCCGATCAACTGTACAGATACACGAGAAGACACCTGTTGATGAAAAGAAACAGTTTATTTCTCATTTTTGTTTGACTTGACGGTAGAAAAAGTTCATGACCAAACAAGTGTAATGGTTCACATCAGATACACGTCTAGTTAACAAGTCATATGAGTTGGCTAACAGCTGTACACGACATATTAAGACACAGCATCCTAGATGGTGTATTACATAGCATATGACATAGTATACTACGTGGCATACGACACAGTATACGACATAGTACATTACATAGTATACTACATAGTATGGTCTGATTTACTGGTTGAGTGATACAGTAAAAGGTAAGTAAAAGGTAAACACTAAGTATAGAAATATGCTACACACTAAGCCAATGTAAATATTTAGACTGGTGGTTTCCATCGTCTGGCTTTATGCTTTTCTATAAACAACCAGACCAAACTCACGTAAGGCGATGAAGTGACTTGTTACTAATAAACATAATAGATTGAGTATACCCTCTCTAACGTACCCCATATAGTAACTGTGCACACGATCACAGTATTCGTAAGGTATCTCCAAAGAGCATTACCAACCCCCAATTAACTGCTATCACCATACAGAACACCTTATACCAATACTCCCACGGTTTATACTCCCCTGCTTATGCTGTTACCCGCACTCTGGGGAAAAATACGGAACCATTTCAGTCCATAATAATAATACTCCTTGTTATCACCAATGGCAAAAAGGTCATTTAGTGCCATTTTCTTTTCTAGACATTGAACTACTATTACTACTACTACTACTACTACTACTACTACTGCTACTACCACTACCACTACCACTAACACTACTGCTACCACCACCATGGCATTCTTAGGTAAAGCTTTCCATCTCTCTGTTGATCTAGTACTCTTGCTGACAGTACTTGCTGGAATCAGAAGAAACACAGGTATCACTCCCAAGCTAGACGATGTGGATCTGCTGGATATGCGTTACTATATGAATAAATACTTGAATGTTGGCGAAACGGTCTTTGACCATGCTGCTGCCTACCTTGGAAGCAGTAGCTATTTCACCAGAAAGTGATCCAATCTGATCTATTGTTAATACTATAATACTGTTATTTATTACTGAGTGCACCATTATTGGTTGTAAATATTATATTTAAATCACCTTTATATTAAAATACGTAGAGACACTCTTTACTTCTACAACCTGAAGGTAGACGTACTTAATTTAAGCACTTTGGAATCAAAGATGCTGTTTGAAGCTTGCCAGGGGGAATCCAATGCTGTTTATTCAGACTTGGGGTAATCATTTGTCTATTCAACGGTAACAGACTTGGCCAAGTTTCTGGGGAAATCAACGTCGATACCCTTGTTTTCAGCTAGCCAGTAACTCATCAATTGTAAAGGAATAACATTTAATAAACCTTGTAAACAATCAACGGTTTCGGGAACCTCCAAGGTAGCGAAAACCTTTTCATTCTTAGCAATAGCATCACCCTCATTACAGATGACAATTGGTCTACCGTCTCTAGCAGTGACTTGTTCAATGGCTGACATGGTTTTGGGGAACAATGAATCTCTGGTAGCAAAGGCAATGATTGGTAATTTATCATCAACTAATGCCAAAACACCATGCTTCAATTCACCGGCCAAAACACCTTCAGAATGCATATATGAAATTTCCTTAATCTTTAAGGCACCTTCTAATGCAGTAGCAAATTGGTAACCTCTACCCAATAACAAAAGTGACTTTTGATTGTTCAAAGTGGTATTACACAAATCCTTAATTTTATCTTCCAATTTCAAGACTGTCTTGATTTGTTCAGGAATCTTTTGTAAGCCCTGTATGATTTCAGCATGTCTTCTAGCCTTGGAAATAGAATCATTGGACAAACTCAAGGCAACCATGACTAAGGCAATGAATTGAGAAGTATAAGCCTTGGTAGAGGCAACACCGATTTCGGGTCCAGCATTAATGTGAACACCACAATGTGTTTGTCTTGACATGGAAGAGCCAACAGAGTTGACAATACCAACAGTCAACGCACCTCTTTCCAAACAATATTGTAAGGCCAAGATGGAGTCAGCAGTTTCACCGGACTGGGAAACGAAAACACAAGTATCGTCTCTGAAAACAGGAGATTTACGATCCAAAAAATCAGAAGCTAAATCAACGGTCACTGGGATTTCAGTTAACTCTTCAAAAATAGATCTTGTGGCTAAACATGAATGATAAGAAGTACCACAAGCAATCATCAAGATACGCCTGCATCTTCTAATGGTTGGTAAGAAAGATCTTAATCCACCCAAGGTGACAATATTGTTCTCAAAATCAAGACGACCTCTCATGGTGTTGAAAGTGGAATCAGGTTGTTCAAAGATTTCTTTTTGCATGAAATGCTTATAAGGACCCTTCATAATTTCATTCAATTCCATTTCCAAAGTTTGAATTGGTCTAACAGTAGTATCTTCAGCTGATTTCTTAGCTCTATGGATGTGCAATTCACCATCATAGATGTGAGCAATATCATCATCTTCCAAGAACAAAACCTTTTTGGTGTGTTGAATAACAGAAGCAGGGTCTGAACTTAAAAAGAATTCAACTGGCATTGGGATTCCATCATCGGCCAAAAAGGCTCTAGATTGTGAAGTTCTCAAATTGTCTTGAGCAGTAGCCATCAACAATTCATTTGTTTGTTGCTCAGTGAAGAATTCGACATCAACAAAATCAACCTTCAATTTCTTTTCGGTCTTAACACCAACCAAAAGTGGAGACCCCTTTCTAGTACCACATACTTCACCGGGAAAATGGGTTGATTTAACTAATAAACCATAGGTACCTTCTAATTCGAAAAGAACTTGTTTGGTTAACTCATTGAAATCTAAAGTGATTCCAGCTTTCAAATTAGTGTCATAAACGTGCTTAAATAACTTTGCGATACATTCAGTATCAGTTTCAGATTCAAATTGGAATCCTTTACTGGTCAACAAGGTTTTCAAAGCTTGGAAATTGGTGATAATACCATTATGAATAACAACGAACTCACCAGATGGATCAGAACGTTGAGGATGGCAATTTTCAACCTTTGGACTACCATGAGTAGCCCATCTTGTGTGAGCAATACCACAATGGTTATCAAAAACAACCGAAGAGTCCAAATCAGTAGCGGCGACTTTTTCTCTTAATCCATTAACTTTACCCACTTCTCTAATGATCATGGTTGAGTTTCTTGAATCATCATCAATAGCGATCCCTGCTGAATCGTATCCACGATATTCTAACCGTTGTAAACCATCTAATAAGGTAGTGATGATTTCACCTCTGGTCTTATCGACCAAAAAATTCACGTAACCAAAGATCCCACTGGAAGCATGTTAGTATTGAGTCAAGGCGGGTAACTATGGGAAGGTCCCATTACAACATACATATATGATGTAGCATATATAATGTAACATATATAGGTACCATGTACGTGTTGTATATATGCACATAGCGTCATAGTACATACCACATAATGCTGATATTAGATATTAGATACTAGTTGATGACTATGAAAGAAAAGAATGTAGTGGTTGAAATCATTTTATATATCAACGATTTTTTTGGAATGTATTCTATTTTGGGACGGGATATTTTGGGAAGACCAAGGGTGCATATTGCACATATTTCACCTAAAGGTGCTTGGTAAACATTCGAGGCTGGCGGGACATGTGGCACAATAATTATTGATGATAGGGCCTATAATGACGTGCATTGTAGCATGTCTAACTATCTGTTTATCTATGATTATACTACTACTACTACTACTACTACTACCACCACCATTACTACGAGTACTTTGAGTAGTGTTATTTTCCATATTGCTCTGTCTCCAACTATTTCCTTAGTCTGTTCCATTGCTTTCTCATACGCATGATAAACACTAGGCTCTTGCTAACGTTTGATTCGATGAACGTTGGTTAAGCTTCAGAGGGTTGGCTGTTTGCTTTCCATTTCTGTTACGTAGCTTAATGGCCTAGGACGTTTAATTAATGCCTGTTTCAAATCAAAGGGTCGTTCCTTAGTCATAACATTGCCTAATTGGGCTCACTTATCAACAAACTTCCTGTGTCCACGTCGGTATTAAACACTCCGGTTGTAATGTTAAAATTAGCATCACCACAAATACCTCTACTTGGACGCCGTACACAACTTAAGCCATAGCACAATTCATACATACTGAAAATATATCACGTCCTGTGCTTCGCCACGCAATTCAATTGATCTGAAGTGTATGTTCTTTCACTTTGGTTTAAGCCTTAGACATTCTTGAGACATACGTCTGTACGCTCGGAACCCTTTGTTCGTGTACTGGAACCGTTTTGCTGTACACTTGGAATTCTTTGTTCGAACCTCTATCTATGCATTGTTGTGTTAGAAACGTTTGCACTGCTCACAACTGTTGCTCACCGTAAACCTAATAAGCCTCATAAATCTAGACTTCCATGATGTTTCTTCTAATCTTTAATTGTTCTTTCCGATACCCTTACACCCCTACACCCATAGTTTGGTTTTTCTCTTAACAACGCTATTACTTCAGTCTCTAGCTCAAATCGAAAACGCTATGACTGCAAACATTTTCTCTACAAAGGATCACTTAATTCTCAGGCTGTGTTCTAACAGTGTTACTCAGTCTTAATAGCAGAGATCATCATTATGCGATTGCATACTCCACGGATTTAAACCCATATAGTTGGCGCTACCAAAATGGAATCTCTCACAAATGTCGGCTGCCATCGGAGATTGGGAGTACATTATATCTAATTAAAATATAAAACAGTCTTGTCATTTTGCCTGTTTGATTCCCAGTTAAAATAAGAATTGAATGTATACCTCAGTAAGTCATATACGATCTAGAACTTTGCGATGGTTACCTTTGTTGAGTAGGTCTCAGGGTCAACCCACAATAGTGCGAGCACTATCCAAATCCAATAGAAGACTAGTGTCAAATACTGTCTTAAAGCCGAAGAAGAAGCTTCTACCCATTGCACAGAACTTGCGAAGAACAACTAAACCAGGCGGCGAAACGGGGTTGAAAGGGGATGCCTTTGTCAATGCAGAACAGATGCCCGAGATTACTATAGAGGGCAAAAAGGTCCCATTGAATGAAGTTGTGTGTCTTACTTTAGGAGAACAACTTGATATCGACACTATAAGGCAACTTGTTCTCAAAGAAGCCGGGGTTGACTCCTCTGATGCTGCTGCTGATCATCTTCAAAGCGATATAGTGTCGATAGTAGGAGATGAATGTCTTTTGATACCCAGAATAGGATACGAGTTAATGGTTTTACTGAATGGAAGTGTAGTAGGTTGGGGACATCCCAAAGTATCGGAAAAGCAGATTCTTGAAGATCCACTAGTGGAGCATTTGAAGAGAGGCACTGGCTTTGAATTAAGTGAACCTTACGAGACCATTGAAAGTGACGAGCTTGATTATGTTGAATTGAACGAAGTGCCAAAACTTTCATCATCATCATCATCATCTTATTTACAAGGAGAAGTATTTGTTGTACAAGGGATTGACACCACCCAGAGAAACTTGGATAAAGCAGCTTTTGCTATGGGGTTTTCTCGGTCAACAAGATTGGCTATTTTGGAGAATGCTCTTGATAAACATCTCCAGAGTACTCGAGCCAATAGTGAGAGAATGAGTCGTGGAATGAAGATAGACACCAATGAAGGGGAATTGTTACGTTTAACAGGAAGATTATTTCTTTTGAGAGGAAAATTGAATTTATACAGTGAATTAATTGAAGTACCAGATTTATATTGGACTGAACCAACCTTAGAAGTCATTTACGAGGACGTTTCAAAGATATTGGATATATCCACAAGGATTAGTATTCTTAATAGAAAGTTGGATTATGCCACGGATGAACAAAGGGCATTTCTTGGGGTGTTAAATGAGAAGAAAGGTACCCGTTTAGAGTGGATCATTATCATTTTAATTACTGTTGAAGTTGGTTTTGAAATATTGAGAATGGTCAAACCTGAGACACAGAATCATGATATTCTGGAAGCAAAGTTAAAGGAAGCATTGTAGTTACACCAAATTCTTAATTTTGAATTACATTTAGTCACGTGACGCGATCGTTTGCAAGTATTTTGGGGTACATGGTTTCGATTTATGAATACTGAATCAACAACATTCTAACGGTACTGTATTTTGTGTAACAGCTAGAACTCAACCGTAATACACCCGAAATTCAATCCCAACGGGCTATGTTGTAGTAACGGTATATTCTAAAAGTGTGCTATGGGTATTCACAAAAAGAGAGTTTTGTGTCACTAATTGGCCCATATCAGGCCAATCAAAATGAGCTGACTCCAAGTACGGCATAGTTCCAACTAACCAAATGGTTATTGTGGGAAGTAGTAGTAACGGTTCAAAACGGAATAAATACTAGTGCTACTGACCGCAAAGCCAACTTCTTATAACGTGATTATTTCTATATATGTCCAATTAACTTTTAATATAGAACAACTTGTAGGAAGTGTAATACGAAAAGAAAACCACCAACTGCGTGTCCGGTTTCTTTCCATTCCATTCTCTTTGCTTCGTCTCTTTTGCTACTTTTTCTTCCGTTTTCAGGCCTGAAGTTAGGCCTTATGAATCGTGTTGTGGGTAGTCATTGAATCATGAGAAGACTAATTCCAGCCGTTCAATGGGCGTTTGCTTTCTGTGTGCATACAGTTCCTGATAACGCCTGCATGGAATTGGAAGTTGCTGAAGCAAAGGTTTTATCAGTAGCGAATCATAAGTATAGTGCGGTGAAACACAAAACTGGAAGATGACTCAAGAATTAATTAATGTCTGAAGATAACCAAAATGTTCACGACAGCCGAGAAAATTTTATGAAATCTTTGTCTGAGAGAACATCTCTTATCATAATGATAAGATATAATAAACCAGTCCGAGGTGTGTAGAACGTCGGAATCATCATCGTGGCAGTGCCATGCTATCAGGTAGTTGAAGTATATGAAAACTTACTCGTATTCTTGTCCCATAGTAAAATATCTGTTTGTCTGTCTGAAAAATACATTCCCTTACCACCAAAACTTTGTTTGCAGTCGTCGCTGTTTAAATAGACCCATTATTATTGTTGTTTCTGCACGTTAACGTTTTGTCTGGCTGTTTGTTGAGGGATTCGCTGTTTGTTAATACTATTGTATAAAGCCTAGTCCCATACCCCAGGACTGAATCCCGTCAAGAAGAGTGCCCTTGTCTGCATCGAAGTTTCATCACCATAGTAATAGTCACACTTGGTTATAAAATGACTGTCGGATTCCGCAGAGTGTCCTGCTACTGATCTGTATATGCAGGAATTATTTGAATCCAATGAATCAACCCGATTAGCTTAATAGGGACAGTATCCCATCGCAACAATGGCCTGTGAGATTGAAAGGATTTCATACCCTATACATACATTACTGACAACAGGCATTCATTTATATATATGTAGACGGAACGCATAAAAATAATGTAAAAATTTATCACGGTTTCCATCAGATATTTTTTTATAACGTTGTTCAAGAACCAACTCACTCATAAGGTTATAGCATCGCATACCAATAACACCGGCATAAATAGCGACATTTATAATAACACCTACAGCACCAAATATAATACTAACGACATCACCTTTATATACATATTTCCGTCATGATTGGAACAGTTGCATCTATCTTGTTTAAACGAGCCTCAATAGAAAAATGGAATGAGTTTGATCAAACTCTCATGTTGGTGTTCACAATAGCTCAATCAGTTATTTGGATTATGATACCCGGTTTGGCGTTTTTGTACAGTGGATTAGCTCGACGGAAATCTGCCTTATCTATGATTTGGATCGTCATAGCCTCTTCATTTGTGGGTATTTTCCAATGGTATTTCTGGGGTTACTCTTTGGCTTTCAGTGCTTCAAGTAATAGTTTTATTGGTAACTTGGAATATTTTGGTTTCAAGGGTTTATTGGCATCGCCTTCAGATGAGACTTATCCACTTTTGGCCTTTTCTCTTTTCCAAATGGAATTTATGTTGGTTACTTTGGCCATTATTGCGGGTCCCTGTGTGGCTGAAAGAGGTCGTTTTCTTCCTGCTATAGTGTTCTTCTTTTGTTGGGCTACCATTGTCTACTGTCCTGTTGTCTATTGGATTTGGGGTGGTGGCTGGGCTGCCAAATGGGGGGTCTTAGACTACGCTGGTGGTGGACCAGTGGAAATTCTTTCTGGTGTTACCGCATTGGTATACTCGTACTTCTTGGGGAGACGGAATGAGACTCTTATGATCAATTATAGACCCCATAACATATCAACTATCTTTACCGGTACAGCTCTTTTGTATGTCGGATGGTTGTTCTTTAACGGGTTCTCAGCAGGTAATGCATCCTTGAAGGTTCCTTATTCAATGATGAATTCTCATTTGTCTGCTGCCTTTGGTGCATTAACATGGTGTCTTTTGGATTATCGTTTGGAAAAGAAATGGTCTATGGTTGCCGTATGTTCTGGGTGTATTTCTGGTTTAGTTGCTGCCACTCCTTCCTCCGGTATCATCCCCCTATGGGCTTCTGTCATTTTGGGGATTGTCACCGGTATAGTTTCTAACTTTTCCACCCAAATCAAAAACTTGATGAGAATTGATGAAAGCTTAGATGCTTTTGCCGAGCACGGTATTGCCGGAATGGTTGGATTAATTTTCAACGGTATCTTTGGTTCTAGAACTGTCATTGGATATGATGGTGTCACTGACCATGCTGGTGGTTGGATTGACCACAATTGGAAACAATTGTATAAGCAAATTTGTTACATTCTTGCTGTTACCGCATATGGCGCCGGTGTGTCTGCTGTAATCTGTATTGTTCTTAACTACATTCCAGGTTTGTATTTGCGTGTGGATTATGAAGGTGAGGAAAGAGGTATTGATGAAGACCAAATTGGGGAATTTGCTTATGATTATGTTGAAGTTAGAAGAGACTATTTATCTTGGGCAAATCCTCAACCTGCTAGTACGTATAGTGCTGGTGAAAAGGGTGAAGAATTAGAACATCCAGTGGAAGATGATGATCATGCAGTTGGTAGTTCTAATGCTTCGGTGCATGAACCAATCATTCACGAAAAGAACGTTGCGTCAGCTTAAGTTTCGAGGGTACTTAGCTTAGATATTATTTTTATTTCTTCTATCAAGTTTTTAGTGTTAATAATTATTAGTATATTTAAAGATTAAAATAGCCAAAGATCATGTAGTAGTAGTGGTAGTATTTAAGCCCTCACGTGCCATGTCACATGACAAATACCACGTGCTTCTTTTTTTCTTCGGGTGATCTCGTAATACTCATACTTCCGCTTGTCCAGACCTGTGGGGGAAGTGTATATCGGAACGGCAAATCAGCACCGCTATAGGGGTTTCATGCCGGTACCGGCCAAAGATCTACAAGCATTTCATGTTCGGTACTGATTGACCCATGCTATCGTAAGGAGTAAAGACAAACGAGTGCAACACACTGAAAACAACCTGGAGACTAGATCATGTTACGTACGATATCTTTCCTCTACTTGTCGCTTCCTTTACTATCTTATCTACCAATGATCGCATCAGTATACCTTTAGACACCTACAGTGCGGAGAACAAAGGAACATCCCATTTGGGAAAATACTGCACATCCATACCACCTTTCTTTTTATGTGAAAATTTTTTTATTTTTTATTATTACTATCAAACACCAATTTTTAAGCATTACTATTAGTGCATAGAACAAAGGGCTGTGGAATAGAAGTCGCTCTCGTGACTCAATAATGGACAAGCGGGAGGTCTCCGAAAAAAGGGCCTGAATTTTGTAGTAGTTACGAACATTGAACTGGGGAGTAAAATCATGGAAATTTACCGTAATTCCATAAGCTTTTCAGCAATTCTGACTTCATAGTAATCACATAGTCATCTCTTATCATTGTACTAGTTTTTAAACGATTGAATTCCGTTGGAAACTCATAAAATTAACCCACATTTGTGACCCCATTATTCCCCTGACTCATACCAACCAAGTGAATCGAATTCGGTAGCGCGCGTTGATACCTAATTAGGTGTTGATTTTTCACATTAATTTTTCACATTATATTTTACATACTTCTAATTCTCTTCTTCTTCTTTTTCTTCTTCTACTTAATCTTCTTTTTAAGCTTCTTGCCCCATTCCATAATGATCGCTAGAAACGTCAGAGCGACTACCGCCACCCAAACGGCCATACGTATGGCTCGTGGCCAAGTCAGACTTCTCACTAGAACGCAAAGAATGAAAGCCACTATTGCATCTCCATCATCATCCAGTGCTGCCTCAAGACCCGCACCTGCTCCCGCTTTCAACCAAGATGACACTCAAGGGTCCACTAACAACAACAGAAGCGACAAGACCAACAAAAAGAATAAGAGCTCTCACTTGGCCATGGACGATACGTTTATCGGTTTGACCGGTGGGGAAATCTTCCATGAGATGATGCTCAGACACAATGTTGATACTGTTTTCGGTTACGCCGGTGGTGCCATTCTTCCAGTGTTTGACGCTATCTACAACAGTGATAAGTTCAAATTCGTCTTGCCCAGACATGAACAAGGTGCTGGTCACATGGCTGAAGGTTATGCCAGAGCCACTGGTAAACCCGGTGTGGTTTTGGTTACCTCCGGTCCCGGTGCTACCAACGTCATCACCCCCATGGCCGATGCCTTGATGGATGGTGTTCCATTAGTTGTTTTCACCGGTCAAGTCCCCACCACCGCCATTGGTACAGATGCATTCCAAGAAGCTGATGTCGTGGGTATTTCCAGACAATGTACCAAATGGAACGTTATGGTTAAGAATGTGGCTGAATTGCCTCGTCGGATTAACGAAGCCTTTGAAATCGCTACTCTGGGTAGACCAGGTCCTGTTTTGGTTGATTTACCTAAAGATGTCACCGCAGCTATTTTAAGAGAAGAAATCCCCATCCATTCCACTATCCCACTGAATGCATTGCAACAAATCACCAGAAAGGCTGCTTCTGAGTTTACTATGGAAGCAATCAAGAGATCTGCCAAGTTGTTGAATAAGGCCAAGAAGCCTATTATTTACGCCGGTGCCGGTTTATTGAACAGCGAAGAAGGTCCAGCCTTATTGAAGGAATTGAGTGACAAGGCCCAAATCCCAGTCACCACCACTTTGCAAGGGTTAGGTGTTTTTGACCAACGTGATCCTAAATCTTTGGATATGTTGGGTATGCACGGGAACGCCGCAGCTAACTCTGCCATTCAACAAGCTGATTTGATTATTGCATTGGGTGCCAGATTCGACGACAGAGTCACACTTAATGTCACCAAGTTTGCTCCTGCTGCTAGATTGGCTGCCCAAGAAGGTAGAGGTGGTATCATTCACTTTGAGATCTTGCCCAAAAACATCAACAAGGTTGTGGAGGCCACCGAAGCCGTGGAAGGTGATGTTGCCGGTAACTTGGCCAATTTCATTCCTTTAGTGCATAATGTTTCTGAAAGACCCGAATGGATGGGCCAAGTTCAAGAATGGAAGCAAAAGTATCCTTACGACTACCAATTGGAAACCCCTGGGTCTGCCATTAAACCCCAAACATTGATCCGTGAGATCGATGCTCAATTGCAAAAGCTTGATAAGGACTTCATTATCACCACTGGTGTTGGTCAACATCAAATGTGGGCTGCCCAACATTTCACCTGGACCAAACCAAGAACCATGATTACTTCTGGTGGGTTAGGTACCATGGGTTATGGTTTACCTGCTGCAATTGGTGCTCAAGTGGCCAAACCTGATGCCATTGTCATTGACATTGATGGTGATGCTTCATTCAACATGACCCTTATGGAATTAAGTTCTGCGGTTCAAGCCGGTGCTCCAGTCAAGATCTGTGTATTGAACAACGAAGAACAAGGTATGGTGACTCAATGGCAATCTCTTTTCTACGAACACAGATACGCACACACCCATCAATCCAATCCAGATTTCATGAAGTTGGCTGAAGCCATGGGAGTCGAGGGGATCCGTGTGAAGGCCCAAGAAGAATTGACCAGCTCAGTGGCTCAATTCTTAAATACCGATAGGCCTGTACTCATGGAGGTGTTTGTTGAAAAGAAGGTACCTGTTTTGCCCATGGTTCCTGCTGGTAAGGGTTTGGACGAATTTATCCTTTTCGATCCTGAAGTTGAAAAGGAACAAAACGAATTGAGAAAGAAGAGAACTGGTGGTAAGTTCTAGAACGTTTGTTTGTTTGTATTTCACTGTAAATTAGATTTATAATATGAAAAGTAATTAAGTATTTGGAACGAGTTCGTATATTTGAAATGTGGGGTATTCGCGATGAGGTACACCCGAACACCAGATTATATAGTATGTTAATTATATATAGTGTATGTTAATGGTAAAAGTGTATCCTATAATAGATAGTATATTTCTTTATTCTATATCCTGTTAAACCTCCTTCTCATATTGTGCTAGAGGAGCTGCCAACTCACAACCTCTTCGTATAATGGTTTCAATTCTATCCCGTAAAACCTTGGAAGGACATGCCACTGTCAATTCCAAAAGATTTATTCTGGCTTCACTTTTCCCTACATTGATCACAAGGTTCTCGTGGCTTTCTCTTTTGATCGTATCACCAAACTGAGCCTCGAGCATCGTGGTGATACGACTCACTCGGGTTTTAATGTCCGACTTCATGTGTGCCTTTGGCTCACGCTCACGTGCCGAACCAATAACCATGTTAACATCATCATCCATGGGCTCGTCTTTGACATGAACATGCTCGTGTTGCTTGGAACTTAACTTGACAGAAGCCGGCGAGCTATCAACTGAATATAAGATAGCTACCACAGAATCCGCTAATGAATCGGCAATTAGATTGTCATTGATCCATTCAACGGTCACCACCAATGCATCTGTCTTGTTCAAATCAACGTGAACATCAAGCAAGCTCATAATCAAACATTCCCATGCTTGTTTATCGTCCCGGACGATCTCAATGTATCCAAACATCTGTTCTAAATGCCATCTGATCAACGAAACTTGGGCATGAAGCTTTAATTTGATCTTAGACTTTACTATCGATGTAGATAACTGAGTAAACTCACTCAAGTCATGCAATTTCAATAAATTCAAATCGAAATCTTTAGATACTAAAACTCCAGCAATAGGTTGTTCTGTTGAAATCAAGTTCACAGTTTCAACAGTCTTCAGGTCTGTCTTTTGGCCACTCTTTGCTTCACCATTTTCTTCATTTTCTTCCTCACCCTTTTCTTCACTCTTTTCCTCGTCCATCTTTTCATCTTCATCGTCCAGAAGTTCTTGAATTTTCTTCAGTTCTTCCTCAATTATCTTGACAACTTCTTGTCTGAGTATATTCCCTTGTTCTTCTGCCAAGGTTCCCAAAACTGTGGCTACTCTTTGTCCTTTAATTGGTAACTTAAGTTCGTCACAGTTTCTGGGGTTAAAGATGTTGACTTCATTTTCTGACCCCTTTCTGGACGAATATTTACTCAATAATGCTGATTTGAGTCTCCCCATAGGATTACTTTCACCATGAACCAAAATGATCTTCAAAGGATTCACCTCATCAATGAACTCGGCATTTTGTTGGAAATCAACGTGTGCTGCAAATGATATTTCTTCAATTAAAAGCCTTCTGGGAATTGACATTTCCGGGTTGGCTATGGAGGGAATTGAATGTGGTTCCGAAAGTAAATCTTTAGCCATAGTTCCTTCAACGGAATAACCCGTCATGATGACCGCATTCTTAGGATCTGGAGCCCATTTCTCCAAGAGTTCTCGAGAAACACCATTCTGTAACATACCAGGAGATGCAACAACTACACAAGGACCCATGTCTTGAAATTTCTCTAAACTCCTTATGGATTTAATGAACTTCAAGTCGAACGGATTATGTGCCTCTCCAGAACTTGAAGTCAACTGTCGGATTTTGTCATTCATGATACTGGTATATGTCTGATAAACAGCCATACACTTTCTAGCAAGCGACGATGCATAAAAGATATTAATGCTTTGGAGATCTTCATTCTGACTCCAATATTCTTCCAAGATCAACAACAATTCTTGAGCTCTTCCTAAAGCGAACACAGGCATAAGAACCCTACCTCCCTTCAAGAGAGTGGAATGGATCAATTGGGTCATCCTGTGTTCTTTTTGCAATCTGGGTTCGTGTGTGGCGGTACCAAATGTGGATTCAGTGATTAATATATCCGGTTTGGTAGGAGGTACTTCTGCTATCTGAAGGTGTCTGTCTTCTTCTCTTGAATAGTCACCGGTGAAAAGGATCTTCAATCCACCAATCTCAATCAAATACATACATGCACCAAGCACGTGACCAGCGTGATAAGCAGTGAATCGTATACCGTCTATTTCCATAGTAGAATGGTAATCCACAGTTTCAATCTTATCAAATGACCCAATTAAATCATCATCTGTGTATAAATTACTAGACCCATTATTTCCTGGGCCACCATTGGAGGAGCTGTCCATAGTTCTTCCGTTACCAATGGACGTCACTCTAACGAAATCCTGCAACAACCATCGATAAATAGCTTTGGTGGCATGCGTCATAAAAACTCTGCCTTTAAAGTTGGAATGCTGCATCACATATGGAAGCGTACCTGCATGGTCTAAATGGAAATGACTTATAAGCAATATGTCCACTTTTGATAGGTCATATTCATCATAGAACGGAAGTGAACTGAAACCAGTTAATCCGGGATGAACTCCCGCGTCCAACATTATTACTTTGTTTTTGTATTCAATTATGTGACATGATCTTCCCACTTCATTACATCCACCAAGTCCAAAAAACTTGAACGATTCGGTATTCTCCGAGCCACTTGTCTCCGAGTTCTTGGACGGCATGATTGATTTGAGTCAAATGTGTTCATTACCAACCGTAGTAGTGTCTCTCTTTCGTTTGCCTCTAAAACTTTTCAGATTTCGGTACATGCACTACTTTGGTGATGTATGTCGGACTTCGAATCGTATTGACTGCTAATAGTTTGCAGTTCGAGAGCAACCATCAAAATATTCTAAATGCTTCATTTCATCCTTTAAAAGGATAATTACATTACAAGGTGAATAGATATTGGTTTTGGAATTGTAGTTTCGGAATTTCTCATGCATGTATGTATTGCTTTAGCAAGTGGGTTTCGAAGTACACCACCCACCACACTCCTTAACCCCAACAACTCACAGCCCATAAATACTACATATAAACATTAAGTCTTAACAAATGCATATGCTTGCTGAGATCGGAGTGAACTGGTCCATCTAACTTGAATTTCGGTGTTAGCATTAATCTGCGATATCTATCTAGTTCCCCTCATGAAGTTTATTGTATTTTTTCCGAGTGGATAAACTTTGGGAGAATTTAACACACGGCACGGTATTTTTTCCCTTTCATTCTAAAGTGTGTGTACATGTTGTTTTCAATTTTCTGCATATAATGGTGGAAAAATATAGGGCTGAAGCAAGCATTTTTTCCGTTGCTCTACTAGTTATTCCTGTGTCCTGTATTCCAATCAGCCTCTCAAGGTACCGAACCAGCGACTGCACTGGAATGTTCCCCACAAATGGCTTAGTACCATGTAGTTACAGTACAATCAACAACACCATGCAACTATTCCAATACGAAATTTGCCATACAAAGGACGGACAAGAACATTTTTCCGTACCATTTAGCGTATACACTGATAAAAGCTCAAACCAGTAGGTAACTCGTTGTTACCATATGCGGAATGTATTAAGCCTAAATATGGTCTTCATTCGTCGAAATAGTTTGTGTAAAATACATGACGGAGCAATTTCAAAACATTACAGTGGTGAAGTTTAAGTTTCAGTATCATTGTAATTATAACCATAACTTTATTTAGAAAACACATAGTGCAGCAGGAGAATGAGTATTCATGCTTGCATAAATGACATCACGACATTAAGGGTTCATTCATGTTATTTGGGTTGAATAACTAAGCCCTGTGATCAACACCGGTCTTTAAATCATCAACCAAACCAACTTCTTGAGCGTAAGTGGTGTTAGGTCTCCATTTAGAAGAATTTCTTGGATGAGTTTCTTCCAACAAACGATCAACTTGTTCTAAAGTCAAACCCTTGGTTTCTGGAACCAAAAAGTAAGCGAAAATAATGCACCCAGTACAAGTACTACCCCAAACGAAGAAGACCTTTGCACCCAAATTACCTTGATCGGTACCAACCATGTAAGGAGTGATGACGGTAATGATACAGTTCCAGAACCAGTTGGAAGCAGTAGATAAGGCAACACCTCTGGCTCTGATTGGTAATGGGAAGACTTCACCAACAGTAACCCAAGCACAAGGACCCCAAGTGGAAGCAAAGAAGAAGATATAGATACAGATGAAAGAAATAACTGCCTTCATTGCATTGTCATCGTCTGCCTTAACGGTACCAATGATAGCAGCAACGAATTCACAAATAGCCATACCAACAGCACCCCAGATTAAAATTGGTCTACGACCGAATCTTTCAACAGTCCAGAAAGAAACAGGTGTGGAACACACGTTAACCAAAGTAGTAATCAAAGAAATCAAGAATGGGTTTTTGATAGTACCCAACTGTTGGAAGAAAGTAGTACCGAAGTAGAAAATAAAGTTAACACCAGTCATTTGTTGCATCATTTGTAAACCAATACCCAATAAAGTTCTTCTCAAGTTAGAAGAACCGTGTTTAATAGAACCTGAGAAACAAGCAGTCCAAGTCTTAAGGTAACTACCTTGAGGAATCAATTTGGATTCTATTTCATTGTTGGCCACAATTTCAGCCAATTCATCTTCAACTTGTTCAGAACCAACTGGTTGATCTCTTAATCTGACTAAAACTTCCCTTGCCTTTTCGATATTTGCCTTCTTAACGAAATATCTAGGAGATTCGGGTAAAAAGAACAAACCAGCAGCCAATATAAAAGCCCAAATCAATTGCAAACCAATTGGAATTCTGTAAGATGCAGAGGTCTTCAAATTTTGAGTTCCATAGTTAACACAGGCTGCAATCAATAACCCAATAGTAATACAGAATTGATAACCAGAGACCAAAGCTCCTCTAACCTTTCTTGGAGCAATTTCAGACATGTACAACACAATAGTAGCAGAAACAAAACCGACACCAAATCCAGAAATCAATCTACCAACAACCAATAATGGAACACCTGAAGAAGCAATTTGTAAAGCATCACCAATACAAAAAATGACACAGCCGGCAATAATAGTCAATCTTCTACCATACCAATCAGCCAAGTCACCAGCCATGAGAGCACCAAAGAAAGTACCGGCAGACAAAATAGAAGTGATCAAAGACTTCTGCGAAGATGGCAAGTCCTTTTCAGACTTTGGCTTACCTCTTTGACTCTTATCGAAGGTATCAATAAAGTACTCCATACCCATGACACCGGAAATGTAACCAGAATCGTAACCATAAAAGATACCACCAAAGGATGCAAAGGCACACATCATGTAAGCTTTGAAGGTAACTTCAGCTTCGACCCTGTTAGGATCAACAGTACCATGAACGTGATGTTCCTTAAATTCGGACACATTGGTAACTTCCTTCATTAACTGGGCTTCATTGGTTGTGTAGCCATGCTTGGCTTCCAAATCACTAGAAGACATGTTTAACTAGTAATAAGTGATTAAAATATTAAGAGTTGATAGTTGCAAATCCAAAAAAAAAACTTGAAACAACCGGAAAATCTACTGATATTTATACCATTTTCCGATCTGAGGGGAACCCCAAGCTTGGACCAACATTCTGGGTTTGGATTACAATTTTCTTAAGATGGGTTTAACTCAAAGCTCGTCTTCATTTGAGGGCCTGTTTCAAAGTGGGGGTTGTACATTTTGTGCAAAAAAATAAAGAAAAAGTACGTCAGCCGCATGCAAACCGCCTACATATTGATTTTCCGAAAGTCTTTGCCCACGGATTCTTTGATAGTCCAAAACATTATTTTCTTAGCAGCATAGTGCATGTAAAGCAATTCAATCTGGGGTAGTATCACTACGTAAACAATGTAAGCAAGTATATATCCCCACACGGTACAAGAATGCTTCGCACACATGCTGAAAGCGTAATAGTAAGCGTTGTCTTGTCGATAAATTTCTCGGATAATTAAGCACCGCTTGAACACGGAAAAACACCCCTACTGTATATATTTATTTTTAAAGCAATAGGGACTTCTTTACACCAATTTGTACTACTTTATTGCAGTAATTTGTGTTACTTTATACTTCAAACAAAGTTGTATATTATTGTAAAGCAATTCTATTGCTAGTTAATTGTACAGATTAATATATAAAACCATTCTCGGAAAAGACATTTAATAGAATGAGTGTCCTATTGCACTCAGAATCATAAAAATCATCAATTTATTATTACTTAAAGCTTGCTTAATAAGCGTGAATGAATGAGTTGAGTCATCTAGACCTTGTGTTCAACGTCAGCCTTAGCAGCGTCAACCAAACCAACTTCTTGAGCATAGGTGGTGGTTGGTCTCCACTTGGCAGATCCTCTTGGGTTAGTTTCTTCCATCATTCTGTCAACTTGTTCCAAAGACAAACCCTTGGTTTCTGGAACCAAAAAGTAAGCATAGACAATACAACAAGTACACAAGCCACCCCAGATGAAAAAGACCTTAGCACCCAAGTTACCTTGATCGGTACCAACCATATAAGGAGTGATGACGGTAATGATACAGTTCCAGAACCAGTTGGAAGCAGTGGACAAACCAACACCTCTAGATCTGATTGGCAATGGGAAGATTTCACCAATAACAACCCAGGCACCAGGACCCCAAGTGGAAGCAAAGAAGAAGATATAGATACAGATGAAAGAAATAACTGCCTTCATTGCATTCTTGTCACCTTCCTTGGCGGTACCAACGATAGCAGCAATGAATTCACAAATAGCCATACCAATGGCACCCCAGATTAAAATGGTTCTACGACCGAATCTTTCAATGGTCCAGAAGGATATAGGAGTCGAACAAACGTTGACCAAGGTGGTGATTAAAGAAATCAAGAAAGCATTGGAAATGGTTCCTAATTCTTGGAAGAAGGTAGTACCAAAGTAGAAGATAAAGTTAACACCGGTGAATTGTTGCATCATTTGCAAGGACATACCCAAGATGGTTCTTCTGAGGTTAGAGGAGTTGTTAGTGATGGAACCTTCGAAACAAGCAGCCCAAGAGCTCCAGTAAGAGTCTTGTGGAATCAACTTCTTTTCAATTTCATGGTTAGCAACAATTTCAGCCAATTCATCTTCAATTTGAGGAGACTCTAAAGGTTGATCTCTTAATCTGGCCAAAACTTCCCTAGCCTTGGCAACGTTACCCTTTTTAACAAAAAATCTTGGAGATTCTGGCAAGAAGAATAAACCAATACCTAAGATCAATGCCCACAACAATTGCAAACCAATTGGAATTCTGTACGATGCAGAGGTGTTCAACTTTTCAGTTCCATAGTTGACACAAGAAGCAATTAACAAACCAAGAGTAATACAGAATTGGTAACCAGAGACCAAAGCACCTCTAACCTTTCTTGGGGCAATTTCAGACATATACAAGATAATAATAGCGGAGACAAATCCCACACCAAAACCAGACACCAAACGGCCGGCAACCAACAAACCCAAACTGGAGGAAGCAACTTGCAAAATATCACCAATCATAAAAATAAAACAACCGGCAATAATGGTCAATCTTCTACCATACCAATCAGCCAAGTCACCAGCAATGATGGCACCAAAGAAAGTACCGGCAGACAAAATAGAAGTGATCAACGACTTTCTGGAAGATGGTAAGGACTTTTCAGACTTTGGCTTATCTCTTTGGTCCTTTTGGAAGGTATCAATGAAATATTCCATACCCATGACACCGGAAATATAACCAGAATCGTAACCGAAGAAGATACCACCAAAGGAGGCAAAGGCACACATCATGTAAGCCTTGAAGGTAACGTCAGCTTCGACTCTGTTGGTGTCGGTAGTACCGTGCAATTGCTTGGCGTTATCATTGAGGTCGTCTGATGCAATTTGCATCAAACCTTGATCCTTTACGTCTAAGTCACTTGAAGACATAGTGGGAGTATCTATAACAAGTAGAGTTTAAAATGATGATGATAAAACTGGGTCCAAGGGTATCTGGAATGAAGAGAATTTAATGGCGTATTTATACCTTTACGGCTAAAATATTTTTATAAATGATTACTAAGGTTAAAACTACCATGAATTGTGACTAAGTCAAAGGCAGTCACTTGAAACGGATTTATCCCCACCATCCTCGATTATAGAATATGTGCAAGAATTGAAAAGGATGGGTTACTGCGTTTTATTGTTGTTAGTTAGTCGGATTTATTGTCCGTATGAAGCTGTACCACTTATTAATTTTTTTGGGATGATTGTTTTGAAGCAGGAAAATCCGAACCAGTAGCTCACTGTAACTGTTTTAAAGTCCAACTTATTTCAACTAACATTTTCCTTCATTACTATTGCTTTTTTGACCTACGCGTTCCGATGAACCAAATTGGATAGTAATACTACTACTACCACTATAGCTACTTAGATTATCCTTGCCGTCTAAACTACCTAATGGGTTCACCCTCTGCACCCGCAAAAACCTACTTTTGCGTATAATGCCACAAGCTGAGGACATGGTTTTCCCGGAGAGACTATTGTTCTGCATGTTCCTAAAAGGAGCTTTTTCCGGAGCAAACGCATGGTGCCTTTATGCCGGATACCCCATGGGCAAAGTTGCATAACTTAACAAAGTGTAGGACTGCAGTAATAAGATTGTTAAGTACCGACGTACAACATACCAAAATAGACAGGAACTGTACGGTCTCGTCACCTAGGTAGCCCCAATGCATCACAGAGTACTTGACCAAGTTAAGAAATTTTAATCGAAGCCGTTAGAGATTTCAAATGCACATACGGGTTCCAGCCGGACTAGCTATTACTTTAAGAGTAAGTTGGAGTCGCGACCAGCTTATCCAGACATAAACTGGTCTTTTATTGGCTGATTTAAGAGTGGGGTAATAATATTGTTCGCCTGTCGTCGTCTACTTTAATTAGAGCCTGAGTCTCCTGTTTTTTTCCTTTTTTGAAACGGCACTTCTTTGTAAAATGGAGAAACCCGTTCTTATTCTTAATCTTATTGGAGCGGCGAAAACAATAAAGAAGCTATGGAATTGGATTGTATGTAGGAATCGGAGATGGAATAACAATTCCTCTTTACTTTATATAATCTTTTTTTTTTAGTTTTATTTGCTACTTGTAATACTATTACTCCAGGTTCAAATGGTCTGATACCGATCTAGTTACTCTCAACGCAGTCGATTTACGGTTTCAGTTCCTAAAAGGATAAAGTTACACCACGAGACTTTTGAAGGGGAAAGGTTTTTAATGGTCGGGTGTGTTTCAACCAAAAAGCCGTCCATTATAGTCTAATGTCATATGTTTACTTATTATCTTGGTCTACTTTAACGGGTCGATTATTTGACACACTGAACACTACTAATAGGTCCGATTCCTTCTACTATATTTAAAACACTAGTTGCCTATTATTACTAAGTCTCACTGATATTATTTGTATTCTGAGGTTACCATACAAACCTCATCATAGCATCCTCACTGGGAGTAGTGCACAATAAAATGCACAACGGATTAAGTATGCAAAACACAAAAAGCACCAATATTGACTGGCTCTTGTTATGTTAAAGGTACTGAGCCAAAATAAAATTAAAAAAAAGGAAGCCTTTGTTGTGTCGGAACAACCACATCTATTTGTAGCTTTTTCGTGACGTGGCGGCTGGCTTTAACATACGTACAAGCAGGATATTTAAAGGCCCAATATATGGATAAAATCCTGGTAGGCGTCAATATATCCATACCAACTGATAGGGTTTTTTGTGCTTCACATATGTAAAAAGGTTGAAGAATGAAAATCAATTAAGCTAATGTAGTAGGTCAACATCACGAAGTTGTTCCAGACCAAGAAAATTTTTTCTTTCGATAGGGAAAAACTAACAATAGTTTATGGAAAAATTTAAAAGGTCCAAACAAAGCGCCATTTTTGTCGATTTCACGCCTTCGTGTGTATGCTGCGTAGCAATAATATAACTTCGGAGTATATTACCCCAGCGTGTCTGTGGGGTTCCTTGCGGAGAAATGGAGGTTTTGTGTAGTTTGTTTCAATTGTTCCGTCATTCATAACTGACCCCACCATATTACATTTACACGGTGGCCCGAAGCTATTGTCCTTCCTGGAAAAACTTGACTCTGAATTTGGCGGATAGAATATGTGAGTATCTTTTATTCCCCTCTTGGATTATACTCTTTGATTACATTGGGGGGTTCTTATTTTAAGTTGTGTTTGAATAAAGCCATAATAGCCACTTGTAGCCCTCCAGGAGTAGCCACTCGGACAAAGAGCTATTGATTCCTGGGATTAAAAAAAAAAAAAATACTATACAATTTTGCGCATTTAAATTTTATCCTCTACAAAGCGTTCTATATGCGGGATAATTTATCAATGGTTTGTAGTTCATGAACAATAGATAATTCCTGGGGTTGGTGCATTAAGTCATCGTGATGTAATTAAAGCCATACGCGGACTACATCCTAACTACATTACATTAGGCTAGATTTTGTTTCACGTCCGCTAATTTTTTTAGTTGTGTACTTTGGTTAGTAGAAATCCCTAAAAGCCCCGCACACCGAAGGGCATTATTATCCATGTTATGGGGTTATTCGGAGTAAGGTTGGTGAATCAGCCGGATTTACTATTATGGCACTAAAGTTCCATTCATAAAAAATATAATGTACAGCCGCAAATAATAAGCCATTGACATTAAGGATTATTTAATTGGTGCATGCACACAATTGCACTCTCCATGCTTTTAGTACACTTGATTATGAATCAATGAGATAACACTACGGGGTTAACTCTAAAGAATTATATCCCTCAACTTACGTTACATTGTATTTTCACCATCAAATTAGTTAGCTACATTAATCTACGTATTTGTCTCCGCTGATTCAAGAACCGGATCTCCCCTCTTCGTTCCATGATTGTCAACACCGCATCAAATAACTCTTCGGAATAACCTTTGTTCAGAACAAATTCATTTCTCAAAACACTATGCTTTGCTGTCCAACCTTTAGGGAATCTAGACCCTATTTCACGTTCTAAATCATCCAACCGTTTCATAAACTCTTGATTCCTATAGCCGGTGATCCCTTGGTCCACAGCATCCATAGTGGAAGCAGTAAACAATCTAATTGCTTCTTCAACATCTTCTTCTGTAGCCACTATATCCAATCTCATCTTAGCCAACAGCTCGGTGATACGAATGATGGCCTCCAATTGTCTAACGGTAATTGGAATTGACAGCCGTTCCTTGGAATTCTGTTCATTATAGAGTAACTTTCTCCGAATCCCAACAAAATGTGACGATAATCTTTCCGATGCCTCAGGCGATAGCCTAGGGGCACATCTTAATTTGGTATATTGAACATATTTCTTCAAGAAGTCAAGAGGGATTTCTCCGGATTCCGCTTCGTCTTGATTCTGTTGTTTACCCGTATGAATATTCAACACGTGGTGGGCAATGTTCATATCTCGTTGTTCATTATGGTCATCTTTAACAATAAAGATCATGTCAAATCTGGATAAAATGGTTGTTTGGAAGTCAATGTTCTCACCGGGCGATTTGGTCTCATCGTATCTTCCATAGATTGGATTTGCGGCGGCTAGAACAGACGTACGACTATTCAAGACTGTGGTTATTCCTGCCTTGGCAATAGAAATGGTTTGCTGTTCCATGGCTTCGTGAATGGCAACTCTATCTTCATCTCTCATCTTATCAAATTCATCAATACAAACAACTCCTCCGTCTGCAAGCACCATCGCACCACCTTCCAAATAAAAGTCTCGGGTCTGTGGATCTCTTTGAACAGAAGCTGTTAACCCTGCTGCGGAAGAACCTTTACCTGATGTATAGACCGCAATAGGACTGGCCTTCTCTACAAACTTCAACAACTGCGATTTGGCCGTACCGGGATCACCAAGGAGCAACACATTGATGTCACCTCTTAATCTCATTCCATCGGGCAAAATCTTCTTGGAACCTCCAAATAACAAACATACAATGGACTTCTTGATATCATCGTTACCGTAAATGGAAGGAGCAATGGACTGAGCGAGCTTCTCATACAAGTTGGGGATTCGACTAACTTGTCTGAATTGTTCCTCTTCTTCATCGGTGAAACTAATCCCTTCACCATTCAAACCTTGTTCTAAGTCTGTTTTGATACCCAAGACCTTTAAATAAGGGTTTCGGATCGCAACTGTGTTTCCAACACCTGTGCTAGAACCTGGTTGCTTTTTAGATTGATAAATAGAGTATATCCCCACTACCGTGACCCGTGTACCCGGAACAACTTGGTTTGTCAAGTATCTATCAGCTTGCATAAGGATGTGTCTGGGCATCTCCCCTACAGGTACCATGTCTGGGGACTCTTGTAGCTTCAAAACTTGTTGGTCAATAAAGGTGGACTTATCATGGACAATGACATATGGATCTGGAGGACATTTGTTCCGGTTTTCTAATGCTTCTTCATTCCCTAAACATTTCTTTGGTAAGTTAACTTGACCAAACCCCAGAGATATTTGAAGCCTGGTGGTATGTTTACAGTTTCGGCAAATTAATTGTACCAGGGTTGCTCTTGAGCTCAAGACTGATGTGGATATGATTATACCCGATACACGGACTATCTTAGAAATATGAACGGAATCCAAATCTCTAATCATTGTTCTATTTGCATTGGAACTAAGGATCAATTGGCATTGCGGAATATCATTAGCTAATTTATCCGAAGACAAATAAGCGATTCTTTTGGCAATTTCAGTAATGGCTTTTTCAAATAAGGGAATCATTTCTGCGGGATCATCCGTCAATTTCTTATGCAACTCTTCATTCATAGCAATTAAGTGATCGCTGCTCACTGTTAAATAATAATGGTTGACCAATAAGTTTTCCCTTAATTGATCTCTGTAGATGAACTTCTCATCGAGCCTGAATTCTAACAAGAAGGTCCGGAAAGCCTTGGTGATTTCGTTATGAGTATCATCTGTGGTTTCTCCGGGAAACACAGATGCACTGAACACATCTGGTCTATCATATGACATGGCTAATCTGAATGCTTGGTTAATTGAAGTGCAGCTAAGGAAGACGAAGCTGAAAATTCAGATACATGTAAATATTTTTCCCTTCAAAAAGACGTGCTTCGCGTTGACGTACTCAATTAAACTCAATTAGGAAATCAACTGCCGTACTAATACAGGATAATCCGCGCCCACTCTTGTTTTTGAGTAATATCTATACCATTATAACGTCAATTACATGGTGATAGCCATAGGATTTAATGTTCTGGAGATGAATATCTGTAAGTTCCTTAATATTGCGACCTTCAAGCGATATTTAACGATATCATCAGTTCGATTAGCAATTCCTAAAAAGAACAAGCTTCCCCCGAGACCTACATGGCTAGTTAAAGATGACGAAATAGAAGAAGTGTTTCTTAAGGGTGGAAGAGGACCCGGAGGCCAGAAAATCAATAAGACCAATAGCAAAGTCCAGTTGACTCATATTCCTACTGGGATCGTTGTTCAGTGTCAATTTTCCAGAAGTCAAGAACAGAATAGAAAGAGAGCTCGGGAAATATTAGCTTTGAAATTGGAAGAATTAAATGATCCGGAGAATTGTCGGACTGCCATGATTAGTAAACGAGTATCTATGACTAAAGCAAGCAAACAGAAAAAAAGTAATAGAAAGTATAAGAAGTTGGAACAGGAAAAACTACGAGAGTCTTCACAACAAATCCACGAGGAGATTGACGTTGAGCTAGAGTTAACAAATTTGAAAGTTGATATGGATTATTTGAAAAAGCATCTATAGAATAGCAGCGTGTGGTTTTTCCGTTGTTTCTATTTCTACGATTTGAATTGATTCGAAACGTTACCTTTTTAATTAATCCGCTAGAAAGAAAAAGTTATTTTTATAACTGGTGATTGAAACAGATAATCCGTATTATATTGAAAACCTTATTGCGATATATATAATTAATCCGTACTTCCCCGTGTAATTTAATCCTATACGATACGTATTATTGTTCCGTATTCTTTCATATATACACTGTTCCCCATACTATTCACTAAAACTGCATATCACATAACCAAAATAAACCATCCACCCCCTCTAGTTACTCCGTAATATCATCAATGGTTAACATAGAAGTTGCTCTAGCTGTAACTGGAGGATTATTTGCTCTATTCATTATCCTTGCAGCCGCAACTAGTGGCTACCTATATTTTTGGTGTGACTTCCAGTTGCAAAATGATACGTCAACTTTTGAGCTCAACCAAGTCATCATCAAATCAAAGCCATGGTGGAGACGTAAACGATCGCCACAAGTTGACTTGGAGAAAGCTGAAGGTCATCCAGCAACCATTGGTAATCCAGCTGCAGCACTAGTTGATGATGATAATGGTATGCTTCTTGTGACCCTATCCACTGATACAGTCAATCAGACTACTAAGCCTTTGGAAGATCTACACAAGATGTTAGCAACTTTTGATACCAGTACCGATGGTCTTCTAGAAGTGACGCTTTCAAGTAGTAGAAGGCCCTCCAATACCATTCAATCAATTGAAATCAACAAAGACACGTCTCGAACCTATCACCAGACCATAGTGGTGATCCCATCGTTGATATCAAGGCAATATATTACTGACCAATATGATACGTTCTCCAAGACGGTAATACTCCAATCGATGATCGAAGACTCATTAAACCCGAAGACTGTGGTGTTCAGAAAGGTCAGAGATCCTTATCTGGATGCGCTCATTGCCATTGGAGGGTTGGTGGTGGTAGCTAAACCTTTTCATGGCAAAAATGAATTTGATTTCCATCATTTGCTGCCAGGAGACTTGCTTAGAGTTGTTAAATTTTATGTTCGAGATGATCCATTGGATATCACCAAGTCTCTTCTTCTAAAAAAGGGGGAAGAAGAAGAAAAAGTGGATGAATCATCGAATGAAACACTTCGATCCCCAGCTCTAGAAAATCCAATGATGCGTCCTCCACCATTCATTGATAGGAGTGATGCAAACTATCCAAACATATATTGTTCTGGTATAAAGCTTGAAACATTCTTGGAATACGATGACAACAATAAATCCATTAAATTGAAGCTTGCAAATACCCCACAAGTTGATCCGGAGACTTTAAGGGATTTTCCCTTAAGTATCGTAACTTTGGAAACTACCATACTCGAGCAATGCGAGTGAATAGTTTAGTTCAAGTCCTTTCAGTATCGTATTTCTTCCAATTCTGAAGGGTTTTCAACGAATCTTGCCAATATTTTGTTATCTTGTCAAGTTCTGTTTTCAAATTAGCATTCTCTCTTGAAAGATGCAGTCGGTCATTCTGCCCATTGATATCCTGCAATATCTTTGATAGAATATGGTATTGGTGGTATACATTATTGGTCAATTGTTTAACAGCAAGATCAAAGGGTTCTTCTTTGGAATAATAGCTATCCACTTCATCTTGTTTGATATTATAGAAGACCTCTAAATCCAAGATCTTTGTTGGTTTCGGTAGTCTGATTTGGGAGTGGTTCTTCCCTCTAATTCCAGTTAGTGAATGGTTCAAATCAGAAGTATAATCATTCAAAAGTGAGATGAATTTGATGAAACGGTAATTTTCTGTTGTCATTGATTGGATCAAGTTGGTTAAGTTATCCACTATTTCGCCATATTCTTCTGTTAATATCTGCTTTATATCTATGTTGTTGTTGAATTGAGATTCATGTTCATATTCGTGTTCTTGTTCATCAGACGGTATGTTAGCATTGTTGTTCAATACAATGTTTGAATTGATTTCATCATTCGCCGTGGATCGACCTCCCAATGTCGTCGTCGTCGTCAATGGGATACCATAAGTGAGTGTGGAAGAAAGATTACGCTTATCAATAAGTTGAGTCTTTAAGTTATTGATTTGAATGGCTGATCTCTTAAGTTCAACCTCGTGCATTTGACTTTGATTCTTACTATGGGTTCTAAGTTTGGTGATCTCTGCCTTTTGGAACTTATTCTCTTGGTTCAAAGTTTTGATCTTGCTCTTCAATTCAACCTGGTTGAAATTGGACTGTTCATTCAATTTTGTCTCAGTTGAACTCAATTGATGATTCAACGATTCAACTTTGGCTTTCAACCTGTCAATGACTTGGTCTTTCAGTTGAAGTTCTTTGGCCATGAGTCTTCTTTGTCGTCTGCCTCGTTCCACCGATTTCAAAAGTGAATATATGATGTTGATGGTGTTCTTGTCGTTGTCGAACACGGCCAAAGATGAACTGGCATCATCATCGTCTTCTTCTATCAATTGGTCATGATCAATAGTGAGAAACTTCAAGTCGGTATCAAGATACTTTTGGATCTTAAGCTCTTTATTGATCAACTCTGCTGCTGTCCGTATCACAGACACGTCTCTTGTTGTCTCCTCATTCATTGTAGTTGAGCGACGGCTTCTATTGAGTAACTGCTGTATTTGTGGCTGCACTTTCTTGTTTTGATTTTCCAACGCGATTATCAACGGTATACCCTTGGAATCACTATCACTGTCAACTATGGTCAGTGTCTACTATCGTCAGTGGCTACTGTCGCCTACTATCAATGTCTAAGGCTGTCCTACCCAGTACGAATATATGATGTATATTATATATGCTTAATAAAGAAAGAGGAAACTCATGAGAACATAATAAATAACAATAAAGAATGATAAGAGTCCACTTCAAGTATATCGTAATCCCTTACATGTTCTTAATCTTATGCCATAATCAAGCAACTTAACCTATCTTAGCTTAGCTTATGTTGGCTCAAGTGAGCTTAGGTTGGCTTAAGTTTACCTGACTTGACTCAACTTAATGGTGGTTTTCTTCAGCTTCTTCAAAAACAAACCAGTCCTCATTGGCTTCAGAAGCAGCAGCTTGGGAAACAGAAGCAGTTTCCACTTCAGAGGCTTCATAAGCACTGATGGCTTCAGGTGCAACCTCGGTTTCAGGAACAACTGGCTTGGCTGGTAATTGGAAGGATTTAACTGCAGCTGCCAAGTCCTTGGCTGATAATGGAGTAGGCTTGAACTCCTTGATACTTTGAATGTACAAGTCACTAACCAAGCTTGATCTTCTTGGTGTCACGGACAAATATCTTCTGGAAGAAATCTTCTAATAATTATTCTCGTTAGTACATGTTTCAATATCCTCAATTGGATCAGATGCTGATACTTACAATTGCTTGTCTGAACATCTTTCTTTTCTTTGATCTTCAAGGATACTACTTGGAGCCAGTAGATACTGTGGTGGTTCACTTGGTTGATAAATTTTTTCGTTAACGAAATTCGATTCGATTTGCTTTTGTGTATAGTTTCGAGAGCGCATTCTGTAATGTGATTGGTGGATATGTGGTCACGTGACCATCGTAAAGTAAATGTTAGCTATCTGTTCATATTAGTTGAGAATTCTAGTTAGAACGTTGAAGCATCTATATGCATATATCTTTTGATATCTTATTGAGTGGTGTCAGCGTTTCAAGCTTCGTGCTCAATCAGATAAATCCACTAAATGTATGTCGTCACATCTACTTCTGACATCGCGACTTTTTGATTTTCTCCGACATTAATGGCTCATCTTAGTTCACGGAAGCTGGTCTTAAGATACGGAAGCTGCTTCTTGTATAGTGAAGCTGCTCACTATAAATCACTATCTTAACTGATGCCGAAGTACTATTGCGACTACTGTAAGTCGTATTTGACTCACGACACAATGAGTGTGCGGAAGTCTCATTTGATGGGGAAGAACCATATCAAATACTATTGCAATTACTATGAACTGAAGGCAAAGGAAACTGGTATATGGGCAAGACCAGATAAGACCTTCCTGCTGTCATCTTATGTACCATATACTACCAATGAGCCTGGCTCGGATAAAAGGATCGAAGCTCTTTTAGAATCTATCAAACGAGATCAAGAGCAATATGCGAAAAGAACTCCTGATGGACCATCAGATGAGGAAGACCAATTCCTACAAGAACTTGCTACTGTTCGACCTCCTCCCCCTCCTCCAACAATTGAAGGTTTCCCCAAGCCTCCACCTTCGGTGCTTCGGATAAAAGGAGATCATCATCTACGCTCATCTTTCAACAAACGGAGCTTATAATGGAGAGGGTTCAGAGCTGGTCTCGGATTAATTATGTACTATAACAATAATAGAATTAATTACAATATAGTTTGGATGTGTATTTGGAAAAGTAACTATATAAAACATAGATCAGTTGAAGGAAAAGGATGGTTCATCTTTGTAGAACACGTATGCTTCAGGTCCACGTATCAATGTGATCCGATCGGGGTTGGACTTTGGTCTTTTTCTATTGGGTTATAATGGTAGTATATGGACTTAAGCAAACACGTTCTTGACAAAATGATGAAAAGTATTTTGATGTTTGTGAAGAATCTAAAAAAGCTTACAAATCAGCATCATCTTCATCAGGCAATGGCAAAGCAGTAGCTTGTTCCATTTCCTGTTGATACTTTTGCATCAATTCATGATCAACAGTAACTTCTGGAGGAGCCAAAGCTGGGGTTTCAACAAATTCCAAAGATGGGTTACCAACCAACTTTCTAGCCAACCACAAGAATGGCTTTTCAAAGTTGTAGTTAGACTTGGCGGAGATATCGTAATATTGCAAGTTCTTCTTTCTGTGGAATGTAATGGTCTTAGCCTTAACCTTTCTTTCCTTAACATCAACCTTGTTACCACACAAGACAATAGGAATGTTTTCACAGACTCTAACCAAATCTCTGTGCCAGTTTGGAACATTCTTGTAAGTAATTCTGGAAGTAACATCAAACATGATAATACCACAGTCTCCATTGATGTAGTAACCATCTCTTAAACCACCAAACTTCTCTTGACCAGCAGTATCCCAGACATCAAACTTGATTTCACCAAAGTTAGTGTGGAATACCAATGGATGAACTTCAACACCCAAAGTAGCAATGTACTTCTTTTCAAATTCACCTGTTAAATGTCTCTTGACAAAAGTGGTCTTACCGGTACCACCGTCACCGACTAAAACTAACTTGAAGGTAGCAACTTGAGCCATCGTGTATATAAGTCGTCTATGTGATTGATTAATTGACTGACAGTTAGTCCACTAAATCAAAAGGAAAGAAGGATCAAGGAGATTTCCTTTTGTTTACTTGAGAAGAGTTGAAATTTTTTCAACGATGATTTATGTCAAGGAATTCTATTCGCATAAGCATGTTTGCGACATAGATTTCCTTATTGGGAAAAATCGATGGTTGGACTCTTTTTCTCTATGCTTAACAGTTGCTTGATGTATTTTCAGGTATTACACGTATAAATGCCCTGGTGCTGGGTTTCTTTATATGTGTGGAAATAAAGAGTTACATCAAATTTAGTTTGGAAAGTTGAGTATGAAACTAAATTTGAGAGTTGGAATGTACAGTTGCGACAAATGCTTTGGAAAAAGGTATGAATAAACGGCAGTAATCGCTTATGCTTATATATACGTATACTAACTATATGTGAACATATTTGTATTTCGTAAATTAGGTGTATACTTTTGGCGAGACAGAAGTATTGCCACCAGACATTCAGTAAGAATGTGCCCTTAAAGCGCGGAAACAAGTGGAAAGGAAGACAGAAATTGCACCACTAAAAGCAGACTAACTATTACTTCGCTACATGTGTGAATAACGAGCATCTTATTCTTATTTAACTTAGATTTTTTAGTTACTCTAATGTAACCATCTCCATCTATAAAACCTATGAATTTTAATAATAAATTTATTTATAATAATAGGTTTATATGGTGCAGCTAATAAAGATAAAGCAGCTGATTATGTTTTAATATATACATTATTTTCTTCATTATTTATGAATACTTTTAAAATATTATCTAAATTTGCATTCTATTTATTTGTATTTAACTTCTTCTTATTAATGAATTTAGGTCAATTACTTAAAAAGATAATATATATATTATTCATATAGAATATACTTCGCTATATATTGTCCTTAATTTATAAGGAGTTTTATATAATTCACCTTATTTTTCATTATATTTTACAATATAAGGCCGCTCATTTTATTGTATATATTAATGTTTCAAAAAAATCGGTCGCTACTAGTTTCCTGATTGTGGAAATAACTTTGCGACAGTTCCTTATTTGTGCTGCATTACAAGCAGCATAAAATACGAACGAAGGGTTTAAATATGCAGCAATAAAACTTCATCGACTCAGAAGCGCAATTCAACTTAACTAGCTTTGGAAATCAGAACAGCAACGAAAAATGTCTGGTGTTTTCGAACTTCAGACACGAACTTTTGTTTTAGATGGAACAGATCTTGACGAAATAAAGGATTCGTGTTCGTGCAGTAGAAGAGAACAGTACTATACATTGTATGTTTAACAGTCGTAGAATATCGAAGCTATTGTGCTTGGACTGTCAGCAAGTCGTAGCTCCAAGAAATAATACTATAAATTTAACACGCTGATGATGCCAGAAAAGTAGGTACTCTGAACAATAAAAAATGGAAAATACAACGACAAGATGATCGGCAACAATAAGAACCAGTCAAGCACTTTATTATAGGGCATACCAACAGGATAATGATTGTTGAGAGTGTTTTACTATGAACTTAAAAATTATTGATTTAGGGTTATGTTTCAAGTCGTCCTACTACTTTAATGATTGTCAATTTTACTCTACAGGTAACCTCTAGTGGCTGAAAGTAGTAATGCAGGGCGTTTCAATCCCGTTTAAAGATAACTGCATTTTGGTACCATCGGATACCGTTGACGAACAAGAAACCAGCCACCTCACAATAAAAAATCGGCTTAGGATAGCTTTCGACACAAGTTCGGTACGAACGTCTCAACCACATAATGGGCCTAGCCTTTGATAATAAGATCCCAGTACGTTATAACCTGATCAAAATGCACGCTTGAACTCTGAGACAGTTGATCTCTGGAACGAATTAATGAATTGGCTTAAAGACCCTTCAGGACTTTGATTTGTATGGAATCAAAAAATGGAACTCAATATACGCACTATGTACAAACGGATACCATTAGCCATTGGCTACCTTTGACGTGTTAACCTGGTAAGCGTAAAACAAGAATGCCACTTCAAGATACCTTCATATTAAAGCGCAAAAAGCCTGAACGGCCAACAAAAACTTATTCAATAAGGTTGACCTTAATTATTACGGAGAAGTTGAATTCATAGGTCTCCAAATGAGTCTATTTATAGTTATTCTATACTTGTCCTTCATTCAAGTTTTCTAATGCCTTGGTGGTACTCTCCGACCATGCTTCAAACTTCAGACATGTTTATTGTGACTGCATAAAAATAGACACGCATCAATGATTGAGCAAGGTGCATCTAGCTGCAGCCTGTCGATCTCATTCATAGACTAGGTACCCTATCAAATATTGATTGCCTGGAATACAAGATCAGATTTCTGGAGGCTCATAGCTTACATATTAACTATTGTGTAAGTAGGCAAGTAAGTAAGTAGGTAAGTAATTAGGTTTGGCGCATCGTAATTTACGTCAGACTGTTTTCGGAGTCACTCAACAAAGCCGTGTTGTTTTGAAACAGTACATAGCGGCTGTCTGGATTTGTTTCTTTAGTGCGCACGACATTTTTTAGGAAAAAAGTAGTATTGTTTCATGCTAAAGAACAATCACGCGTTATTATGAGAGGCCCCCCTTACTAAGAATAAATCAAGATTCTTCACGTAAGAAGATATTTCCACTAAATAGCAGGGCACTCTGTAAATTCTGCTGCAAAAGGACTGAGTATTAAATTTGCTGACGTTCATATTACCACGCTGACGGCGTTTTAGCTTGGTTTCCAGTAGAAAGCTATCGTAATCATATTATGTGTCAAAGACCAGCTCATTTGACGTTACATCAAATATGTAAGCGGAAACCTTGAAACTTAACGGGCTCTTCATTTGCCCCTTTGAGACGCAGTTGAATAATTATAAGCAAGGAACTTCTTACCAGCATCGGTTGTTTGATGAAAAATCTCTGAACTTTCAAGTGTCTGAAAAGCAGTTCGTAAAAATACCACAAAACGTTTTTGAAGAGGAGAGGGATGATAATAGTGTACTATTATTTTGGTGCCGACTCTTGACCTCCTTAATAAAAATAATACACAATTCATCGTATACCGATTATTGTTCAGGATCCCATTTGTTAGCGGATATTCCTATTGTACTGCTTGCTATCTCAAATCTTTTAACTTTCTTTCGTCCTGGTTTAATTTTAACCCTCCCCCAATTCACGGAAATTGTCTGCGCAAACTCCTCTCGTATAGTGTAAAAAAGAATACCCCACTACCAAGCGAGGCTCCAAACCCAACTACAGGAATTCTTTATAAACTACTGAAAAGTTTCAAGAACTAAACTACGAGCTCGTGCCCCCATCAGCTCACCTGAAAGAAGCAATCAAGATAGTAAAGACATGGAAACCCACCATAGCAATCGTAAATTCTAATTTTTTATTATTTTTTGTCTTATTTTTTATTTGCCTCCACTAGTTATAATTTTATTATTATTGGGTTCCTGTATGGTAGTGCATTTTCTTATCTTTGTATCCGTAAATTAATTTTTTTAGGGTGAATGTGTCCACTACACTTCAAGACACTCATGTCTGGAAGGTTGTGTGCATTTTCTGTCTCGTTTTGGATATGTTCTCTAACAGACACCATTTCGGGATTTCACTCCATACCCAAACGTACAAAGCACAGTTTTCTTTTTATTGCTCTTATTTTTATATATAATTTTGTTCTCTTCGTTCTGATTTCAACATCCTACCTCCACGCCTCCCTCAAACGGCCTACATCACTTCATTTCGCTGCATACATACATAGAGTTGTCAGTCAGTCAGTCTATTAAGCTTCTCTCTTCTACACGTGCACTTGTCTGCCTGACTGAGTCTGAAGAAAACCAGCTGCGTCACGACATCAAGCAGAAGCCGCTTTACGCATTGGCTCGGACTACACAAGCGGGAAGCAACCGATCAATTGTCAAAAAAGACAACCTACTATAAATAAACATTGCGTCGGAAAAGTCATCAGTACCTTTGAAAATAGCTTGGAAGGACGTGCCAGAGAGTTTCAAGAGTCATATCATGGATAACTCTAATAGTCTGAATAGTAAAAATAAGGGAATGACTCCTAAATTGTCTTCATATCCAACAACAGTGGGCACTACCATCGTTAGCACTAGACCTGGGAATGGGAATGGGAAACCAAAAAATACCACCACCATATCAGCAGCACCTACACCAACAACAGAAACCGACGCCAGGAAACCTTCTTCCTCTGGCTCGCTGCGATTAAATGCAGACTTTATAAAACGGTCGTTGATTCCTATGATTTCCACTACTCGAGTAAATAATAAAGATAGAGACCGTGACAGACCTCGAACTGATCAAACGATGACTACAAAGGCGTCCAAAACCTCTTCTTCAGCAAAACTGTCGACTAGATCGACACCAGAAGACTCCCAACCCCAAAAGAATATAACGGAACTATCCAAACGACAAGCGAAAAGATCTACGCACATTCGAAGTAAATCGAACATTGAAACAGGCAGCGAACCTGCTGCGTCGACCGAACAACCAACAAAATCCGCATCGACATCTAAGTCGACCCCCACGTCGACATCGACAACTTCAAGAACGGTTATTTTCAAGAACATGAACGATTCAATCCTGATCCACGAGTTCCTTAACGCTATAGACTTTGGACCAATCGAATGCTGTCGAATTCTACGTAAACGTCAAGCCCTGAAAGATCCCACCACGACCAAGAAGATACCGTTAAACATATGCAATCTTGCGTTTGTATCTCCGTACGTCGCTAGTGCCTTTATGAAAACGTATCTGGCCCCAAGCAAGCTTAACCATTTAAAACACATACTAAAGGACTCCCAGCAATTGGAGGTATTCTTATTCAATCTGACCACCATGTCCAAAGACTCTATCAGTGGCAAGTTTTTATCGCTGGACGCCTTAAAACCAAAAGTATTGGAGTACATCAACGAATACAACGCCACCAGATGCATTCACGTGTCTATCAAGGCCGTTTCCCTGTTCCCTCGGGAAGAAATCATTCGGGAATTTAAGTTGAAGTCTACCCCGTTTGGCGATTTCGACGATTTCACTGTCCTTAATGAGCAATACATAAAAGACAACGATAAAGTGCTAAACTTGGAGTTTAGAATTCATTATACGTCAATAGATTCTGCTATCAGGGCATTCGATTATTATTGCTTGCGTATTGAAGGGAATGGTGGAACCATTGCAGACACTCCAATAGGTCAAACTGTGTATGCACTTAATGTTACGTTTGGGTCTGACCGTTGTGATCGAAGATCAAATATAGATGCCAAGAACGCGCCAATGGCTTCTACAACGACTGCTGCTACCACCTCACAATTTCCCTTGCATGATGACGATTCAGTGTTTGAGTCTGATCTTAGTCCCATTCAGCTGAAAGAGTCCTCTTCCCATAAGGCCACACAGGTTAGAGAAAGTCCTCCGACGTCTGCATCAGGGTCGATATCAACAACAACGGGCCACGGTTTGACGAAAAGAGAGATGAGTAAGACCACTCGCAGCAAGGAAAGAATGGAAGATGAAAGCGACGACCATGAAGCTAGCACAACAGAAAGTCAGCCTTTAGAGAACAATCTTATCTCAAACGACTCCAACATAGCTTTACTCCAAGGCAATGACATGCCTAAAAGCTTTGCCAACTCAGATGCTGACTTGGACGATGTCGATATTGAGGACATCTCCACGCCCACGTCCAATATCGAATTAGAATCTTCGTTCTCGAAACTCCTTATTGGTAGAAACGGAAGGAACTCGTCATCATCGTCTTCTTTGTCGAACGATCCATACATTTCTCGCATCCAAAATAATGCTCATCCCCAAGCATTTGAGAATCCTAATACGTTTGGAAACTCATATCTTCCTCCATTTCAAAACCAATTCAACAACTCCAGATCTCGATCTTTTTCTGTCAGTTCAGAGAGAATCAATAATTTATCATATTCTCGTTCAGACAATTCTGCAGTTGCAGCTGCGGCTGCAGCTGCACACGCTGCAGCCGCACAAGCACAAGCTGCTGCGTTGGCAGCAGTTGCTGCAGCATCTTCATCCACATCTCAAGCTCAAAAGAATGAATTGGCTGCGCTTGCGAGCTCACTTAATAATAGTGCCAATTTGAATTACGAAGCCATAGTTGCCCTTGCCGAACGTAACAACTCCATGAGTTCTCTAGAAAGTTATAATGGACAAAATAGAACCATTTATTTGGGGAAGTTACATCCTCGAACCACAGTGGAAGAAATCGCTAATAACGTTAGAGCTGGTGGACTTGTGGAATCCATTCACTATGTACGAGACCATGATAATTGCTTCATTAAGTTTATTGATCCAAATGTGGCTCTTGCGTTCCATGCCAGTCATCAATATTTGCATAGACTAATCATCCACGGCACAGAAGTAGTTGTTGGCTGGGCCAGGAACCATTCGGGCCCTGTTTCCCGATCTGTGATGACTGCCGTTGCCAATGGAGCTTCGAGGAATGTTTATTTGGGAGTTCGCTACAAAGAGAATGAGAGATTGGTCGACAATAATAATGACGGTTCCACCCCCTCCAACTCCACGTCCACTGGCTCAGGAACTGTTGTGGAACTTCCTGGAATCGATGAGTTACGCTATGACTTTATGAAGTTTGGAGAAATGGAACAAATTAATTACTATCACAATGGTTCATGTGTGTTTTTGAACTTTCTCAATATAGCCGATGCCATTCGAGTTGTTAAGCTCTTTGACACTGAAAACGAGGCCAAATTAAGCAACGACTACAGACACTTTTATAACAAGTACAAGTACTTCAAGATCAGCTTCGGTAAGGATCGATGTGCCAACCCCCCCAAGTTTTATTTTAAACGGGAGCCTCAAGAGGTTGTTCATATGGAGAATGGCGGTCTTTACTCCAAGACCCCTAAAGCTCAGAAGGATGTTTATACCAAGGTTTATCAGAACGGTAATGCCCCCAATAGGAGTACTAATAACGGCAAGGAATATATGACAACTTTCACGCCCTGCAAGAAGAAGAGAAGAGGAACGACGTCTTCTCCTACGGACGACTTCAACGAAGATATCATCAACGAGGAGGCAGCGATGGTGTTTGGCATCATTCAAAGTGATAAGCGAAGAGAAGAAGAGTTGGCCCGAGAAGTGGAACGTCAAAGACTCTTGCAAGAGGATGAAACCACGCAGGAAGACACCGTCAAGGACGATAAGCTGGAAGGACCAGTTGACGATACCAGTTTCTTTGATGATGAATACGACTACAGTGAAGGCATCAGATACGTTGATGTACTTGATGTGGAGAAGGAGATGGAAAGTGCCTTAGAAATTAATACCATTGAAGAGCTTGATGAAGACAAGACTATGGAGGAAGCTGATAAAGACGTTGAGGATGCGGATGAAGAAGACGACGAAGACGAGGACGATGACGAAGACGATGACGATGACGTTTCTATTATCATCAGCTCAGCAGATAGTTCCATGATACAAGACAGACCGAACTCGAATACCCCATCGTATGGAAGCCGTCCTTCTTACAACCATTCTTATAGTGCACCCAATGTTAATGGTAACATTCCTGAGAAGAAGAACGACTACTACAATAATAATAATAATAATAATACGGGATACCAGAGGAAAAGCAGATACTCAAAGCATGGCAATAACAAGCTGTTTAGAAGAAACTATTCAGTCAATTCCTTTGATGGATATCATTGCAAGACTTCTTCAAGAAACCATTCCGCCACTTCACTTCCTGGTAACTTTGGAATTGGCAGTGTTCCTCCTTCACCATATATGAACCCTCAGAACCACATGTATTACGTTGCAGCCACCAATCCTGGACTTCACATGGGGGTTCCTTCGCCCTACATGCCGTATGGTTCAGTTTTTATGCCACCACCGATGAACTTTGAATGGTATTCCAATGGCCACGGGAATGAAGACAGCAGAAATCTGAATGGATACCATCAGGAACCAGGAGGAGAAGATGGTGAAGATAAAGAAAATGGAGAAGAAGGCTTGAGGACCATTAATGACGGCTTTGAAGCCAATGGTAATGGTAATGGTCATGTTGGTACTGGGTACCCAATGCATCCACCAGCGTATTCGTATGGATACCTACCTGAAGCGTATGCCAACACTCCCGGGTCACAAGTGATGATGGAGTATTTGGCCAAGGTTCAACAGCAGAACCATTCCACCGGCGAAGAAGATGACTATATGAGTTTCTATCTGAAGTTTGCCAATAAAGAGAGTGATAAATAGAACGACATGTTTATATTGCATTATATTATACTGTATTTTTATGTTATATTATATTATATTATATTATATTGCATTACATCGCATTACGTTGCATTGCATTACATGTCATTATTTTATATTGCAATAACTTACATTATGCTGTACTTTACTCATTGAAAAATAGAGTTGCCAAAGTACCAGCTATAGACAAGGTTATACTGACCCCAACCCCCAAATACAACAAGAGTTTGGTCGTGACGGAAATCTCGTGACGACATAAGCTTATGTAAAACATCAATGGTAACGTCACACAGATTGTGAAGCAGATCGCACTTCCAAGAAACGATATAACCTTCCCAAAGGAATTCAATTGGTACAGTAATAAAAAGACCAAGAAATGGAACAACACCCGTGCACCAACCAGCGTAAAGTTATTGTTTGTATGAACTTTCTCCTTTAATAAAGCAGTTTCGTAGACGGAGATAAGCGGCCTGGCAATAAGTGGTAACTTGGATATGGCTAGTAACACCATTATCACCGCTATGACGGGGTTTAACCAATTAGGATACAACTGCTCGTTTATCATAAGACTCTTGGTGATGGAATCTTCACATTTAGCCCCAAACATCAAGTATCCGATGATAGCAATCAAGTAGTCTACATTGAACGACGTCAAGAACGTAATGTTGCTGCACTTGCTGAACTTCTTGGGGTGTCTCATGTCTCTATACAACTCAGGGAACACAGGGTGTCCACCCCAGGGAGCCATAAAGATCCCAAACGCCAAAATGACATGCTGGAAGCCCATTGGCCACATAGACGTCTGCATTGGGTTCCAAAGAGACCCTGGTTGATGATCTTGGTTCCATAAGCCACAAAAAATCACCAAGATCACCAACCCAATGGTGGAAAGGATCCCCATTAAGCTTAGTCTGGCCAAGATGGTCAAAGGTAAGAATGTTAGTACACAATTAACTGCCACGACTCCTGCCTTGAAAACACCGGTGGGTACTGAAGGTATAAGAATGTTGAATGACTCAGCACACAACATAATCAAGCTCACCATAGCCATGGTCAAATCTATAGAGAAAATGGCAGTAACAAGCATCTGAATGCCGTGACCACCAAATTCTCTGGCAATGTCTCCATAGGTATTTAAGTGAGGTCTTCTCTTTAAGATATGACACAACAATTTAGCACTGAAATTGGTACTCAGAGCAGAAGCTGCTAAGATAAGCGTACCCACTACCCAACCAGTTAATTTGAACCCAAAGGGGAGCGTCAACATTCCAATGCCCATGAGAGTATTAATAGAGTTGAAAATCGTTTGCGGGCCGGTGGAGTCACCGGTGATGTAAATTGTAACGGTTGAGGTTCTTCGACTGCGTGTGGGAAGTAAGCCTGTAAGTTCACTCACAGCTGCAGCTGCAGCTGCAGCATCTTGCATATCTGGCTGCTTTGATCTCGGGGAATAACATTCACTGTCAATTGCATGATCTCCAGTGCTAGAATAGTTGGGTTGAAGAAAATGCTCCGATCCAGCTTCAAGATATACTTGTGCTGGCGGGCTTAAGCCTGACCGTACATCGTCTGTTGAGCTTCCTCTTGATGAAGTCGTAGATAACACTTCTTCTTCGATATCGTGATCATTGGCTAATCCCGAGTCCAGTAGTAGCGTCAGGGCTGCTATAGATTGAGCTCTGGTGTACGAAGAAGCAAATTTGCTTAAGGAATTGGCTCCTCCTATATCCAATAGTGATGTTCTTCGGTTACTAGTGCCAGTAGGTACACCTGTGAATGATTCATACGACGACATTTGAATGTGATGTCGGATTAGTTCGGATCTAGGAATTGTGAGGACTCCGCGAGGACTTCTTTAAAATCCTCAAAGCTCACTGTACCAGTCTAAAACTATACTTAAAAGCACCTTATGAGAGTGTTTCTATATTTAATGCTTTGATAAGGATGTAATGATCACCCTTCCCTTGAATTAGTGCACTTTTTTTTTCATTCTCCACTTAGGTGTTTCGCGCTACCAAATCTAAGCATTTTCGTGTGCATGCCGTATAAGCATCGCGCATCAATCTAGTTTCTATGCGTATTATTTTGTTATTAAGCGAAAAGAAGTATGCTTCTCAGGTTCGACGACATTTTTGTATACAGGATGATAATGTGCTGCAAAATGTCCTCTTAAACATTTGACATACCCATAGGTAGTCAGTGCCGATATGTGACTCAACTCCAATAAATAGCTATCACTTTTTAAATAAGCCAATAGATATACTACCTTTTATATAATAATACTATTTAAGGGTTAAAGAAAAATTTCAGAACTCCACATATATATAAACTGTTGTTTAGGAAGTCATTATAAATGTCGCAATAATATTATGGTCCCATTGTAGTCCAATGTAATCCACAGATTATAAATATATTAATCCCTAAATTATGAATAAATTAGTAGCAGCAACAAAGCTGTACCAAATATTACTATTGGTCAAGCCCAGCTATAGAGGGAAGCATTTGAAATTTAAAAATATCACATCTTTCTAGAATTAGCTGTAAGAATCCTTTTATCCGAACTCAAACTGTAAATTAAAAGCAATTAACTAAAACTTCAAGCAAATATTTCAACCTTAAAGAACTATTTTGATATTTCCGACAAGAGGGTGCAGCAATAAAAGCGTCGTGGTTATACCCGCATGCTGAAACTTCCTTAAACTTCTTTGGCATCAACACATCCCCAAGCACTGCAGTCTGCTCCATCTACCCAATTAGCACGCTTATGCGTTGGTTCCCACATGCAACTCTGAATTCGTAACCGTTCTAGAAACAGAAATTGTCATTATCTTTCCCTGTCATATCTGACCCTAGTCTGGGAATTCTTACATCTGGAGCAGGAGTTTCTGTATCAAGAGAAGGCAAATTCTCTTTACCCACGGAATAGTTAGAAACTTTCTAATTGAAATGCTCGATACGAGTAAGTTAGGGATATTTGGAAATGTGTATGTGAATAGGTGTGTACATGACTTTCCGTTTTTATAGTATAACACAAGCACTGATATAATTGGACAAGAGCTGCGGCACTAACACGGTAACCCACGGTCTTGGAGAACTGTTTATGTGGATTTAAAAGAATTTTTGCAGATATGAAGTATCATCTGCAAGTGAAGTTGTGACAATCTTTTAAGTAGATCTCGAAAACGCCTCTTAGAGATGAAACTAAGCATCAATACAATGAACCCTATACGTAAATGGCGTCTATACATTAATGGGTTGAGTTTACGCGGAGTAATGCTTTGCCCAAATATTTCACATTCTTCCTTATACGGGGTATGACGACTGGCACATGGACTTGCATCAAGAGACAGCAGTTTGCAGCAATTGCAAAGACCTGTGCACACAAAGCCGCAGCACAATGGAGATCAAAGGTACGCAAAAATACGGGCAAAGTGAATAAACCCACAAGAACAAGTAGATCACAGCTTCCGTGGCTGAGGTTCGGTGCCTGTAGATTAGTCTGATTCATTTTTAGACCTGATCACGTAGGGCACAAATCAATTGTTTGCGTGCAAAGGGGGTTAGCATCAAGAAACTCTAGCATCTGGTGGTTCTCAAGACGGAAGTTATAGCACACCGTGGTTTACCTTCTTCAGAAGAATGTACATGATCCGCTTCTAAGCTGATATCGGAAGTTTCCTAATTATCTAATGGTAAGTGGATGCAAGATTATCCGTGGCTAGCACCAATAAGGAATTTTAGTATGTTATGCTAACAAACGCATGTAGCATTCTAGACCAAACAAGTAAATGCAAAAAGCTCATTTAAGGTTGAGTTTACTAATAGTGGTATTTGACTGTTATAATTGATAACTTTATTTTACTCACTTTCAGTCAACTATAATCACTTGAAATTACCTCCTTTATAAATATACAATAATTGTTTATATAAGATCAAAAGTTGTTGGTTAAATTGTGTTCATGAACTTTTGACCTTTCACACCTCGTTATTTATTTAGAACTTTTATTACTATTACTATTATTATCCACACAGTAATGTTTTATTCACCCGTTTTCCCTCATACTAAAGAAGAGCACTTGACAATGGCATACAACCCAGCAGAACAGGGCTCCCTACAGCGAGATGCAAAGGAGATGGAATTGGAGGACGATCAATATGTCATAATTAACAGAGGCTCGAACCCAAAGCATCATCTGCATGTTTGGTCACCTTCTTTTGGTTCTGGTTCCCAAGTCCAATCAAAGGGTGCTTCTCCTATGAAATATAGCGCAAGCAACTCAACAATCATTATACCTACTAGCTATCAGTTTCCACAGGAGTCCGTTAATACTAAAGACGGATACTATTCAGGAGAATGCTTAACACTGCATCCAGAAGAGTTGTATTGTTTTCCCAGAGGTCCAAACAAACACCTTAATGTTGGTAATGATGTAGGGTTCTTTAAATGCACTTCACCACCTTTGGAAGTGACGGCATTGGATGGGTTTAAGAGCACATCTCCTGCCAAGGAGTATTTGACGTACCCAAACTATCAAATTAGCCGTCAATACCAAGCAGAAGCCACGCTACAGCTGCCTAGTGCCAACTTTCCAGCCATATGCGAGCCCCTAACACCACCAGAGTCAATTCACTCTCTTCACCGTCACAAGATCCTGATGGGCTCCGACATCTCCACATCCAGTGGATCGACTATTAGTACTTTAGTAAGTCGAGGAGGTTCAGCCGACGGTGATGGGGCGGAGACCCCCAAACCAAAAATCGAAACCACATATTGGGAAGATGAAGACACTAAATGCTACCAGGTGAAGGCAAGAGGAGTTTTGGTGAGTAGAAGAGAAGATAACAACTATGTCAATGGCACCAAGCTCTTAAACGTTATAGGAATGAGCAGAGGGAAGCGTGATGGGATTTTGAAGGCTGAGAAGAATAAGATTGTCATCAAGTTGGGGTCTATGAACTTGAAGGGAGTCTGGATACCCTTTGAGCGAGCAGCAGAGATTGCCCGGAACAATGGAGTGGACGCAGACAACATATTGGGGCCCTTGTTTATTGAAGATATCAAAACGTACTTTGAGACTACAGGATTCCGACTTCGAGTAAATGAATGCAACCATAAACGATTATCGGCACCACCACCGCCGCCAAAAAGTAAAAATACTCTTTATCTAGAGATGAAGAATAAATGAAAGGAATAGTTGATGGGGTGTTATTTTGTATAGCTTTGATTCTTATTTTGTATTACGATCACCTTTTGGATACTTTTAAATATTATAGCTCTTGTTTGTTAAGAGAAACCCTTTATAACCAGCGAACAATACATATATATACGACCCTTCTTCAATATTTAAGTTCAGGCTTAAACAAGGTACCTCTTCTCCGCTGTTGCATTTCAATGGTTTCAAAGAGACCTTTAAAGGTACCCTTACCAAAACCATTGTGATGACGACGTTGGATAATTTCTAAGAATAGCGTAGGGCGATCATGTAAGGGTTTAGTAAAGATTTGTAAGATATAGTTGCACAACTTCTTTTTGGTTCTGGTTGAAGCGTCGTAATCAACAAGAATATTCAATTTTGCTAATTCGTTTATATCTTCCTTCAATACAACATCATCAAGTTCCATTCTTTTCCTCAAGTTTTCGTAGTAGGTAGGGGAAATTCCATTGAACTCGACTCCACGAGCCTTAAGTGCTGCCACAGCAGAGATGATATTGAGGGTTCTCAAGGCTATATGTTGAACTCCGGGTCCGTTGTTATAGTCGTTAAACTCTTCTATCTGGGACCTAGCCAAACCTTCTGCAGGTTCGTTGATTGGGATCTTCACTTTCCCATTAGCAGATGCCATAACAATGGATCTAAGCGAAGTTAAAGTAGTAGAAACGTCGGCTTCGTCAACAGACCAAAACCTATGTAACCCAAACATATTGGCGTACAACGTAGCTCTTTTCATCATTTCGTTCCATCCATAGTTCTCCACACAATGGTCGATTTCCAATAACCGCACCGGAGGTTGTTGAGTTAAGGTGTTCAAATAAGCTTCTGAAATCTCGCTTATAGATGGAATGTAGCCTGGAAGATATCTTCCGTGGTAATTAGTACATTCAATCAATGTATGACAGATATCCACACCGGGAAGGGCCACGGTACAACTTTTGATCCAACCAAAGTTACCTTGTGTCGTCGTAGGAGGAGCTAGTACAAGGGCACCACCTTTGATAGCCTTTTGGAAGGCATCTTCAACGTTTACTACGTTAAGAGCTATGTCGTAGACGCCATCATTATGATACTTTAGGAATTTCTGGATCAAAGACACTTGCATTAACTCAAGAACAGTGGCTTGGATATTTCCGTCCAAATTATCGATAATGCTATCAAAACCTGCCATAGTGTTCTGATAACTTTCTGATTCTTTGATGGTGGTAGTCAAAGTCTCCTTCAAACGAGGATTCAAAGAGCTACCTTGAAGTTCAAACAGCGTTGAGGTCACGATATCTTCCACATGAGCCTTTGTCAAATGTCGAAGGTGGTCTTTAATGGCTGCGAATTTCCCATTACGTTTCAGTAACGCGGCAAAGTCTTCACCACTTAGCGGGAAACATAGCTCTTGATCTTGGTCCATTGAGATCAACGTATTGACCAATTCAAAGGTAACGTTACCGTTTCTAACCACATGGCTTGCTAGTAGCTTTGAGCCAGATTCCAAGCCCTTATAAGCGATTTCTTCAAAGTCCATAATGTTCACAAAGAAACTCGCCAATTGTTTAGCATTGGCAGTACACAACTTCAAGTGATGGAACCCGATGAAGCCGTCAATTGGCTCTTGGAAAGTCATGTGGCCCTTCGAGAGTAGTTCATTGACCTCCCTATTGATAAAGGGGTCCAGTTCATAGGGGTAGTAGGGGAGTTCAACCAAGAGATTGTGATCATATGACATAGTATTAGCGATAGACAATATAGAGTATAGATAGCGGTAAGTAGGAATAGCAATGTCTAAGTATATTAGAGTAAAGAAAGAACAAGAGAATAAATAAAAAATATATCCATTAGTCGCCCAAATTTATAGTTGAGATCCCCAAAAAATAAACCGCCAAAAGTTGCATCAACCATTCACTTTTCGTCATTAACTTGAGTAGAAAGTTGATTCGATTCAGAAGAACTTGTATCGTCCTTGTCATCAACATCAAGTCTCTTTTTAATGGAAGCCAATTTAACAATATTAACTTTTCCAAACACAAAATATGGGTGGAAGGGTATAAAGATCAACCCTGCAATCGACATCATAAGAGCTTCTAAAGTCATCAAGAAAACTTCATGGGTAATCAAATAACCCCTCCATCCTTGCGCCAATTCAATCACTCTGTAAATGCACCGAACATACACGGCCAAAACACTGACGGTAATAGCCAATGGGAACCAGTCAAACAATGGTCTGGACCGAATGTGTTGAAATTTCGGATTATAAAACCTGTCCAATACATTCCTTGTGTGCTTTCTTGCTGACGGCGTAGCCAATAACAACTTAAAAAAGTTCTTTACGGACCGTTTCTTATAAGGATTTGAATCATCGTCGATTTTGTCACAATCTTTGAAGAAGATCCGATTTAAGAATTCAAACCAGAAGCCAACGAAAACCGTCATGGCAAGCAATTGGAAGCAAATACCCGCTAGAATCGTATTTGTACCTGGTTTAGTATCTTCATGGTTATTATAAGCAATAGAAGCAGCAGCACCTCCGCCCGCTTGAACCACAAGAGACAAGATGTCGGTGGTAATGAACAAATAAGAATACCATAACGGTTTCAACACCGAGTACTGTCTACCATGAAGAACGACCGATTGAGCAAACAAGAAATAGAACCCTGCCATAATGAAAGCAGGGGCAATGGTTAACCCCACAAACTGAGTTAAATATGCATTATGGTTTTCAACATCATTGAAGGATATGATTCGCCCTACAAACCCGATAACTTCAAGAGCATATCCCGCAAAGAAAGTTACGTTGTACCACCAATATCTTGACTTGATGATCATGAGCGTATTGAAGGCAAATATCAACCCAAAAACAATAAGAAAGAATATGTTACCTGGTCTATTTAAATAGTATGAATATGGGTTCTTCTCCAACTCTAAGGACTTTAAGTTTAGCGTGGCATTGAAGATAGCTTGTGTGGCCAACAGTTGGACGCTCTGGTCAGTCGCAGTGGCCAATACCAGTTCAGCATACAAGATAGTCAAGGATGCTTGGGCACCTCTAATGGATTGCGATAGTTGTAACAAGGGGTACCAGTTGGTCTCGACTTGTGCTTGCCCCACAGCGGAGGTGATCACGGAGATCAAGCTGGCGGGGTCTCCTGTTATCGTCAGTAAGACGGTTTTGGTAGGTATATGCGATGGCTGCCATTCTGACCAAGCCTTTGATAGTAACGAGTTTGATATGGTTACAGACATGCTATGGTTTGAAGCTGAAGCTAATGACGTTGATTAATTTCGGCCACTCTATATACAAAGTTTTATTTATGACACACTGGGGACCAATACTGATACAATACTAAGGCCCCTAAACACCGTTTGCTGTGGCGGCGAAGCTAAAGTTTTCTTGTGTTTATAGACGGACTTAAGCCGTACCACAAGTCACGTGACAGCCAACTCCATTATATCATTGCTCCAGGTGCTACCGAAGAAACTACTCTAGACAGGTGCTGGTTTAGTCTTGTCAAATGTGCTACGTTCTATAGTGTCCTTATCTTGTGGCTATGTTCGTATATGCTCTTAAATACTTTACATGGCTATATTGGTCTGTATGGAGGACTCATCCTCGTATTCTATTTCCACCCTTGGTCTTCTTCTCTTTGTCTGTGACTTCTTGACACTATCACCACCACTGCGTTTCTTGGATCCTTCTTCTTCTTCCTCATCATCTTCATCGTCATCATCTTCTTCGCTTTCAGACGCACTAGAATCTCCAAGCCATTTCTCTAAATCCTCCATGTCAACCAATTCATCATCAGCATCTTCATCCTCAACATATTCAACTTCTCCAACATCACTATCGTCATCACTAACCAACTCGACTTCTTCGTCACTCTCATCTTCAAACTCTTCATCTTCGTCCTTCTGATCAACCTTACCCAACACCTTCTTCCAAATGCTCTCATCAACATTCAAAGGCTTATCACCATATGCTCCACTCTTTAACCTTTCTAATAATTCCTTTTCAATGGCTTTTTCAATCTTAGCAGCGGCCAAAGCCTTTCTTTCTCTATTCTCTTCCCTTCTCTTAACCTTATGTTTAACTCCAACATAGTGTCTTTCTTCTTCTGTTAATGCCAATCTTCTTTCTGTGATAGCCACTTGGGTTAACCGCGTTAATCTTTGTTTACACTTGTGAATTAAGAACTTCTGCCAATATTCTAACCGTGAGTCAATTTGACTCAATGCTTTAGTGTAGTTCTTACTTAACTTGATTCTTTCCCACATTCGAGATGGCATATGTGCTCTTTCAGCGGTCTTCATATATAAGTAAAGCTTCCCATCAACGTTCCGAATAGTGGCGTATCTTGCATTGGCCAAGGGACATGATTGTCTACTGCATAACCCACTAACATTATATTCATTCCGACAAAAGTTTTGTCCTTTGGTAGTCTTTATCTTGAACGCACAGAACTGCTGGTTGATCACTTGCCAGATAACTTCGTCTGACACTGACATTATGAGTAACGGAACAACTTCTTATAGGGGGGTATTTTCCGACCTGGGTATGATCCAACTTCAAAAATTTTCAATAAGCAAATCAAGCTTTCAGTTTACCAAAAAACGAAACGAGATGAGATGAGGATTTGGTTGTGGCATGCATGCAGGTGTGACATATAGTTACGTAATAACGCGACGATCTTTATTCCTTGTATTATTGCTATTATAATAACTACTATGTACGTTTTGGGGTTATGCTCTTAAATGAAGTGGTTTATAAGGAATGGGAGGTTTCTTCTTAGTAACTTTGGGTCCAACTTTAGTAGGGAAGGAATTGGGACTCAACTCATTGGCAATACGACTAAACGACAATAAAGTAACTACAACTTGATAAGGATCCTTTCTTTCGAAAAGATCAACAGTCATAAAGATTTCATCATGAGGCAACTTGATCATTTCACAAGCTTTAAGAAAGTATGAGATGTTCTCCATTTGTTTAAAGGGGGTCTTGGAGTATTTATATCCACGACATGGGTTAGGTTCAATGGGTAACAATTGGCCCAACTTACAAAGTAATTCACCATCCTTTAGAATATCAACAAGATCATATTGTAATCTATTGTATTCATTGATGGTTTCCTGAGGGATCTCGAGTGTTTTAAAGACATAATCTTTGATTTCCGATTGCCGTGCCTGATATCGTTGATCTCTTGATAACTTAAGATCTTGGTCTAAGTTTGTATTAGCATTTTGTTCTTTCTTAGTGGGTATGGAATAGTTTGTGTAGCTCATGTTGACGATACTACGACGGAATAATTGGGGATATGAATATGAATGAAGACCCAAGATATATGCAATGGAATAATACATTTTTCCGGTTCAAATTTCCCCCCCGGAATTCCATCCTGTACTTTATTACGGTCATAACTTCGAGGGTACTCTACTACTACTACATAGCCACTTATTTAAACCCATTTAGTTAATTATTTATTCTTTTTCTTTTTAAATCAATATTAATGTACATATTACCTTTAATTGTGTAATCTCTTTTCATAACTGTGTAAGCCATGAACACCACCTTCAAATTGGGCAGAAGCAGTTCTGAACTCAAATCTGACTTTTCCGTCATCGGTGTTGGCTCTCAATTGCTCCAATGATTGAACTCCGATATCTTGTAAAGAATGTTGTAAACCATTGTACAAATAAGGAACGAACTTGGTGATAGAACCTTTATCAACAACAGAACCAGAAACACCTTGAGCTACCAAAACCTTATCAGATTCAGAAAAGTATCTGGAAGTAGAAGCATTGGCATTGGTATCAGTCTTTTGCATAGCATCAATGGATCCCATACCTCTGTAAGTCTTCAATCTCTTACCATCTCTGTAAAAGTATTCACCAGGAGTTTCGGCGGTACCAGCTAATAAACCACCCATCATAACACATGAGGCACCTAAAGCCAAAGCCTTGGTGATGTGACCAATGTTACCAATACCACCATCAGCAATACATGGAACACCAAATTGGTTAGCAAATTCAGTAACATTGTACACAGCAGTACCTTGTGGTCTACCACAAGCCATAACTTCTTGAGTAATACAAATAGAACCAGAACCCATACCAATTCTCAAACCATCAGCACCAGCTTCAATCAACAAGGCAGCTTGCTCTCTGGTAACAACGTTACCAGCAATGACTTGAAGTTCAGGATAGTTGGCCTTAATCCACTTGATCATTTCCAATTGGAAAATAGATGAACCATTTGAAGAGTCTAAAACAACAACATCCAAACCAGCCTCAACTAATTTGGTTAATCTTTCTCTATCAGCTTCAATAGTACCGATGGCAGCACCACAAAGCAATTGCTTTGAGTCAAAAGACTTTGAAGCCAATGGATAAGTTTGGTTCTTTTGTAAATCAGTTAATGAGATCAAAGAAACCAAGTTACCGTTGCTATCAACAATTGGCAACTTACCCTTTTTGGAAGATCTCAACAACTTGTTACCTTCGTCCAAGCTAGTGCCCTTGGCACCAACAATCAACTCCTTGGTCATAACTTCAGAAACCTTGGAGGTATTGTCTTCATGGAATTGGATATCTCTTGAAGTGACAATACCTACCAACTTACCACCAAGCTTACCGTTTTCTAAACACAATTAGTTAGTAAAAAGAACAAAATAAAAACTAAGTTCAAGTCTGGTTATTATTGATTGAATCAGAATATAAGTTTCTCCCCAACATCGTTTGATGTGATAAACTCGGTAGAACGAAAGTTAATTGAATTTTTGTTGTTCATCATAATAATAAAGGAAATAAACCAGACCTTGAAAAAAGTGAAATAACATAGAAGCACATACCAGTAACGGGGAAAGAAGTGAAACCATATTGAGCACTCATAGCCTTAACATCAGCTACGGTGACTTCAGGAGAGACAACAATTGGATCATTGATGAAACCATTTTCGTATTTCTTAACCTTCTTCACCATTTCAGCTTGTTCTTCAGCAGAACAATTGTGATGGATAATACCAATACCACCCAACAAAGCCATGTGAATAGCCATGTTAGCTTCAGTAACTGTATCCATAGGAGAAGAAACAAATGGAGACTTCAAAGTGATCTTCTTGGTTAATTTGGTATCCAAACTGACACAACTGGAGGGGAAGTCAATCAAACCTGGCAAAACCAAAAAATCATTATAAGTTAACCCACCAAAGTTGGTAGAGTCAACTAATTCTTTAGCTGACAAACCATCCTTCTTAGCATACTTTTGCAAGTGAGCAGTGGCACTAGAACAATCCAAAGACATAGTAGTAACTGTTACAGTTGTGAAAGGTAAAGAAAAGAGGTATTTAGTTTACAGATAAAGCGGCAAACTTTGCCAGGAAAGAAAGCTTCAAACTCAGATTGTCTGCAAAACTTTACGTGAGGATCGCTTGGTATTTATACAAATTTTTTTTTCAGATGATGAGATGAGCCCATTTTGTGTATCATATTGGTTTTTGCCAGAGTAATAAGTACTAATAGAGAGGAAGTCAATTTTCCATCGGAACACGTAATGATAGTAATAATAGTACAGATAATAACAACAACAATAGTAATACTAATGGTAGGTATTGTAGAGATTGAAGTTTTTCCGAACAAATAGTATTAACATATTTGTTTGTGTCGATGATAACAAGTCATTCCGTCGGAGATTCCGATAGTTGACGTCCAACCATCTTGTAGAGCCAATAGATTGCATAACACCTTACTGATTGCCAGTTTAAAGTTGTCCTAACTTGTTACAGGCCCTTACAGCCTTCACTGGCCTTTACATACCCCATTTCTATCGGAACATGGCCCGAATCTCCGATGTGGATATACAATCTACGCTACAAGAATATAAAAGTCTAAGCTATTCAGTATAACAGTCTGAATTATTCTGGTTAGTAACACATTCAAAATCAACAACTATGCATTAGAAAACTTGGTATCACATGTAAATACAAGTAATACGTTCAGAGTAGCGGTTCTTGATAAAAATAATCTTCATAAGTAGTCTAGACCCCAAGGCACGAATGCCTTAGAAGCTGGGTCAAGAATCATCATATAAGTTCCTTAGATGCAGTGATTGCAGTAATACATACATTAATAACATTATCACCTGATTGAAATAACTATTAGTATTATTACTATCAGTTGTTACTAATAGTAATAGTAATATTATACTTTAAGAGTGGTGAAAATTTTTATCACTTTATACCTTCTAATGGTCGTGCTAAAACCAATACATATATTGTAATATAACCTCTATTAATAAATCTGGTCCAGTAAGACCGATGATGCAGAAATAATCACATTAGCCAACTTATTACATTCCTCTTGAGCAAACTTATAATCTCCAACGTAAATTCCATCTCTAACAGAAGGAAATGTGTTCCAATTGTACTTGATACCTTCATTAGTAGCAGGTGACATAAAAGGTGTACCAAATAGTATATTGAAATAGCCTTCTCTCTTTGGCTTAGGATCGCTAGGAACAAACATGCTATTGAAAAGTACCAAATTGTCATTCCATTTATAACGACGTATGGCCAAATAAGAAGGTTCAGGGGAATCCTTAACGAATTCTGTCCATTCAGTTAACCAAGTTTGAAAGTGAGTCCCACTACCTCTTAATATTTCTAGAGCCTTCCTTAGCCCGTTAGTGTCTAATTGAAACTTATTACCACTGACGTCTTTAGCGTAACTTTCTAAATCATCAACACTCTTATGAAGGAAATTAACCAACGAATTGAAATCATACGGTATAAGTGATTTCTCAGCTAATGCTAGAGCTATGTAACAGTGCAATTCCACCAATTCCTGATGCTTCTTGAAAGACTTATCAACATTCATTCTCTTGAAATTATCAAAACTATCATAACATGAACCCTTGGGGTATTGTAATCCTCCATACTTGATTTCTATTGACGGAACATTGATCAAGTTAATAAATGGTATATAATTCTTCAATTCAACCATATTATATGAAATCGGGTCCTGCCCATTATTCTGATTCTTGTATAAATCATGTAACGTAATATCTTGTTTTTCTTTATTGTCTGATGCTGTATGTTGAGCCTTAACCTTAGCTAAGGCATATCTTATGATATCATGTAGAACAGGATGTGCTTGAATTTGTAAATCATCCCCAGAAATCGCATCATTAAGATCAATATAAATATATCCTTCCTTTTTAAAACGTTCCTTCTTGTTCTCTATCCATTCAGATGACCCTGCTAAATTGTAATTTGTTGCATCAAATGAAACAAAATGGATTGATCTTGAAGGTGACCAATTGTGCTCTCTTTGTAAAGCAGTGAAGATCTTAACCATTTCTAACATAATGACACTTCCTGTATTCCCTTCCATTGTTCCATAACAAGTAGAATCTCTTGATGAACCAATTATTATACCTAACCCAGATTGTTCACGTCCTTCAATAGTCCCAATAATATTCCAAATTTGGTGAGTTGCTCTTGTATCGGTTACAATCTTCAATTTTAACTTCTTAGTTGAAGAGCCATCACCTGAGAACACAGCATTGTCAAATTTAACACCTTTATCTTTCAACTTATCAATCAAAAAGGACCCATCTTTCCAGGAAATAGGTATAGAAGGTATTTTGGGAGTGATATCAGATTTAAACCATGGTAGCCTGGTAACATATCCATCTTCAGATGACCAACCAGGAGTAAGGATATCACCAGCACATCTTCTTGTTAATGCAACATTCAAATTTTGAATCATATCATCCACTTCTAATGAACCCAACTTTACAGGAGGGGATATAAAAACAACTGCTTTAGCTTTATATTTTTGAGCCCACAATATCTTATTCAGTTCAGGTTGGGAACTCTCTCCACTACCTCCATATCTGATCAAGACTATTTTGTTTTCCAAACTAATGCCCTTTTCTGCCACAGCTTTAAAGTCCATTTCACTTCCGTAATGAACATAAACATATTCGGCTTCTACTTCTTCATTTGTGTTTAACGAGTCAGGATTATAAGCGAGATACTGCATATCATTTGAGTTCCCCTGTTCATAAAGAGTAGCTTTCCACGAATCATCAGCCAATTTTAAATAAGTATCTTGAGCATTGGGGTAATTCAAGAAACTTTGGACTTCATTGAAATCAAGCACCCGAACACCATTATTTTTCATATATTTTTGAATATAAGTGGCTAATGCCAAATCACCTTTAGTCCCCGTAATATGGGGCATCAGAGATAAATACTCCAAGTTTTCTTCCATTAATTTCGGATCAATATAATCCCTTATGGATTCTCCTATTTTATCAATATCGTAAAATTTTCCAGATCCCAAGGCTCCGGTGGTTTCTCCATTAACAGATTCATCGTCACTATATTTGGTTATGAAAAAGATCACCAGCATAAGCATAAACACATAAAGCAATCGATTAACCACCAAGGGGTTACCTATTTTAAGGACCCATGACTCGTAGTATTGCGATGCCAAACGGTACACTTCAAACACAGGGTCAACCATCCGACTAACAGGTGATATCACCGTTCTATTGATAACATAGATGAACTTCTTTGTCATTATCGTGGCCCGAGAGACATAAGACTCCCGGACACCAGCAGTAGACCTCGTAGTAGCATCATCAAAAAGTTCATTTTCCATTTCAAGCTCCTCTATTGTACCACCGCCAACCACGTCATAATCCGGTGGCTCTAATGGCATATCAGACTCAGCATCCCCACCAGAGTTGACCGCAGTAACATCAGCTGTACTATTGGCTAGTAGCGTTGTCTCACTACTTGTTTCTTCCCCGTTCAAACGCCGATACCCATGGCCATGGTCCCTTCCCATAGACATAATGATTTCGTCCCACGTCTAATATATATATATATATATATATATATCTATGTTTGTATGGCTTTTTGGATCGTCTTTTGGTGGCACTTTGCTTTTGCTTAGCGAGAACTTTTGGAACAGATACACGACTTCACGCGCCGCCGGCGGCCACATGGTATAATGGAAGCGCAGACCCTTTGATATTACAAAGAGCATCATACACTTCAGAGCTTCATATCTCATTCTGGAATACACTACAGTACGGTAGAGTATACTACAGTACGGTAGAGTACACTACAGTACAGTAGATCACACTGTCGTTCAGTACGATACGGTACAGGACAAATCTATCAGTGATTATTACAGTGGGGCTTGAATGACACTGAATTCTTCTTCATTACTTGCATCGGTTCCGGTAGCAAAGGGTGATTCTTTGAACCCTCCGTCTAAACAACAGAATGATCACAAAAGCTACCCAAAGAACCCTTCCAAGCCCCGCAAGAATCATCAACTGGTGAAAACCACCACTCGAAATCGACAAAAGGGCCCCAAGAACTACAATAATGAAGAGTCAGAGGTCATTTTGGCTCTGTCGGCCAAAGGCAAGGGTAGAATTAAACAGCAGATAGATGCTGGAGAGTTTTTCCAATTCCAATCGTATAAAGATCTGAAGGAGTACCAAGAGAAACACCTGATGGCCAACAAAAGAGGTGGAGGTGGCAACAGTCGACCATATAAAAGAGGTGGAGATAACTTTTCAAATAAAGTCCGCTTAAAAGGAATGACGTTCATTAATGTCAACTATAAGTTTGTGGTCGATGGTAGACAGGAATATAATACTCAACTTATGGATCCTAACATTCCCTTAGATTTGCATGATATAATTAGAATCATTGTTCCCAAAGGTAATGCTTGTCCCATCTGTTTGACTGACCAGCCAGTTGCTCCCAGAATGCTTACATCTTGTGGCCATATTTTATGTCTTTCATGTTTGATCTCGTTACTTGATAGTGAGGTCCCCAAAGCTAAGAAACAAGAAGCAGATGCTGTCGTCGAAAAATATAGAGAGTGTCCTTTATGTACCAGCATTATAAGGACAAGGGATATCAAACCCGTGCTTGTTAATCATATTGATGAAAGATTTGAAACTCCAAGAATCAATGATGATGTTGTATTAACTTTAATGGAACGATCTCAACTGAGATCCCTTACATTACCTAAATCTATGCACGAGTTTCAAGATTTGATACCTGATTTCCCATGGATCTCGTCTAATGATGGTGATAATGATGTCCCTGATTTCTCTCAATATCTGCGTATCTTCAAAGGTGATATGGCATATCTCGTTTCTTTGTATGAATTGGAAAAGACGCAAATTTTACACGAGTTTGAACAGGAGAAACTCTTGTACAACATCGATGACAAATACATCAAACTAGCCATTAAGGACATTGACAATGATATTCAATCATGGCAGCAAAAGTTTGGAGAACCCAAGAAACCAAATACCCGTGCCATGGAACAAGAAAGAAGTAATAATAATGATTTCTATTATTTCTATGAAGCAGGATTTAATGCTCAATCTGTTTATGTGTTATCACCTTTGGACGTTAAGATATTAAAGACCAACTATGATAACCAGTACTCTAACATGCCATCATCACTAGTGGCTAAGATTGAAAATATTAGATACGAGGAATTAACTGAGGAAAATGCCTTGACAAGATACAAGTATTTGAATCATTTGCCCTGTGGAACTACCATTGGCTTTATAGAATGCAACTGGAAGGGGAATGAATACTTAAGTCAAGAAACATGGACCTTATTTGAAGATGATTTAGCCCACAGATCGCGTACTTCATCTAGGAAGTTTAAAAGAGAAGAAAAGAACCGAATTAGAGCTTTAAATGAGCAAGAGACAAGAACCAGAAACTTTTTTGAAAGAGAGAATAATCCGCATCCCCATAATGATGAAGATAATGATAATAATTATGGGTATGATGGGAATTTAGGTACCCTTAGCATAGTTGATCATCGTGAACTTCCACCATTATTACGTAGAGAGTCGGATGTTTCGTCTACTACGTCAAGTATTACACCGGAAGCGAGAGGATCAACCAGTGGAGGATTTTCCGGTCAAATGACCACTACTATTTGGGGAACGCAGATTCCAAAAGCCGAAGTACCTGAAGATTCTATTGAGGATGATTGGGATGCAGACGAGATGATCCGTAAGGCTAGGGAAGATTTCAAGAAACAAAACAACGGGAAGAAGGGACGCAAGAAGAAGGTAGTTCTTCAATTATTATAATGAGTATGACAATAAAAAATGTATAGCATAAAATAAACAATAGCACTAGAAACCAGTTTATCCGAAATTAATCCGCATATAGATGTTTACTAGACTATTTTGCATACTTACCGTTTTCAGTGTCATATTTCCATATTCCAATCACCACGTGAGAATTAGTATTATGCTATTCTGGCTGTCTCGTAAGTGTCAGGTCAATGTCTTTTTGATGTCTGCCAGCAGTCTGTTCAACGTCTGTCTATTTTCTTTTCGGCTTTTGTTCGGTGTTGGTGTGGTGCACTTCAGATTTTGCAGCAATGTTTTCATTAGGGTGCAAGACCTTCTCATTTAAACCTTCTCATTTAAACGTTGAGTAAAAATATAAGACTGGAACAAAAATATGCTTATCTAGAGTGCATTTGCTGCCAGTTGAATGCATGCTAGCTGTGTGTTTAATATCTGTTGTCTGTTCGGTGTCTACTGGGGACTCTTAGGATTGAAGACCGTCTGCCCACATCCATACGCGCTACCACATTTCAAATTGGTAGCGCTTCACTAACTAGTATAACCTCTTTGAATCTAACACCACGTCAGCTTCAAACACTTGTCCATAGCTAACTAACAATGGCGATAAAACAAACCAACATCCAGTACGTCTGACACGTCACATTCTGACTCGTTATCCTCCAATTCCTTCTACTTACTAACCTTGTCTAGTTCCGTGGCGGACTTGCGTAACACCACCGACGAAAACCTTGCCAATGTCTTGGGCCAATTGGGGTACGAGGAAGACTTCAAACTAGTCGACACCAAACTTGCCCTTGGACTCTTCACCGTAGCCATATCGGCCGGATTATTCTATCTTGATAAAAAGTATACTTTCAACGAAACCAAAACCGTCACTTTGATTGGTGTGGTGGTATATGGTATCGTGTCGTTAATACTATGGATGATCGACAGAGCGAACCCCAATGTTAAGTTCGTTGGTAGTAATGACGCAAAGAATAAGATCCACGTATCGACATCGACCCCTTCAAAGTATGACCCGGTATACAACGTGACCATTGATGTTGATGGAGTCAAGTGTGAGACCAAATGGGAGTTTATGAAGATGTTTGACACTGCTGGCTATTTTCAGAGTCAAACGGTTGTTGAGTTGTTCAGGACTGAGCTTGAAAAGGTGCAGAAGAAAGAGGAATAAAAAAGAGGGTATCCATACATACATACGTATATGTCTATATACACTTGTCTATCCCTGTAATGTCTCTTATTAGGTCCTGTAGCGGTAACGGCAAGGCCGATACCAACGGAACAACATTGGTGTAAAGGGGTCTACATAGATTACCCTGTTGTCCCCGTTCTATTCTATCAACAATGGCCTTAGCCAAGTCGTCCCGCTTCACTACCGGTGCAAAGAATTGTTTGGGTGGCTCGACGTCGGCGAACATCCGTGTGTCCAATTGGCCCGGCGTAGCATACAAAATTCTTATTTGGTCGTAAGCTTTTAATTCTCGCATCAACGATTGGTTAGCGTTGATGAGGGCCGCCTTGGCCGCAGAATATAGCGATAGTCTACACGGTGATATCCATCCGAGTACAGAGGCAACGCTAACAATAGTCAATGGAGACATAGCAGCAGTACTGGTGGAACCGGTAGTAGTAGTAGTAGTCGTACCATTGTTCTTTGCCATGTACTGCTTGATCACTCGTTGTATGAGCAATACAGGCGATACAAAGTTGATTTGCATTGATCTGTTAATGTCGTCTTCACTGACTTCAAGCACCGATCCGTTGATCCGAATACCAGCATTGTTAACAAGTATACTGATATGTTGATCCTTAGACGCCAACTCACCGACGAGCCTATCAATCTTAGTGCTGAGGTCGTTGGAGTCATTCAAATCACATTTAACGTACTCGCAGCGAGCATCACTACTACCAGGAGGCTCAATATCAAAAATAATCACCTTCTTGACGTTCTTCTCTAGTAAGTTGTTCACTATAGCTCTTCCTAACCCATGGCTTCCTCCAGTGACAAGTGCTATATCATTACTGGTGATTCCAGGCCATTTGCTCGAGGTATTGTAATCTACTATGAGCTCATGAATCAGTTTCCATGTAAAAGTTAGGGTCACCAAAGCTAACCATAGCACGTGCCTGGTAATGCCCAAAAAAAGGAACCCTAGACATTGTATAAGAGTGATTTGGCTCCATAAATAACCCACTATTTGATCAATATCCATAGCGACGAGTTATAATGGAAATATTAGATAGTTGTCAGTGTTAAAAGTACAGATTGTGGAGTATATATTGTCGGTGTAAATTTCAGTCCGGGGTGAGTATATTTCAGTATAACTGATTGATTATTCTACTTTATACACTCGGTGTATATTTCAGTCTGGGGGGATAACAATTCTATTATACTATGCTACTTATATACTCCTTAAATGGCATGAATATCCTTATCATAATCATATCCTCTAGCAATACCACCTCTGCCTTGTTCTGCAATACTACCCTCTTCAAGATCTTCGTTGAAATCACTTCCAAGTCCAGTCCAGCTTCTATTCTGAAGTGTAACAGCAGATGTGGAAACTGAACCCTTGATAGCAACCTCTGAGCTTAGTTTCTTCACTACTGCAGTAGACGAACTATCGTTTTCCGTGGCTCCACTGATCTGTAAATATTGTAACCTTCTTAAGGGTCTACTTTCAGCAAATTGACCCGTAACAGGATTAAAAGTAGGTTCTTCTATGTCTTCATATGTTTCGGATGTCATGGCTTCTTGTTGATCTGGTTCTTCATCTTGTCCATTCTCAAACAACGATATGACTCTTTGATAATCGGTAACCCATTTACCGGTCCATGAAAATTCATCACCTAACACCAACGACAACTCAAAAGGTGTGACTATAGGTTTATAGTATTCTCGATCTTGGTCCAATATTATTCCTTGATGATCACATCCTAAGACACACCAAACATCAATGGCTTCGAAGTTAGCTAACTTTGCAATGTTTGGCTTACCAACAACAAAAGTATACAGCTTCTTCCCAGCTTTTTTGATCTTCTTAGCCATCAAATTGAGTAAGTTCTTGGTATTAGCAAGTGATAATGTATTGACCAATAATCCAACAGTTCCAGCAGCTCGGGCCATATGCAAAGCTCTATATCTAACTCTTAAATTGGGGAATGGACCTTCAAACATCTCATCTTCAACATGATTGTAAACCTTTACCGTTTCAAATTTGGTAATTAGCTGTAACAAACGAGGAGCATGCGGTTGTGTGATATGAAATAATGAGTATTCACAAAGCTTACTATCAATGGCTTGCTCTCTTGCCTCTTGCTCTTCTTCTTCATCACATTCAAAGTCTATACCAACTAAATTCCGATTCAACATCAAATTAATTGGCTTTACAACAGTTTGAGGATTATAGCCTATGATTCTGGCATCTGCCTTTGGATCTAAAACCAAATCAGCATATGCAATATTCGGATAGTCCAATAGCAACCTCTCATACAAACCTTTTAAATACCTGGTATTGGTGGCATCTGCCATAAGCAAGATCTTGGCTTCTTTCTCTGGATATTCACTAACAAATCTCTCCCGAATTGCTTCAACATCAAATATAGGACGTCCAAACACATAAACCACAGGAAGACTTTCAATAGTATTGAGACATGCATCTCCGAAATGAATAACCAAATCACTCTTAACATGTTCTGCCGCCACTTCATCTACACAACATGCGGAATAGGAAGTATCTGCCAATATCCAAATCTTCTGTCCTTCAGACTCATCCTTCTTGACATGACAAGTGTTATTGTCACTACCACAACTGCATTGACCACTACAAAGTTCGCTATTCTCCGTCCTTGTACTTGACTCCACAATGAGTCCCAATTCCCGTTGGAGTTCCTGTACTATACAAGCTGAGTCACCCAATAGCTCATCGGGGAACTGGAGCGTTACTTTCTTATATCTGCGTTCTTTGGTCTCTTCATCCTGCTCTGCCAATATTGTCACCAACTCATCCAAGTCATAATAATGTCTTATGGCTTGAACAGTGTCTTCCGATGATGCTTTTGAATCTAATCCTAAATACTGCTTGTTTCGCACACCTTCTGGGATTTGTGCATACGAAAATGTACACTCGTCCTGATATGTGGATAATGCAGGAGCAGATGTTACTTGTTCTCCGTCACTCATTATTATTAATCAGCTTTTGATAAACGTAACTGACTGGCTTACCTCATCGCTTCATTATTGTACTTCAACCTTGGGAAATCATCACAACGTTTGCATGGTAGCGCACACAACTCCCGTACAAGTGGCTCAAATATGCACTACGGCCCAAACTTACAACGACCCTGCCCATTCACTAGGCACAGGTCTATAGACTGTAACAGTACCCTTGACCAAGTTGGCCAATGTATAGGAGCCAGTCATGACAGTTCTAACACCGCCAACATTTTGGTGTACGACATTAATTTTCCCATTAAATGTTGCGGTCACCACAGAAGTATGATCTGGTGCTCCAGCTGTAGTTGTGACCCCAGTAGTTTTATCTTCAAAGACACACGTTTTGAACTGAAGAATGTCGCCCCTTTTGACTTCATCAAGCTGGGACCGTAAATACTTCAACCCCCCAGTAGGTGTGGCTTCAATCTCAATAATTGGGAATCCATGGTGCGTATATGTAGATATAAAAGCATGCTTTCCACAGCCCTTCTCTAAGGCGTGTTGAGCAAGATCCCAACACTCTCCTCTACCGACTTGCTTACCCATTTGTTGCTCAGACCAAGCGGCAACATGCTCTCCATATATTTGCTGGTAGGAAACTAGTTCCTGTTTAGTAGGAATCTTGGTGTCAATTGGGGAAGGAATATACTTCTCAATTTGCACTACAACCCCAGCAACATTGTTATCAGACCATTCAAATTTGTAAGCAACAATACCCAAGTCAAAGAGTCTAACTGTGATTGTTCTAACGTGTTTTGTGGTTCCTCCCACCAGCAGATACAGATATGAAGTAGAATTGTTTAACCCTTGCAATGACTTAGGTAACGGACTTTGAAGATTAGTAAACCATCCAGTAGTCAATTCCAAATCAAGTTCTGGAGGCCCGCTCTTTTTGGGAGGAGGTAAAGCAGCCTTTGCCCGGTTATAATTTCTTGGAGGTGGAGGTGGAGGTACATGTGTGGAATTTGAGTTTGAATTTGATGTAGTAGCTGGCGATAATGGTGCTTGAGGAGAGTTTCGAGAACGTGGAGGCGGTGGAGGGTTGGGTGATTGTCTAGCCACGTTATTCTTGTCTTTTTGAGTTGCAGGTTCTAGAACTGGAGGTTCAGGCTTCTTTGGAGGTTTCAGTGGTTTCGGTGGAGCATCGATAGATTCTGGTTTCTGTGGCTTGGATGGCATTGACATGGAGTCTACCGGAGGTGAAGGTTTTGACTTATTCCCGGGAGACAAAACCAGATTAAGCTGATCCATAAAAGAAAGATTAGAAGGTTGATCCTTAGGAAGTGTTTTTGTAGGCTCTGAGGGCACCGGTTTAAGAGGCTTTGCAGGCTGTGGAGTCAAATGCTTTACGTTTGGTGCTTGAAGAACACTTGTATCTGTATCAACTTCAATAATCTTTGGTTTAGAAGCAATTGGCTTAACAGGCTTCAATGCAGTAAATGGTTTTGGTGCATCAGAAGGAGAAACCTGTGGCTTTTCAGGAGGTAAAGTGTGTTTCAAGCCCTTTCCATTAGTGAAAGTTGAAGCAATCTCATCAGTGTAATTTGGAGGTGGCGTTATATTTACTTTGGGATCTTCGAGACGTTGAATTGGCTCAGGGGATTTGCTATGAGACTTTAATGGTTTGGAAGGTGGTGGCTTCTTAGAAGGTTTTGGTGGTGGAACAGAATTGGAAGTTGAAGTATCCTTGTCTGATTGAGGCTTATCTAATGGTTCTGGTGTTGTCAGAGCAGAAACTCTCTTTGGTGGTGGTGGAAAAGCCATAGGGTCAAACAGCTTTTTGACAGGAGCATTTTCTGTTGAGTCAGCAGTGTGAGACACAACCGGCGGTATGTTCGTCACAGCAGGTTGATCATTTATTTGAGTAGTCAGAGTTCTTGACGGTAAAGCTGGAGGTGTTCCTTGCCCTTGTGCTTGTCCTTGTCCTAATGCAATGATTGGCCCTGGTGAAGAAGGAACATTGGTAGTCTCCTTTTGGTTATTCTGGGTACCACGGTCTCTGCGAACTGGAGGAGGTGCAAACGAAGTTGGATCGGGCAAAGGCTTTTTTGGGTTCACTTCGGGGGGTGCTGTAGCATTCGAAGGAACTTGGTTCAATGACGTTGGTGCAGATGGAATTGGACGAGGTTGAGCACCAAAAGATTGAGGAACACTATTCTGTGAACCAATAGACTGTTGAGGAGCATAAACGGGTAACTGAGCACCATAAGCAGGCAGTGGAATATCATAGCCAGGTTGGTGAGAAACATTGGGTTGTTCATTTGTTTGTGGTAGATAACTGTTACCAGTCTGAGGTTGTATTTGGCCACCATGTTCATTATTTGGAACAACAGTTGTTGCTTCAGCTGTAGGCCTTACTGGCAATGGTAACGTGCCATATCCAGTTGAAGGTTGGGCTGGGTTAGTCGGAGTACTTAGCGGCTGTTGGTTGGCGGAAGGTTGCTGGGGTTGTTGCTGTTGAAATGACTGCTGCTGATCTTGTTGTGGTTGTTGGGACATTACCAGATTGAACTGTTGCAGTAATGCTGCCATCAGCAGTAAACCTGTGGCAGCAGTGTTCAAATTCTGACTGAAAGATGGTTGAGGACCGGCTGGAGTTGATTGAGGACCAGCTGATGACGGTTGATGCTGTTGTTGGGGAGCATATTGACCTAAAAGCAGGGCCGCTTTGCCCACGTTTGCCAAATGGTTGACATTCAGTTGTGCATTTTGCATAAACCCCGGGTTAGGCGTTGCAGTGGCAGCGGGTTGAGTACCATCCGTTGATACATGAGGAGTTGCAACAGGAGGAATTGCAGGTAAAGGCCTCCCTGGAACTGCTGGAGGTGTTGAAACCAGATAACCCAATTGATCAGTCAGTGGATACACAGGGGGCTGTTGGGGTGGGGGAATCTCTACGGTTTGAGGTTGAGCGGAAAACAGCACCTGTTCCTGAGGCTGACCCTGAGCCATAGGCTGACTGTAGAACTGAGGGGGAGCCTGAGACTCCAATTGAGGTTGTTGAGCTAAATTGGCTTGATGTTGTGCAACCAAGGCTGTGTATTGACTTGTTTCGCCTCTATGAGGAGGCTGGAACGCCGGCACATTTCTTCTTGGAGGAGCTTGGAACGTTGCCAATTGATCCTTGGTTGGTTTTGGTGGCAATGTAACATCATGTACAACGTGATTTTCTTCTCCTTCCGTTGGCTGACCTCCCTTGTGGTTCTTGTAGGTTCTATACCCTGCTTTACTTACAGCTTTAGTTCCTCTACCAATACCTTTAGCCGTAGCTACCCCGGCAGCTTTGAAGGAGTCTTTGTTATTATCCCAGAACGACATGATGGTCACGGAACTGTTGGCTACTGATTGGACTGGTCACTGATGAACTGGTCACTGTCACTTGTAGTGCTCCTTAGTGATCAAGAGTGACGGTGCGGAAAAACTAGGTGATAATTCCTACGGTGTATTCGGAATAATTCTAATAAAAATACCTATATGAATATACACTCCTGCTTTAACTAATGGCTGCAACTAATAAGTAACTGAAAAGACTACCAACAGCCAACCCAACACTTAGAAACACGGTTGAGAATCCTCCAGCAGCTTCCTTCTCGTCATCAGTATCACAATAGTCTCGGATAATCATAAAAGATGATGTACAAAGCTGACCATTGGAGACTCCAAACACCAACTGTAAGAAAATATACCAAAAATCAGATTTCATCACCGCTCCGTTGCCATTGATGTTGCAGGTTAAGAATAACGGCACAAACAAGATTCTGCAAAGGGAATAAAAAATCAAAAGTCTGGGGTTGGTGATAATGAAAAACCTGTAGCCACACAAGATTCTTCCGGTCAAATCACCTAAATTCCAAATCAAATAAATGAAAGGGATGTAAATACTATTTTGGAAGAAAACGTGCTTGGATTCATCCTTGTGGATAGAAGTCACCGTAGACGCAAATACGGGGAAGATTAATGTTATACTGAACGTAAAAAAGATGGTCATAACAATCAACTTTAATTTGCTCCATAACAATCCAAAGGGGACATGAGCCTTCTGAACAATTTCTTCTTCTGCTCCGTCTTCTATTTCTGTTTCCATATAGAGATTGCTGGCTGCAACTGCTTCTGTATCATCATCATTGATATGGAGAGCACTGTAGTTCGTTTCCAGCTCAAAGTAATTGATGCAGTAGAATAGAAGCATGGAAATGGTGGCAATTATACTGGCGGTAATATAATAGATGAATACCCCATAATTCTTTTCAACAGGCTGATATTGGGGATCATCATCACCATCACCTTTTTTGAGGTTGGCATGTTCAACCAATAGAATCGATAAGATCAAGGCAATACTCGGTAAAACACCTGCTATAGCTTGGCCAACCATAACCCCATTGGCAAATACACCACCCAACACGTTGACTATAGCCATAGTCCCATTCTGAGCCAAACAAGTAGCCAAGGAAGACACAAACACCATAAGCATCAACATGGTGAAAAACGACTCGTCTCCCATACTTATAAAGGTTTCAGATATACTCAGGATGGCCATAATAACAAAAATGGCAATAGTAATCCCCAAACCCAAGTTCAATCTATGGTTATAACTGACTCCTGTTTGAGATTGAGACAAGTAGTAGTTGTACAAGGTCGAGGTCACAGTGGAAACAGACATCATGGTTGACGAATAAACCTTGACTAACTTTGGCGAGTTGGCAAACCGTTCACCATAATAAGCAGAAGCAGATAAGAAGGCGTTCCAGGGCCATAAAAGGGAGATCCCTATTATGGTGAATGTCACGTAACGTATGAAGGATAATCTAATTACAAAGCGTCCCTTCCATAATGTGAACACTGGCGGGTTGAAATGGACTTTATGAGGATCTCGATCTTCATCATCGCTAGACGGTCTTCCACTCAGGTCGTCTAGCAGCATACTTTCGATGCTGTCTAATTCGAATGATTGACTCAGTTTCGGTGTAAAAAAGTACTGAAGTGTGATTTATGTCGCGACTATTGTTTGCGTTGATAACAACGTGTACAGAGCGATAAGATAAGTGTAAGGCGTACAGAGGTTAGCAGTAATGTCCGTACTAATGTTGGTTCAAACGTGATGTAAACTAGAATATGTTACACGTAAGATGATATTACACTGGGGGGCAGCACACTCCTTTTTATCCGTGGGGCACTGGAATGTCGCAGTCATGGCATCTGATTTGGGCAGTGGGAGTCGCAGTCGCAGTGGCAGGGAACCAAGAAATTCATCATGGCGATACTGCACTTCTTATCTGTGCGACATTCCGGGATACCGCACGTCATGAAGCGTCACAACACACGGCTTCACGACGCAAACTGTATTTTTCGTCGATCAAGGATTTCATTCATGGCTTCAGTGCGTTGAGTATCTGAAGATAATTCAGAGTAAGCCAACTTGCTTATAAGCGCCATGTCTCCCACGTCGATGTCGATCAACTCGTTCAACTCTTGATCCATTTTGAAGAACAACTTCATGATCAAGTAGTTGGGTTCTTGAAGCGGTAATCGTAATGGAGATTCGTCTGATAGCCAGAAATTCGCACTATTTCTAATGTCAAACGGTGTAACTTTAGTATTAGTCGTCGGGGCAGCTGATACTGGCGCAGAATCTATTGATCTCAACTCGTCCTCCACCGGCGCTCTACCATTTGCGAGAGCCGGTTGTGGGGACGGTGCTTCGTCTTCATAAAGCTTCATTAAATCAAGCCATTCACTATGCTCGTACCGTTTGTGTGGCTCAACCATACTATCGGCTATCAATGGTTTGAGAGCCTTAATGTATCGGAAAATACTGCGATACAACGCTTGTCTCTTTTGAAGTCTTTCATCTATTTTCTCCTTAACTTGTTGCCAATCTTCTTTGGATACGACGTAATCTTCAGATGGTGCTCCTGGTTCTCTAGCAATACTCTGAAGCAAATTTTCAAGCTCAGCTAGTGTTTGAGATCGACTAACCGTAGGCATACCCCCCTCTGCAGCTGTGTGATCCCCATCATTTCCTTCATCTTGACCTGTGGCAGTCATATCGAAATCACGGCGTATTTCGCTCTCTAAGTCACTTTCATCACCATCACCATAAATAATACCCGAAGAAATCCTCTCATTAATTTCAGTTCGAGCTGATCGTGATTGAATCGACAAGTATTTCTTAATGAATTCATTCATGTTTTCAGAAATAGCAAAGAGTTTATCTCCAGCATTCGAGATCAAAATAGTCATCAATGGAACTGCAGAAACGGCCCATGAAACAAAAAACACTCGACCTAATGGCGAAACAGGTGCATAATCTCCATATCCAATAGTCAATAAGCACAAGAAACAGAAATAAATGGCATCAAAAAAGGCCCACTGTTCAGTGAAATGAAACACACACGCTCCAACAAACCAAAACACAAGAAAGAAAAGAATATCATTAAGTAATGAACGATTCAATTGGCTGATTTTCGCTTCCTTTCTAATAAGCCTCATACGATAAAACGATGCTTCCGCAGTGAGTTTCCTATGTCTCGAAGATAAGGTTTTCAAGCACTTCTTCCTATTCTTTTCGATACTATGCCAGAATAAAGTCGGGCCTATGGTAGATAACACCACTTGCCGAATCAGAGCAACTATTAACCCCATCAAAATGACCCCCACAAGCGACATTGCCAACGCCACACCTTTACTAGCATTTGTTTTGGGGACAATGTCACCTAATCCAATGGTTAAAAAGGAAACGATACAGTAATACAACATAGACCCATACAGATAATTCTGGTGAAAGAGTTTATGCAATACGACTGTTCCAATGACACACCAGGTACAAAACATTACTGTGTAGTACATCAATCTTCTTTGTTTAACGTCTAAGTTGAACGTGGGAGGGTATTTCCCCAACAAATAACCCAAAAAGTTGATCGTTAAACAAACTGAACAAGCAAAGTAGAACCCAGAAGTAAACACAGCGAACCAGAACCCCTCTGTCCGGCCATAAAGAGGGTCTGGACCTAAAAAGTCAGTATTGGTGATTAAAAGTGCAATCACCAATAAAACACTGGCTGTAATATAGAATAGCACAGATACTATTTGAGAGAATATATAGGCTGATTTGCCAGCAAAATTCATCAAGAGTGACATGTTACCCAAAAGACCCAATACCAAAGAGGTAATGTTCATTTCTAAGACATGTTTCTTCTCGTTAACTCCTAACCCCGTGGCCAAATCCACTCTCCAATGCTCTATTAGACCAATAATAGAAAGCGAATTGGCAAAGGGTCCCAAACATGCGGATATCAAGGGGAAATAGGCGGATATAAAGTACCAGAAGGGGAACCAAAATGTTCCTGGATCTTCACTTAATAAACTTAAAGCTTTTATGGGCACATCAACTGTCAATTCCAATGGTACTGCAGATTCATAATCGCTATCATCGACTTCAGTAACAATGGGACCAAATCTCTTATGATAAGAGGCCAGAGCCTCATTAGAGAGACTATCCCATTTGTTAACAGTAACTATTTTTTGGATCCCGGGGTGTATTTGATCTTTAAGTTTGCTTACCTGTTTCCGAAGGCGTAAGCTTGGTGCCATCTCAATGTCATACTATGAATGGATTAACTGTATATGTGGACGGAGTAACAGTATGATTAACGTACGTATCAACTGGATGGTTTAATTGTATGATTAACTGTATTGTTCTGTATGGATGGCTTATATATGGATTAGCTGTATGGATTAGCTGTAAGATTATACTGAATATAAGATATTGTCCGGTCGGAGAAATACAAGGCTACAGCAATATTCTCGGGGTATAGTTTGTCCTTTGGTTGTACGGTTATAATTTATCCGTATAGAAGTATGCATACATGACTCCGCAATGTCTCTGACATAATTCAGTAAACTTACACACAGGTCTTCGCTCATAATAATAATTTAGTGCTTCACGCATTAATATAACTCTTGAACTATGTACATTATCTATAAGAAAATAACAGTGAAACATGATGATAGTGAAGTTGTCTTATGATTATTACAAAGTAACAGGACACTCATTCTCAGGGTTTAAGATATATTTTCTCAACAAATTTTTTTGAGTGAAAGCTGGAATCTCCGAAACCGGTCTCTTGCTTAACAGTGTTAATATCTTTGTACGTTCTTGGGAGTAACCTTCTTCATTCAATAACTTATCCAAAATGATTTTAATGTTCTTCGCTCTGTTTTCAATGACTCCTAAATCCTTCTCTGTTTCACTTACTTCCAAAGATAACACAGGTTCTGTAGTGGGCCATGATTTGATGGAATATTTGGCCTTGATTTCCTCAATTTGGGCTATCAATTCTTCCTTACCTTCAGGGGTAACGGTTCCAGACTGGAAATTATGTGATATTTGATCCAACTTTCTCAAGTCTTCCACTTGAACTATAATGTTATCGGTTCTATCCTTTCTGTCCAAAAATTCTTGTAAAATACTCTGTTCTCTGTCAGCTAATCTTTCCTTAGCTTCTTGTTCATATCTTGCAAATTGTTGACCCTTATTAACCTTGATCTCTGCAATAGCAAAGTACTTTCTGGCCGATATCTTGGGAATAGATTCTATCCGTACAATATCTCCTTCTCTACAGATCTCTCCTTGATCATGCACTAAATAATCTTTTCTCTTCAACACTTCCTTGTGAATCTTCTTGTTGTATGTTTTGGTTTGCACTCTGACCTTAACGGTCTTACTCATTTTCCCTTGGGAAACAACAAGCCCTATAAAGTTTTGTTTGGCCATGACGACGTCAATTTATCAAGTTTAGCCTGCTCGTGACCACTAGTCAAGTGTTTTGTATTATGTGTCTCTCAACTTGACTGGATGAAAAATTTTGTAAAGGAAATTTTTCATTAGGGGGTTACCCGGACATAAATTACAGTATACTACCAATGTGCTTACTTACATATATATAAATAATACGTCTATTTAGTTGAATCCGTTAACCTGTTGTAAAACCTTGTCTAATTTTTCAAGTAATGTTTTGTTCTCTTCTGGTGTACCGATTGAAATACGCAATCCACCGGTACAATTCAATTCACTACCTCTAAACCTGACCACAACTCCATTATCAACAGCTAATATTTGATACACTTTCTTAGCCACATCATTAGAGGGTTTACCTTCCTTGTCTAAGAATTCTACCAAAATGAAGTTGGCATCCAACCCTCCAAGGTTCTTCCCCACACCTTTAAAAGCCTGGAGCTTTTCCAAGACACTTGCACGTTGTTCAATAATGCGGCTACAATATTCCTTCATTGTAGACAACCCTTCTTTATTGGATGCTCTTATAGCAACGTTGGCAGTCAAAGAAGAGATATTGTAAGGGTATCTCATTGCATTTAAATATCTTATCAAAGTTGTGTTTGCATACGTGACCCCTAATCTAATACCAGCTAAACCAAAGGACTTGGATAAAGTTTGCAATACAACCAAATTAGGATATTGATTGACTAAAACAGATAATGACTTGCTCTTACCATTTTGATCAAGTGCAGCGAAATCAATGTATGCTTCATCAACAACAATTACCCCATTCCAATTAGCTTTACACTTCTCAACTAAATCAAGTATGGTTTCAATGGCAACTAGCTTACCTGTTGGGTTACCAGGGGAAGTAATATACAAGACCTTGATATTCGGATCGGCAGTAACAGCTTCCAAGACTTTAGTGTTGTCAACTTGAAAATCTGGGGTAGTCAATGGTACCTTAACTATTTCAACTTCATTCACAGTAGCACAAATAGAGTACATTCCGTATGTTGGTGGACACAACAATACTTTGTCCTTACCAGGAACACATACACATCTCAATAGTAAATCAATGCTTTCGTCAGATCCGACACCTAGGCATAAATTATCTGGAGTAAGCTTATCAGTTTCAAAATTCTTCAATTCAGAAAGCGCTTCAGAGTTCCGGAAATCAACAATTTGTTGCTTCAATTCAACTTGATGAGGATCTGGATATCTGTTCAACAGTAATTCATCTTCTTCAGGACTCAAATCTGCTACTGCTGGTCCAATGGTGTTTTCGTTGGCATCTAGTAATATCCCTTCTTTGAAATCGTCTCTGGCACATCTGTATGGCTCTAACTTCAAGATATTGGGTCTGATCAAGGTTTTTAGGTCAAACATAGTTCTATGTACTGTTGGAAGAAAGATGAAAAGAATGTTAATTTGCTGAATATCATTGACCCAGTTATGACTCAGGCTCTTATACGGTATATGCAGGAGACGATTTACTGATAGTAATGGTCATAAATTGCCCAGCTGGGATTTAGACAGCGATCGTTAGGTTATAATTATAGCCGAGTGACGCTAAGGAGCTAAGAGGGAGTGGTAGAGACGATGATGTTATATATTTTGAGCATCTTTAGTCCACATATATATATATGACACTAAGAGTTAGTATATTTATTGAGTGTAACACGACTTTTGATAATCCGAGCTTCCTACTACTCCAGATCTCCATTGTTAAGTAATAATCATATCAAGTTTGAATGAATTGGTATATAAAGTTTTATTACTGACTAGTTGACTGTTAAGGTATATTTGTACTACTCTTATGAAGTTTGGCTTACCTTCTTTGACAGATTTCTTATCAACGGAGAAGCAAAGTTCACATGAGGGGACTTCCCTTTGAGTGTTGAGTTAATTATTGGGCTCAGCGACTTAGTTGATAGAGCTCTAATTCTAGCAGTAGTACCATCTGTAAATGATAGGGCTATAGTTTCTGAAACTAAACTGGCACCCAGAGAAAGATCATTTCCACGCTTGCGTTCGCAGTGATCTATGGAAGGGAAATCAGAAATTGAAGGTCGATGATTAGTGGGTGAAAATATCATAGAATCCAATCCATCAAAGTTTGGTGAAAATGGAGCAAATGTATCAAGTGATTCATATGATTCGTTTATGGAAGTTTCAAGTGGATGAATGCTAACTGTTGGATGAAACCAACCTAGTGGATTATTAGCCGTACAACTTTCTTTGGAGTGACCTAAAGACCTTGTAGCGCCTTTGGAATGAGTTTTAGTTGATTTTGAGTCTGGCGAACTATGTGAATGAGGTTTGAGCCAATTGAGTTTATGAAACAATTTTATCAAAGCTCTGGACACCTTCATTCTATGGTGCTTTGATGGAACAGATGGAAATGGTACCATCATAGGAGTATCTGAAACATCTTTAATGTCATCAAAATTCTCTGGTATATCTCTAGTATATCTCAAAGGTATGCTCCCTGGTCTTAGTTTCTTCAAAATCATTTTACTAGAAAGACTAACTATTGTACTCCCGCCTATACTGTCATTATAGAACTCGTTATCAGCACCTGGCATAGCGCAGTCGCTGAGATAATGAACGTTAACAGACAAATACGGATAAAACAAGTACAAAAGAACTGGATATTCAACTGTAAACTCTTTATTTGGCCAAAACTTTTCTGACACCAATAAGCTTATCCACGGTATTAGTAGTCATGAACTAAGTAATAAGCGTAGCTATAAGCGTTATCTAATTTCGCAGCCACTAATGATTCATTTGTGCCAACAATCACGTGACAGAGCACGTGATACGATTTTAGTATTTTTCTGTTAAAACTGCCAGCTAATAGTTAGTCGTAGATGTTGTTGCAAAGGTTTATCTATCTTTATATTAGTAACAATGACGACTGTTATGGGAGGTTTTGAACTTGTGTATGACCCTAAGACTAAGAAGGTTTCTTTGCCCGAAGGAACGGATTTACCAGATATAAAACTCGAACTTGAACAACTCAACACTTTGACCAGCGAATTAATAAGTAATGGCAACGAAGTACCTCCTCCACCATCACAAGAAAGCTTTAATAAAGACATGAGTAAGATGATTATGAAGATGTATGAGAGTGGAGTAGGGTCGTTTAGAAAGGGCGACTACGAAGCAGCTGCCAGACAATTTTCACTTGGGATTGAAATGATAGTTAGAAGACTGAAATTTGAAGCCTTTCAAGGTACAATCCAAGAATTGACACCGTTTTTAATGAGCAGAGCTGATGCCTATTTAAAAACTAAGGAGTATTTAAAAGCTTTTAATGATGCTGATTTACTTTTAAATATGCAAATCAATGCACCAGATAACTTTTTAAGACGAGGAGTTTCCAATTACTTTTTGGAGAATTATGAAGATGCCAGAGCTGATTATCAAAGAGGATTAGCATTTGCAGAGAATAATGAGCGGTTATTATCGGAGTTGGAGATTTGTTTGGATAAGATTCTTGAAGAGAACGGAGATAAGATCTGATGTCATGCAGTCAATAGTACAAAGAGTCAGTAGTAGCAACCAGTTAGAGCGATGATGTAAATACATACACCAGTACAAAGCAGCAGCATACACCCGCCTCAGTACAGTACAGCGTACTGAGTCTGTAAAGTCAGTCCGTTGCACATAAACTACGTCATGGTGATAGCAGCAGTGTTTCTGCTAAAGTCGTGAGTGTGAGTCTTGAGTCCTGGTGCGACTGCGAGTGGCTCTGATCGTGACTGAACCAGATGTATTCTCTATAGATATACTCGTTAAAGCGCTTGGCTGGGTATCAACAGATTCTAGACTCTGTTAGCCTTATCAAATGGACGACCTTGAACTTATAGTACTAGATTCCAGTTCAGAAGAAGGCTCTATTAGTGATGGTGAAATAGATCTCGAAGCGTTAGTGGCTAAGGACCACGAACTACTAAACACAGGGACTTCACCTGGCAACATCAATACAATGCAACAGAGTGGGTATATACAACGATCCAGCAGTGACCTTAACGTATCGACAGACAGTCCCAAGAACATTCCCATCGATTCTGACCCCAACGCATCGAGGCGACCTGTCAATAATGAACCCATACAACGCCATCCACTGTCAATACAAGGCAGAAGTATGCCGCCCTTGGCAAACGGTAGGCTTGACTCCTTAAAACATAAGAGTGTTCCTCGACTCGATAACTTTGACTTCAAGTTCAACAACGGTTCTGGTGTGCCTTTGTTCCCAAAGTACGAGTATCCCACGAAACCACTAGACAGCAATATCATCTCCTTAACCAGTGATAGTGAAAGCGATACTGAAATGGAGGACGTTAGCTCTTACAGAGATAATAACACTAGTAATACTACTACTACTAATAATAATAATGGACATGGCCCCAACGCTGCACTGCTCTTAAGCTTACCGAACATATATTCTTCCAATCAATCATCAGTGGTGCTGATAAACGGCGATGCTGCTAATAGTCCTGGAATGAGACCTCCGAATGTCAGTGGCATGGACTTTCTACGCAAGGTTAGTGATGATGATGATGATGATGATGATGATGAAATTGTTATACTAGATCCCCAAGCAGCTGAGAAATCAACCCACTTTAAGAAGTCAACCTTTGAAATGTACCCTCAAAGTCCCCCACCTCAGCATCAACATCAACAATCTTCATTTATGTCGTCGATGCCAGGACTGTTCCCCCCAGACCAAGGCAGTGTGCACGGCCACCGCCAACTACATAATGTCCCTGTTGCAGTACCGCATGTGAATGAAGCATTTGCTCAAGAAGAAGCAGCTCGGAGAGAGTTACAAGTCAGGCTATCAATGCTAGAGGAAGAACGTTCAGGTTTGGCCCTGAAGATCCCTGCGTTTAATAGTGCCATTAAAAGTGCACTACAGTTATTCCAAGCTGCTTCGATCCAATTTGAAAGCATCAGAATAGAGAAGACGAACGCTAGAAAGAATGGCCTTAAATCATTGGTTAAATCTATACAAAGCAAATACGATCAAGTGGAAAGAGATTACAATAAGGCACAATCAGAGTATACCAGAGTAAGTCTGGAATTAGATACCATAAAGAGACGGAAATCATCACTAGATAACCAATGTTTTCAATTAAGAAGAAAGTTGGAATTTGCATTGAACAGTGCAGCTTCTCAATTCAGGAACTCATTATTTAATAACCAACAAGCAGCAGTAGCAGCACCGGTAACATATGTGCCAAACATTTATTCAGCAGGAAATGAACAGTTGACTGAACCTGAAATGAAGGCATGGATGTCCAAAATGTATGATGAAGAAGATCTTGATGATAGTAAGCTACCTCAAACTCCTAAGGAAATGAAGGTCAAACTAATGAAGCATCAACGAAGAGGGTTAGCGTGGCTTGTGGAAATGGAGAAAAGTACTTTCAAAGGAGGTATTCTTGCTGATGATATGGGTTTAGGTAAGACAGTGCAAACTATTGCATTAATACTTCATAATAAAGCCCAATCAACCAATAGACGTGCTTCATTAGTCATTGCACCTGTTTCTTTACTTAGACAATGGGCTCTGGAAATCGAGTCAAAGATAAACCAAGAGTTCCAACTCACAGTGGGTGTTTTCCATGGCAAGGATAAGAAATTGCTCAAGACATTTTCAGAATTAAACAAATATGACATTGTATTAACTTCCTATGGGACATTAGCTTCAGAATGGAAGAAGCATTTTAAAGAAGCCATTGAAGAATCCAAAGTCACCAAGAGACAAAATGTTTTACCAGATTTGAATTCAGGAGGAAGATCATATGTTTCACCCTTTTACGCCAAAGATGCAGTTTTCAATCGTGTGATTTTGGATGAAGCTCAAGCCATTAAGAACAAATTATCTATGAATGCCAAGTCAGTAACTTGTTTGAAGGCTGAATATCGTTTCATATTAACCGGGACTCCAATGCAAAACTCAGTGGGAGAACTCTACCCATTCTTTAGGTTTTTAAAAGCTCGGCCATACAACAATGAAGAGAGATTCAATCATGAAATAGCCATGCCTTTGAAGATCACTGGTCCTATGGATACTCCTCAAAGAGATTTAAGTCTTAAGAAATTGAGAGCCATTCTTAGGGCATTGGTGTTAAGGCGTACTAAGGATTCGAAAATAGATGGTAAACCTATTCTACAACTCCCTCCATTAAATATTACATCTGAAGGTCTTGTCATGGAGAAAGAAGAGGATGAATATTATTCCGGTTTACAATCAGATATTCAAGCTAAAGCAAAGGAGTTATTGAGTGAAAAAAAATTAGATGTTGGTTCTGGGATTTTAACTCTTTTGTTACGTTTACGTCAAGCTTGTTGCCATAGATTTTTGGTTGATGTAGGAATGATGAATGCAGCTGAGAAGCAAAATATGGAATTATCTAAAGGCGTTGAGAGCAAGATAACCAAAAAGTGTTATGAAGTCAAAGGCTTACGGCAGCAAGTTGTAGATGCCATAACCAAAGAGTACAGACAAGAAGAAGAAGATGGGATGTTTAGTTGTCCCATTTGTACCATGTTGAATACTTCAAGTTCCATGTTAATATTCAACAAGTGTGGGCACATGATTTGCCAAGATTGTGTTGATGATTTCTTTGATAGATATTTGACACTGGATGGAGGCTCTGATTCCAGTAGGAAGGCAAGTTGTATGAGTTGTCAAACAGAAGTAGAAGAAACCAAAATGATACCCCATTCAATGTTCTTTGATCTTATGGTTAAAAGATTACCCATGGAGGAAGTTATCCAGCTGCAAATCTCATCCAGCACTTCAACCACGACTCTGACCAAAGAGAAAATAGAGGAATTGATTAAAGCCAACAATGGGATGATGATTAAATCCGCTAAAATGACCAAAACTTTAGAATTGGTTAAAGATATCATGAAGAAGAACCCAGAAGAGAAGATCATTGTGTTTTCCCAATTTTTAGTATCATTTGAAGTACTTGCATTAATGTTAAAGGAAAGCAATGTTGATTTCTTGAGATACGATGGAACCATGACAATTGATGAAAAGAATAAGACAGTCAAATTATTTTACCAACTGGACATTCCCGTCTTGTTACTTTCATTGAAAGCAGGTAACGTGGGTTTAACGTTAACATGTGCTTCTCAAGTTATTTTAATGGAGCCATTTTGGAACCCATTCCCGGAGGAACAAGCTATCGGTAGAGCTCATAGAATTGGACAGAATAGAAACGTACAAGTCTATCGATTATTTACTCCTGGAACTGTGGAAGCTAGAATTGTTGAGTTACAGAAACAGAAGAAAGAACTAGCAGATGCAGCGTTAGATGAAGATGGTTTAAAGTCCATCTCCAGACTTGGAAGACAAGAATTGGGCTTTTTATTTGGGTTCAATTCCCTTGAACCTGCGGCATAGGTACCTAATTTCTAAACTTCTTCACCTTTTGCAAGTTCCTTATCCAATCAGCTTCGTCAAATAAAATATGCTCGGAATAACAAAATTCAGAGACCAATATGGTTTCAAAATCAAGATTGAACTTGGCTAAACTCCGACAAAGGTATATTAATTGGAGAATTAAACCGTCTTTTTGACTATTGTACTCCAATTCACCCATATCATCTTGATTGTTATTATTAGTTTCCGTCTGTTTTGGGAAGTGAGTTTTGAACTCTTGAACCAACATATCAGCCATGGTTTGAATAAGTTGTTGTAGGAGCAATTGACCATCGTCATCTGCACCGGAGGAATTCTCGGAGGAGGAAGGAGCATCAAAAGTAGAGAACAACAGATAGTAAAGAGAAAGACTATTGAATAGGTATTCTCTATTGACTTCAATGAATCGTTTGAGGTATGTGAACTTGTTGAATTTGATTAAAGGCTTAAGAGTAGCCAATTCGTTGGCTATGAATCTGAAACGAGAATTAAGGTAAATCATTTTAAGGTATCTTTCTTTAGCCACAATAATATCATTTGTGGAGGATGACACAAGATCTACTTTCCTTAAGATCTGGAACACTCTTAATAGTTGACTTTGTTTTAAATTGGTGTTGAGTAATTTGATCAACCCATTGACCATAAGTTTTAGTTCTTGTTCCACTTGGTTTCTAATATGACGGAAGATAACGAAATTTGGGTACTTAATAGTCAATGCTTGGGCAGTCATGGAAATTTCTAGTGATTCTTGATAATTACCTTGGGAGATACAAAGCTTGCAAAGTGTTGGAAGTTCCAAGTAATCCAAAACAGAGTCAACATTGCTTAAAACCGTACTGGTAGTCTTTATGGCGGAGATAAGCTTTTCATTGACCACTACTTTGGATTTGATAACACTTTCTTTCGTGATGATTTCTTTAATACGTTTCACATTGTCTGCATAATTGATGGTGATGTCTTTATTGATGGCATTTAAATCTTGGTTGATTTCTATGATTGTGGTTTTATTTTCATTGGTAATAGCCGTTAGTTTTATGTCTGTTTGTCGGTACTTATGATCCAATTCTGCAATTTCTTCAATTAATGTTCGCTTCTTAGATTTGGTATAATTGGTGGTGAATGTTTCTGTAGATAACAAATCGTCATTGATCAACAACGACTCCAAATAACGGGCCACTTCGTTCCGGGTCTCGGAGTCGGAAGTCAAGTTGTCCCGGAGTTTTGGTTCCAACAGCTGCAGTAGTTCGTCTAGAAGCAACGACATGATTAAAGAGGAGTGAGTGTAGTTTGTAGTTAACATTTGATCTTCCAAAGAATTATGAAGCCTATATTTATTGGTTTGGGCACGACCATAATGAGCTATAATGTAAGTTCTGCTACTCAACAGTGTAGTAGGGTCAATTAGACACCTCCAAAGAACTTAACTATAGCAGATACTTACAAAGTCAATCATATCTGCCACTTGAACATAAACATATATATACATATATACATGTGTACGTAAATGAATATACCGTGTATCTATTCTGATGCAGAGGCCGGTCGTTCCTTTACCAACACCGGTGGACAATATTCAATTGATAACCAACAATATCGAAGTCGTTATCACTATCAGCTACTCCACTACTAGTAATAAAATACAATGGAAGGGTTGTTCTTCAACGTTGACTACGGATACGTGGAAGGGGTTGTCCGTGGTTACAAGAGTGGGTTGTTGACCCGGAACCAATACGTCAACTTGACTCAATGTGATAATTTAGAGGATTTAAAGTTACAGTTATCAGCTACTGATTATGGTAACTTTTTATCCAGTTACTCTGGTCAATTATCTACATCTGTTATTCAAGAGAACTTGAGTAAGAAGTTGTACCAACAATTTCAATATTTACGTAGTAATTCCCTGGGTACCTTGAGTAAGTTTTTGGACTATATTACTTATGGATATATGATTGACAATGTACTGTTGATGATAACTGGAACATTGCATGAAAGAGATAAGTCTGAGATTTTGAGTAAATGTCATCCATTGGGTTGGTTTGATACGTTGCCTACGCTTTCAATTGCCACGGATATTGAAAGTTTATATAGTACCGTTTTGATTGATACTCCCTTGGCACCATTTTTCAAGGATTGTCTTACCGCAGATGATTTGGACGATTTAAATATTGAGATCATCAGAAACAAATTGTTCAAGAATTATTTGGAAGCCTTTGGTGAATTCATCCATAAGAACTTTGGACTGCCAGATGTGGAAATTATGGATAAGTTGTTAAGTTTTGAAGCTGATAAAAGAGTTATCAATATTAGTTTGAATTCTTTGAATAATCCAGATTTACTGTCTGAAGAGAAGTCCGCGTTATTTCCGCAGTTTGGCTTGTTATATCCGCTTTATCACCATCAATTGTCAGTGGCTGAAGACATTGAACAATTGAAGCTGCTCGTGGAGTCGGTGGCAGAATATAAAGATATCTTTAGTGAATCTGCTGATCTGACTGGTGGAGCTAGAAACTTGGAAGATTGGTTTTATTTAATAGAAATGCAGTATTGCAAGAATGCCTTTACTCAACAGTTCACAATGTCCACTGTTTGGGCTTGGTTAAGATGCAAAGAGCAAGAGATTCGGAATATTACTTGGATTGCTGAATGTATTGCTCAGAATCAAAAGAACAGAATTGATAATTATATATCTGTTTTTTAGTATCAGTCAGTGTTGTCTGTGTAAGTATTTGTCAGTAGTTTGTCTATCCTTAGTCAAGTCTGTATCAGTCCCAGTTTGTAGTTGATGGCTGTGTCGCTCACTGTCGGCCACTGTATGTCTTATTTTATCGCACTCAATACAATTACCTTACTCTACCCCCACTTCATCATGCTGTTGTTTGTTGATTCAGACGATGGGGGCACCCAGAATACCCACAGTAACGCTCCGTCACATACATTCACTTGTGCCACGACTCAAGTGGCTCATCTAGCGGAAACATTGGCTGCGGTAGCCAACATATGCTCTCAAGCGTTACTCATCATTCGTCCCACGGGTATCACCGTTTACGGAGAATACAACCATATAGTCAATGTTCAGCTCACACTAGACCCTTCGTTGTTCCGGGTATACAACTACTATGATCCTCAGACTGACAGTCAATTGGTTTCAGACATAAATTATGACAGGTCAGATATTGAAGAGCTAACACTCTGTGTCAACATTGCAGCCATTGCAGAAGCCTTTACGTCGGTGTTGGGGTCTCTGCCCCCCATGAAGAAATCGGATTCAGACTCAAGATCAACTAATTTGGTTCCACAGGGGTCAAATGGTGGTGGTGGTGGCGTACTGTGTTATATAAGTTATAATGGTGAAGGTCATCCGTTGGTCGTAGAGTTTGAAGATTCTTTACTAACTGAGAAGGTAGAGTTTCTAACCTTCTATTCAGATATTTATTACCCCTACAATGATGATGATGATGACGATGAAAAAGAGTTACCATATAAACTCGTAGTGGATCACAGTAACATACAATATGAAGTCATCGTTAGAAGCGACGTTCTATACAACATTCTTCACGACCTTAACAAGATCAACACAGAAGAAATGTTTGTGTTTATATCCAATGAAAGAAAGAAATTGGGCTACAGAGATCCACTACAGCTTACAACGTCATTACCCAACAGTAATATCTCATTTATTGATAACCAACTTAACTTTATTTCCAAGGGTCCCATTGGGTTTCTGAAGTTACTTTATCCCAATGATCGAACAGTACTTGAGAAATTGGTCATCTATGAACAGCAAGATGTTGTAGGTCCAGATGGTCTTCAAAGTACAAGAGAGCTTAAGAAAGTGAATTCATCTTTAATCACCAGTTACAAATTTGATAACTTCATAAAGATCCTTTCAGGCGTTCGTCTATCCACTAAGTGCAAAATCATGAAGGATTTCAATGGTATTTTATCGGTACAACTTCTCTGTAAAAATGTCCGATTACCAAACTACAGTGGCTCGTTGATAACCTTCAACATGTTGGAATTGGTTACCATGGATAGCAATAATGATAATGATAACGACAAAAATGATTTATCGTACATTACCCTTAATAATATCTTTGATGATGATTTATATGAATACGTTAAGGAGTATGGAGGTAAGAAATCAATACAATACAATATTGATCTTGATGATCATCAAAATCAAGGAATCGAATTACCATTGTTTCTTTAAAGATATGTGACTTTGAAGGCCATTTTAATGGTTTCAGATATCTTCTCCCTAATGTTAATCTTCTTCAAATTAATAAATTTGGATGCAAGAAATGCAATTAAAATTGTGGCCAAAATTATAATAGCATTCTCTTTCATAAACTCTTGAGATACTGAAGCCAAATAAGTTATTCTGGAGGTTAATTTAGAAACTAAGGAAATTGATGATGAATTTGATGAAATTCTCTGTTGTCGATTATTCAAAGATGAATCTTTCATATAAGAGTCATTAATTTCTTTAATGGCTCTATTCTTTTGAAGTCTTTCCTTTTCTAACTCCTTCTTCCGAAGAATCTCCTTGGCTTTTATTTCTTGCTCCAACTTCTTTCTTTCCACCTCCATTTTCCTTTCTTCTTCAGCTTTTGCACGTTGATTCTGACGAATGCGGTCCAACTTGGTTTGAGATTCACTCATCTTATTCACATAAACTGGGTGCTGGGTAATTATAAGCTCTGCACGGTCAAACATGTTGTAAGCTGGCAATACCTGGAATACAAATAAATCCACCAATTTCTTTAAAGTCGGATCTTGTCCACTAGAATGAACTGTATCCAAGGCACTTTGAAACTTCTTAACAAGTTCAGTATCTTGATTTTCAGAGTATATTTGGTTCCGAAGTACAAACTCAGCAGAAAGCAATGTATACCAAATATCACAAGGTATGTCTTGTTCAAATTGGTGCTCATACAAATCTTGCAATTGATAATGAAGAGTGTCGTTCTTCAAACTGGCCAATGCCGCTTTCTTTGCACCATAATCCATTCCGGCATCATCCCGAGAGAATATGGTCCCTATTTCCGTCAAATAGAGCTTGACAATATTACCAACAAGTGCAACAGGTAGATGAAGTGGTTGGGTGGTAATTATATCATTATAAAGTTGACGAATGTGTTGGAAAGACTTATCAAAGTTTCTGCTAACAAAAAGCTTCAAAGCCAACTGATACCGTGATTCGGCAACTCCCTTACTAATCATTATAACAAACAAACAAATCAATCAATCAGTGACTACCGAAGAATGAACAAGTTGATTATGCGGTTATCTTTGCTTACCACGCTTTCCATATATACTTCTCTTTGTTTGGTATGTGCACGCTTTTGTGGGGTCCACCTCATTTTCCTCGGTGTCAAACACAAGCTATTAGATAGTCCGATGACTGCATTGTTCATATCGTGTAATACCGAGATCGAGTTCGACATGGTGCCGATAAGTCTTGAAGAAATAATTGAGTCAGAATCCGACACTACATCAGCAAGGCCAAAGTTTCTTAGTAAAGCTCAAAGGTTAAAGCTTAAGGAACAACGATCTCAAAAAGATAAAGATGTAAAGTCGGTACAAAGGGTACCCGTTCGGAAACGAGTGTCTCCTATGGTAGAAGAAATAGATGAAGATAATAACAATACAATAATCCAATCCAAGAAGAAGAGAAACCCTCAAAAGAGGTTTGCATTTGATTGGAATGAAGAAGATGACACTTCAGCTGACTTTGAACCATTGGTAGCTTTACCCAAACGGAAATTAGATATAGATTTGGATGATGCGGATGATTCACGGGCTGTTGAAACGCAACATTGGTCCAAGAAACCGTTGGAGAAGATGACACTTCGAGACTGGAGGATTCTAAGAGACGATTTTAATATTTTGGCAAAAGGTGGAGGTGAAATAGCCAATCCACTTAGGAATTGGAAAGAAGCACATCTTCCTCAACAACTCGAAGATACTTTAATTACTAAGCTTGGTTATGAGGTTCCTACCCCAATACAAAGAGCTGCTATTCCTGTTTCCTTAAGTCACAGGGATGTTGTGGGTGTAGCAGAGACTGGATCTGGGAAAACCCTTGGATTTTTAATCCCATTGCTACATTACATTCTTCACATTGAAGATCAATATCTACGTCATGAACATACAATGGAATCGAATTACAATCAATGTCTTGGTTTAATACTTGCCCCTACCAGAGAATTGGCTATACAAATTACTGAAGTAGCCCTTAAATTTGGTAAACTACTACATTTACAAGTGGTTCAAATCATTGGGGGCCATACTTATGAAGAACAAGTACATTCAGTCAACCAAGGAGTCCATATAGTTGTTGGGACACCAGGGAGAATATTGGATGCAATGGAAAGAGGGATTATAGGTTTGAGCAAGTGTTATTACGTGGTAATGGATGAAGCAGATAGAATGATCGATATGGGGTTTGAAAAACAAGTGATGGCTATAATGGATAAACTTCCTACAACCAAACAATTGATTAATAGTCTTGATCGGACTATATTTGGAACTAATAAACGGATTTCAATGATGTTTACTGCTACTATATCTCCGCCTATAGAGAAGATGACCAAGATTTATTTGGAGAACCCTGCCTTTTTGTTCATTGGAAATGCAAATAAAGCTGTGGATACCATAACTCAAGATTTTTATTACAATGATTTACCATCAACGGAAGATGGATATGAATTACACAATAGTGAACGATTTGGAAAGTTGGTGTCGATACTTCGTTCCCATATTAAACTGTGTCAAAGTTCCGGTGGTGGTGGTGCTGTCAAACCAAGTATTATTATATTTGCCAACTATAAGAAGACATGCGATGCTATTGGATATGAATTGGGAAACTGTGGATTCCAAGACTCCGTAGTAATCCATGGTTCCAAATCACAAGAAGCCAGAGAACGGGCCATTCAAGATTTTAGATCTCAAAAAGCTAACATATTAATTGCTACAGATGTTGCAGCTAGAGGTATCGATATTCCTAATGTGACTCTTGTGGTAAATTACCAAATGCCCTCTAAATTTGATGAATATATTCATCGTATAGGTAGAACAGGCAGAGCAGGTAATCAAGGGAACAGTTATTCATTTGTGGATGATTCTAATTCAGATATTCTTGTTCCCTTAAAGAAGTTTTTAACTAAAGGAGGCATGAAATGTCCTCGATGGTTACTGAGTCACCAAGCCACAGAAACAAGATACTTGAAGGACTAACTTTGAAGAATTCTATTAATTCTTGATTGAAGGTCAGGTGAGATTTTGATATTGGAAGAACGAAGTTTATTTAAGGTTTCTGGATTGAAAAAGGTTGATGTTCGTTTTTTCTTTATTACCAAAGCAGTTTCATCATCAGAAAGGGGTCTTTTCGAATCATTCTCCTCATAATTATCATCATCACCATGTCCTGTTTCATCTTTATCTTGTTCTGTTTCATCATTACTTTGTTCTGTTTCATCATTAACTTGTTGTTTTAATAATCCCTTGACTAACTCAATAGCTTCATTGTTCACTCTATTCTGTTCTTCCTTCCTGGCTTCTGCACTGGGATCTTCATGAGCCCATTTGATTTGCAATATTTCCCCACCTCCTAGACTTTGTGCTTGCATTGCTTCCTTTGCAAATTGAGCCAGGACTTCCCATCGATACCTTATAAAAGCGCATCCTTTACCATGAAGAACTCGGACCTTCTCAATAGGACCAAACTCTCCAAACACTTTACTAAGATGAGATTCAAGATCTTTCAATCCAGAAAGTCCAGCAACAAACAATGTGGGATTATACCGTTTGAACAGTCCAACTCCTCCCATGTCTTCTTGATAGGTGCTTGTTTTATCTCTACCAAAGCAATCCATGGTAGGTATCTTGAAGTCTTCTCCAGTAGGAAGTCTATGCCAATACTGACAAGTTGATCCTCGATCACAACACCCCCGCGCAAAATATATACATATATTCAGTGATCCTTGAGCTCTAGTATGACCCGTATCTTTTAAGATATTAACTCTATAAGGTGAATTTGTTGTTGGTCTTCCCTTGTTCGAAGAGTCACCACCACTCCATCGCTGATACCAAATATTGTATATTGTTCCTTGCGGTGCGGAGGTATTACTGTCTGCGGAACCAGGGTCGACTTGCAATCTTGCAGGTCGTTTTAGAAGCTTTTTAAAATCCATTAGAGGTGTTGATATAGGGGGTATTCTTGCTGTTGTGTATGACTGTGCTTTACTTGTAAATTTGTTAATTGAATAAGTACGCGCTACCTACCATAAGTCACAAGTAATCTGGTTAATCACGTGATGATACCTCGGTGTATCCCATTTGGGAAAGTTGGACCGCGTTCCCCGCATGAGGTAAGTGGTGCCGTAGTTAGCGCAGTGACCCCAATTATCAGAACCATTTATCGCGAAATGTAGCCTAATTAGGCAGGTGCTTCCAGGACTTTTCAATGATAAGTACTTTTGTGTGAGATGCATAGGAAAGTATATAAGCATCGATTAAAGACTATAAATGTAAGTTTCCTGATACTATCATCATTAATTTACATTACTAATACCATCCAATATTATGTGCGGAAAGACTAACACCAGTGCTCCAGTTGCTTCTACTGGTTCATCTAAACCAAAGGCATGCTGCGGTGCCAGTTGTAAGTGTGGATCTGGATGTCAATGTCCATCATGCAACACTACAAAGTTATAAGCGGGATTACGGAACAAATTATATATATCTATTTATTAATACAGGTTTAAGAATAATATTAATGTAGTACATGATACAGCAATGACTGTCATTTTAACGCAGACATTTTCTCATTACAGTGATTAAACAATTACAGATAACCATTCACCATACATATATTCCTATAAACTACTTTCTAGGACTGAGTTCCAAAACCTCCTTCTTGATGGCAGCACCCAAGTCAGGATGAATCTTAGTAAAGTAGGCAAAAACTCTGTCTTGGATAGCAGGTTCAGCACCACTTGCATGAACAGCAACATTGTGAGCCAAGTTACGTTGAGCATTAGGATACTTAGCCAAAACATTATACAAGGCAGTGGCTTGAGTGAACTCAGCATCAGTGGCCTTCCAGTGGAAGGGGCATGCAGCACCATTCCAAACTTCTTGATCTTCTTGGATTGAAAATTGCTTGTATTCAATATCAGTTCTTAATTTGGAGTGATAGTTTGGAGCTGAACCCAAGTTGCCATTGACAGTCATGTGACCATCACGTTGATGAGGGTTATAAACTCCAGTAACAGGACAATTGACAGGAATTTGGGTATAGTTTGTACCCAATCTATGACGATGAGTGTCAGCATATGAAAACAAACGGGATTGTAAAACAGGATCTGCTGATGGTTCCATGTAAGGAACAGTATGAGCAGGAGCAAACGCAGCTTGTTCAACTTCAGCAAAGTAATTCTTTGGGTTTTCATTCAAAACCAACTTACCAACTCTACGCATTGGGTAATCCTTGTGGGGCCAAACCTTGGTCAAATCAAACACAGAGAATGGTGCTTGTTTAGCTTGCTCTGAAGTCATGGTTTGAATGTACATAGTCCAAGAGGGAGCATTACCCTTTGCAATATTCTTGAACAAATCTTCCATAGCGTGATCTGGATTGGTACCTGCTAAAGCAGTAGCTTCTTCATTGGTCAAAGTGTGGTTACCTTGGTCAGAGATCAAGTGAACTTGAACATAGACCCATTTACCATCCTTAGTAGACCATTTGTAACTGTGACCAGAGTAACCATTCATTTCTCTGAAAGAGCGTGGAGTACCTCTGTCTGAGAACAAAACGGTAACTTGATGGGCAGATTCTTCATTGGCAGTCAAGTAATCCCAAAACATGTTTGGATCTTTCAAATGAGTTTCTGGGTTTCTCTTTTGGGTGTGGATAAAGTGGGGGAACTTGGTGGGGTCTCTCAAAAAGAAAACTGGGGTATTATTGTACACCAAATCCAAGTTACCTTCATCAGTGTACAACTTAATAGCGAAACCTCTTGGATCTCTGGCAGAATCAGCAGAACCCATTTCACCACCAACAGTGGAGAAACGAACAAAAGCCTTGGTCTTCTTGCCTACAGATTGGAGGAAATCAGAAGAACAAACATCGGAAATGTCATCCGTGACTTCAAAGTATCCAAAGGCACCAGCTCCCTTAGCATGAACCACTCTTTCAGGAATCCGTTCTCTATCGAAATGAGCAAGCGAATCAATCAAGTTAAAGTCTTGTAAAAGAAGAGGACCATGTTGTCCGACTCTTTGAGAGGCGAAAGGGTCTGGAATGGGACACCCGTTGGAATTAGTGTAAGTTGGAGCCATGTTTATATAGAATACAGTTGCTAAGAAATGTTGTTGCTATTACAGGACGACAGATTGGCTGGTACTTATATAGTGTCTCCACATTTCGGGTGCTGGAAATGTCTGATTTTCTCCATGAAATGTCTGGATGCGCCTCTATCACAGGCTTTGGAAATGAGTTCTTTGGTGGGGTGGTGGGGGGAAGAGAGGGGGGGTCGTTCCAGACATTTTTATCCTCATCCATGGGTCATGACATAATAGGCAGTTGTCATTAAGTGTATGCTCGCTACTACTAGCTAGCTCTAGACCCGGGTCCAGCCCCTAGGAAAACGTGGTAATGTATGTAATAGTTAATGACTCACGGCTCTTTGGAGTTGTTCCCATATGTCAGCAGTCGTAAAAGAGTGGAGTAGAGTACCGTAACAACGGCACATGTGTGCCTTAGGTGATGAGTTTATAATATTAGAGCTATTACTATGATAGACCGCTCTAGACTAACAGTAATAGATTGCTATGGTCTGGAACTTTGGCTTACAAATATATGGCGGGACTAAGGAAACATTTTTCAGACACAGGGAACTGGTTTCCGCGTTTGGAAGTTGTGGTTGTAAATTCAGACAAAAGATTGCTAACAAGTGGGCTTTTATTGGTGCCCATTTTCAGACATCGCACAACTCCGATGCCATATCCTCGGCTCAGTGAGTGCTACCACAGGCAACTACACCTTAATAGTACTGTTGGTACTGTTTGTTGCCAATATCTGATACTCCATTGGTTCACATACGAATACGTTTATAGAATCTTGTACAATGACTATGCTCTGGACAGACTATACGTGGAAACACTATATTATTGGTATGTATATACCGAGGCAAAAGCCGCACCTCTTATCAAGCGCTCTCCCCTTTCCCTATTTGGGAAAGGCCATCCTGGCTCAGTTCTGTTCAGCTCAACTTATATTAACTAACTATCATAACAAACTTTAGTTATCAGGTTGTGTTCTTGATGTATTTTGTCTCCAATTGATGAACCTTTCAGTTAATAATTGACCTGATCTCAATTGAGCATTTTGCTCGTCACTTGCACTTTCCAATCGTAATTGTTGTCTGCCTTGATCAATGACTAATAAGTAACTCTTACCATCACTCACTTCTTGTTTCAACCATGAAAGAATTGATCCATACCATTTCAATGCTTGCATACAATTGACCCGTTTATGCACAGGGTTTTTATTCACGGGATTCTCTTTGATCATTTTAGGTACTTCCTCTGTCAGATAACTTTCAACAGTGCGTAACACCAATTTGGCATCACGAAACCCATAAACAATCTTTTTAACTCCAATTAGGAAGCATTGGGCCCAAGTACGAAACAATTTGGTCTCAAATTGAAGCATTTGTTTGGGTGTTTCAATGGTTCTACTGGTCTTCAATTCAACATAATGATCCAATACTTGTTTGAACCCTTTTTCAGAGGGCATGTAATCCCAAACGCAATCGACTTCTGCTCCCATCAAAACTTTAATATCATGGATTCCAGTCCTTACTCCTACCAAGTATTGTTCGTAGTTATTAACTTGTTTCTGGTATCTTTGACTTAATTCTGTACGAGTGGTTTCAGACCATGGTTTATCCATAGTCGCAATCGTCTCGAATTTATACCCACTATATTCACACTTGGCTCTGTATTCATCTGGAGGTGCGCTCCTCTCTCGTTGTAATCGTTTGCTTTCATACTCAGCATTCTCAGCAATGAAAACTTGTCCATCAAATCCTACTACTGAACACGTATACTCATCATCCTGTTCATTATTATTATCGCCATCATAAATGGCCGTCATCAATTTGCGCATAACTCCACGGAATGCAATCACATCAACATCAACCTTCTTTTGTTCGTGTTGTTCCCATTGCTCCAATGCAATGAGAAATTGATCAAATTGTGCTAAATTATCTTCAAGAGGAATCTTTTGAAATTTGGCAATCCCGGCAGAAAGATCAATCCCTCTATCTAACTCACTATCTGGTAAGTAATAGTATTTCACATGGTTCTTTCTAACTTCTTCTTCATCAAATAAAAACTTGTTGTCGATATCCCGAGCATAACAAAACAATTGCTTGGGTTGCTTAAGCGCAGTGGTCTGTGATCTTGAACTGAAGGGAAGAACCGACATCGTTTTCTGCTTTAAATATCTGGTGAAGGGCTTGAATTAAACGAGTATATTGATGGCTTAATTTGGGTACAGATGACCTGGGCGCTACCATATAGTTATCACCAACTTTACTATTGGAATATTTTAACTATATAATCCAACTATAGTAGCACAGATAGATAGTTAACTACTTTTCTTATTGAAGATTGTTTCTATCAAGCATACATATACAGCATTCGTCATATTTTCTACATACTCATATTCAGGATTTTTCGTTCAGTATTCAATCATTCGGTACTCATTCAATTCAGTTCAACTTACTTTTGAGTCACGTGACACCACTTGTCAATCTGCTAGGAAAATTTTTGATAAAGTATTGTGCATCAAACACCACTACAACCGTTCAAATTATACCCATTAAATACCCATGAACGCAAAGAAGAACGTGCTTGTTAAGTTGATAGTGGGTGCAGGACAAGCAGCCCCTGCTCCTCCAGTTGGTCCAGCGTTGGGTTCCAAAGGTGTTAAGGCTATTGACTTTTGTAAAGAATTCAATGCTAGAACAGCCAATTTAAACCCCGGTACTCCTATTCCATGTCTTTTAACCATTAAACCAGATAGATCCTTTACATTTGAAATGAAGAGTCCTCCTACTTCATGGCTTATTCTCAAAGCTGCTGGAGCTTCTAAGGGTGCTGATACACCTGGTCTGCAGAGCGTAGGTAGGATCAGTTTAAAGCATGTATATGAAATTGCAAAGATTAAAAAGACTGATGAAAGACACAAGCAACTAGAATTGAAAGCCATATGTCAAGCCATTATCTCCACTGCTAAGGCTGTTGGTGTTGAAGTTGTGCTTTAAACCTTTGATGGTTCTCTACTTGTACATACATAGAATAACTAACACTATATGAATAGTATATTATTAAATACAAAGTAAAATGCAATACGTATACAAAGTAATATGTCATTATTATTATTATTATTATTATTATTATTATTATTATTATTATTATTATTATTATTATTATTATTATTATTATTATTATTATTATTATTGTTCCTATTATTTCTTCTTATCAAAAGCTGCGATATGAGCTTTAGAAGCTTCAACAGTTGTATGTTCATGATCAGTACCTCTAACCACTGTGAAAGGACCATCTGTAGCATTCGTATCTTCAATGGTACACATATGAACTCCCTGTAACCAAGAGTCTTCAAAGATATCATCAATGGTAATACGACAAGCGGGTGGCAATTCAACCATCCGACCAATTAATGGACGACAATCTTCGGGTAATGCAAGTAAAAGTCTTCCTGGTCCTGATTCAGTTGATGTGTGAGCCTTACCATCACGAACTTCTTCTGTGGGGAGTGCTTGAGACGTAGTATCATCATTATTAATATTTTCAATTTCATCAAGAGTCCTTTGGATAACTTCCAAATTACTGAGGCCTGAGTTTAACAGTGGAGTTCTCTTAAGAATCTCGGCCATAGGAACAAACTCATTTCTAGAAGCAAACAGTTTGAAACTTGAATCAGATAACTTGGGAACTTTCCATGGGAACTTCTTCAACATCATGCAACAATATATAATAGCAACAGACCAAATATCAACTGGTCTGGGGTCATATTTATTGAACACACAAACTTCAGGAGCTAAATAAGGATCAGACCCAACAATCCCTTGAGCTTCTATAAGTGTTTTGGAAAATGGATAAGAAAATACAACTGCAGACCCAAAATCAATAATCTTAACAATACCACGTTTATCAATGACACAATTATCCAATTTTAAATCACGATGAGCTAAACCCATCAGATGCAAATAATGAACCCCATTAAGAATTTGTTTGAAACAACAATTAATTTCTTCACGAGACATTTTGTTTGACATGACAATAGCAAACAAATCAAAGTCACAATATTCCATAACTTGAAACATTCTATCATTCTCGTATGCAATTTCTATAGTTTCAATGATATTGGGATGTTTTAATGTTGAACCAATACAATATTCACCCATGATTTTTTTGGCATAGTCTCTACGACTTTCATTTTGATATTTGGCTCGGAATTCTTTAACAGCACAAGTTTGCTTGTCTACCATACGGGTTACCAATCTAACAGATCCACCGGCACCAGCACCCAATGCATCTCCTAATTTTCCGTAACGTTTCAGAAATGGAACTTGATTAATTCCATTTGGTAGGTTAGCAGATGACCCACGTCTGGAATCCAAGCCATTACCATACGTTGAATTCGATCTGCTTATTGATCCTGTAGCATTTATGCCTGGTGGGCCATTAGATGGAACATGAAACCCAACTTGTGGTGAAGGACTTGAAGGCATTGCACTTGAAGCATTAGATCCAGTGGAATGAATTGATTGTCCACCATATGAAGATCCAAGATGGAAAGTTGCATTACCTGAATTTTGATCAGAAAAAGATCCACTTACCGGACCAGATGTCACAGAGCCATTACCTGATCTCATAGAAGAAGGCATGTTTGAATGATTGGAAGGAGAAGTGTTGCTAGATTTTTTGAAAAATCTTTTTAAATTGGCCATAGAATTATGACGGGAAGCAGATAATGTATATGACTCTGACAGTGAAATCAGAGTAGGAGATGATCCAATTGGCTCAGAATTAACATTATAGTTATTATTGTAGAATGCACTCAAGTCACTTGATGACAGTGAGTTCTTCTTGCCAGAAGATTTATTTTTGGAAAACAAATAAGACAAAGATGACTGAGATCCCGAGCGATGAGAAGAAGATAGGTTTGCAGCAGCAGCTTGAGCCTGAGCTTGTTGGACTCTTTGTTTTGAAATCACAAATCTTGGTTCTATGGAAGCCACATTACTAACTGATGGAGATTGAATGTGAGTAGACAGAATGACTTGGCCATTAGGTAAATTAGGCAAATATGAATATGAAGCATTTGGAGTTGTGTTATTGCTTTGATTCTCAGATATGGAATTATTACGGGAAAGCCCACTGGTACTGATGGAAGGGGAATTTGCAGTTGCTGCCGCAACATTGACGTTTGCATTTGCAAATGATGAATTGCTTGTGTACGAAGACGACATATTTGAAGAACGACCACCAGGGGCACTATAGGGAATTGAAGAAGATAAACTTTCAGCAGCGAAGGCATGGAATGAACTATGAGATACCGAGTTATTACGTTGGATCCTAGGACTAGCGGAAATCGGTACTTTTTTCAAATTCGAAGATGATGAATGAGAATGAGTTTGAGTGTAAGGAGGAGGGGGCACCAATGCTGATGAACCACCCTGAGGCAGCACCAGTTGTGGATCGTTTGAGTCCTCAACTTGGGATTGATCTGCATTGTGTGGAGGGAAGGAAAGCATGGAAGAAGTTCTTGGAGATGAATCAAAAAAAGTAGCTGCATTTGTTGGAGAAGCCAATGTTGTTGGAGGAGCAGTTTTCTGTTTCAAATTAGGGGTGATGAATCCTCCTCCTGTAGTAGACAAGGGAGATGCAGACTTTGGTTCTGGAATAACATCCAATTTAACGTCTTCTTCAATGGTTGTAATTTCTCTGGGAATGGGAGTTGTTTGAGAGTCCAAGGAATCCATAACATGTAATGCATTGCCCCCCTTCCCTGGAGTAGTTGAGAAGGGAGTTGGTGGAACACTATCACCAGCAGTAACAGAAGCTGGTGTTTCACTTGACGGAACATCGAGAGTTATAACCCCTGAAGAATCTGAAGAAGGTGTGTCTGGTATTTCGTTTAAAGAGGTCTGAGAGCCTGATTCTGAAGCCGACTCGTTCAACAAACGAGTTAAAGACAGCACCGCGGATTTGGTCAGTTTATTGGCTGGACCTGGATTAGTTGACGACGCAGCGGAGGAGGAGGAAGCTGGAGGGGTGGTATCACTGGTTGTAGCCGAGATAGTTGTTGTTGATGTGGCAGTCGCTGGGGCAGTTGAAGCCGCCTTCGCCACGGGGGACGGTGAAGAAGTTCTTGTCATGCGTTGTTGATGAACTTCCATAATGACAAAATGACTAACTATAGGAGTAATTGATTAATTGATCACACACAAATAATAAGTAGCAAGTGATAAGAAACAATCTGATAATTTTATCAACAAAAGGTTTGCAAGCTTCAAATGTCAAAGTACATCAAAATAAAGCAATGATCAACAAGTTATAGCTGATGGTGGGTGGGCGAAAAGAGTTCGGTTAGAGCGATAAATTAATAGGCCGAATCGCTGGAACTGATAAGAGAATTTTTGATTTCGCACTTAGGAAAACGAACCACAAAACTATAGGCCAAGAGGAGGAAGACAGTAATACTGATGGCAATAACGGCGATAGTAGATAGTAGTTATGAAGTTGATGGTGTCGATGTCGGTGATGATAGTAACAAGTTTATATTGAACGTGCTCTGATGAAGCTTGAATGAAGTCGGACAAATAGATTGTCGCCTCTTTTGTGGATGAGACAAATTCTTTATGAGGGGCTTTCGAGGTGTTCCTCTGCTAACTAGTACACTATTATTCGGGGTGATTGCATTGTGCGCGTCCTACATGTATGAATCTATATAATATGATTATACGTACATGTGCCTTATAGGTATTGTATATATGACCCTGTAATCTGCTGGAGCTATAGAGATGGATGGGGCTTGTTGGCTGATCTCGATCATCAAGTACACGACTTAGTCTCAATAGCACTCTGTGATTGGGGGAGATAATCAGTTCCAGTTGATAGCTACTCGGATAAATATCCGTAGTATCAATATCCGGATACAATAATTAATGCTGAGTATAATTAAAATAGGAGTGAAAAGTGATACTCTCACGTTATATTGTTTACAAAACTGTAGGGCATTTATTGTATTCTTTTTTTAAAGGTGTTGCCGTTAAGAGGTTGAAAATATCCTAAACTGTATGGACGAGCCGGCCCGTATTGTCTTCCACTGTGGGGTACTCTGTAACATTCGCATAACACATATTTTATACCACTACAATTTCTCTTTAAAGCGTTCGATTCAATGTGAGGGGAGAATTTTGAGCGAGTGGACAGAGTTGACTTGTGTTTGGCGGCTCGCTAGCGGGACCCTATTTAGGTCACCACCCAACTCCGAGCCGCTTTTGTTACACCTAAGCTAAGGCTAACTGTAAATGGATGTTACTACTACTGATGGTGATGTAGAATGATGTAAACCTTTATTGATATTTATTATACTTTTTTACCCTTCCTCTTGGTGGGATTGGATGCTTTACCAACAATTGAATCCACCGTTTGGTCTGGAAATAAGGGCAATTCCTTTGAACTGAGTTGTTGTCCCATTCCAATCAGGTTTCTTAGTTCATTAATTCTACTATCTAATTCCCCAACTGTTTTGGGCTTCTCATTAATATAATGTTTCTCCTTGGATTCTGTGGTCTTCTTCTTGTTGTTCTTATTTTTGTCATCTTTATTTTGCTTCAACTCTTGTTTCTTTCTTTCAATAGCCAGTTGTTTCTCAAGAGTAGTGATCAATTGTTCGGTCTTGGTAAACAACTCATCTTGGAATTCTTCACTCTGATATTCCCTTCTACTTCCCTCTTTCAAAATTCTACACTCTTGAACAAGATTTCCTCCGTCACCTTTAGCAAATATAGGAGCATACAACGCAAACAACACCGATTGGGCACCTTGGAAAGGAGATTTGAAAATAATAAACCATAATGGCCAGAGAATCATATAACATATTAATCCCAAAAGACTTCCCATTGAAATGAATCGTCTCATGGATTGAGTTCTCATCAATCCAGGATTAACAATACTTATTTTGACATTCACTGGATTTTTATCCTTTCTTTCGTAGACATTCAATTGTCTTTGATACGATTTGGCAAATAATCCGAGCATCAATTTTGAAGTACCATATACTTTAAGTGGGTTCCCCTTAGGATATTGCCTTTCGCTCCAAAGTAAATCCTTGAAATCAATTTGTGCCATAGCCTGTGAGCTACAAGTTGTGATAACAACTCTAACATCTCTATCAGCAGGTTGAACTTTGAAACTTGGTGCCAACAACGTAAGCAAATGGAAATGAGCCAAATAATTTATAGCAATTTGACGTTCTACTCCATCAATAGTAATTTGTCTCGGCTTACCTCTAGGGATTAATTCTCCAGCGCAACATACAACACCATCCAAACGACGTGGAGGAGAATTATCTAACCATTTGGTAGCAAATAATCTAACGCTATGTAACGAAGCCAAATCACATTCTTCGGCATAGATTAAGGGATTATTTGTCTTTTCTCTCATATCTTCAATATAATCCACTAACCATTGATCTTCAGTAGATCTAACCAACATCAAAATTTGCGCTCCTTTTTGAGCCATCTCAAACGTAGTACGTGCTCCCAAGCCACTGGTACCTCCTGTAACCATATATACCTTACCATGAAGATCTCTATCCCAAATATTGTTATTGCCTCCCATATACCATTTGATTCCTGCTAAGAGGGTCACCGCAGGTCCATATGTCTTGATTTGTTCCCAATATGGAATATCTGTTCCGTCCAAAAAGACACTACCAAGGAAGTCAATTGGCATGCTATCCCGCTTTGTTATTACTACTCAAGTGATTATAAAGGGATGATGTAATGGGATATTAATTAATAGTAAAGTGTCTTGTTAAGTGGGTCTCAGTCTTTTTTCGATTGCCTACGCGTGAAATGTCACGTGACTATTCTATTGCTAATTGAGAGCTCATCTCATCACTGATATCACTGTTATAGTAATAGCTAGCTATTTACAGTTGGAAATAAATACCACCAACTTCTTCAAGTCATCATGGATGAAGCAGTGTTTTATGTTGCAGAGGGAGATCCAGCGGACAAACACTCTCAAGAATCAATAGCATATCATGTCTCAGTTCATGGCCATCAACAACACGCAGCATTTAAACTTGCAAATGCCCCACAGAATGGAGCAGTTTTAACAGGCACTGGTCCTCAAGAAAGACTCTTTGTTGCCCAGAAAAAGAAAGCATTGATAAACGTATATTCTTGGGGTAAAGAGTCCATAGACCAGAGAATACCTGTTCCTGAAGAAATTTCGTGCTTAACTCTTGTTCACCATCCAAATACCACTACTGCTATAAACAACCCACATGAATTGGCTAACTTCAGACTTCCATGGTTGTTGGTTGCAGGATCTCCTACAGGGAAGCTTTATGTGTGGGAGCTTTCCAGTGGAGCATTATTATGTGTTAAACATGCTCATTATCAAGGTATGCGTAAAGCAGTGGTTACCAGATGCGGTACGTTCATCATTACTGTTGGTGATGATGGAAGATGTATGGTTTGGCGTACGATTGATTTAATCAGCTTTACTGACAAGGCCCAATCTGATGTTAGTACCAATGCACTTTTCCATTCAATGGCAGACCATACTCTCCCTATTACAGATGTGGTGCTTTCACCTACTGGACAGTTACAAGATTTAAAAGTTTATACTAGTTCTCAGGATGGAACTGTTAGAGAATATGACTTATTAACAAAGCAACTTGTTACTACATTTGTATTGCCTAATCCTGTGACATCTCTTTGCTTGGATCCCGCATCAAGACTTCTTTATTGTGGGTTGAATAATGGTGTTATACGATCAGTGCCTATGTATACTGTGAATAAGCACAATCAAACATTAGAGCATATAGGAGGATTAGGATCTATTGTTACTGTTTCAGAAAACGATCCCAACTTGGAGTTCACATTTGTTAACCATCAAAGTAATGATAGCGAGACCTTGGTGACTCAACTTAAAGTATCTCTTGACGGTACTTTATTAATAAGTGGTGATAGTAAAGGTCGCGTGCTCATAAGTGATATTATTTCTAAGCAAGTGATTAAGAGTTTGACTTCGTTAAATTCTTCCATAAGTTTCATAGAAACCCAAGTGTTACCTTCGGACTTTAATGATAGTGGGTTACTTAGAGGCGACAAGAAGCACAGATTGATTCCCAATTTAAAGAGAATATTGGCTGGTGGAGAAGAAAGACATAAGCACGAATTAAATATTCAAATCACTGATGAAGTGGAGGAACATGATGATTTCCATTCATGGTTGGCCCAAAAGAGTAGGGAGGAATTGGAGTTCAAGAACTTATCTGATGTCAATTCACAAATAACATCTGCTGATGTTGAATCATCAAACTCTACTGAATTGCAACTGAAATTAGATAAAATCTCAGCTGCATACACCGCACTTAGAAAGAACCATGAAGACTTATTTGAAAAATATAAGGCAGTCATCAATGATTAGTTTATATCATCACCTTTATTAAAATTAACAATGTTAATACATGTACACTACAAAAAATTAAGTTAACCTATTACCGAAATGACCGAAATGAATTTTACTCACAAAATCCTTCAATCATTTTCTTCCTGGCGACAATGGCCTGTTAAACCCTTTCTCACGATTCATATATTGCCTGTAATCTGTTGAAACAACTCTCCCTACTGCCCCACCTTGTGTTCCCGCTACAGACTTACCCTTTGTAGTACCAAACCCACTAAAACCCATAAGACTAAACATCTCGTCATCATCTTCCATATCTCCAAGCAGTTGAGGTAGATCTTTGATAATGGTTTTCTGCTTCCCTGGAGAATGTGTGGGTGCTTTATTAACATCTACAGATTTTTCTTCACGAGACCTACCTCTTTCATCCTGTTCAACTTCTAATTCTCGATTATGATGAGGCCTTGACGGTGTTTTGTTCGAGTCAACATGAAACCTGAAAATCTCTGCTCGTTGGAGCGTGTCACCGGATCGTTCATTGGACCTGTCCCGGTAGTTTATATCATCATTTTCATTATTCTTTGGTCGACGTAATGGTGATAACAGAGTGCTATGGGGGTTGCAGTGAGCAGTTGAAGTAACGGATGGCAGTCGTGATCTTATTGAAACAGTTGTCCCCGATGTTGGCACTTTGCCATCACTGAGTCTCTTAGACATGGATGCCGATTACGAATCAACAACTGAATAGGTGGGATAGACCATTGGTAATGTTTACTTATGAGGACATTCCAGAGATCAATATTTCAAGATCATAAATCCTGCACGTAAAATTGTATGAGTAGACAGCATCACCAAATCAATTGTCCGGAACTTTAACTAGAGTTAAAATAATATACTATTATATGTACATACTACTATAAAAGTTTTATGTACATCTGTAAGTATTTTACCGGATTCCTAATATAAAAGATATTAATAGACAAGCAAAGCTCGTCCACATGAGTGCCTGTGTTGCGCTACCCAATTTTCCAAAGTTATAAAAATTAACCGCATCCAGATGAACAACTGTTGTAACTGCAAAGGCTGCAGTACAGAAGACCAATGCTACCATGTGTAATATATTTGCTATCGTAGCGTACTTAGGGAGTTTTAGAACGACCAATTTGGTAACAAGTGCAGCAAATGTTACTATCAACAGAATTAATAATAAGGCATAAGCTGCCTTTGACATATCAATATATTTCTTGTATCGACTGGGACTTGTGATATTACTAAAACTTAGAATGACACTAGCAGGATTCAATGGATATGCTGCAACTTTCTTAGAACAGGCCGTAATGGATTTATCGTAAGTTGCTCCACATAATCTGTATAAGGTCCATCTTTTATAGTAAAAGCCATCTACACTTTGACCATCAGTATATTGACTAAACCAAAGATCAGTTAAGAATCCACTACTAGTGACCCCAGAAAGATTGACTAAAAGCAATAACACAGTAGATAATGCTAGAAGCATCAAAGCAGTATATTTGACCACTGGACCCTTCCACGCTGTTTTTCTAGTTTCCCCCATAGTGGAGTTTTGAAATGGTGCAAAACATTATGTAATACTAATATTAATATCAGATGTCTAGCGCACATATATATTCTACTGAATGGACGCATGACTGGAGAAAGGTCGGACTAAAGTGATCAAGTTAGTCGACAGATCATTGGATGCCCATGATAAGCCTTTTCCTAGCTTTTACCCCCTTCTGCTTAACGAAACAAGTGCATCCACATTGGCATTCCCATATGCATAGTCTAACCCAATCTGGTAAATGGCCGCAACATTAGCACAGGCGAAGTAGTGGTAGGTGAACTAACATGCAGGCTACTTGGATCAAAGGGTCCATAAGGAAAAGGTTTATATTTCTTGGTTTAGTTGAACGTCAGATACTGATTGGATGAATGCTGGAAGGGTATCAATTCGTTAACAAGTTGTTGTTACACTTGAGTTCACTGCATGATAATAAATGGTGAACCTCAGGCTGCTGATAGAAACAAATTTTGAAACTGACATTATTTCAGGTAGCTGCAAGTAAGAAGTAGAGTTCGTACCAAAGAAAATGGCTCTTGGAAATAGTATTAGCAGGGTGAATCGTGGTAAGTAGCAAACCTCGTGGTACCACTAATTTTAGTAAAGTAGCATTAACCCGTTGGACATAGTAATGCAGCAAAAAACAACTTTCTTGTACAAGCCACCCATGTCGCAGAAGAACTGTTTGCATCTACGAAGTACTGGATTCTGCAGTACTAAAACTTTATCTGAAGCTGGGAAATATTGTTATCCGAAGCATGCTTCTTTGGTCATGACACCAATAAAACTATTAAGCATACTTTTGTTGCACGAGAGGATATAATGACTTTCATTTTAAGGGCACAATGATGACGTCTTAAGGGCACAGCAGCATTTTGATGGTAACCTCCCAGTGATTGACTCTCTGGATCAAGCTTCATGAGCCTCTTTGATATTGGACTAGGAAGTACTTCTTCTCCCACTCCTTCTAACGTCAATTGATATTACGATACGGCAACTATTTATCCTCTGTCAGCAATCTTTCCATATGGTAACTGATTGCTACGTACTGGAGTGCCAATTCGATTTTGTGTCAGTTTTCTTGAGGGTTGGTTTTCAAGTGGTGATGAGATGACAATAAGAGCACTCTACCTTATTCTTCTCAATAATCCCACACCTATAAACATGAGTGAGGAAAAGAAGCTCAGTAAGAAGGAGAGAAAGGCCTTGGAATTCAAGAAAAACAAGTCCAAGGAAGAAAGAGAAGAAGAAAAGGTTGAACGTGAAAGGGCCAAGGTTGAGAAAAAGAGAAAGCGAGAAGAAGAGGAAGCAGATAAGAAAGCCAGTGAAGAAGCGCAACCTAAAAAGAAAAGAAAGACAAGAAGAGGTAAAAAAGGAAAAGGTATAAATGGAGGAACGGGACCTCGTTTTATATTATTTGTTGGGAACTTATCTTATAGTACAACGGAAGAAATGTTGAGAGCACATTTTAAAAAGTGTCCTCCTAATAGAATTAGGGTTAGACCTGACAAGGGGATTGCTTTTTTAGAATTTGATAATGACACAGATGCGATTAGAAAGAAGATGGACTTGGCTTTAGCTTTACATCATTCTATGATGGATAATAGAAAGATCAATGTGGAATTGACCGTTGGTGGAGGAGGAAACTCAGAGAAGAGGTTACAGAAATTGAAAGATAAGAATGATAAACTAGGAGAAGAACGTAAAGAAAGAGTAGAAAAGACCAAAAAGGAAGAAAGTGCTAAACGAGCAGCAAAGGCAGCGGCAGAATCAAAGAATTCTGGTTCAAATTCAAACTCAAGTTCAGCAAATGTTCACCCATCACGACTTGGAATGATTCAAGATTAAAATGTTAACTATAATATAACTGTATATTAGATAGGCATCGCACAAATAGATAAGCCCATTTCCATTTACAACAAAGACATATTATATCAAATAATCTATACACATAGTATCTATCTGTCTACATAATTCTAATGGAGTTTGCTTTGTGCTGAAGAATTAGACATAGAGTTCAATTGCACCACGAATATGCAACGTCAGAAATGAAGCCAAAGAAATAATTAATTATAATGAAGAAGAAAAGTACACTGTGACAGTAATAATTTTGGCAAAGAAATGCAAGTGTTTGTTTTATAATTTTATAAAATTGTACACTTCTTTGCCTTTCTAACTTTCCGTCTTTGAGGAGTTGCACCATTTGATGTTGATTTCCCTTTAGATTGATTATTAGGTGCTGTGGATGGAGTCGAGGTATCGGTAACAAATTCATTTTTAGTGAAAGGAAAATCTAAAACTGCTCTAATAGCAAAATCAAAGATTTCTTTTACACCATATTGAGTAGCAGCTGATGATTCCATATATTTAACACAGCCTAATTCCTTTGCAAATTTCACTCCTTGATCATAAGTAATTGGTTTTTGACTCTTTTCTGCCAATGCATCCAATACATGAGGATCATCTCTTAAATCAACTTTTGTCCCCACCAATATTATTAATATGTCTTTTGGACTATGGTGCAAGATTTCAGGTATCCACTTCAACTTAACATTTTGATATGAATCAGGACTTACAACTGAAAAACAACATAAAAAGATTTCTGTTTGAGGATAACTTAAAGGTCTTAATCTATCATATTCACTTTGACCTGCTGTATCCCATAATCCAAGTTTGATATGCTCACCATCAATCATTACACTCGCCAAATAGTTATCGAATACGGTAGGAATGTAAGCATTAGGAAACGTATTATTAGTGTAGGAGATAAGTAAACATGTCTTACCTACTCCTCCATCTCCAACAACGACCGATTTAATATGTCTCATGTAGTTTATTTATATTACTATTATACTGCAAACTTGTCTTCTTTTCTTTTATTGAAAGGTTTTATTCCGTTTCAACTTCTTATCAACAACGTCAACAAAAAAATTCCTTCAAGAGGTACTTTCCAACGGAGTACACAAGTTATAAATTACTCTGATCGATACAATCTGGTTTACTTTCCTAGCATGAGATTATGTTTTCTTTTTTGATGTTTTGTTGTCTGAGAATGGTTTGACTCTTTTTGGTTTTGTGTGGTCGTGGGTAGTGTTGGAGGTGGTTTAACAACGGTAGTGACTTAATTTAGCATTGAATCTGATGTGACTGTGGCTGGGATGAGAATTAGAAGTATTAAGGGTGAACTTGAGCATTACAAAGATTATTACGGTTGTTGACTTCGAGTTGTGTGTTTGCAGAGTGTACGGTTCTATTGCGTACTTTAGTTGTGCGTACTTTAGTAGTGCGTACTTTGGTGCTTAAGGTGTATGTCTGTTGGTAAGTCTATCATTAGGTATAACCAGAATCTTTATTAGTATTAATATTGTAACTACTTACTACTGTTATTCACATCACAGTGTTGATACTCTGATCAGGTTATTATTCTTTTCCAAAGAACGTAGTATAAGTAACAGGTGATGCGTGTACTTGCATATTTCACTGCCATATACATTTAAGCTTCACTTAGCGTAAGGAAAGGGCGTTGAGATGCTTGTTTTCCTTTAGTATAAATGCAGTATATACTATTGGGACTGTTTGAACAGCAACAAGTGGTAGAACCTTTCAGAACATGACATTTTACCGGTAGTTTTACATTTTTTGAAAGAAAATGGTTGCACGGCTGAAAAATGTTCTTACTTACATTCATTCTCATACAAATGCAGAATTGTTTGAGTACAAGGAGAGATGTTGGAATAATATACCCATAAAATGTGGCTACAATATAATAATGTTATATTATGCTGTAATAGGACAATCTTCTTGTAGCATAGGGCTATATATAATAATATAGCATAAGATTCAGTGTAATGCTGTTTAATGCATAGTTTAAGACCATAGAAAAGCCCCAAAGTATGAAGATTTGTATAATGGTTAGTGTAGTGCTTAGTATTACAGTTTGACTTCATTACATTAAGTGCCCACTTCACTTGACTTATATAGCCTCCACAATAATGCCCTTCATGTCTTATCGGTATGGCGTTCTGAGTGTCACAAAGAGAGACCTCACGGCAGATGCTGATTTCAAGTGCCTCCGTTGAACGCTAAGGAAAAAATGATTGACAACGCTATATAAACCTTACTCCGCTGCACCAACTTTCAATCCATCGTATTCAATTGATCTTTGCTATACAAGATGATGGGCTACAAGGAGATCGTCCCTATTGGGACTGGTCTTATTCTTTTTGCTAGTGGGTTTTCTCTCGGTATTATTTATGGTCAATGGCCATGGGATTTAAATACTCTTTGGAGATATGATGAAACTGGTGCTGCTTTTGAAAAAACTTTAGCTATGTATAAGGTTTGGAATGAATCTCCTCTTTATGTTCATTATCTTTTACATTTTGTATTTGTCTTGGGTCTTATTGGACATTTCATTAAGTTGTATAAACCAACAGATGACACCATGTACTTCCATTACGGTTCTTTAGGATTGTTTGTTCTTGCCATAGTCATCTACTTGACTAACTTGAGAATCGGTTTACAAAGTGTTGATCATGGTGATTGGGGTGAAGTGGATTATCAAACTGGGTTAAATGTCATGGCTGCTTCAAAAATGATGATTGTTGTGATATTGGTTGGTGTCTTGTTTTTACAAGGTGGTTTATACTATGCTACTTGGTATGATGCGGAATTGAAGAGAGAATTTTTGGAAAGGGAAGCAGCTTTGGAAGCTGCCGAATTACAGAAGCAATTGGCAGCGGAAGGTAAAGATAGTGAAATCACTATTGAACCTGAACAAGTTGAAATCTCTACAAAGAAATCAACAACTGCCTCCGGCTCAAAGAGTAAGAAGGGTAAGAAGAGAAAGGAATAATTGTGATTGTGTGATCTAATTCAATTCAATAAATGGAATTAACAACGTTTAATACTGTTGTTAATTTCTAATTTTTTTTTCAAGACACACGGAGTTTTCCAACTGAATGGATTCAACAGACTCTTTATTATTAATTTGTAGCAAATGCAAAGTTAATGATAACGTTTAATAGTTAATGAATGTATATATACTTTATATCAAGTTGGGATCCTCGCGCTACCATCAGCAATGTCGCGGAAGTAATGTCGTTCTCGCTAGCCAATGAAAATTTTCTAATACAAAAACCATAATCTACTACCAAAATGTCAATTAAAAGTTGTAACAGCAAATCCATTTGGAAACTTCTGTTATTGCGACTTTGTTGAATCCAATTCTATAACATATATATCATGGGTGTTACTGACAAGGTATGGGGCGAGTACCCCATTTACTATAAGAATCCCATCAAGGTATGTTCATGTTTTTCTGTGAAGCAAAAGTGTTTATTGACATGACATATACTAACTACAGCCTATAGTGGATGAGATACCATGCACACACCAAGCCTCAGTTCTTCTGGTCTGTGGCATTAGGATTAGCTGGTCCTGTTTTATTATTGCTTACACCTTTAAGAAGAAAGTACATCTATGCTGATCATGAACCTATTCCATATGTATATCCTCTTCCCAATAGACCAAGAGACAAGAACTTGAGTGGTTTTGATGATTAAATTTGAAAGAAACAAGGTGACTCCACACACCGTGAAGTGAAGTGAATAAGGTAGTCTGAATTACAAGGGCAGTACATATTATGGCTAGTTCATTTAAGGTTCCAAATAAAGGAAATATCCACATACTATATTGTATGATTGGGCTTCAAAACTTTATGGAAGTGATAACTTTCTATTGATCCCACTATTAAAAGGGCTATACTATTTGATTCACGATAAGAATTATTTATTCCATTTATCAATCATCATTAAGTTTCTACTATCCATCCTTTTAATGAGATATATACTTTAGGTAACTTCTAGCATTGTAGATTTCCAAAAGGGGGTTTGCAGATCAATTGAACATGTTTATATATACAAGGAGTAATAATTCATTCAAATGTCTTGCTATACTCTTGTTCACAAAAACGTCGTGCGCAACATAATTTGAAGCTCATACCCAGTGAAAAAATTTCAACTATTCTAACATCAACTAATAATATAAACGGTACGCTAGCAAGTTATCAACAGCTTTAATCCATGTTTGGAAGGGTAGTAAGGAACAACCCCATTTATGGGATTGCTAGAACTTCAAGGTTGTTTTCCACAACCCCAGTGTCATTCAATAATATTTTGGGTGATTTAACTAAACCTGAAAAGGAAGAATTTGACCCATTGCTTGCATCCACCAATAACTCTAATCTTCCAAGAGATCAAATAACAGCTGCAAACGATAAGGCATTACAAGAATTCTATCATAAGGAAGCGTTAGAAAACCAAATTAGAAGCGATAAATATGTATCTCCATTGAAAAGAAGATTATTCAATACAAATGTTGCAACCAATGGATTTTTCAAGAATGAACAAATTGTTAAGGATAAAGAAAGTGGTAAATCATATAAATTGAGTTTGACACCTGAAGAAATTGATATTTTGGAACCTTCTATATATTTGGAATCATACAGAATCAAATCATCAACCAAAAAAGCTACTTTAGTGAATCGTTTTGTTCGAGGTATGCCACTATTAACAGCAATTAACCAATTACATTTTAACCCCAAGAAAATGGCCACTGAAGTGGAGAAACTTTTGAAACAAGGTGTTTCTCAAGCCACTGAATTAGGATATAATCCTGAAGGAATGTTTATCCAAGCTATCTGGACTGGAAGTGATGGAAATTGGGTTAAAAGATTAGATTTCAAGGGAAGAGGAAGAATCGGATTAATTAAACATACTTATATTCATGTTAAGTGCATATTAAAAACAGAACAAACATCAAAGAGACTAGCATGGGAAAAGGAGCAACGGGAATTAGCCAACAAACCTAGAATGTTCTTGAACAATGAACCGTTGAACTTTTCTGTTAGAGCTCTTTATAAGTGGTAGGGTTAATTCTTATTACTATCTTTCCTGTAAATATAATTGAATATTAAATACATGCTTGTATTGTAATATGTTGGGATTAGGTTCTGTATGCTCGGCTTAGCTCCCGTATCGGACACTGCTATGGCATACTGGAAATAATCCTCAAAGAGTATTTTACAGTATGTACACTACCATACTTATACCTTAACCCTTTTTCTGGCTCATGTCTACCAATGTAAATATTTGTGTGAGTTTCATATGCCTTCATACCAGCTAAATTTGTTACCCTAACCGTTTACAATCAACCACGGGCGCGCTACCACCCGATTCAATCTGCCAGGTAGCACCCAACCTTTTAAATGACCCAAGGTTAGTCAGCCGAACGGTTCCCGTCAAACACTTAGCATGATGTTTGAAGACATAAGGCAACATTAGACCCGTAGCTTTTTCCAGTAGTTAGTAAACATTTAATAATGCTATCGCTTTATGTGTGACTGCTATTCTTCTAATTATTGTGTGAGTCCAAAGAGAATCCACCTCCTTGTGGCAACATTGCTTAACTTTATATATGAGTACTTTAAAACCATAAGACACACCATCCTACTCTGTGCACTCCACAACAATAATAATTGTAGGAGGTAATCACAGCACCAGCTAACAGAGGCTCCCCTCGTTTTGGATTAGGCACTTCATTAGATTTCTTTTTGGGTTTGGGGGTATATAACCTTGGGCAATTCCCGACTTGGCAAATGCCAGTGTAAATGTAGAATCAGATATAGAAGTTAGAGTTAGGACAGAAAGAAGAAAGGAAACGAAATAAAGAACGAAGTAAAGCCATACGAAAGAGGCCATATTAAAGATAGCTAGTGTCTATCAAATACAAGTACTTTATTCCATTGGTGTCTCCCAAGACTTAATTTTATATATAGAATATTCCATCCCACTCACGCCACCACAATCTACTCTTTTACTAAAGTCTTAATATTACTGGTATTATCTGCTTCTATTATTATCTACTACAGGTACTTCTATCCCTTAGGGAGTGCGGAACTTCTACCAATACAATCCATAATCTGCGACCCCCCCCTTAAACTCGAGTCCCTCCAACCAATAAAACATTATGGGCTTAAAATATACTAGTTTCTTTCCCGACTCGTTGTACGACTCCTCAACGACCCAAATCATCGTGTGTAAGAAATGCGGATGCCACTTGTGTCTTTCTAATCTCATTATATCTGATCAGTTCACTGGCTCCAGTGGGGCTGCCTACTTTGTGAAGGATCTAATCAACTTTGAACCGTCACTAACGGTGATTGAATCTCAAATGCGTACGGGTATTTACTTGATCAATAAGGTCAGATGCCATCAATGTAAAATCACTATTGGCTGGCATTACCAGAAATCTTATATGGCCGAAGAGCAATATAAAGAAGGCAAGTTTGTGATTGAAAGAGCGTTTTTAGATGTCATTCCTAATAATTCCGCTACCGAGTTTCTATTGGAACAAGGATTAATACATTATAAAAGACGGAAATCTTCCGGTGCTAACTCCGTATTATCTCAAGCTTCAAGTCCTTCCAGAACCTCACCAAACCCTGATTGGGATTCAGAAAAGTTTGGTGGTGGGTATATCTATCATCATCATAATACTCACCTGAACTCTTCCAACTCAAACTCAACCTCAAATGCCGTGGCTGTTCCTACTCCAAATTCCAGTTCACTAAGATCAAGTGCCCTGTATAGGGGGTCTCGATCAGTGTTTGAGTTTAGAGGTTTAAACAATGGAACATTATTGAGTAGATTAAGAGGTTTTGATAAAGATGAATGTGATGAAGATGAAGAAGTGTTTGTTGATGCCTAACTTTATCACTATTATCATTATCATCATTATGATCCCCTGTATGCCTCTCTTTCTCTCACTGTCTCTATGTCTGTCTCGATGTCTCTTCATTTTATTATTTATACGTTAATTTAGGTTTTGGTATTGGTTAGTTTATTTTTAAAGGGTTCTGTGGTTTATATTTATACCCGAGTTGTTTAGAATGTTTGATATCCTCGTTTTATATATTTTATTTTATTCTATTTTATTTAGTCAAGGTTATAATAGTAATCATTAATAATTGTAGCATGCGAATATCTTTAGAATTTATTACTTTAACTAGTATACATTTATTGCCCTGCATTCCTTTATTGCTTCCGCTTCTTTTTGGCTACTCCGTTATTAGCCATTTGAGAACCCATACGCTTTTGATTATTGTGATTCTTGTATCCCTTGGCTGTCAATTTTCCATATACAAGAACATAAGCTGCTGGATCACTTAATGCTTGTTCTTGTGCGATTTTATTGATGTATTCATCATCATAAGTAGCCCAAGTTCCGTCTGGTTGTAAGCAATGTGCCACATAATGACCCAGGGTTACATTGCGTCCTTCATGAACAATCACTGACATCAATTTATATTTTAAAGACAGTGGCATTTGTTGATCTTCAGTTTGATATTTAGTCAAATCAAGATAATTGGGATACGAAATAGATTGCTTCAATTTCGACAGAGCATTCCCATCAAATTTAAATCTCTTCAAATGAATTGTAAGATATTCAGGTGAAATGTCAATGGTACTAATTTTATTTGCATTAGTGTTCATTTCACATTTACTGCAATAATATCCAGTTAATTTATCCTTTTTATCTGTTTTAATTAATTCATTTGAGAAAAAATCTGTCAATGATTTTTCAAGCAGGTATGGATGTGATTTCTTCTTGTTTAATCCTAAAGATAAATCATAAAATTCTTGTTTGGTTTCACTAACTCCTTGACATTTAAGACATGTGATTTTTTGATTCAAAAGACCTCCAAAAATTTCATAAATAATACTTTCATTTAATTTATGTCCTTTGGGTGTCAGATCTTCTTGTAATCTACTCATCAAGCTCATGAAATACTCATGACTATCTTCTTGTTGCCATTGACTCATCATACAGTTGATTTGGTGTAACCGATGAATCATACGTTTAGGATAAATATAGGGATGCTGTTTGGACCGAAGTTTAGGGTTCCACATAGAATTACTCAATTCCGCAAGTGTATATGTAACATTGGATTTCTCCTTATGTTCTTTACCCAATTTCCCAGTGAAAATTTGATTAAGATAATGTTGCATTGCTGGAATGTGAACAAAGGCTTGAATTGCTGAATTCATATAGCATGTTACTCCTTCATTAAGTAAACCCCAAGGCTTACGATCGCTATATTCTCTCCAATGCTTGATGATTCGCGTAGATCCGTTACTTCCATGATCGTTGGGATTCAGATTAAGATCATAAAACCCTTCAAGTGAAGTATCCAAAGATTTTTGCTTAACTTGTTGACAATCTTCATTAGGCTTTATGGCGCCATCACTTTCATCTTCAGGAGATGTGGGTGGAGTTGTACCTAATTTCTTTGGTCCATCAATAGGACTAGTACCATCTTCATATTCTTCATCTTCATCTTCTGCATCTTCTCCTTCTCTATTATTGTTAATTTCAGGAGAAGCACTTTTACTCAAACTTCTGTTGTCTTGACCATTTTCATATCTATCAAGTTTGAGGACGTTCTTGAGGGTTTTGATATTCATATCGTCATCTTCAAATCCTATCTTGGCTCTCTTTTTGGTGTTCTCTACTTGGGGAGAAGCAGACCCTGAACGAGAATTGGAGCCAGAAGAAGAATGATCGGATGAATCATCATCATCATCATCATCATCATCTTCTTCTTCTTCTTCTTCGTCGTCTTCATCTTCAGAAGCTGAAATAGCATAATCAGCATCTTCATCTTCATCATCATTGGAAGATGAAGAAGAAGAATCTTCTTCCAATTCCAACTCGGGTAATTGTTCTTCCGACACCCCAACATCAGAATCAGAATCAACTTTTCTCCTTCTTTCAGGACTTGTACTACGACTGCTTATGTCAATGCTTGATTCGCTATCAAACTTTGTGAAAGGGAGCAGAGGGGTTGGTGTATCATCATCGCCATCATCCTTATTGATATCGGTTTCATCATTAGTAATATTTGCAGACGATTCTAATTCAAGTTGTAACTTACGTTGCAATTCCAACTGTTGCTTGATTTTAAGTTTCTCTAACCGTTTCTCCTTCCGAGTGAGAAACTTCTTCCCAGTATAGGCAGCCACTGCTTCCGCCATCGACTTTGGCTTACGCGGAGAAGATTGATTTGACAGTGCCATGGGGTCTTGCTTATGACTAGCAGTAGTATTGGCAGTGACAGCAGTGAGGTCTGTTGACTTAGAGTCTGCTGCTTGCGTTTGTCTTGCTTTTGCCTGTGCACTTAATACGATGAACCCTTTGGTGGGGGATTGCGAAGAGGAGGATTCCTTCTTGGAACCTGGTTTGAACACTAAAGGGTTTGCAAGAATACGGTCGATAAGTGGGTTGGTTCTGGTGGGGGTACCAGTAGTAGATGATGAGCTAGGGGACAAGGTTTTGGTTACAGAGAACCGTTTCGACCGAGATTGAGTCTTTGGCGTGTCTGATTCTGCCATCTCTCTCAACTGCACAAAAGCCAAAAAGAAGAAGAGCAAAAAAATCAGAACGAAAAACAACGTTTGCAAAATGCTTACTTAGGGGAAGACCCACTGTACAGTACGTGTCGCAATATGAAATCTTGTTACGGTAAAGCAGCTGCCCTACGGTGTTCCACAGTGAATGACGATGGTGCAAATCATACCAGAGATACATGCACGTATTGTGAGTGTCGGCATAGGTAGTGGCCCATAATGGTGACCCATACTCGTAAGTTGAATGCTGGAGAGCCTTCTACAATGTATACCTCTTACTACAGTATTCGTAATCGTGAGTACTGCATATAAACTCTCAAAGTTATATATTGGATCACTTTATAATAACCTGAATGATCCCAGCATATTCAGCATGATGTCAGTAACAGCAGTGTTATGCTTATTATTAGCACAGTTATTTTAATTGCCCATTAGTCTAGACTATCGTATCCTTAAACTTGTTTCATTGTATACTCGTATTCCCCTTTCTGATGCTATGCGATGAGATGGTCTCTATGGTAGCACGCACCAGCTATCTATTTTTGGAAGAGCCGTTCTTGAATATACGCCGTATAGATTTCTTGTAAACTTCTAGCAGCTATTTGCTGCGATAACGTACGTCCCTTGTCATTAAATCCTCCATGATAGTGACCATTGACAACACGATTCCCATTTTGTTGTTGTAGCCTTGACTCAAGGACTGCATAAACATTATTTGAAACTTGGTCGTCTTTACCATCAGAACTTGATCTTAAAGATGCCCATTTCCTTTCTCTTGATGATCCCTTTGGAGTATTGATGCCTCTAGATGCTCGAGTTAATAATCTCCTTGCCATAGAAACTCGAGTATGCTGTTCTTCAACCATTGAATTTGCATCATCATCCTCAGAATCACTGGTGCTACCATTATCTTCTTCAGGTGCATCTGTCCCGGTATCTGTATCTGGTTCTTGATCTTGATCTTCCCCCCCTATTTCATCAATATCTCCTAAGAAAGTACCTCTATCGAATGTCGATTTATAAGCATCCAGATCATCATCCACCATATCATCAGGATTACGTTTATTATTGCTAATCTTGTTAGTGACCTTTCTGATGTGAGATGGGGTTTCATTATTATCAGTTTCTCCTTCAGCAACCATATCCGAATATTCTGCTGGAAAATCTTCAGGGGTTGATAAAAGCCAACCACCCACCCCAGAGCCAGCAGATCTTTTACTCAGTAACAGTTCAAATACACCAGCATATAGTTCTGTTAACTTCGCTCTATCAAGCATGAGTTGACTGTGATCTGCAAGGGCATTGTGTTCTTGAGAATTCTTGGTTAATATACCATTAAGCGCCTCTATTTGATCCAATTCAACAGACACATTGAATTTGCTTACCTCATCAGAAGAACAAAGCAAACTATCCCAAGATTGTTTTGTAGCCATGAAATCAAGTAAATCAGTATCTAAACTTGATTTGAATACTTCAATCTCAATTTGATAGTATCTACTAGCATGAATACCTAAATCCTTGGATTTGGTACTACTCAAATGATACCTTTTCTTCTTTTCCTGCAAGATACTCTTTGTAATTGGTTCATCATCTTTCTTTGGTTGAACAGTCTTCTTGGCAGTATGTTCTGGAGGGAAAGTACGAAAACATCCTATTTCAACTTTACCAAAAGTATCTCCTCTTAATGGATCAATAACTATAGCTAAGTAAGGATCTTGAAAGTTCTGATTCAACGCCTGCGTAGCAACATCAATCCCACTTAACCAACATCCATAACCTGGATGTGAATGATACCAACCTACAATATTCTCCTCTCTTCCGATTTTTTTGGAAGATTCCAAATATTGAACCATAAACTCATATCCTTCAGACTGAGCATTAACTCGAGTTTCTGTTCCTTCAATTGGAAGTGCATAACAATCCATAACAACAATTCCTGAGGGCACAATCTTCCCCGTCATCATGCCCATGATTTCAAGGGATCCCCCAGATTTGGCATGTATCGCCATCTTTATGAGAGCCAATGAGGAGATGTATACTTTGTTGAAATAATGAACATCCTTACGCCATGGACGGTCAATTAAGAGTTGCTTATCTGATTCAAGTTTATATATTTGATCAACATTTCCTTTAACAAATGGTAGACTTTCCAACGTTCTATTGTTCGCTTTTATCCACGGGCTATTTCTTTCGTGTAAAATACTATATGATATGTCATGAATACAACTCATAATGGTTGCTGGCGAAAGAAAGGAATCAAGGGCACCCTTTTGGTTTACAGTCAGTTACGCTCAAATACTATACTGGTTACACAAAAACAGCACATGATAAGAGCATTCATTTACTACCCTAGTAACATATTCACACCATCTACCAACCAAGACCTCTTCACTAATATCTAAGGCGTGAACGAGAATTCTTGGGTTGATGCTGATAGGAATCATCCAACACGTAATAGTACCCCATTCCAGTGTGAGAATCATTTTCATTCCCATAATCAAAACGGGACCTTGTTCGACTCTTTTTGGAACCATAATTGTGATGTAAATATGGTTTGCTTTCTTCAAACAACCCTTCCTTGTAATTTTCCTTTTTAGGTTTGCTATAACTGTTGGAACCAAATTGACACCGTGGACTATTATTTTCACTGGAAAATAAATCTTGGTTCTCTCTTAAACTTGAAAACACAGCAGTTTTGCTATTGAATGAACTGATTCGATTAATTTGTCTTGTTTGACTTCTATTTTGAGAATTCTGAAGGAATAAGGAACCATTTTGCCCTTTGGATGAAAAGAGTGGAGCTGGCGCCAACTCTGGTTCATTGCTAATCAAAAACTTGGAGATTTCTCTAAATTGAACATAAATAGGTTTCCCATGAAAAATATTATGGTTTTCTCCTTCAACAGCTCCAATGGCACTGTCGATATCAGTGAATTCTATAAATGCAAAGGCATATGTTCCCTTTGTAATGTGACTAAGTTCTTTGATCTCACCATATTGGGAGAATCTATCCATCAAATCTTTTTCAGTGGTATTCATTGATAATCTACTAACGTAGATTGAATATTTGTCAAAAATAGGACTAGCAAGCTCTTGCTCTCTAGGACTTTCATAAACATTTTTAACCCATTCAACTGCAAATTCTGGTTTATCAGTTAAACCAATATATGCTTTAATTGCATCTATGCGTAAGATAAAACGACAAATGAAATAATTTGAATACTTTAAACTTTTCAAGTGTGATGAATCTTTTTTTTTGAAATGACCATTTGAATCGGTAATTTCAAACTGTTCAAGAGGACCATAGGGTATAAGATATTCTTGAACTTCAGAAGCTGTCATTTTATCCAACGTATTAATGAATATACTCCGGTTGATTTTGGCTGGTTCAACACGAATATAGCGACCATTAATCTTTTTACCGGCTCCACGTTCAATTGCTTCTTGATAATCCTTGTGATTTGTATATTGAACAAAGGCGTAAGGTCTGAGCTGTTCATCTTTAAGGACCCGGGCGCTAGCCACAGTTCCAAAGGTTTGGAATAATGCTTTAACAGAAGCTTGCAATTTATCTTCACGTACTCCTGAAGGCAAACCTCCTACAAATACACAATTTGAAGGTTTTAAACTTTCTTTGGAAGTACTATTGCTGGTTTCTTTACAGAGACTCATCAGACAAGTATCTGCTGAATCCTCTTCAGCACTAGGAAGAGAGATTGCTAAAGATGTGGCTCCATTAAAAAAGTTATCATAATGATTGAGGCGCTTGCCCGAGGAATTCAGAAACAGATCTGAAGCCTTACAATCGTCAGAATAATCTGAGATAGACATAGACATACTTGAAAGAGTAGCTTATACAGACACGATTAGTAGTATACGGGTAGTAACAGTAGTATACGGGTAGTAACAGTAGTATACGGGTAGTAACAGTAATGTACTGGTACTAGTTGTAATGTACTGGTATGGAGAAGAAGAAGAAGAAGTAAGCAAATTGCAAAAGATTTTTATATCTTTTAGCGCTTATAAGCAAGGCAAAATCCAAACACTGGCTGCAAAAAATTAAGTGATCTGGAACATTTCATGAGCTTGCCCCATACTATTCACTTATCCGTACAAGGTGAGTGATATACAGTAGAATATGGCGATATATGGCTACAATGCTTGGTACTCACTAGGCCTTGGATCTGTAAGGTTAATGTTAGTTGAGTCACGAGACATACAGCTGATTAGTGGTTCAGCACAGTCCAGTTTGTGCTCTAATCAAGAACATTTCTATACATAATCCGCGGAAATGGCTCTTCGGGAATAGACCGGCGTATAGTTGTTGTTTGCTTACTGCTTGCTGCCCGCGTGGTGCTTGCTGTTACCTCGCTACCGTGCCTAACTCTTTGTTCTTTGGTAACATGTTGGTATTTGCCTAAAGGGGATTGCGAATGTCGTGTTCAATGGTTGAATAATTTTTGACGTACTGTTACAAAGCCATTTAGTGCCTACTACTGCTACAGTCAAATGTGATTTCAAATTGATTGCTAAACAAAAGGATTTCATTTTATTATACGCAATTACTCAATGAGCAAACGAACTACTTGATATTGTCACATCGCCTACTGTCATGAGACGTACCAAAACCATCCAGCGAACTGTTCAATTCTCGCTTATCTTATTTCTCATATGCTTGATCGTCACTCAACTATATGGGAATTCCATTACTACCAGCTTGAGACTTGATTTTGATTCTGGTGCTAAAGAATATGAAATACAGAATGTCGTTACCGATGGCGATAATTTGTTGAGCTACGACATTGCAATATCATCACCAACTTTTATCGATACTTCTATCGAGGATGTGCTTAAGAAGCTTTTGAAAGAAATCAAGACAGACGGGTACCTTAAAGATCAATACCTGGAATTCATATTAGATGATCTCAAGAAGAATATAAAAGATAGGGATTGGATCCATACCCATTGGTTCCAATTATCTGGGTCGTCTGTATGGTTAGAATCAAATGAAGTTTTCTTTTATGTATCGAGGATCATTTATTCACCTGGAGGCGAAAAGAATAATCCTTTGATTTCCATTTCTTATGTACAATTGTTTGATAAGAATTGGAAGGAAGTCAAGTCTCTGATGGCAACCAGTTCCTCATATCCTCGTTTCCTTAAGATACCGTTTAGTAAAGTTCAAGGGAAACTGACGAACAGAAACTTTGGTCCTGAAGATCCTCGAGTATTCTCAATAACAAATGATAAGGCTCAACAGGAAGTATTGGTGATTTATAGTGCTCAAAAGGAAGACGGCCATAGAACAATGAATATAGCGTGGCCTTTAGAAGAAGATGAACAAACAGGGTTAACAAAAACATTGGAACTTCGTTATCCAAGAAATTACGGTTTGATAGAGAAGAACTGGACTCCATTTGTGGATCCCACATTAAAAGGTGAAAATGGGGAAGATATTGTGGTCAGCTTTGTGTATGACTGGCTGAGTTTACAATTATTAAACTGTCATTTAAAATCGGGTAATTGTGAGGTTATATACGAGGTATTTTCGCCAGTTACATCTCCAGACCTGCTCCATAATGTTAGAAGAAATAAGGAGGTTAACAAGGAATTCGGTGAACTACGTGGAGGTACTCCTTTAATTCATTTTCCCAACATTCCTTCTCGGGTAAAAACATATAGAGGGACTCAAATTTCCGAAGTATGGGCAGGTTTCAGTAGGTATCATTTAGAGGATTGCGGTTGTGGGGTTAACTTATACCGTCCCGCATTGGTTGTGTTGATAAAGGATTCAAATAATGAATATCTATTGGCTCAATTAAGTTCAGCAATTGATTTTGATTTGAAAGTACTTGGTTGGAACTTGAAAGAATCATGGAAATATTGTGAAGGTTCAAGTGCTTTGATACCTAATGGTATAAGCCGTTGGAGATATACAGAAGATGTCGATGACATGTGGCTCACTTTTTCTATGAGTGATGCTACAAACTTTAGGATCAAAATTGGGAACTTGATGCATGAAATTGAAAGAGGATTAGCGTACGTAGGAGACTCGGCTAAAGTCTCCTTTGCAGTCGAGAAATCAAAGGAATATTGTAGACTTTATGGTGAGAAATACAAGCTCACTAAAGTCGTTAAGTTTACTCCTGAGAAGAACGTTCCTGATAGAGTTAAAGACTTTATGAAGCTTGAAGGTAGTGAAGACCGTGGTACTCCACCACCACAACAAAAACCTGCAAAAAACGCTAAGTATTTAGAAAGTCAACCACCTTTTGATGGTAAGAAGGTTGTTCTTTATCCTACTAGTTTTAAAGGGAACCCAAAAAAACATTTCGAAGATAATTTCGGACTGTTTCCAAAGGAAGCAAAGATTCTAAGTCTATCTAAATATGAATCTCCATTAAAGACCAACCGATACCACGAGTACAAAATACCTCTTTATCATGCTTTCCAGGATATTAATCCCAAAACTCAATGCAGAAAGATCAAGAAAGACCTTAAGGTACAGATCAGTGAGCCCATAGCAAAGGATGCTGATATGAAGAAAATTGTCAAGAGTATTTTACAATCAAATTCCGAGTATCTTGCCGAATTCAAACCCTACTTTGCTGAGCATCTGGAACAATTGCTTGAAGAGGACATTATTGAAACCTTTTGGTATCGATTTGCTGGGACTTCAGTTTGGTTAGAAGAATATGGGATTCATTTGATGGTATCAAGAGTTCTTTATTCGATGGAAGGTGTTCGCGACCGGCCAATTATATCATTTGTTTATGCACAAGCCTTTGATAGTAGCTGGACAGAATTAGAAGATGTTGATCTCATCATACCTGATTCCCATATGAAGGTGACATACCCACAATTTGTTCCTATCCCCACTTTCCATGAACCAGTGAAGAATCAGGTCACATATTATGGTCCAGAGGATCCTCGTATTGTCTTGAGAAGAAACAGTAAAGGACATTTAGAACCTATTGTAATCTTCAACCAAAAGCAAAGAGAAATTTTTAAGAAGGAAGAAGGTGAAGATGAAAATGGTGAAAAGGGTGAATGGGTGGGGTTCGAGATCTTTAGGGCCATGTACGTATGCTTTCTTTGGCAAACTCAAATTGGTAAACTGAATGTGGATCCATTGGCTACAGAATATGCTTCACAACAATATAGTCGTATTGTTGAGTTAGACCGGTTCCATAGTGAAAAGAAAGAGGCAGAGAAGAACTGGACTCCATTTTTCTCTTATAGAGAACGTCAAAAGCATGGATTTGATAAGGCAATCTATTTTGTTTATTCATGGGACAAATTTGAAGTCTTGAAATGTGATATCCCTACTTCATCTGATCATTCATTGTGCAAACTTGACTACACAATGGACAAAGATTTAATTGGCCAATATCGAAGCGGCGTTCTTACTGACATTCAATTGAAGTCCAGACCACTTTATGCAGAAGACCTTGAGAAGGAAGAGGAGACACTTTTGGTTGGTCCAATGAGAGGGGGTACTCAGTTGGTTAGTATTAATGAACTTTCAGATAGATATGAGCTTCAATTGGACCTTGAACATGATTATTGGTTAGCATTTGCTCGTTCAAGATTGCCTTACTGTGGTTGTGGGAGAGCAATGTATAGACCACATCTTGTTTTGGTTAGAAAGGATAGGGAGACCTCACAATATCATATAACTCATATGTCACTGTTTCTACTGTTTGATGTTGATATTTTACCTTGGAATCCTACTGAGCCTGAGAAGTTATGTGGAAAATATCCAAACATTCTTCTTCCTAATGGAATCTCAGATTGGTCATTCACCGAACGTGGCGATGATTTCTTGACCCTTGCATATACAAATGCAGACTTGAGAGTTGAGATGATTACTATTCGGGGTTTATTAAAGACATTACAACGGATTAATTCCTTTGATCCGAATAAATCGATAACTTCTGAGCAAAATGTTGAATGTGCCATAATGAGATCAATGGACTTCTGTAAAGCGTATGGAGACATTCACTTTTCGCCAGATGATTATATTGAAGCATTTCCTCATGCCGATTCAGCATGACGGTGTCTATATCGAATTATGTACTTGGGCAGGGTCTGTATATATTAATTATACTACTTTTTACGGTTACTGCACGACTATGGTGATAATATCCCAAGTTTAATGATAACGATCATCAGTAAAGAATGTGCCCCACTGTAATCACCATGACAAGTGCTGAACCCCCCTTTCCTAACTTGTACCGGAGTCGGTTGGTTTCTGAAAACGATCTGAGATCATGTGTTGTGTGTTTTAAGTTCACTACGACCGTGATGCTAGCAGACAATAAAGCAGACTTTTTCTATGTATGTGCTGGACATTTAAAGGACACCAACTTTTGTGATCCTATACACAGTGATGAGTATTTAGGTTGGATAAGAGAACGAGACAGGCTATACAAGCGGATATCTGAGTTGAAGAGGAAGATGGATGATGAGGCTTGGAATAAGTATTTACCTACCAAATGGATTGGAAAGAGCAGGGCCAAGGATGAAGATAAAAATAAACATAAAGCAGATGACGACGACGACGACGACGAAAAGAAAACAGACGAAGTGATGATGAAAAAGATGAATAAGGAATTGGAGACAGTGCTAGATAAGATAAGTGGTTATAGTAGTAAGGATTTCAAATTGAATAAAGATGTTTATCGAATGAGATTGCAACGATATCATAATCAGAAGGTTCAAGCTAAACGACAACAAGAAATACAATCAGATCCTGGTTTCTTTCCTCAAGTTCCAACTAATAAGCTCGGGGACAGGGAATGATTTATAGAGTGAATAACGAGATACCTTTTGGTAGAAACATGTAAAATGCCGGAAAATGACACAACAAATACCAAAGAATACATAACAGTAGCTTTATCAGACAATTTGGGTAAAGAAATGGTCATTAAATACACAGCATACTAGTAATCTTGTCTAGTTGTAATTAGGGTCTATCTTACTATGGGTTACAATTCAAGTCGTTATCACATGTCGTACAAAAATGTCTCCTTCTCTTAGCGACATTTAACCCTCCGCAATTCGATAATTTCTTTTCTATGTGAGCACGTGATGCCATTACATAATCCTTTTCACGCCACATCCCCACCTTTGGAAATCTCCCCACTGAAAAACTCCTCACTTGGCCCTCAGAAGCTCATCTCAACATTCCTGTCTTTGTGTAACAAAGCGTTGGCTCTCGTGTCTGGAAATATGGAGACCAGATAAGAAGACGTGCTCATTTTCTTTAGGAATGAATTCAAAACTGATGAAATGATGTTGGGCTGGAAATTTTATGGAATTCCATATACCCCAATATGGTTTTACGAATATATTTTATTTCGTAGTATAGGCTACTGATCAAACAATTAAAGTTCAGACAAAAAATCAAACATTAAATTTGACCGCGCTACCAAAGCACTAGGAACTAAACTCCGGGGTTTTAAAAAAGAGCAGTAAGCATTAAATGTGGGGGGTCTACAGTTAATGTCTGCAAGCCAAAGTCAGTACAACCATCAAATATATCCTGGAAAAAAATTCAGACCAAAAAAACTCACCGAGTAGGGGAATCCTTTATATCCTCCATAAGAATGCCACAATAATATACTAATCATAAAAAGGATAAGCACGATATATGTTTTTGGGACTCAAATACGTAAAGGGAAAGTTACCCCAGGTTTTGGTGGGACAAAAGATTTTAGTGCGGATCGGATTTTTGTCAGGTAAGAGAACAATCTTACTATTATTATTGAATGAGGAAGAAACGGGCCAGGCTTATCCGACATGATGATAGAAGGATGGATGACTTAAAATCGGACATCAAGCCAAAACACAAACACCTACTGTAACGAGCCTGCAGCAAGCGCAGCCGTAAACACGTACGAAGGTATTTAGTCAACATTAGTAGTAATGATTTTTGTTTGCCATATATATGTAAATGTCTGTCTGATTTTTCCGCGCTATGCTGCGACATACCAGTGTAGAGAAAATCCCCACTACTTTTGTTTTTCCCATCAGAGAAAAGTCAAAAACTGGAATCCCAAGGTTAACCAGACACTTTATTGATACTAGAGGGTTCCCTTATTGATATATAAACACTTATATCTTGGAAAGTGTCGGACAGTAGACATAAGTACGGTGTCTTGCTAGGGTGTATAAGTACGAGGTAACTGGTTCCAGAGACGACACAAGTGTTTTGTATTACCCCAGAATAGAAAAGTCATACACCAGTCAATAAATATACACATAATGTCTGTTGAAGCAGAACAACATCAACAGGTGTCTGAAGACATGCAAATAGACTCGAGCAGCTCGGGCAACAATGGGAATAGAGGTGGTAGAAAGGATTCCAATCAAAGACCTTATAAATGTCCGATGTGTGATAAGGCATTCCACAGACTAGAGCATCAGACTCGCCACATTAGAACGCATACAGGGGAGAAACCACATAGTTGTAATTACCCCGGGTGTTTCAAGAAGTTTAGTCGATCCGATGAGTTAACCCGACACTCGAGAATCCATACCAACCCCAATTCCAGAAGAAATAAGAATTTGAAGAAGTTGGAGAGTTTAACAGATATAAAGGGATCATCTTCCTCGCTGCCACCAGAGAAGATGTTAAAGATAGAGGATATGACCGGTTCAGGCCCCGGTTCAGGCTCTGGCTCCGGCTCCGGCTCAGAATCAACTACATCAACTCAAACGTCCCCCTTAATTTCAACAGCTACCACTGTAGCCTCCAAAGTCTCTCAAGCTTTGACACCACCCGCGTCCCATAGTAAACCCGTATCTGGTGGCGGCTCGCCTATCTTGGACGAGAAGCGATTTATATCCATGTCTATTGATGACAAGTTACTACACAACCACCACAACACAGAGACCACTACAACAACCATGACCGACAGTGAATCCCCCCCAGCGATCAAAAAGACCTTATCCACGATGAACATTGACATTTTAGCCAGTGCAGCTACGGAGGAGTTGAAGAACTTGGAAAACTCCAAGTCGTTACCTTCGTTAACCGAATACTTTAAAGGTGGAACGGACGACCCATCATCATCATCATCATCCTATCATCAATTTCCTTCGTTTAACTCCTTTTCAACCAATAATCTTAAATACTTGTCTGACGTTGCCATGATGAGTAACGCCACTGATAATAACAACAATAAGTCTGTATCGTCGGCCAAGAAGCCTCCCTTGAATTCCTTAAGTTCCTTACAACGAATGACACCATTATATCTGCCTCAGGCCAAACCCAAAAGCATCGTAGAAGACTCCGACTTGGATTATGTGAAACAGCGATTGAAACGGTCTAGACCCACTTCTCCTTCGGGGCTCTCATCTACAAATATGATAGGTTCAAATTCGAATTCATCATCATCAAACATTAGAAACTTTACCTTACCCAATTCTCCAGTCATGGGACTCTCTACCATCAACACTCCCTTGATATCTGCTAACAACTCATCTACCAACTTGACCACTCTATTGAGTGGTCCACCATCATCATCAATTAAGTCATCTACAGATACCCAATCATATTTCCATAATGTTTCATCGCCACCGGTATCCCTTTCAATGCAACCACCACCATCCAAAGTCGACTCCGAGAGTCAGTTGCCACTGTTACGAAGTCTAAACTTGGACTTACCTACTAACTTAATAATCAATAGCGGAAAGAACCCCGGAGGATCATAAAATGTTACACGTCATTTACTATACGTCATATTATATAGAAATAATTATACTAATTGTTATTTAATTCGACACCTCCAACAGCCCATATTTCAGTTTCGTCTTCGTACTGATCACTAAACATGGTCTCTTTGTCTCCCCCGGCTTCTATTCTTTCTCTTTCCACATTTGCCAATCTGACAGCCACTCTTTTGGTGTAGTCATTGATGGACCGAGGTACAATCAGTTGACCCGTCACAGTGTCAAACGTAGCCTTATCGTCAAACCATTGGTTGAACAAGCTTAATGACGTTTCATCCTCAATCATGTTAAACAAGGCCAAATATGCCTTCTCTGCTGCCAACTTGATGGGGATGATGGCATCCCTTAAACAAGCAAACACATTAGGAACCAAAATGTCCAAGTACTTGGTGGTCAACTGATCACGTTTCACTCGGGAAATGGTTCGTATCACCACAAGTGAAAGACGTCTGGTATCAGGAGAGGAAGACGTTGGATCCACGGCATTCTTAGCCAATTGGTACATCAACTGTTTGGTCAACAGCTCATCTTCAATGGTGAAGGGAACAGTACCATCGACAGATTTCGATGTTGGAGAATGGGTTTCTCCTACAAGTAAAAGGAGTTTCCCTATAGCGAGGGTGGCGTTGTCACTAATGTAATCTTTGCTTGAGTTGGAACATTCAATGATGTATTTGACGATGATCTGTTCCTCCAATTGGGACTGGAAGATATGATAAGGTGCATACTTTAGGAATGAGTTAAGACACAAGATGCCAAACTTATCAACAGGTTTGTTCAAGATCTTCTGGAGTAAAAGATTGGATGCTTCTTCAGTGGAAAGTACTTGAGCCAATGACCCAATTAACCGGGCATACGGAACCACAAACTTATCCTCAACCACAGTGTTATTCAATTCTTCTTCCACAAGGGTCATGATACTTGTTTTACTGGCTTCGCTCATGTTGTGACCAGATTTACTCAAGACTTCCAACATTCCCTTTAACATGGCAGATTTGACTCCCTGATCAGTGGTGTTTTTAGCTCCGGTAGCCAATTCCAATACCAAGGAATCAACACGAGGTTGGAACTCAATTAAGGAACTCAAAGCTACCACGGCACGGTTTCTAAGTACACTGTTGGTGGGGTCCAGTAAACATCTAACAAATGTTCTTTGTAATTGGGGAATAAAAGGTCTTAAGAACTGAGGAATCTTCAACAACAAACTGTTCAATGCTACCAAGATACCTGCCTTGATGTCACTATTAACCTTCTCACCAATCACTCTGATCAAGGGACCAGTCATGGTGGTAGCAAATGGTTTCAAGTTCAGTGCTGGAGTCTTGGTGATAACATCAGCTATACCCAACGCAGACATCTCCTTAAGTTCAGCAGTTCCATACATAAGACCATGTAAGAAGATGGGCAAAACACAGTTGGGACCCTTTGGTAAACTGAACCCGGCCAAATCTTCACCAGAAACTCCAGTGATACTTAAAGCTTGACGAGCAGGTTTGATAAGTTTATCTAATGATTCTTTAGGTTGTTTCTTGATCAATGCATTCAAAACATTTAATGTTCCACTAACCACTTCAGGTGAAGGATCTCCCAATGATAAGATGAACTGTCCAACCATATCCTGCAAATAGACAGAATAATCTAAGTTGGTACTGGCAAAGAATGGTCCCAATCTTCCATAGATAACTGCTCTTCTTTCCTTGTCTTCGTGCTTAGCTAAAGAGAGCAATTGTTGCATTAATGGATGAACCCCTTCATCGCCATCAATAGAAGCCAAAATCTTATCGAATGATTGTTTAAGAACCTCAGAATCAGTATTACTGGCTTCCGAGTCTATGACTGCATCAACCAAAGTGTTGATAATTAAAGATAATCTCTTGAACAAGGCAGAACCTGCCACAGAAGCCAAAGATGAAAGTGCTTGAGCCTTAAATGAATCAATAGGAGATGTTAATAAGGTAGGAATCAAAATAGGGAAGATAACTTCGGATTTAGTGGCCATAATCTCTTCCAATGCTGATAAAGCATTAGAAGATTCACCACCTTCACCTTCAAGCATAACAAGTAAAGATGGAATGATCTCATCAATGACTACTTTACCCAATTCATCTTGCAAGGCTTCAAAAGCCCCAGCAGCTGCTTCTCTGACTCCACGAGCATGTTCTGTCAAGGCAACACGAATAATCTTGATGAAAACATCTTGGAACTCAACAATGGTATCAGTATTTGAGGATTTAATTAACTCCGTCAACGCAATACAAATACCTTGTTTAGTGGCATCATCATTAGAATTAACAATGGAATGTTCCAAAGTTGGTAACAACTGGGTAAGGGCGTTTCCACCGACTCTCTTAACCATTTCACCCAAGGTTTGGGCAGCAATAGTTCTTTGAGATTCATCTTCCAGGGCCAATTTACGGACAATAATTGTCGTTAATGTGGGCAAAATTTCCTTTACTGTCTTTGGAGTGTTGGCAACCAAAGCCTTCCAAATATCAACAGAAGCATTCCGAACAATAGATGTAACATCAGAACGACATACAAACAATAATGCCAAAACCCGATCTCTTCTGTCTTGACCCAAGACTTCAACAAGAGTCTTGTTAACTTCACCAGAAAATTCATATTGTTCTTCCAAAAGTTCATTCTTCCCGGAGATACCCGTGATTTGAAACAATAAGTCCCCGGTAAGCTCAACAGATGATAATCTAATTCTATAATTGGAATCAGCCAAACCCTTCTCCAATTCAGGTAATAACAAGTCCACGGCTTTCTTAGCATAATTCTTGACAATTAATCTACCCGCGCGTAAAGCCACGTCTCTGATTTCTTCATCGGTATCAGCCAAACCTGCTAAGATAGGAGGAATGATTTTAGATAAATAAGGAGCAAATTGTGGTCCAAAACAAACAGGCAAAAACAACAATAACGGCATGAATCCGGCACGAATATAGTTTCTACCACTGGAAGCAGATTGTAAGATAATTGGCATTAATTCTTCCAATTTGTTGATACCCAACCCACAAATTACTTCAGATAAGGCTTGAGCTGAACCTAACCGATCACCGGCTTTTTCTGGGTCTTGTAATGTTGCTAACAATCTTGGGATTAAATCTGGGAATTGTTCTTCACCCAACTTTTCAACCAAAGATCCTAATGCTCTGGCAGCTGTAGCTCTGGTAGCAGGTACTGGATCAACCATTGCACCTTCAAGTTCATTCACTAAAACTGTCAAATAAGGTTTCAAATCTTTACCATCAACTAAGAAGGCCATATTACCCACAATTTGACACGATTTCTTCTTGGTGGCAGCTGAACGATCTTTCATTCCTCTGTGAATAACATGGATAATCAATGCCAAAGAAGGTCCATCAATATAATGAACAAATTTAGTGGTTATCAATTTATCCAATGCCAAATCAGTGTATTTTGTGGGATCACCAATAGCTTGGATTAAATCAGGAACTATTTCTTGGATTTCAGGGTTTCTGATAACTTCACCAAATCTCTTCAAAGATTGGTCTGCAGCCTTTCTAACTTCCTTATGAGTGTCATTTAAAACACCAACTATCTCCGGCACAATAGTGGATAAAGAAGCTGATAATTGAGCTGGATCCAAATAAGCCATGGACCCAAGTAATTCGACAGACCCCTTCTTGGATCTCCAAGCAATTTCATCCAAGTTGGAAATGGCAACTGGAATTAACTTCTTAACTCCAAATGATGTGGTGGACTTCATGATTTGCTTGGCAGCTAAATCTGTTGCTTCACGAACTTCAGCAGTTGAATCACCCAATGATTTCAAAATGTTAGGCAAGATTTCTATCACATAAGGTTCAAAATATTTCCCTAAACATAAAGATAATGCTTCAACAGTAAATGAAACACCTTCTCTTTTGATAGGACTCTTCTTATCATCTGCAGCATCTGTTAAGGTTCTGATAATGTCATATTGTGTCAATGCTTTAATACCTGATCCTTTAACTAACCCAGCAATCCCATAGGCTGCACCTCGTCTTCTAGGCATCTTGGGGGAAGTAAATAAGGTTTCAAATAATTGGTCAAAGTATCCTTGCAATTTATATTCAAATGAAGGTACCAATGGTGCTAAACATTCGGCAATGGCATATTGAACATCTTCAGAGGGAGTATCCAAAGTTTTGATTAATCTTTCCACAATGGAAATAAGTCTTTGATCATCATCAGAACTTAAATGACGGGCCAAAGCTCCATACAAAATAATGACTGATTCTCTGATTCTATCTTGAGTCTTTGAACCGTCATCTTTGGCAGATAAACAATCCTCAAAAATAGGAATTAATGTTTCCATATATTTGGAGCCATGTTCCTTAATGATTTCCACACCGGCTTCTTGCAATTCTTGATGGACCAAATCTTCCTTATCACTCAAGGCCTTTTCATCAACAAGAAAGTTGAAGATCTTGGAGATAGTCTGTTGGTCGGAAATTAATGGTGATAATAACTTGAATGCCAACGCAATCGTGGATCTTTCTTCCCAGGTATCTTTGTTGTCTGAAGGAGATCTGATAACCAAACCAAATCTGTCCAATTTTGGAGGTGGAGGGTTTTTCTTTATGTGGTAAAGATCTATCATTGAATCAAACGTCTTGGTAAGAATACCTTCATCTGTTAAAGTATTAACAGCAGAATAAATGGCTTTAGCAATTGAAAGTCTTAATCCCGAATCCTTAACGTGAGCATATTGCAACAATTGCATAGGAGCGTCTTCCACAACCATCAAGTTGTTATCTTCCCAGATTGTTATAGCCAATGCCCGAGTAGCTGCATCATTATCTTGAACTGCAATCCATAGTTCGTTAGAGTACGTCAATCCTCCTTCAATGTCTGTTAAATCAAACTCCAGATCAATGGCTTCAAGAATGGTGTTTCGAACAAACACTTCCGGTATAACTATGTTATTCAAAAGGATCCTCAAGTCACTGGCATTCAAAGAGACAGCAATATGTTGGCACATGGCTAAGAAACAGTCTTTAGACAACTTGGCCTTGGTGGGTAACTTCATTAAGGAAATAAGAACCTCCAAGATCTGAGACCGGGGAATGGAATCATCTTCAAATAATTCAGCATGTAATGAAATAATTTCCACAGCCAATAATAGCTGTTCTTCCTCTGGATCTTCATCAACAAATTCTGAAGTAGTGGCCTTTTTGGTCGTAGAGTTCTTGATAGCAACGGCCTTCCCCTTCTCCAAAACTTGAGATAAAAGTGGCAAGAGATACAGCAATGATAAGGAGGGTAATGGAGATTGATCCGATAAGATCTTGACTCGATAAAGAATTCTTGAAAGCAAATCTAACAATTGTTCTTGTAAATAATTGTCAGATAATTGTGTGCCTAGCATTCTTAGGGTTGCAACCCCAATGAATGGCTTTAGAGGACCAACTCTATCACTGAGTAATTTCGACAATTCAATGTATGACTTCCAAGGCAAATCTGCAAGTAATAAGGTGGAGTTTTGATATTTGCACAATTCCAATAACTTGTTAATGGCAACTGGGAACCACGTAATGGCCCCGTTATCCACCTGAGTGGCATCCTGAGCTAATTTGTTGATGATATCAATGCTTCTAATGAACTTTCTGATTTCAGACTTAACACTTGTTCTTAATTCAGTTTCCTTCTTCAATTGTTGAGTAATTAATGCTTGTTCTTCCTTTGTATACTTTTTATTGTTAGCATTAGCCTTCCCTTTCTTTGCTAGTTCTTTGGCCAAATCAGCTTCCCATTTCTTTGTTTCGTAGTCCTTAGAGTTCTTATCTATTTGAGATGCTTTCTTACTATTGTTGGTGGTGGGATCCACTACAAGAACATCATCTTCACCTTGATAAATTCTGAGAGAATCTTCATTACCTTCACCATCCAAAAGGCCATGTACTGTGCTTAAATCCAAGTCACAGTTCAAAAGCTTGACCACATGTGGGATAACAATCTCAGTCCTAATAAATGCAATCACCGCATAGGAATCAACAACAGCACGGTGTATTAATTCGTTATTGCTGTCGGAATACTTCTGCAAGTCCGTCAAAATGGTTTGAATGTTATCTCCGACTACTCTGCCCACGTCGATTTCATCTTGTTGACGACGTTGTGCAAGCCCAACCCATTTATTTTTAATTGGAATGGAAGGGTGGTTTGTAGCCAATAAAAGAGCTGCCAAGTTCTGCTCCGCTTCATGGTGAGCTGGAACTTGGACAAGCGTGGAGAAAAGTGATGACATATTCTTGTAGATCCAATCAGTAGGCGTACTACTGCTTTTCTCTTCCATAAGCAAGTTGTAAATACCAGAAATGATATTAGGAACGTATTGGCTATCGGAATTAACCAAATCAGTGAACTTGGTCAATGCTTCTCTTTGAAAGTTGAAGGGGACAGTAGGAGATAATTGAAGGAAGAGCACACTTGAAGAGAACTCATTATTACCTCGTAAATCACTGGCAAACAGACCAGTGTTGGCCAAACTGAATAATGCCTTTATGTACCACTCAAATTCATAATCTGTTGATAATTTAGTATAGACTTTGGGGTTCAAGATGAACTCAATGACTTCATTTAAGCTTTCAAATTGAGCTTGTTCTTCCGTTGCTTCGTTGACCATATAGACGTAAACAAAAGCCAGCGCAATACCTTTATTGGTAAGTGTTGGCACAGGGGACTTGACGGCTTCTAACCAAGTTTGTTTCATAGTTGGCAAAAGGTACTCTTTGATCAATTGAAAGTGTTGCTGCTTGTTGTATTGGCTGTCTCCTAAGGAAGTGAACCACGCTCTTCTAAGACTAAGTTTCTTATCTTTAAGACCGTTGTTGACAGTTGTAGATAATTGCTTTATTATGGTGGGCTCATCAGAAGCCCATAAATGGGTAATGAAGGAGTCTGCCAATGGAGAAAGTGCACTATCATGAACCTCTTTAGTAACCAAAGGTTGCGTTAAATTGACAAGCTTTGGCAGGGACACTTCATGGATAGGAAATTGGTTTAATAAGGAAACAAACCCTAATTTGAAATCCAAATTGGAAGTCAATTTAATTTGCTTTGTAATTTCTTCAATAAAGAAACTTGCGTCTCCAGCCATATTCTTAGTAATAATAGCCAGTAAAATCCTTTGAGATCCTATTCTAACAGATTCCTTTGTGGACTTGATACCTGTAAGACACGAGCCAAAGAACTTTTTCCCAATCGTGGTGGTGCTTAGGCTTTGAGTGAGATCTAAGGTTTCTAACTTCGAATCAACAAAGAAGGGAGGAATGATTAACCCCAACAACAATTCAGAAGATCTTAAGATGGCCTTGTCAAAGTTTGGCAAAATGAGGTTGGCAATATCGTCTTCAGTGACATAAGAGGTAGTAACAAACTTACTACTGAAGAATGATAAGCATGCTAAGCAAGGTGGAGGTAATGTGTGCTTCCTTAGAACAACCTCATCGACATATGCAGACAAATATTGCTTAGGGTATTCTCCAGATACAAATGCAGATTGGATATGAGGCTTGTTGATTGATACTTGATCGCTTTGGAGGACTGCCAGCACCAAACCCAACTGAACAAGTAAAACATTGACCTTCTCTTTTACCACAGGAGAAACAACAAATAATGCCTGTTGAGTATTCTCGTTAATCGTGTTTGCCCAAGCAGTGACTGTTTGTAACACAGCAGTTTCAATTAATCTTGCGTGTCTACGACTTGAAGACGACAGACTTCCTGACAGGCTTTCTGACAAACTCTCCAACAACAAAGATAAAATGTAAACCTGATTGACCAATGTGTTGGCCAAGCATTCAGTGGAGTCCTTCAAAATAGACAAAGAACTGTTGGACCACGATAAAAGTGTCAACAAGTCTGAATAGGCAATTATAACTTGGTTCTTCACCTGATGGAAGGTATACTTTGCCAATAAGGGAGCCAATTGCTTATGTGAGGCCATCAAAACAATCACTGTGTTCTCTAAGTGCTTTCTAGTCGAAGGATCTTGGTAATGATCGAATGTTCTTAACAAACACCCAAACACTTTAGGAAGTTCATCTTCTGGAATCACACTGTTAATGTCTCTAATGGTTTCTAGTAATGGCAAAACGGTCGTCAAATGAGGGTCAAACAAATCCCGTTGATACAGTGAGGAGATTTGATCCCAGGTCTGAGTTAAAGATGTCATTGAGGAATTCCTCTCGATTCTTCCTTTGCTTCTGCTATGTAACGATGGTGTATTAGGTAGTTTTGCAGTAGTAAAATTTGATCCCAGTTTATTATTGGCAGGAAAAATTTTCAAGTTACCCGGACAGATCGTAAGGACTATAAAAGGTTCGCGGATCCCACAAAAAACATTACAGGTTATATTTTAGTTCCTTATCAACTATACCAGTCTATGAGGATGGCTATATCAAGCGTACCGCTTCAGCAATGCAGGGACGGAGTAAAGGCTGGCACTTTCCAGTGTTAAGTGGTGCTCTTACTTGCGACTCGTATTTCTTACGGGCACTGTGGACAACACCATGGCCGCATCACCACATATTCAATGGTGTTTATTATTATCTGAGACTGGTATATTTGACCAATTAGATAGTCTTGCTGTAATGGTTACTGGTTGTAAAGGTTTCTTGGGTTGTAGTATATAATGGAGGGATAAGGGATTAGCTTAAGTCCCACCTGACAGTGCTTACCAGTGCATATACTGTACTACATTGTTTGTACGTAACTCCGGGCTAATTCTGCTTTCAACATGATAATTGAATTGTGACGACGGTGTTTTAAATCAACGGAGATGTGTATAGCTCATTGAGATTAAGCACATATGATCTGTCAACAAAGTCGTCTGTGTTTCTTCTGCTGTAGGAACGATCCTCCAGCAAAATGAGTTAGACACTTCCTTTCTGGAAAGACTCTTATCTAAGTGGCTCCTCCTCTTCCGTACGTGCGGGGAGTGCACATCCTTTTGTGTCTGGACGACCCCTCCTTCTGCCCCGCTTCACGCGTATAATGGATAATGTTAGGTTCACCTTTGGTACGGATAAAGTTGATTAGTAAATGTAGTAGCACATGGAGGTACATATGTTGTAAACCATGCGGATAAAATGCCACATCCCGTACCATAAAACAAAGATCTGTTGCTATAATATCGACAAACTTAAGCGATAGCAAGATTATCACCTACAGTAAGGAACAAGGACTATAATTTGTGTTACAAAGATAACAATTGTCTTACAGGTAGGTCTGGCTGGCAAAATAGAAGCCACGAGATAGGTGTGACACAAAAAGTCGCATTGTGCCAACACCGAGGCAGGAGATAGCTGTACGGATTAGGGTATTTCATTTCTGCTTCAATTTGAGTAGTGGCAACGAAGTTGGATCTCCGCTTGCCAACGCTAAATGGGGTACAGGGAAATGTAGCAACCTACCGAGGACCTAACTTTATTCAGTTCTTAGTGTATTCACGATAGCTCTAGCACCGTCTCTTTGGCGCAGTAAAAAGTGTTTGGCGTGAAACACAGTGGGCGCCATGTTTGTTTTTCGGTAACAGACAATTTTGGTCCGAGTTTTTCCATGCGAGTTCGGTGTTTAGAAACAAATTTTTGCGCCTTACGCCACATGGGTGCGATGAATGAACCAAATAAATATTAAATAATATATACGACTATACAAGAGTAAACCTAACTATAAATGAATAAATAAATACACTTCAACATAATAATAATAATAATAATAATCTAGGAAGAAACTTTCCACATCCTCAAATATCATAACAAGAATAAATAATAATAAATATAAGCAAGAAGCAACGGGATTCTAAAAGGAGATGGACATGACTGAAAAACTTACTACTTCAATTAAAAATTATTGTAACCATCTCTGTTTTTTTGATCAAAAGATTTTACGAGATCTTCTGTTTTGTAGTTAATCATGGTGTTTGAAACAGCATCTGTTCCCATAACGACATGTGCCAAACTTGGCCCAGTTGGCACAGGCCTTGGATCTCCACTTGGGAGGTCTATCAACTCTCTTCAACTCATTCTCTCCATGTGCAAACTGGCACTTGTTCCCATAAGGACACACACCCATCTTGACAAATGAAGCACACAACTCGGTCTTGTACAATTGGGTATTGATGTTCTTATGCTTGTGATTGAAGATATTCTGTTGTTGCTGTTGTTGTTGTTGTTGCAAAGGTTGTCCTGCTTGAGGAATAAAAAACAAACCATCCTCCAAAGACTCCTCAGAAGCTGGGTACTTTTGATTAAGCAACATGGCACCATTATTCTTTGCTTGTTGAGGCGAAGAAACCATGTGCTGGGTCTGAGAAGAAACTTGTGTGGCGCTAAGACATAACGAAGAGGAGCTGTTGTTGTACAACAAGTTCTCCTCTGTCAAGGGGAAGATATCCGAGTTTGTAGAAACGTAGAATGGCATCTTAGGTGAATTCGAGTTGGACCAAACACTGTTAGAATGTATTGGAACAGGAACTTGACGTTGCTGTGGTTGCTGTTGGGATTGTAAGGGAACAGGGGTCATTTGGACAAATGAGGTATTGTGAGATACGTTGGTTGAAGTAGAGTTGGAGGAACCGGCAGATTCAGTCATCCACAAATCAGGCAACAAATCCTTGTCGGAGAATTCATTCAAAGATGAAGAGCTTGAATAGGACGTGGTCAACTGTTGTTGAGGCTGTTGTTGGCCAAGGCCAGTCATAGAAAGACTTGGATTAAGAATGGCATTTTGATGATATGATTGCATCTGTTCTGGAACCAAGGCCGCATTCTTTACATCTTCAGGATCAATAGGTAACAATTGCAAAGGCAATGTATGTTGCAACTGTTGTTGCTGTCTAATGGAATAAGACATTTTATTGTACAACTATTATTAAGAAGCAATCTTGATGGAGCTTCACAAATGAACCTAGAAGTTACTCAAACTAGTTGAATAGTAAAGTGACAAAAATCTTCTTTTATAACTATCAGAACGGAAAAAGAAAGTGAATGATAAAAAGCCAAATCTACGAGCATACATTGAAATTCCCAGTTCTCTCACTAATATATATAATTCTGGTATCGGAGCACAAAGGGAGCGCTAAATGTACAAAATTTTTGTCTTTGGAACCGATAAAAAAATGTCGGCAAACTAGAAATTTCTTTTCTTAATCCGAGAACGCCATTCAAATTTGAGAGGACAGAATCCTTTACAAATCAACACAGTACTTTACGACACTTAGTTAATCCGTTCACAAACATTAATTACTGATATTAGTTGGGAATTTTACAGAGTGATCTTTTGATTAGATGTGACTTGATTCGTTATTACAGAATCATTTTGCCAAACTTTCGCTACACCGTTTATTTTATGGGTACTGTTTTCTGATATGGAAACCCGACAACTTTGTTGTAAAGTTCTCCTCACTCCTCCTCATCCTTCGAAAGATGTACTTTGCTCCCCTCTTGATCTTTTCAGGACTGAGAGTTGAAAAAATGCATGTGAGTGCGCACGACCTCCGTGGCCCTTCTCTATTATGATGACGACAAAATTGGAGAAGTAGAAGAGGGGATTCCATGTCCCGATTTAAATTTCGGACAATTATGCATTTTTTACAAGGACATTTTTTGACATTCTGGGCGCAAAAAGTCCCCTCATCTTGAGTCGAGTTCTCCTCTTTGCCTATGTTTATGTTAAAAGTTCTTTTATGTCTGGAAATCCTATTGTTGCCTTTCTGTCCATTGATGTTCTTTTCTGCTTGATTCTGTCTGTACTCCCCACTTTAGACATTACATTTGAACTACGTCTTTATTCTACTAAATGATTGTGTCTGTTCACCTGACACATTTTTTCTTCTCCACCCTCGTATCATCGTTTTACCCATATTCTAAGTCTTCCTCCTAAATTTCTCCTCCTGTACTATTTTGTAACCATGTAAAAAAGGGTTTCTATGATTCCATCCCAAAAATCTCCTCATCTGGTCGGACCTGTATACGGTGGAATATTTGTTCCGCTATTGTAAGGCAGTGCAAACCTGAAATCTTAGTGACTTTGGATGTCCCCCCCAAAACATATAGCATAAATTTTACTAATGGTAAACTACAACAAACGTCAGCAATCACAGTGCCCTGAGTCTTAGCAGCGTGGCGCAATAACCCGACTCTCGTTGTCATTTAGACAAGTAGATGGCAGTGTTTCTCAAGTCGTACAATACACTTTCCCCTCATCGGAAAAACTGATTGTGTCAAGTCTGCTTAGCTCATACCTGACAATAAGCCCACTTTTTATTTTACTGTCTTCTATTATCGTGGAACGATTTCCAAATTTGCGAACGATACCGTTTTCACTGCTGGAATGGGGAGATCACAGCGAGACTTGAGTTCAACACAACTGCCATCCAAATCACCCCACTCGATTTGTCCACCAAAGTGGAACAGAATATCACCATGACATTTACAAGTCATTTAGTTTGTTTGTTGGGATGGCTTAAACCCTCAAATAAATAGTCAGGTGGAAATAAGACAGCGTATAACTTTATTTCACTACTTCTGGACCTCGTAAGATTTTGTTTGCTGGTGCATCAAACCCTAAATCGGGACATTCTATTTTAGTAGAGTGTGAACTGAACTAGACACCAGTGCTTGTCTCTTGTGCTCTCTCACGTGACTTCTTCTTTCCTATTCCATACCAGGATTTAATCCGTATGTCGTTCTGTTTTCTTTGTAGTGTCAGTGTTCAAAAGATAAATTGTCTGGGATAAGAGCGAGTCGTATACCCCTCCAGTTCAACCCCTCTCTCACATATAGAACCCCCCAATCTCATGTGAATATATTTTGAAATGCAAATACATTGATGTACACCCACGAAAAAGGTAACCAACACCACCTAAGTCATTGTTGGTAGCCGCACGGCAACACAATTGTCGTATTTTGCAAAAGGTCATCGCCCTTTTATCCTTTGACTATAGTGCTTGTTTTATGTTAGAGAGTCAACCTCTTTTGTGTGTGATGACTTAGCTGACAATATCTGAGGGATACAAACACTCTTGCCAGGTGTTAGATTCACTTAAAGGCATTGCAATCCTCAGAAGTGATGCTAGTGGAGCTGGGTTACTTTTGATGGACCTCTGAAGGGGACGTGACTGCAAAAGAAGCAAGTTTGTATCCAAGCCAAGACAAACCACGATTACTGGTTTGAGTATTTGGGGTCCATAAAAAAAGTCAGCCTCTCCTCTTTACTCCTTATCTCATCGCATCAAATCTCCACCTCGATGACTTCATAGCTTACTACTGAATCCCCTCCACTTACCTTCCAAATGTTCATAAACGTTTCTAAAAAGAGGTCAATCTACTTTTTGCATGTGCCACTGAAGATTCCCCTCATTACGTACTACTTTTGAAGTCGTAGAATACCTTTATTTTCGTTTACAATTCTCCTACTTAAAGCATCTAGCGCAAGTTGCTCATACGTTATTTTTATAATAGCAACATTCTTATATGACTACTTGTTTCATAGCTCAGCTGACAGTTGACTTCGTTCGCTATCAAAAATCTGCATTATAACCCCTCAACGTCGAAAAACACCCATATCTCATACAATTGCTCTTATAGTACATCAAAGCAAAATCCCCTAGATTTCTCCTCATATTTCCCCTCGTACCCTCTTGTCCGCATTGATGTCATGATTTCCTCCCACCAGATTAGATCAATTGTAATTTGCCAAAACTTCTTCTCTTACCTTGAGTAGTTATGAACACCAATCGGATGCCCTTTGGTGAACCATTCTCTCCCCCACATATGTATATCTGATTTATGCTAACTTAAGCATCTGTTCCTCAAGTAACTTCACCTGAAAAATTCCAGTTTATCCTACAGAAGACATTTAGGCTAGATACGCCCTATTTGGGTAGTCTCCCGTGAACCCACAAAGAATTTACCTTCATCAACTATATCACGTGACTTAGAGCGTGATGTACCCATGAATATTTCTTTAACGCGTTTTGTTTACTACCATGATTTGCCTACCATGTTGCCATATTCCTTTCCCTGAACACCATATTTTAGACATGATATGACAGGTATTCAGGTACACTTAACTTGGCTACGGAAGGAGCCGTATCCTACAATCCCCCTGCCGTCGCTATTAACAACATTAACTGCACCAGTTCCCGGAGGATTGATACCTGTTAGCATCCAAGATGGCGTAGATCAAGCCTCTTCCTCAATAAGGAATAATACCAACACTTCAAAGATGAATCTGATAGTGGAATCTCTTTTTATCAGTAATGACTCGGATGATTCGGACTCAGAAATTGTACAAGAGCATAGACAACCAGAGCAAGTGACTTCCAATCCAGACCCTCAAACTTTCACTAATAAGAGATCGTCTGATGTCATTGATCTTACTGACGATCCACCAATAGAAAAGCGAAGAAAACCGACTTCCAAGCTACCGTCTAGTGGCTCCATTGAGCCAAATCCAAAACGCATATTGGCTACGACCCAATCGACTATCTCAGATAATCTGATCGGCAAATCACAAGATAAAGTCATACCTTCCCTAGCTAGCAGTGGTGGTGCCGCGTCTTACATAAGCCTAACTAATAAGTCAAATACTTCTATTAACTACAAAAGTCAATATGAAACCCAAAAGAAATTGATTGCAGCATTGACAGAAAAGATCACTCTCTTGCAACCTGAACCATCACTGAAGTTTTCAGCTATTGACGAGAAAATTAGGCTATTAAGACTACAGTTAGATTCCCATACTTACAGTGTAATGGATGATATAGATAGAATGAATGATCCATTCTCAGACTCAGAAGATGGAGCTCCTGGTTCCGAAGCTCCTGCGGAAAAGTTGCAGCCATTACCATCCCATTCAGTAAATGTTAGGGTCACCTCTCCAAAACAATCTACAAGCAATATTCCAGTCCCTTCTCGAGATGTGCCACCATCGGAAGTCATTGAAGTTGTTTTAAGTGATGTCCTGCTGCCTGAGCAAGTGATAAACCGACCCCTGACTCTAATACCAATAAGAAACGTACCACGGAGATCAACAAATGCATACCAAGGTAACTTTGATGATGATTCTCTAGACGATGATGAAAGTGGTTTGCTAACACCCACACAAGAACGTGACGATGGAAGTGATTTGGGAAGTTTTATAGAATATGATAACGATAATACTGGTTTTGAGAGGCACCAATATAGAGAAAATGGCTTGTTACTGAAATCAGCAGCACAACTATCAGGTGACTTTCAAAATGACCTGGATCTTGATCAAAGTTATCAGGAATCAGACGACAACGATGATGAGGGTCAAGAAACAGACTTCTCTGGATCCCAACTGAGTATCGCCAACACTCCTAACGAGAACACAAAAAATGAGTTGAATAATCTACGATTATCACCGGATGTGGCTGATAAGTTTGGTATTACCTATGGCCAATTTGCTTCATCCCCAACAACTAAAAATAAAAATAAGAATCATACATTGTTACCAGAAACTATTGAGCTTCCAAATGATAATTATGATGATGATGATGATCCTAACAAAGTATATGACAGTGAGATAGAAGAAATAGAGGACTTCACGACCCAGTTGAACCAAGAACGAGAGCTAGATGTAATTGATTTGTTATCTCAAGATGATGACATTGATGAAGATGAAATTTCTGTGGAGAAACCTGGACTACAAAAGTATGAAGATGAGGAACCGTCACTTGAATGTACACCTCAAGTGCCCAATTCCATTATTAAATCCAATCCGAACACTCAAACCAAGTCACAACCCCCTCTGTTTGGTCAAGTGCTTTTTGTTGAGAGTGATGAAGAGGAAGATGACGAATTCAATAATGATATTGCATTGAACAA